TGAGGTTGAGCAGCAGATTTCTTGTGAAGAGCGTCAAGGAGGAGCGCGATCAGGCCTTAGCCGCCAGGCTCTCGCGCGCTGCACAAGGTGCAGAGAGACTGGGCATAACTCACGTACGTGTAGAAAAGATACATTAGATACTGCTTAATTTACTCTGCAAACATCTATATATTATGTTACCACGTTGTTGAGATATACGCTTGTAGAGGTGCGCAAAGTTGGTAGGGTGGCCCGCTCGCTTGTATGGCCCGCTCGCTTGTATGGCCCGCTCGCTTGTATGGCCCGCTCGCTTGTATGGCCCGCTCGCTTGTAAAACATGTTACAGATCTTCTCGATGTACCTGTATTGGCCAACCAGGAGCTTCTTACCTCTGGTATCTTGGAGGATGCTGATGTTGAGGAAGGAGATTACTTTGCTCAAATCCTTAATCCTGTACCTGCTGTTCAATCTTAACTTGAATTCTTGTGTAGAATGAACATGTTCCAGTTGTGCAATAACAAGCAAGTTGTCTACGTAGAGATACAGGATGAGCATGCATGGCTCATCTAGGCAATAATCAAATCCTAGACACTTAGGAACTAATGCAAGCTTGTTAAACTATATCATTGAATTGTTAAATATAGCTAGGGTCAAGTGCCGGGTTTTTAACAGCCTTATCGTTGAACACGTTCATCTTAGCGACGTCACACAGCGACATGACGGTGATGTAGAACAGGAGTTCACAAGGCCATCTATGTTCTTTTGCCCTTGGTGCGCTGTTGAAAGTGTTTGGCCACTTGTGTCTCTCCGCGTAGCCTATAGATGAATAGCTACCTGTGGGCCACCACGAGCTTTTCTACTATCCTTAAGGATTCTTACGCGTATATGCGCGTTGGCATCTAGGAAGCAGCGCCTCTAGAGGTAAGTTTCTGCCTGGAAGTTGCCCGAGATTGGGTCGTATGGGCTAGCAAAATCCTGCAATATTACTGACTTTGCAAGGTCAACATTGTTGCGGTGCAAGTCGGTCCGACAGGCCTCGATCGTCACCTCAGTTGACTACCTTGGACTAGCACGTCTCAGGGCATGTATATATGGTCGCCTCCTAGCTAGCAATCAACTCAGCGCAGTTTTCCATCGATATACAGCGGCTACGTTTGCCGCAACAAACATAGGTCCGGTCTTTGCTATAGAACTCTGGGTGAGCTGTTTCTTCCCATTGTATTCCCGCTGTCTGCATGCAGAAGGTAAGCTGTCTGTAATTGTAGCAAGCTTAGTGTTGCGCACGCAAAGAAAGTGGCGCTTTGAAAGCTGCTAAAGCCTGGATTTTTGGCAATGCAGTCAAGCGCAACTATCCACAGCTGATTTAGATACTGGTGTTTCAATGTGAACGCTAGGTCTGCTCTCTTGCGCTCCTCTTTTGGGCAAATGGCTCTTTAGAGCGGACAGTTGCGCCTCTGCTCGCGACGTCATCAGACGCAGGAAGGTATGATGCTAAGGTAGAGTCATTTACTGTCCGGTAGAGTGCAGTGAAAAGTATAGTATCTAGTCAGAGCTGCTGATCCTCCTTGCTTAGGTAGGGAGAACGTTTGTGCTCGCTCTCAAGGTGGAGTTCTGGGAAGAAGTAAACACAAGCAGCGAGTTGATTGGGCCTACAACAGCCCCAGAACAGTAATAAGGTATCTTGTGCAGTGGACAGCTTCTTATCACCTTGCTGCCCTGATTGTTGTAGCTGAACACCTTAAGGCTGAAGTGTATACCAGCAGTAAAGTTTAGAAGAGAGTAGGTCTTTGGGTACCACTGAATGCCTTTTCAAGCAAATCCTAGGCTGCTAGGGAAGCAGCAGACGCTATCAATCTCAAATCAGACATTGGTAGCGAGTGCTGTGTCGCTAGACTAATGATGCTGTTGCAGGCACAGGCCTTGGGGCAGCCTCTCATCTGGCGTGCCAACATCTTCAGGAAAGACTGTAAGGCTTATACCCTCAAACACATCTATAATATCAACCCCATTAGCTGTAACAGAGGATCGTATTAGAGTTGGCGCCCTAAATATATCTTGGAGGCGCGTCCCTCCAGCGAGGCCACAGTAAGGAGATATGTGACCTGCCATAAGGAAGAGCATGCCGGGTATACGTCTAAGCGCTGGTGATACTGCTGGTGGCGCTACTCTGCCTCTGCGCATTCTTCGTGGATACAGCCTTGAAAGCTCCGGAGCTGCAGAGCTAGCCTGTAGGCTGTTTGATTGCTAGGCTCTGCAGAGGCACTGCCTCTCTTCAACGTTGGTGCTTTTAGGCTAGACGCGCCTTCAGCCTGGGCTACAGTAGGAGGAGAAGCTGGAACGCTGTCTTGAGGAAGCTGTGCTGGGCTAGATGCAGGTTGGCTGTTACAAGATAGAGATAGCAGCTCCTGCCTAAAGCTGTTCCCGCTGGAACACGGCTCAACTAGCTCTAGGTTGTTTCTGCTGCCTAAGTGCTTACTATCTTGAGGCTGTAGAGAAAACTGCAGCGTGTTTGGTTGGCTTTAAACAGCGGCAGCTATTTGAATGTAGCTGCTGGCTTGCAGAGGTGTAGGTAGAGCGAGGTTATGCTGAGTAGTAGGGCTACTTGTCAGAACCTCTGTTACCTCTTCAAATAGTTGCGCCTCTTGGAATAGCTGCACAGAGTTGTCTCCATCCCTGACCTCAAGACCGATGTCTTCAAAAGCGATGTTCGGGCCCAAGCGTCAGCGTTATATTGGGCCGTTAGGTGTTTTTAGTATTGCCAGATATATACTTTTGGTCCTTCTATCCCCTCCAAAACGCTATAATCTAGACCAGGCTGTTTGATTGCCACAACAATTGCGTTAAACGATCTGAGCTTTGCCTGCTTCCAGTTACTGTCTTTCAATTTTGGTACTTCAGGTACGGCGCTTTGATCCACCAAAGGGTCGCAGAACGTAAGATCGACAGCGCCGGAATCCCGCATGAAGTTGAGTAATTGCAGACCCGGGGAGTTTGATAGATCAGATTGTCCGGCTTTGAAGCCCAGGCCTACAACCAGCAGACGGGGCTGAGAGCTAGCTCTTTGTGCCTCGCGCTCGTCTTTTAACAAAGAGACAAGAAGTCGGCTGGCGATCCGTGAAGGACGTGTTTTCGTCTCCTCGTAGGCTTGTTGCAAGATCGGAAGGTCACATGTCGACAACAAGTAGGCCGGGTTGACTGGAATACAGTGGCCCCCAATTCCTAGTGACGGGTAGACAGGAAGATAACCGAAAGGTTTGCTGCTGGCGACCTTCGCAACTTCGAAAGGATCGATGCCATAAGGAATGCAAGCGTCCGCCATTTCGTTTGCATAAGCAATAGCGACTGTTCGTTGGCAATTTTCGTATAGTTTCAGCATTTCTGCTACTTCGGGTTTGCTGACAGGGATGACTGTGTCGAAAACAGCGTCATAAAGTAGAGTGATGGCCTTGAGAGAACCAGGAACAACATCGTCGAGCCCAGAAACAACCTTTGGTATGGAGCGGGCAGGGGGTAGAACTCTACCCGGATCGATGCGCTGCATACAAGTTTAGAAACAGTTTTGATTTGGCGTTGTCGAGGGCATACCTCTGGTGACATTCCTGCAAACAAATGAAGAGATCTGGCAATCGGCTCGAGTAGTAATCGAGTTGTTCCAACCGCAACGGTGCTTTCTATTACAACGACTGATCCCGGGCCGGCGTATCGCTCCACGATCTTCGTCGCACTGATAATGTGTGACAGGTCTGGGTTTTCATCCAGGCCTAGAGTCGTTGGCACAGATATAAGGAAGTGCTTTGCAGCCTTGAGGTCTTGTTCGTTGTTCGAGATTTGGACATGGCTGCCTTGCGAATACGTACAGCGCAAGGCCTTCACTCTTGCGCTTGACACATCGTAGCCGATCACCTTAAAGGATGAGCTGAACACATCCAGCAGATGTTTCCCCACGTAGCCAACGCCAATTACTCCAATAGTATCAACGTTTCTGAGCAGCCTCGATGTATCAGCGGGGATAGTTTTCGCCTCTTTTGAATTCAGCGTCGTTGTGGTCATGGCTGGGAGCATTTGTTGCTTAGAAGTTGAAGTGGATCAAAAGACGCCCGCAGCTACTGATATTAATTTCCAGTATAGCTCAGGCCGTCATTTACCATAGACGAGGTTACGTGGTCGCCGGACGCTTTTGGCCAGGGCCCACATAACGCTCCAATAATGCATTTGTTGAAACCCTCTAGTTGCAACTTAGCCACTTGGATTTTCCAAGAAGCTAGTAGGCATTGAGTCCTGATTTTTGTCCCGTGCACAACATTAGCACGGTGTGCAGCCTAAACACGAGGTCTCAAGAGAAACAAGCCTTTTCGTGCCAATAGACAATGCATCCACAAAAAACAATAGCGAAGAATCGTCTAAAATGGATTAAGAATGTCACCAGAAGAGTTGCTGTGGTCTCGCTAGAAGTTGCAACATACGGATTCTCGGAAATTGGTATCTATGCTCGCTAAGAAAAATAGGCCTCGTATCTTTCTCGTATTGTCTATCGCGATCACCGAGTCTCCGTGAAACACACCGCCTATGCTTGTTACTTTCCGTACACACTATCTTAGTAGATTAACGTTAGCAAGAAGGCCGAACAAGAAAATTTTGGCTGCTGACCACAAATCCCATTTTCCGCCCGCTAACGGCGCCTATCAAATCCGGCCCTACTTACTATAAGATTATAATGTCCAGAGTATACTTTTTAATAATCTTTGGACAATCCTCAATTCTAAAGCGCATCTCTGCATTTATGACCATTCGCAGTAAACACCCATCTGGTTGTTTTCCTAACCTAACACTGTTCCACCTTCCAAACATTCTGCTGTCCTACGTCAACCTCAAAAGCCATAATGGATATGCCTTTGGGCGCTTCTGTCACGAGTTATGAAGCTCTTCAGGCAAAGTCGCGAAGGCGAAAACTTTCCCTGTCCCTTCAAGGTTCTGCTAAAGCAAGTGAACATCTTCCCTCAATCAATTGCAAAAGGCATCAACTACAGAAATATGTATTCTTGTCGCTCTTTCTCCTTGCAAAGTAAGTTAGTAATCCCACAAATTACGCCTACAACTCGTTTTAGTAGTAGGAATAATGATAGTAATAACAACTGAACAATAGTTTTGCGATCATTATCATGTCGACGAGAATCTCCAAATACTATTGGGTGATAGTACCCATTATTATGTTCCGGCCTTTTGTGGATGTCTTGGAGATCACCTTCCTCATCTTTTTCTATCTCACCCGACGTGCGTATCCCGTTGAACCAAAAGTCCCAGACACCCCGGAGAATCTTGCATATCTTCTTGCCTGTTACAACGAAACAGGCGCGGAGCTAGAAGTGTCATTAAACTCTTTGGTTGAGCAGCGGAAACTCGAGACACACAGTAAAGCTATCGTCATTGTCTGTGATGGCCGGTGCAACGGGAGAGGTATGAAAAAGACAACAGCTGAACAGCTTTCGGAAGACATTATCGAAACTCCTACAAGCACTATTATTCAGGATGCCTATACTGCCTGGGATGGTAGGCCGATGGATGTAGAGCTGCTATGCGGCATGTTCAAAGGACTCAAGGTCTTGTGCATCGTCAAGAAAGAGAATCGCGGGAAAAGGGACAGTCTTATCCTTGTTCGCTCTTTCCTCCTCAAGTTCAATCAGCGCGATTCAAATTTGTCACGGGGAATTTTCTCTTCGCAGCTTTTTGAGCACATGAGCAACTTTTTCCTGAACGCATCCATAAATTCAGTGGAATACGTTGTCGGCATGGATGCAGACACCAGATTCGACCAGGACTGCGTCTTCAATCTTGTGCAGACTGTACGAGAAGGAGAACAAATCATCGGAGTATGTGGCCAGATCGCGGCAGACCCCACGACCTCGTCTCCGTTCTCGATTCCCTACCTTTACCAAAACGTGGAGTACAAAGTGGGACAGCATCGCCGGCGGCTTCGGCAAAATCTTATGACCAGAAAAGTCACCTGCCTCCCAGGTTGCTGTCAACTTCTCCGTGTCATCGATGAGACATGTGGTGACAGGATCCTTGGACAATTTGGATATCATCCAAAAGAGGAAGACGGTCTTTTTCGAACAATTCAATCAATGATGAGCGAGGATAGAGATCACGTTTGTTTGATTCTTCGAGAATATCCAGACGTACAAACACGGCAGTGTCTGGCTGCAAGAGCGTACACATCCGTGCCTCACTCTCTCTCTGTGTTCCTCAGTCAGCGGCGTCGATGGACGCTGGGCCCAATGGTCAGCGATACTCTCCTCGCGACACGAAAGTCAACCGGGGTTACGGAGAGACTCGCGGCTGTGTCATCCATATTGAATTGGACGATTACCATAGCTATGTTTTTCTCGCCGCTTGTCAGTACGTATGCTTGCGCCGTACAATTGTTGAGTAAGACTAACTTGGATTCCTAGGAGAACGTCTTGACCATCGAACTAGATACATGGCATTCTTCCTTGCCACTTTCCGTAACATATGGGACTATTCGGTCGTCTTATCTTCCTCGAGGACACGACTAGAGTTTGCTCAAAACCTTATGGGATCTTTTCTCACATACAACGTCAGTCGTTTCGTTGGTGCTGTAGTACATGTGTATACGTTGTACTACCTAGACGACTTCAGATGGGGTTTGATGCGCGCGAAGATTGTGGCTAAGGTTCGCAGACAGTCAATTGTTCGTACTTAGCTAGCGCAAATGTCTGTTTGTGGAGGAGCATGGTGCTCATAGCTAATTATCGTTGTGGTAGCAAAAGACTGTCTTTATCATTGTCCGCCACGCCGGTGAAATATGGCCTTGAGCGGGGTCGCAAAGGTACCTACCCGGAAGACAAAATCACCATCGCAGATCGGGCTGAAACCAAACCTTAATAGCAAATCGGCGGTGTTGACAGCAACTCACTTTTCTGACCTGAAGAGCAGAAAAGTCCAGATTACTTCGAGGAATGAATCCACTGTGCACAGTAGTCTGGATTGCATGATTGAACCCGATGATAATGTGCCTGTGCAGGCAAGAATACGATCTTGCTTGCACTGAGCATACCTTTCACAAGGGATAAAGCCTTGGTGTGGCAAAACCATATTCTCGTTGAGAAGTAGGTGGGCAGCGGTGGGCGGTAGGCGGACGGGCGCAGTGAGTGGTGGTGGCGCAGTCGGTCGGTCGAACTTTTAGTGGTTCGGATGAGCTGTCACCTGGCCAAGTCATCGCCGAGCCATTAGGGTAGCGTTGGTCGGGTGAGCTGCTGCCTGCCTTTGCAGAGCATAGAAACGCCGAAAGTCCAAATCATTCGGGCCGCGGTGGGCGGGCGGGCGGGCGGTGAGTGGTGGTGGTGAAGTTGGTCGAATGAGCTGCTACCGGTACCTGGCCAAGTCATCGCCGAGCCATTAGATTTTGGTTGGGTGAGCTGATGCCTGCCTTTGCAGAGCATAGAAACGCCGAAAGTTCAAACTATTCGGGCCGGTCACCGCCCGAGGCGTCTCAGTTGTCGGTGAAGCACAAGTGACGTACCTTTTCCTCTCGGGCCGAAAGGTGCGGATCCTCAATGTCTTATCATATATGGCAAAATAATATTTCAGCCTCTATGTGGGACACTAGCCTTTAGGTGTTGATATTCGACACCTAGAGTTTGGCTTTGGAAGTCCTTTTTGATCTTTCACTTCGTTAATCCTCACTTGCTCTTTGTATCAATGGCAAGATGCTCCTTCGCAAAATACGCCTACATATCCCTGCTCCGACATTCCCAGGCATCTTGTTTGCACCCAGCAGTGAGAATAATGAGCCTACCCTCTCAAATACAGCTTGGCTTGATGGCGTTCGGGGGTTCGCTGCCCTCATTGTTGCAATTAATCACATCACCTCATCAGAGATAGGCTTTCGCTTCCAGGGCTTTCATGCCCAGCCTGTGGATGTCAACACCTCTGTACTCCAGTTACCTCCTTTTCGCATCATCTTTGGCATGAAAGCGATGGTTCCCCTATTCTTTGTCGTCTCCGGCTACTGTCTTTCGATCCAATTCATTCGGCGGCTGCGGAACAGCCCGGAAGATATCTCTAGTTTTTTCGACGCTCTATCCGGGGCCGTCTTTCGTCGTGGGATTCGCCTGTTTGTTCCCTTTTTGACTATGGCGGTCTCTTCTCAGATCCTTCTGTATCTGGGTGCCTATGATTGGAAGTGGTGGAGCGATGATGGGCTGGTGGCACTGGTCGAGGATTCCCAGGGCAATCCTATTCGTGCCCCCATCCGTAAACATGCGCGTTTCCTGTACGAGTACCTCGGCACTGTTATGTCGGCACTCAATCATGGTTTTGGCTCCCGTCCAATTGTTGGCCTGAACCCGGCACTATGGACCATTCCCGCCGAATTTCGAGGTTCACTTCTCATCTATCTCTGCTTCGTCGGTCTTGCACGTGTAAAGCATACAATACGGCTCTGGATACTAGTATCTATAGCGTTTGTACTGCTGGCTGAAGGCATGTGGGAGCTCTGGACATTCATCGGTGGCTTGTTGATCGCAGAGCTGCACGAGCGGTCGAGATGTCTGCTTCCATGGACAAACAAAGGATCGGCTTCTAACACCCACGAATCAATTGATATGAGCCTAAGGGTGAGGCGTCGCAGCCGATTGGCGATACTTCTGTTATGGGCTTTTGGTCTGTATCTTTTATGCCTGCCAAGTCAGGACGTTGAAAACCAGTTCGGGCCTGTATATGGAGTTGCGACTCTGTTTACGCTGCCTCACTGGAGAAGCAGGCATGCTGTAGAAGCAAATTATCACGGCCTTGGGGCCACATTATGTGTAGCGGCATTAGGCGCTGAGCCCATGCTGCGACGTCCTTTCCAATCACGCTTGGGTCAGTTTTTTGGAAGAATTTCTTTCACACTGTATCTTGTTCATCAACTTGTCGCTAGAATATTGATGCACAGGTTCAGAAGATTTGCTATTCTTTTGTTGGGCGAGGGGTGGCAGATGCTTGCAACTTACTCTTCGAAGAGTGCGTTAATGGTTGTTATGTTGTGGATATCGGAGATTTTAGTCGAGGTTCTCGATAAGGGATCTGTTGTGCTAGCAAAGCGATTGTTTGAGAAGTGGGTAGTTCGCTAAATAGCTTGACGTTAAGTATGTATCTGCGCAAAGATTGTAGATCAAACAATTCCAACAACTAACCTAAGGCTCTATTATATCTATTCGTGTTAGATTGACATTAACTTAGTTAATAAGAATTATACATTCGCCAAGAAGCTAAAGTACTCCAGCACAAGCAGAATATCGCTCACAAGTTTGGCGCCGACTATGCCATAGACTACCAACAGGCAGACCAACCAGAGAAGGTCAAGAAGTTGACTCCTACAGGCGGCGGTGTCGACGTTGTATACGACCCTGTAGTAGGCGCGATTCTGAAGCGCAACCCTAACGCTACACCCTTTTCGACGATGTTCAACGTTACTGTGGCCCACAGTAGGACTTGATTTAGTACTGTAGTGTTGCAAAGTAGTTGTAGTGTTGGTGTGGTCTTTGCAAAAGTAATCAGCTCACCCGGGTCACCAGCTCACCTGCCAGTGTGAGATACGTTAGTATTTCAATGATTTGCAAATTGTAGTACATTAGCGTGGTGTTGCGCAACGTTGTTGCGGCGGCGTGACGATGAGAGAGCGGTAATTACTCGGTTAGGGTTACGACTTGATTGTGAAAGATGTTAACTATGTACAGAGAAATAATGTGGGGACTCAGCAATCACACTCCAGGCCGACGAAGCACATTCGTGTTGGTTGAAGAAGAGTCTTATCGTCCGTTCTTGATATCATCCGCGATCTTCTCAGCAAGTGCATACACAGTCGACTGGGGATGACCAGGCGGCAACAACGCAAAAGCACTTGCGTCCACAACCCTAAGGCCGGTGACACCAATGACCTTGGCTTTGCTATCCACAACCGCATCCGGGTCGTCAGCCTTACCCATCTTGCAGGTGCAGCTTGCATGCCAGACCGTCATGAGAGTATTGCGCACCGTGTTCAGGATCTGCGCATCCGTCTGCACTGTTGGACCTGGGAAATACTCGACTGTGTCAGCAAGGCCCCGCTTCATGGCATCTGTTGCAAAGGCCTGGCGAATACGCTTGTAGATTGCAATTGCAACAGACTGATCGGTGGGATCAGTCAACCATCCAGGGTCGATAGTGGGTAGCCGATCAACACTGGCGCTGTTGAGCGTGACGGAACCACGAGACAGAGGGGCAACGATGGCACCCAGGATTGAGGCATACTGGAAGCCGTCCTTGGGCTGGGTGGTGAGAAGGTTGGAAAAGTCGCCAATGTATCCGGGTGCGGAGAGGTACTCAATTTCGGGCCACGATGCAGGGAACTGATTGAGCGCGGAGGCAGCCGCAGGTGTGATCAGATTGCGAGGTGCCTTCTCCCAGGCCAGGTAGTCACAGACGGGGTTCGTGAGAGGGCCGCGCTTGAAGATGCTGTAGTCGAAGGCGAATTGAGCGCCAACATAGAGGAGGTTGTTCGCTAGCTTAGTCAAAGTCTCGACCTTGTAGCGGTAGGTGGGGCCAAAGAAGACGTGGTCCTGCATATTCTTTCCTACACCGCGGCGCTCGGCAACAATAGGAATACTGTATTTGTTGAGTTGGTCGGCAGGACCGATCCCCGACACCATGAGGAGCTGGGGGGACTGAAAGGTTCCAGCCGAAAGGATGACCTCCTTCCTCGCACTCAAGACTGAACTTGCGCCGAAGAAACCTGGAATCTGGACACCCGTGGCACGTTTGTTGCTGTCAAAGATGATCTTTTTGGCTTGGGTAAGGGAGTACACCTTGAGGTTAGGACGACTTTTTGCCGCTTCGAGGAAGGTCGTCTGGCTCGAGGCCCGTTTCTGATTGCTGGGTGTGATTGTGGAGCTGCAGTATTGGGAACCGAGGAGGTCTCCGGAATTGAAATCGTCTCTCGTTGGGATACCAATACCATTCATCCCTCCCTCCATGTAGCTTGAGAAAGGTCCAGCATAGTTGGCGTACGAGACATCGAGGGGTCCACCGCTCGCATCGAAGGCGCTTGCCACAAATTCGGCTGAAGCGTTGGCCGCGCGCATGCGAGTGTTGGGAGGGGTGAACTTGACTGATTTCTTGAAGTAGGGCAGGAGGCTGTCAAAGGTATATGAGCTGTCACCGACCTGATCTGCCCAGCGTTGGTAAGAACCTCGGTCACCGCGTTGGTAGATCATGTAGTTGCGAGAAGAGCTAAACGCAGTCAGTGGTGATCGACGGTAGTTGTTACCAGCGAACATACCTTCCACCCAAGCACTTGCCACGGGCATACTTGATTCGTCTGTTGTTGGCGCCTGCTTGAGGAGCTGTGATGAAATTCCAGTCCACAAGAAGGTTTTGGTCCGCTGGGCTAGAGCCCGACCAGAAGACATCTCCAGCCGGCGTAGAAGATAGAACCGGATTCGCAACTTGATAGAACGTTCCTGCCTCAATCACAGCGACTTGGACGTTGGTGTCTTCAGACAGTCGATTGGCAAGTGTGAGACCAGCTGTACCTCCCTGGTCCAAAGAGTTAATTGCCGTGTCATTAAACTTGACAGTGGTAACTTACACCGATGATCACATAGTCGAATTCAGCATTCTGCCTCTTCTCATTCTCTGCAACTGGCACAGCAGAGACAAGAACGGCGAGCAGGGGAATGCACCTCAGATAAGTACGCATGTCGAAGCAGTGCAGTGTTACCAAAAGAAGTAAAGTCGAAAGCAGAAAGAACGTCGACGATGCTGCACCTGCCCGGACTGCTGAGACTCCAAATATATATGCCATGTCCTTCCAAGACTTTGGTCATAATTCAGACTTTTTGATCTACATGTTCTAGGCTGTATTTTCTTTGAGAGTTTGGCGCACGGTAGAGCATAATCGCCTTGCGCAATCCAACCTGGATCGTACCTGCGCTAGCATCGATCACTGCGGGCTAGTTGCAACGGGAGTTTGGGTTCGAAGCGCTAGCGAAGAGGGAGACAAAGGGACCTGTACCCAACGTCGGTTGATCTTGCAACCGATGACGGGCTCGATCCCAGTTCCGACAACCTCCCGAAACATGCACATGTTGTCGTCAGGGTAGGCAAATTAAGCAATGTTGTCGCCAGAGATAATCACACGTCCAGAAGTTGTTGAAAATCTGCACCACCCGAGGAAGCTTTGAAGGCTTGATCGTACAGTATACCTAGGACAAGACTAGCTCGCGCCCGTAAACCTTATATAAGTCGCAGCCGACTCGAGGCTGTCATTATTACGCCATGGCTAGGGCTCCGCTGTTGTCCATTCGTTGATTTCCAACAATTATCTGTAAGAGGGTGCTATCGATTCCGCTTGCAGGGCAACTAGTACAACGCATCGGTGGTATGTGGGTGCGGGGGGGAAAGAAGATCGGTCTATCTCTACACAACGAACACCTCACTGTGGTACACTCTCTTTGACCTCGGTCAACCACATTCCACCACCACTGTGAATCTAGTCGAAGGTCCAGAATTTGCTTCAAAGTCTGGAAGACATAAATCCGGAAACACCTTCTGGACCTTACGTGCCAGGTACTGTGACCAACTCCCATTAACCTCGCGAAATGTTGTGGCGGACCATCGCAGCTCGGCCAGTCGCTTCTCCTCTTCAGACAACGGCGGAAGGTGTTCTAGTGGCAAGCGCTTCATCTCAGCATTCCAGGCAAAGTCAAAGAACAGAGGGAACGAGAACCGAGGTGGAGTGCACGGCGCGGGCCGACGAACGCGGTGGGGACGGGATCGGTAGCGGCCATGCGTGAGCTGGTCGAACATGTCGCCGACTGCTCTCGATTTAGCTTTTGACAACGGATCGGTAGACAGGAAGAGAGGAAAAATCGCTGCTTACTGTTTACTACGAAGGAGTCTTGCATGAAAGGAACATCCACCCAGCTGTCAGACGGGGAGAGAATCTTGAACATCGCCATGAGTCAGAGAGCGCAGCACAATGCTCATACCACGATGCACTAACCTGCAGGCCGGGAGAATCAACCTTGAGAATCGTAAGATATCCAAAGTCTTCAGAAGACGCTCAGTATATTTTCAAGAATGATGCAAAGCCACTAACCCGTATGCTCGCCTATGCCAAAGCTCTCTTCACGGTTTCCTTTCGCCTTGTCGAAAGCATTGTCATCGGTGGGCATGTACTTAAAGCACCGAAAGAGCACCACTGGCTCTGGTTTCAGGAAACGCTTATGGAGCTCGCTGGAACCCAAGCCCAAGCCCAGCGAGAACACGTCCGTAAGCGTTTTTCCAAGCTCGGTCACTTCATCGACGTACCCCAGCACTTGGTTCCGTAGGTCGGGGAGAATCTGGTCGGGGAATTGATTTTTGCCGTGCAGTGGAAGTCCAGCGAGCGGGTGGTTATCAGCGTGTTCGGGGCCGGCGTACAGACCCTCCTTCCAGTCAACGTGGCCGTGGGTCTGCTCACCACCAAGCGGCATGTAACCACGCCAGGCGGCGCCCCCATTGCGCACGTGGAGGGCTTCCTTGACGTCAAGAGGAAGGTCAAAAAAGAACTGCGAGCTGGAGAGAAGAGAGGACTGGGTTTGGGAAGAGACCTTGGTACCTGTGATGATAAAGAAGCCCCATGTTGAGGCTGCGGCGTGCACAGCTCGGACCACGCGCTGGGCTTCTGGGGACTGCGATCCAGCACTGTAATAGGGTGCGAGATGGATGATGGGAACGTGCTCTGCCATAGCTGGGATACAGTCGTGGTGGGGTACTGGAGCCTTGCGTTATACTCGGAACTTGTGGTCAGCTTCCCGCGGTACCCCGCGCTGTGGAGAAAGAACATTGGAGTCACGTGTTGGATGGCTACTGTATAATCTCAGCTGAGTGGGTGATAATCTCTCAGGGTTGCTCTAGCAAGGGACGCTCGCAAACAACAACCTGCAGTTTTGATTAAGTGATCTTAATTGTGTTAATACTAGCTAAGTTAATACTAGCTAACTAGTCTAATAAAAGTGTATAAAAATGTCTCCATCAACTGTTGTCGCAGCCAAACAGGAGCAAAATGTACATACATTGGTATCCCAGATTCGTCATGCTGAGTAGGCGTGTTTTGCCTGTAACAACTGTGCTTGGTTGTTTGCAAGAGTTATTAACAGACTACGTACTGAGAGAGTCATCGGCCGAGGAGCGCGCGAGGAGTAAGAATGCGCATTTATGAGTATACCGCCCATGTCTAAGTGGTACTATGTACAAGATACCGATCGTCTTGGTGACGGTGACGATGCCTCTGACCGTGTGTGTTCTTCAACGCTGGGATATGGTGCAGTGTGCTGGCGTGCTGGCGTGCGATGGCTCGTGTGTATTGCCATGTCCGTTTACGCGTGCTCAACTCTGCATGTCCAACTGTCTGTGCCGGACTTTGTTGCGGTGTGACGGTACGTCGAGTGCGGTGTGACGGTACGTCGAGTGCGGTGTAACGGTACTTCGAGTGCGGTGTGTGTAACGGTACTTCGAGTGCGGTGTGTGTAACGGTACTTCGAGTGCGGTGTGTGTAACGGTACGTCGAGTGCGGTGTAACGGGTACGTCGAGTGCGGTGCCCCGGGGCTGGACGTGCGTGTGCGTGTGCGTCGAGCGGGCCGGAGACGTGTATCCAAAAGCGTCTGGCACATGGACATGACGATCATGTCTTGCACGCAGCGTTCAAAAATCGTCCATGCTGCCCATGAAGTCATCGTCGTCCGCGTCCCTCCCCTTGGCAGCGCGCGGGCTCCAGTCCTCATCCTCTTCGACCCTGTGTTTCTGCTTCTCCTCGTTCTCGCGTTTCTTGCGCCGCTCTTCGAGGCTCTTCAGCTTGCGTATCAGGTTTGTGTCGCCCTCGCGCTCTGCAGCGGCCATGCGCACGCTCAGCGGCCGCCCCTGCATGTAGCTCTCGAGATAGCTCGCGCCGAGGGAGCTGGGATAGCCGACGCTGCCGACCTGGTTCACGTCGTCGACGCCCGAGCCGGAAATGCCGCCGACGTAGGTCTGGAAGCCGTTGTCCTCGTGCGCGACGGCTTCAGAGGCGAATGGGTCTTCGGCACCATCCATGTCGGAATATATGGAGTCTGCCCCTGCGGCGCTGGGCATGTCCTCGATCTGCATCTGGTCTGGCGGCGGGTCGAGCAAGGAACGCGTGGCGTACGAGGGCGGCGCGTAGGGCGCCGTAACCCCCGCAGCGGGGCTCGTGGGCGGGGAGTGACTGGCTGGCGTCGCAGTCGGCGCGGGGCTCGCAAACGGCGGTGCGGCGGTTCGGAGGGGGCCTGTCTGCGGTGCGGCAGTTTGGAGGGGGCTTGTCTGCGGTGCGGCGGTTCGGAGGGGGCTTGTCTGCGGTGCGGCGGTTTGGAGGGGGCTTGTCTGCGGCGGGTGCGTCAAGCTCGGCGGCAGACGGTGGTGCGGCAGACTGTGGTGCACGGCGTCACGGTGCTCGATGAAGACGGGCGCGTCCGAGGTCAGGCGCGGGTCGATCATGTCGTCGAGGCTCGCCGTCGAGGCCGTGGCCGAGGTGGTCTCGCTGCCGGGCGACGTCAGAGCGGACTCCTGGATCATATCGGTGGGCAGCACGACCTGGTCGTCGATGACGAGGGAGACGCGCTTTCGGATTCGCGGGGCGCTGCTGTGGCGCAGGGCGGACTTTTTCTTGATGCTCGAGCGGCGCTTCTTGATGATGGGTTCCGAGGCGGAGCGCTCCTTGGCGGGCGTGTCCCCGGGCATGTCGGCGGCGGCGGCGGCGGCGGCGGCGGGTGGAGGGGCGTTGCGGTGCGCGGAGCTGCTGTCGGCATGCTTGGGCGCGGGCTTCTTGTCGGGGTTCTTGTCGGGCGAGGTGAATTCGCGCGCGTCGAGCAGCGGCAGGAAGACGGGGGTGACGAGGCCGTACAGCTCTCTCTCGCGCTTGTGGACGCGGCCGTGCTTCTTCTGCTTCTTGTGCTCGTCGGGCGAGGCCGAGGCTTGTGTCGTGTCCAATGACGCCGCGCTGGAGCGTCTCGAAGCGGCGGGCGAGGCGGGCGAGGCGGTGAAAGCGGTGGCAGCGGTGGAAGCGGTGGCAGTGGTGGAAGCGGTGGCAGTGGTGGAAGCGGTTGCAGCGGTGGAAGCGGCCGCCGCAGCAGCGTCGGGGTCCTCGTCGCGTTCCATCAAACGCAGCGTCTCTACAAGCTAGGCCGCGTTAGTCGGGGGGTTCGTCGTCGCGCCCGGAAGCGTGCAGGAATGCGCGCCGTGTGCGGTGCAGTACGAAAGACAATCGCAGCAGGGCGTACCTCGGTCTCATACTGGCGCAGCTCGTCCTGCTTGCGCGCAATGTAGGCGTGGATGTCGGCCTCGAGCTGCAGTCGGCGCGCCTCGACGCTGCGGGCGAGCGAGTCCAACTGCGCCTGCGAGAAGCCTGGGACCTCGGTCGCCGCGCTCGGGGCCGCGTGAAGGTGCATGGGCGGAGGGGAGCCCGTGGGCGTGGGCGTGGTCGGTTCCGTGCCCGCGCCGTGTGCGCCAACGACGTGCAGGTGATGCGCAGACACTCAATGTCCGAAACGGCGGCTGGACGCGGCCTGTCAGTTTGTCTCTGCTCGTAACCCATCGTCGCGGGCTGCTGGCTGCGGACGTGGTGCGGGAAAGCGTACCTGGCGCAAAACGACGCATCCGGAACGCGAGTGCGCGATTATTGGAGCAGCCGAGCAGTCACAGGATGCAGCGGGCTGGATGCGGTGGACTCGAAGGAGGCACGTGGACTGGCGCAGGCTGCAAGCGTGCGCGGGGACGATTGAATAGGTGCACAAGTCACCGACAGCAGCAGTGTTGGAGCAGGGACATGGCTAGCCAGAGCAGAGACTTTGGTCCCTCTCGCCGAGGGGCTCGCTCACAAGTCGGCGGCGGCGCCCATTGCGGAACTCCGCCGACGCCGACTTCTCGCCATACGTGCCAAGCCACATTCGTAGTCACATGTAGCGTAGTCAAGCAGTTCACTGGACGTACAACATGAGCTTTTGCATACGTGGTACATGAGTGGTCGTTGTAGTCCAAGATGAGCTCTGGGATCATGAGACGGGATAAGCTCGGAGATTGTGAGATGGGATAAGCTCTGAGATTGTGAGATGGGATAAGCTCTGAGATCACGATATGAGATAAGCTCTGAGATCATGAGATGAGATAAGCTCAGAGATCATGAGATGGCTGTGAGAAGACGCAGTAACGATCACCGAGGCACTCGCGTTCGACGACTGGCAATTGGCGCCAAGCTCGTTCTGGACGGTGGCCTCTTGAAGCATGGTTTTTTTGGTTGGAACGAATCTACACACGACCCTCTCCAACACATGCACCATACGACCCTCTCCAACACATGCACCATACGACCCTCTCCAACACATGCACCATACGACCCTCTCCAACACATGCACCACACGACCCTCTCCAACACATGCACCAGCACGCGTCACTTTATGGCAGATTCTACCCTTGTGCACCACCTGGCGCCCCTCTTCTTTCCAGTCTCCGGATACGCAGGCTGCGATGGACGCCGTCAAAGTGTGGTCGTGGACGGAGTATCCATTGTAGAAGTCTGGGCTGTGGTTGAAACCTGGACCCTGGCTTCACCCCCTCGTGCCGTCAACAGACGTGCGGCAGGCGCAACAGACACTCGATCTGACAGCGTGCTACAGCGGCGGCGTCCTACCCTTGTAAAGTCTGAGTCGCCGTAAGATGACTCGCGAGCCCATGTTTCATCGCCACGTGATGTTGTTGTGGTGCTGTCATCAAGCCCCTTTGACGTGCTTGGATTCCCTCTGTCATTTGTTCATGGCGGGGGTGCCTCGACGCCGCTCGGCGCAGTCGTCCAACAGCCTAATACACGCGTCCGGCCGCGCCGCTCGGCGCATGAAAGTGAGGGGCACGACGCGGTGATGATGTAGTTGTTGATTTTCGTTGGTTGTTGATTTTCGTTGATTTCGTTGGTTGGAGCATCGCTCGAGTAAAGACATCGGGCCAATCACGAGCAGACAACGGGCCAATCACAAGCAGACAACGGGCCAATCACAAGCAGACAACGGACCAATCACGAGCAGACAACGCGAGAGCGCCTTCACCCGGCCGCTGTGCATGTTGATTGCATATTGATGGCACTAGCGCTCTCGCACAGACTGTCCCCATCTCGTCTCTGTCAACACTCCCGCCCTCCGCTGTCGCGCATCCCGCCTACCACCTCCCTCGACATTCTCTTCGCGCCCCCGTGGCTTTTCTCTTTCTGTTTCTTTTGTTCTCTTCCCCTGTGTAGTTGTGGACCGCTAGCGCCGGCCGTGTCCCCGTGCGACGCCGAGCAGCCGCTGCGTGTTCCCCTACCTTTCACGCGTCGCCGAACAGCCAAGCAACCCCTTCACTGGGCGCAACCAGGAGAGGACTCGACCGTCTGAAGCGCACAATCTTTTTGTTCGCGCTTGTTGTCCTCAAATTCCCACGGACAGACCTCTTTGACGCCTTTGTACCTTTATAATTCGACAATTGGGCCATGGAGCAGTGAGCGCCGACCCTGCGGAACACGACATGGCGATGACGGCGAATGCACCGCCAGGCGCGCTGGTGGTGGACGACTACAGCACGCTCGACCCATTCACCTCGCAAGACGGGCACAGGCAGCGCTATTCAGCCTTCGACAACTCGCAGTTCTCCCTGTATCTCAATGGCTCTCCAGCGCAGGCCAAACGGGCCCTGGAGGCACATCTCGCGGAGACCACTCGTCGACTCCAGGAAACATCGCACCTGGGCAATGCGCTAGTCCAGCAGCGCAAGGAGCTCGAGGACCGACTAAAGGACGTGGAGGGACAGCAGGCAGACGACGATATCGATCCCGATTTGCGCTTGCGCTTGGCTGAGATTGAGAAGGAGTTCAACGAGGTCGGACGGGAGACGGCGCGCGCTTTCCTGCCCAAGTCCCGCGTCCCAAGCGGCGAATCTGATCTCAATGGCGGATCTGTCTACGCCAGCGAGGCCATGAGCTCTCCCACCAAAGTCAGCGTCCCATCTCGCAAGCAAAGGAACCAGCAGCCAAACCGCATTCAAGACATCCACCTGGCTACCGAAATCTCCACGTCTTTATTGTCACAACTCAAGGAACTACAGGCCGTACTGATGGACAAGGAAGAGTCGCTAAAGGCTGCCGAGCTAGACAGGGCCAACCTGGAAATCGAGGTGGAAGGCCTCTCTCAGCGTCTGCGCGCTCTTGACGAGAGTGACTCGCGTCTGAAGGATGTCAACTGGAGCCTGGAGACCCAGGTGCGCGAATTCGAAGCCCAATCGAAATCAGCGGCGGACAAGGAAAATCGTCTCACACACACGTTGAAACTGGCCAAGTCCGAGAAGTCGAGTCTAGAGCGTGAGTTCGAGGAGCTCAAGGGCTTGTACGCAAAGTTGAATGACGATCACATCAATAGGGTCAAGCAGCACGAGACGGAACTTTCTGGACTGCGACGCAATGTGGCCATGGGAGAGGCTGAGCGCAATGCTCTTCAGCGGAAAGTCGAGGATCTGTCCACACAGAACCAGGAGCTCGCAAAGGCTGTTGCTTACCGAATGAGAGGCGACGAGCACCTCTCTCCCGAGGAAGATTCCCCGGATGCAAGCTTCCACGAGGGCGAGAGTTTGACCCCCGAGCATTCTCCGCCACCTTCCCCGAGCAAGGCTACCCCTCGTCACGGCCAGCTCGAATCCGAGACTTTGAAGCACTCCCTGCAGCACGCTCACCGCATGATTCAGCAGCTCAAGAACAACATCCATCGCGAAAAAACCGAAAAGATCGAATTGAAGCGCATGCTTCAAGACGCTCGTGATGAGATTGATGTTGCTCGCAATGAGTCCAAGCCCCCTGGCAGTGCAAGCAAGCGCAAAAAAGCTGATAAGGATGTGTTTAAGAAGCCAGCCCGACCAGACCGTCTTGGAGCGCTGAGGCAAGGCAAGCAGGAAGTTGTCATGGAACTCGACGACGAAGAGTGGGAGGAGCAAGACCTCGTTCCTTCGCCCAGTAAGCCTCAAAGGCCTCATCACTCAGTTCCCGGCGCTTTCCACAGTGGCTACGCCTCTATGACCGACACCAGCGCCAACGAAGGCTTCGAGACGGCCACCGAGATTTCTGATGCTGATTTCGAGACTGCAAATGACGACGGCACAACGACCGAAACAGATGCCTTCCAAACAGGTGCCGAGACTCTTGACGGCGATAGCAGTGACGAGTTGACCGAGACCGAGATGGCCGGATCGAACCAGGGAACCATCCGCAACAGATCGCCAGCGATTCTCCGGCGCCAGCAGAGTGGGCAGAGTTACCGAGACATGTACGAGAGCACTGCTTCAAACTCTGACTACGACTCTGAGCGGGATACGCGCACGCCTGGTAGCCACAGTCGGAATCCGTCTTTCCGCTTCCTGCGACCGACAAGCTCTCGCAAGTCTATTGCGACACCTCGGGGAAGCCTACAGGACATCTTCCATCACGGCACACCGCCAGCGACAAGAGACTCTCCTGTCAGCAACAGCAACCACAGCACGCCTGCCCAAGGCAGGAGCCTGTTCGCCGAGCTGGACGGTCTGAGCGGTGGTGAAGATACGGACAGTGCAATCGAGAGCACCCCAGGTCGATCGAGCGTTGCGTCTCCCGAGTCTTCGCCGGAGAAGAGCGTTCTCGGTAGGTCCGCTTTGCAGCGAACCATACCCATGGTGGCCATGGTCGATTCCAGCACAATGACTGAGCGGGACGTGCCGCAGCATGTGAGCGTATCCTCCATCCACAACATCCACCATGTTCGACCACAAGCTCCTCAGCCAGCTGAGCTTCATCTCTCGTCGTTGGTCAGCCAAGGTACGAACCCCGCAGCGCCACTTCCGCCACAGCTCCAGCTCTCGGCGCACGCTTTCAACCACACCGAGCCGAAGGTCGTGTCACCTCCATCGCTCAACATGTCCAGCGTCTCCGGACATGAGTCTTCGCCCAGTGCCCCTGCGGCTGAACCCCTTGCCATTTCGTCCATGTCCGCACACGACACGTCACCACAGATGCCCACAGAACCGTCACTCAGCATCTCCACCATGGAGGCCCACCATGCGCAAAACACTTCGCCGCAGCCTCCGCTTGCACCAGTCTTCGACTTCTCCTCGGTCGCAGGCCATGCCACGTCTCCGCGTGTTGTTGCTCCACCAGCCCTGGGCGTTTCCACTGTTTCTGGTCACACAACCGAGCCCCGATCTGCGCCTGCCCCGGTCTTCAACCTTTCTTCAGTATCTGGCCATGACACTGAGCCAAGGGCTATGCCTACACCCTCTTTTAATATGTCGAACGTATCTGGTCACATGACGGAACCTAAGGATGTACCGAGGCAGCAGTTTGGCATCTCAGAGGTATCGGGACATGCCAGTGAGCCGCAAAACGCTCCTCGTCAGGCTTTCAATATGTCATCCGTCACTGGACACGCGAGCGAGCCCAAGGATGCCCCGAAGCAACTTTTCAACATGTCTTCCGTCACTGGACACGCAAGCGAGCCCAAGGATGCCCCGAGGCAACTTTTCAACATGTCCTCCGTCACTGGACACGCAAGCGAGCCCAAGGATGCCACGAGGCAACTTTTCAACATGTCCTCCGTCACTGGACACGCAAGCGAGCCCAAGGATGCCCCGAGGCAACTTTTCAACATGTCCTCCGTCACTGGACACGCAAGCGAGCCCAAGGATGCCACGAGGCAACTTTTCAATATCTCTACAGTGTCCGGTCATGCTACCGAGCCACAGCATGCGCGAGCAGCGCCACTGGATCTGTCTTTGATGTCACACCAGACTACTGAGCCGGCTGAAGGTCACAGTCATGGACTTGGGTTCAAGGTCCTGGCGCCGGCTGCTTTGGTCGCATCTGGCATTGCAGCATCGCAGATGACCGAGCCGAGGGAGGCGCCAAAGTCAGTAGAAGAGGCTCGCGAAGCTAACTCAATCTCCCTCGATCGGGAGGTCAGCGAGAAGGGAGCACAAAGAGAAGCTTCATTGGCAATGTCGAGTTTCTCGGCACATTCAACCGAACCTGCCGATGTACCTCGTGCGCCATTGTCGACATTCTCGGCGATGTCTTCACAAGCAACGGTGCCCTATCACCCAAAGCCAGTGGCTCATCAACTCTCCCTGCACTCCTCGCAGGCCACGAAGCCGTCTTCGCCAAAGCCAGTAACTCATCAAATGTCTGTGCACTCGTCTCAAGCCACAGAGCCAGCCATGCCTAAGCAGGCTCTTCATGCTTTCTCTTTGCACACGTCTCAAGCAACAGAGCCTTATACCTCGAAACCGGCGTCTCACCAGCTTTCTATGCACTCTGCTCAGGCCACAGAGCCTCTCGCGCCCCGGCAGCAACCGCTACAGTTGTCGTCATTTGCGTCAAAAGCGACCGAGCCCGTTCTTCCAAAGCAGCAGGCACTACAGATGTCGGCTTTCGCTTCGAACACTACGGCGCCTGTGGTCCCCAAGCCACAATCATTGCAACAGTCGTGGTTCGCTTCGGAGGCTACCGAGCCTGTGGCACCCAAGCCAAGAGCGCCTCAGCTATCCTCTCTGGCATATCAGTCGTCTGAACCTGTCGAGGTCACCAAGGCTGCACTGCCAGTCTTCTCGCCAATGTCCGCTCAGGTGACTGATCCTATTCAGCCAAGAGCAGCACTGCCGGTCTTCTCAACAATGTCCGCTCAGGTGACTGATCCTCTTCAGCCGAGAGCAGTACCGTCGAGCTTCTCGATGTTCTCATCGCAGACTACTGACCCGCGTGGGCCTCCAAACCAGGCTTTGCCCGAACTGTCGCTCGTCACCGCTCAGCACACGCAACCTCTCCACCCAACTGTAGCCGGGTCAGGCTTCTCAGACGTCAAGATCGTGCGAAGTGACGAGCCCGAGTCTCCCACGGTACCTGCTTTCCTGCCGACCCCCCGCAGACCGTCTACGGCAAACCACGTCGTCGCTCCCGAGCTGGCTTTGTCCGATCTGTCGATACTGCACAGCGAGCCATCACGACCTGTCACTGCGCACCGGACTGGTCCCACACCGCAGACGCTTGACTTTGCGCATGCGACACAGCCATGGGGTGAAGACAAGCATTTGGACTATGACCGCACATCTCCTCACGACCGAGCCGCTCGCAGTCTGCTTGCCCCTATAAGTACCAATGCGGTGCAGAAGCCAACACGTTCGACAATGGCCGATGGTGGCACACAGACCATGGTGTCCGCGGAGCAGATTGACAAGCTGCTGCTCGCTCGTGGCAGCAACAGACAGCCTGGAACCATTGCGACAGCTGACGTTGATAAGTCTTTGTCACCACCTCCCTCGCCTAGCAGGAGGCACTCAGGTGAGCGTGTTCCTCGCCGCCCTGGCAGTTCTGGCAGCATACGCTCGCGCGCTGCATCTCCGCCGCCTCTACCCGCCGACCACAAGCAGGTCATTGCCGCGGCGGCTCTCAAGCAGCCTCTTGTGCCAACGACGCCTGGCGGAATGGGCCCGCCAGTTATGCCTGCTTCAGCTTACAAGAAACCTTCTACCCCCTCGCTGAGGACTGGCACAGCAACACTGACGCCCAATCGTGCTGGCGGAACCACACCGCGCGCACGTCGCCGATCCACCAACCGCAGCGATGCTCGTAGCGGAGCTTCGTCGCCGATCAGCCGCCGCTCATCAATCTCTTCGTTCACGTCTGAGGTTGACCAACGCTTCAACACAGCAGGCGGACCTACATTCGCTCCACCGGGCTTGCTACCAGGTGCGACTGATCCTCGCATGATCCAAGCCATCACACAAACCATGATCGGCGAATATCTCTGGAAGTACACTCGCAAGACAATGGGAGGCGGCATGTCTGACACACGTCATCGCCGGTTCTTCTGGATTCATCCCTACACAAGGACGCTGTACTGGAGCGATAAGGACCCCCAAACAGCCGGAAAGACGGAGCTCAAGGCGAAGAGTGTGGCGATCGAGGCTGTTGAAGAGGTCGAGGATCTCAATCCAATGCCCCCGGGTCTACACCAGAAGAGCCTGCTTGTCTCGACTCCGGGCCGCTCCATCAAGTTCACAGCTGCTACAAGCAAGCGCCACGAGACCTGGTTCAACGCACTCAACTACCTCTGTCAGAGGGTAGAAGAGGGTGCGGAGCAGCCTGTACAGAGACCACCCGAGTCCCCAGTCACGAACGAAATTCAGGACGAGTTCAATGCTGGGTACAGGAGCTCGTCGCGTGCGACTGGTCGGTCGAGAGCCTCTGTCACATCCCGCATGAGCCGGAACACGACTGTGAGTCGTGACGAGGTCCCTACGCTTCGACAACACCACGTCACACCCCAGCGCGCATCTTCCACTGAACCTGGTCAGACAAGCTCTATGAGCGGTCGCTTTAGCAGCTTGCTCAGACCAAATTCTGTCATGCGAGGCTCCTTTTCGAGCCGCCGGAGCCGGATCGACGAGAACACGTTCGACGAGCCAAGCACGGCCACCATGGACCTGAGCCGCGAGATCCACGATCACGTTGAGCGTGATATTGAGGGCATGGTCAATGTTCGGGCATGCTGTGACGGCAAGCATGATGTAGCGCATCTGCACATGCACTCGATGAAGCATCGACACAACAGCAACGGCACGGTGAATAACCGGCCATCATTCATTGGTTCTTTGACTTCACGGTCGAGCTCACGCGCGGATACCCGTGCGGAATCGCGTACGGAATCGCGAACCGAGTCAAGGACCGAGTCTCGCACGGAAGCCCGGAACGACAGGATACGGCACCACAATGACTTGGAGGCTTCCAATGTCAGCGCCGGTGGTTAAACTCCTCCCCCATATCCCACTACCTTCCTACCTACCTCTTAGTGCTTGTTGTACAACATGCACAATCCATAGTCGTTTAATCTGACTGACAGTCTTCATTTCCTTAGTTATCAGTGTCAGCAATCATTGCGGAATCCGTCGTCTATTTCCTATGTGTGTTTTCATCGCCGTTTCCGCTTTTGGACTTTGTCTCGAGGCTTGGGTGCGCCCGAAGCAGCAGATCGAACTAGATTGCAGGTGGAAGAGCATCTGGACGCAAGTTGTCAATTGGAGGGATAAGATTGATGTGGGATACAGATGGTATGGCGATGTGCCGAGGACGCGCACCTAATGACTCTCCTTTCCCTAGACCACACCTTTACTCTCAACTCTTCACCGATGCACATGTTGTCAATAATGTCTTTCAGCGCGCATGGAACTGGCGCATGTCGATTGTGGACAGAAATCAAGAAACGTTTAGATTGGAAGCTTGGATCGTTCGACATGATGTGCAGTGTCTGCCATGTGCTGAGTAGTCCAGACTTGGTCGCAAGATGTTCCCCACGGCAACACGCGTAGTTAGAGAGGTCCATGCACGCTTGCGGCTGAACGCCAAGAAATGACGGATTGTCTAAACTTTTCCGTCGCGACGACTACAACCCACAAAACCCAACAATAACGACACGATCTCTCAAATCGACGTAATCGAATCCCTTCACACGACTGCTGGCAGGAGTACTTCGACGAACCACGTTGCGCACGAACCACTTGAAAGCCCTCGCACACCTCAACACGACCGCAGCAGCTCTACTCGCCCAGCGCAAACAATCGCGCACGCCGCTCTACGCCCTCCAACACCCACAGGCATACAAATCGCACATCCTTCATCATGGCGCGTAATTCAGAGAAGGCGCATTCGATGCTGTTCCGCTTCCGCGCCGCACAAGCCGCCGAAGCAGGCATCATCGACATCTCGCGCACGCGCCGCCCAAAGCTGATCACATCCGTGACGTCGATCCCCGTGTGCGAAAAATGGCGCGGCCAGGTGCTCAAGGAGATCAGCCGCAAGGTGACCAAGATCCAGGACGAGGCGCTGTCCGACTACCAGATCCGCGACCTCAACGACGAGATCAACAAGGCCATGCGCGAGAAGTACATGTGGGAGAAGCAAATCAGAGATCTGGGCGGTCCGAATTACATGCGCGGCGGGAGAGTGCTGGACGAGGAGGGTAGAGAGGTGCCTGGTGGTGGGAAGGGGTACAGGTATTTTGGGCGCGCGAAGGAGCTGCCGGGCGTCAAGGAGCTGTTTGAGCGGCAGGAGAGGCCCGAGGATGACGATGGTGCGCGCAAAGGCGGTGAGAAGCGGAGCGAGCTGAGGCAGAAGGTGGATGCTGGGTATTACGGGTACAATCTCGACGAAGAGGATGGCACATTACTGGCGTATGAGGCGAAGAAGGAGAAAGAGGCCTGGGACAGCTTTCTGGCTCTCCCGGACGATCTCGATCTGAAGCCGGGTAAGACGCAAAGGGACTGGATTGAGCTGCCGGGTGATGCGGGAGATGGCGTGCGCTGGCACGTGCCGACACTCGAGGAGGTCAACGATGAGTTGGTCGAGCGAAGAAGGCGGAGGCTGCTTGAGAAGCTGGGCTGATCAATCGCTTATGAGCTTGGGTGGCAAGGCGACTAGGACGCTTGTAATAACACGATCGTATGAGGCAGAGTGCAGTACCACTCACGCATATGACTATGCAGCCATTCTATATCCAGTAATTGGGAGGGTACGAATACCAGCACTCACCATGTAATGAGATACATGAATGTATTTCGTGCTACGTACTATCATGAGAAATCAAAATTGGCGAAGGGCTGCCTCGAACGATGCAAAACACAGGATCCAGGAGAAGATATCTCATCACTTTCCGGGCTACCTGTCCCCACTCTTGTTGACCATAGACCAGACTATATCCACCTATTGCCAGCTGCTATGGTCTTTGATTGGGCGCATGCGACCAATGAGAGGTGACGTGGAGCAGGCTCAATTCTAATACCTCTGCCGCAAGAACGCTCGTCTCGCACCTCCGTAGATTGCAAGTTTCTGTGCTAATACAATAGCAGCCTACTTGAGCACCATGTGGCATGCATGTTCATTACAGATTTACACTCCAGAGGGCCACCTCGGGCTTTCCTACATCTCTGCATCCGTCTCCTACAAGCGCATGACATGCGACTCGACAGTGGACTCTGACAGTGACTAGTCATTCCTGAGCCAGCCCTCTTGAGGAACATACAAGCATTCCAGAATAAGTGTGGTTGTCAGCCTTCCTATGACACGCCTGCCAATCGATCGAACGCCCTGGAGCTTTGCAGACATGCAGGACAAAGTGTTGATACCATTGCGTAGCGTTTCGACACATAAGCACAATACCAGCATATGCCCCGCGTCAACTCCGCTACCATGAACCCAATCGGTCTTATTCGTCTCATTCCTCGAGATGATCCCGCAGCATTCCAGTTTAAACTGTGCATTCTTCAAGGCGAAAAGTCCGTAGTACCCCGCACGCACAGAGTATAGAAACCGGCGTCTATTTCTTCAACTGTCCTGTATCTCCATCACTGCAGCCGTAAACTTACTCGACACCGATCCGCACCACAGAACCACCGTAATCCATCATGCGTCTCTCCTGCAGCCTCGTCCCCGTCTCGCTGACCCTGCTCAGCGCAGTCTCGGCGTACAACTGCGGAACTACGATCATCAACCAGCTACCGAACATCGGCCTTGGTCTGAACTCTGGAATCCTCGGCAAGACTCTTGCACGCACGCCAGTGTGCTGCAAAGAGCCCGGAACAGTGATCCTTGGAGTCGACGACAACTGCCGTCGTATCAATCGTGAGTCGTACTGCAATGAGTAACCCAAGTACAGCTACTGACTGGCTCTAGCGGCTCTCCGGAGCGGCGCGACGTTGTTCACGTTTCGCAAGAATTGCGCGGAGAACGTGGGTGGCGGGCGCAAGGCGACGTGCTGCTATGCGCCGACTGGCTTGGTTGAAACGGCTGTGAGTAACCGTCCACACGTTGCCGATTAGTTGCTAACAGTATCTCAGTTCTTGAACTGTGACACGGCCCTGCCGAATAACTAGTTCACGGTCTGATCTAGTATCGATCACACAATAGAATGTCGACGAGGACAATCCTTTTCCAATGTGTCACAGCGCTTGAGACTACCAAGAGATGCTGCATAGACCTACATCTTGTGGAAGTTTTAATAACCAAATCTGGTGCTGCATGGCAGGTGAGGATCAAGCCGATGTCATGCTGTAACGCGTCAAAGGTAGGGTGCCGTCGCTATGAGTATCATCGCAGTCATACGGGGACCTGAGAAAGCGGAGCAAAAAGGAACAAAGACCGGGACACATATCGACCAAACGGTAAGACGGAAACGATGGTGTTGGCAAACGTTGTCTCTACGCAAAGCGGCTGACAAGCGCTGGCTTGCAAGAGATATTCCCAAATACTTTCCATTGACGCACCCTTGATCCCAATCCAGCACCTCACGCCAACCACCGCTCGTCCAAGTCCTCCAGGAACTGGGCGTCAACCCCCACAAAACTGCGCCAGAAATCCACCTCCAGCCGCCACGGCCTTGTCTGCACTGCCCACGTGACGCCCTCGCTGAACCTCCTGCACTCCTTCTGATCCGTGCCCATGACCACCACAAGGTCCCTGGCGACCCAGACCTGCGCGCCCCACACGGACGCGTACGGCTGCAGCCGCAGCGACAGCTGCTGGTGGACGCTCCACTCGCTGAACGGCATGTCCTTGGGAATAAACTTCCAGTCCCAGCAGCGGCCGCGGTCGTCGAGGAAGGCACATAGCGGCCGCTTGTCGATGCCGAGTATGAGTGGGTAGAAGTGCGGCGCGGACCAGAGGCGGAGGACCGAGAATCTGGCGTCCGGGTGCGATTTCGCGAAGGCCTTGGTTTGCGCGATCACGTGCGATCGATCGAGCGGTGTCGGGTCCTGCAGATGCGATGCGAGCTGGACCAACGGCAGCCCGCGCCGGTAGTCGATGTACATGTCCATTCGTTGTCCGGACGGGGCGTGCGCGGTCGCGAGGCCTGCTGCTTGGCCGCTGTAGGAGGCGCAGAGGACACCTGCCTTGAAGACTAGGGGCTCAGCAAGTGATTCAGAAGTGGAGGGGGATGCTTACGTTTTATGATGACGGGGCGCAGGGCTTTGCGCCAGGCCATGGGGTAGATGTCGGTGACGGGGTCGCCAGGGGATTTATTGTGCTGCATTAACAGATCGTCCCAGGGCTTCCAGAGATCTTTCGGCAGGGATCTATTGCTTTGGTGAGTTCGGCGATCGGGGATGTGCCGGGCGCGCTCACTCTGGTTGAGCAGCTTTGTGGCTCGCCAGGGTATGCCGTGCTCGGATGCGAGGAACGCGTCGCCATCGAAGAAGACTGCAATGGATGCATAGGCCCTAAAAGCATCGTCGACAATGCGGCGTTCTTCACGGAACATGTCGGCCATGCGCAGGGATTTGCAGAGCTCGAAGGGTCCAGGATTGACGGATTGGGACATGATGTAGTCGTCCATAGCATCGATCATATACTTGTGCTCGACATAGCGCGCAAGCGCATGATGCTCTGTATCTCCAACGTGGAAACTTTGTTTGAACACTACGCTTGTTAGTCACCAGTGTGTTCGAGCCCATCACGGCGATGACTGACCTTTACTCTTCTGGCGGTCCAGATGCCGAAAGAAGTCAGCCTCCATGCTCGCGGGACTATCGTCATATTCCTGCTGCGACCGCAGAGCAAAACGACAAGCCCACATGAGCTCTGCTGGATTCGTCCTGACTGACTTTGGTAGCTTCTGAAGCGTCTTCGAACTCGGATCGCGCAAAGCTGTTATGAAGTAGTCGGGCTCCCTCAACGCTAGCGACCTAAAATGCTCGCTGAGAAAGTCTATTGCTTCGTGAGTATCATCGTCTTCTCCGAGTGATATGTCAGTGTCTAGAGCACATTCAGCACCAGCCTCGCTCTCATCCTCCCACTCGGAATCGTCATCATCTTCGACTTCGCCGAGATCGGTACCGCCCGAAGATTCGATTTCTTCATCTGTGTCGAGGTCTTCAGCGAATCTTCGAATGTCGATTGGATCTTTCTCGAACATCTCCATCGCGCTGGGAACTCTGTAGTAGAGATCGTCGGGTAGCAGTCCAGCGTTCTCGAGCGGGAATAAGATCGCGTCTTCCAACTCGTCGGCTTCTGTGTATTTGTAGCTGTCCTCGAAACCCTCTTTCGTGGAACCATCCTGGGGCGACCACGACCACGCTCGAGCATTCTTATCGAGCCCGTCCCAGATGCTCTGTACCTCTTCGTTTGGCTTGATGCTGCGTACACGCTCTGTAACCGGGTCCTTGGTGAGAGTCCTAAGGATCGGTCCGGCAGTAGAGAACATGTCTTTGAGTTCCCGCACTCTCATGGCACGCGTGAGGACTTCCTCGATATTCCTTTGCAGAGTGAAGAAAGAGCGACCAGGGCTGGAGTCCCAAATATAAACATCATAAAACTCTTCGAAGCCAAAGTGCCACTTGCGAGACTTGTCCATAGCCTCGAAAAACGTCGGCCCAATCTCTCCAAGGACCTCGTACTTGTTCCTGCTAGCCCTACCCCAGCCGCTTTTCTCGCGAAGCAGCCACAGCTCGTTTTCAGGCGGCGAAATCAGGATGCGACCTGTCTTAGCGTCGCGAACGAGTGCGCGCAGCTGCCAGGTTTCCATGGCGAGGTACTGGATGAAGCGACGGCTGACAGGATCATCCCGCTTGATGTGTCCACATATAAAGTTCCTCATCTCTGTGTGTTGATGCGCTCGACGGGTCATCCCACGACTACCCGTCTGGAAGTAGTTTGTGACCGACTCTGCCTTATCTGCGTGGAAGTACGGTATGAAGCCTAGCTGGAGTAGTTGCTGGCGGGCCGGATCGCCAATGAACTTGGTCCACTTGGGAGCAGGAAAGTAATGGTACAGGCAGAGGATGTTCAGCTCGAAAAACTCGTTCCAGTTGCGGCAAAGCTCCACGGCGTCGAAGAGATCCGAGTCTTTGGCGATGATTGAGAAGTGATGCCAACCGCCACGAGTAAGGGCCTTCTCACTGGGATAGTTGTACATGTATCGCCCGCAGATCTTGATGCGGGTTCGCTTGCGAGTGTACTGACTTTCGTCTGTGATTTTGCCAAAGTCTACAGCGCTTTCGTTCTCCGAGAAGGGATTCGTTTGCTTCTTGCTGGCATCCATTGCGGATCTCTCGCGCTTGGTCTTGTAGTTGTCGGGCATCCTGCCTTTCTTGAAGTTCAGGCGATACTTGTCTGGGGCTCTATGTGTGGCGGGACATTCATCGGCTTCCTCTTTCTCATGGGGCTCTTCGAGATCTTCTACTCCATCTCTGTCACGAATAAAGTCAGCGCAGGCATCGCGGACATCCTGCAGCACCGGCCGCTCTAGCTTCAGGCAGAGATCACGGAGATGTTCGCGCGTGACCTCTTCCTTGCCGATGAAGTCCTCGATACTTTCGGCCTTGAGCGCGGCCGGTAGCAGGGTCGATTGCGCGAGCAATAACCGGCAGAATAGGAAACTCTTGATCTCAGTCACTTCGTCCAAGATCTGCTCAATCTCATCGGCTGGGATGGCCGGCGTCTGAGCATCGAAGCCTGTGGGCCCACTTCCGTGTGCGTACAAGCCTGTGACTCGCTGGAATTCTACAGGCTGGCGGAGTCGTTCTCGCATCTGACTTCTGGTTTCCATCCCAATTACCTTCGCGCCTCTCCCCTCCTGGTTTCGCAGCGTGGGATCTGCCAGCTTCTTTGTCTCTGCATTGGCCTTTTTTACCCTCTTCTTAGCGCTCTTCGAGAGAGCCTTCAAAGAAGCAGCTGGCTCAGAAGCGCCGTCCACTTGAGTAACGACGGCCTCGGTAGACGCATCTTCCGTGGCATCGTTGGGCTCCTGGTCTTTGAGCATGAGGAAGTACTTGATGAGCTCTGCATAGTTGTCTCGCTCATAGCCGTAGACGTCCTTGATCGGATCCCAGTCGTCCTGCTCTTCCTCAGACACGTCGGCAAGGCGTTGTCGGTGAGTGTCGTCTAGATATTGCTCTTGTTGCCTTGCCGCCTCTCTAGCCTGCACTTCTCGCTGCTGTCGCCTGAGCTCTTTTTGATGGCGCTGGAACAGTAAAGATTCGAGCTTGACTTTCTTGGACTCAGTCTCTCCTTCCATTTCTTCTTTGGCCTGCGTCGCCTTGATCCAGTCGAACCACTGCTGTTGCTCGTACATGACGGTGGCTGCGCGCCTTCCGAGCTTCTCGAGCGCTTTGGTAATATTTTGCTTGTCATTAAGGAGCTTGTCGAGATATTTCTGGTGGCCATAGTCGTTGTCGATGGCGAAGAAATGGCTGTGATGCAGCTTGCGCGCTCGGATGACGCGGTCCAGCAGTTGGAATGTTTTGAATAGATAGTCATGCAATTGTCTCAGCGTCGCCTCATCGTTGATGTCTGCATAGTCATGCGATACTGTAGATCCCTTCTTGCCGATGTAGTACGATGGCTGATCGCTAGGTAATGAGTCAAGTTCTGCATTGCGCTTCTTGTATCCGCGATACAGAGCTGGAAGTCGTGAGAAGGTGTGCAAAAAAGGTGTGCAAAAAACCAAAATAGCTTGCTTCGTTGGCTGCTACTTGTATTGAGATTCTGACAGTCGCTCACCTTGACACTGACGAGAATGGAATGCGCACAAACGCCCATCAGCAGAGGTTGCCTCCTTGTCGCAGGCAGTCTGCCCACTGAGGTCAGACAGCAGCCGCGCACGACAGATTGGAGCCATTGTGACGGCAGATTAGAAAATAGAAAGAATGAGGGTGCTGAACAAGATGGAATAATTATCGTGTTGGATAGGATGAGTACTGCGGCACCCCGCGCACTAATACGGTACCGGCACCGGTAGTCTGGCTAGGGTCGTCAACCTTAAACCTAAACGCGTGGTCTCGTGATGTTCGAACGGTTCGACGGCCCACTGTGAGATGATGGTCTTTGAGACTGCACATCCACACAGCGCCCGAGCCATGATCCTGAGCCGTGATTCAGAGTCCTCGACAGTCCTCGGCAGTCCTCGGCAGTCCTCGACAGTCCTCGACAACCCCATTAGATCACAGGACGTTCGGCATCGCGCTGAGTTGCGCCACGCTCGAGGCTTTGGAATTGACTGTCAACTTCCTCTGCTCATGGGTGGATGATGCTGAGACTGCTCTACCTTCTCGTCTGGGTCAAGCCTGGACCCTTTTCACGCTACGCTGGACATCATTGAATATTCGTCCGGTCATGAGAAGTGAGCGCGCCGTGGCTGGGCTCGAGTGGCGTCAGCAGAGCCGCACGATTCCAAGTTAGCGGCACGCCGAGCTTCCCCGGATTATAGATCAACCCTCATCCCATGGAACATTCTCCCACAGCAGCAAACGACATTACCAGCGCCTCCCCTCCTTCCTCGGCCCTGCCCTCCTCTACACTCGCACACACACACCACACACACACTACACACACACCACACACGTGACGATGGCCGACGCACCGATAGTCAAGTTCAAAAAGCGCGGCGCAAAAGCCGCACCGCGCAAGCCAGCAGCGCCACCACCCTCGGACTCGGATTCCGCGTCATCTGGCTCCGAGGCCGAAAACGAAGACGGCCGCGTCGTCAAGCGCCGCAAGACGACCGCCAGCGCGCTCAGAGCCTCGACTGCGGCCCAGAAACGCAGCGCCGGGGGGGTTGAAGGCACAACGCAATACGCCGCCAACCGCTCGGGCGAGATCCAAGCCAACTCTGACGCGACCAAGCAATCGAACTGGTTCGAAGGCGAGAGCCCCGCGCCATCGGCAAAAGAGCTGCTGGGCAGCACGCGCGCGTTATCCTCGAAACAGCCGACATTCGTGGAGAAGCCCGCCGACGCGCCGCGCAAGGCGCTGGGCCCGCAGAAGGGAAGCAGCAACGTGCGGACCATCACGACAACCGACTACACGCCCGACGTGTGCAAGGACTACAAGCAAACGGGCTTCTGCGGGTTCGGCGACAACTGCAAGTTCCTGCACGCGCGCGAGGACTACGCGGCGGGGTGGAAGCTGGACCGGGAGTGGGAGCTGTCACAGCTGGGGGGCAAAAAGGGAAAAGCAACGGGGACAGTCGTGGCGAGCGCGAACCGCGGTGCCGACAATGGGGATGCGGGCGCAGACGCTGTGGATCTCGCGCTGCTGGAGAAGATACCGTTCGCGTGCATACTGTGCAAGGCGCCGTACAAGAGCCCGATTGTGACAAAGTGCGGGCACTACTTCTGCGAGCCGTGTGCGCTGAAGCGGTACCGGCGCGATCCGACGTGTGCGGCGTGCAGCGCTAAGACGTACGGCGTGTTCAACGGCGCCAAGAATCTGGCGCGGTTGCTAGAGAAGAAGCAGAAGTGGGAGGATAGGAAAAAGGCCGAAGCCGAGGCCGAGGCGGCGGAGAATGGCGACGAGTAGAGAGGCTTTGTAGTCTGTAGTACTTGGAGAAGCTCTGATCAGGCTCATGATACCCACCAATTCGAGACTGTTGACCGCTGGCGCCGGCAATGCTTGCCATGATGCTTCGATTGATGCAGCTATCTATCCTAGTCCCGTCTCACGCCACAAGTATGACTCCATGTCTGATCTCGGGTATCGCTAATCCGATGCTCCGCTATCTATGCCGTTATTCAAACTCCCTCTGCTCGTCCAGAGCCACCCTGTCGTCCCTCGACCCGCGCTTGCTCCGGGTCCTGGAACTGGGGGGCGTGTCCTACACTGTTCCGATCGGCACGCCGAAGTTGAGCGGCAGCGTCTTCTTCAGGATGACACCGTCGACACCCGGCGCCTCCGAGACGCGCGAGTCTGCTGAGCCTTGCCTGCTAAGCGGCGGCCCGTCCTCTGCTGCGCCGTCCACGTGCTGCTGCTGCTGTTGCTGGCCGGCCTTAGCGAGTGCCGCCGCCTGTTCCTGGGCGACTTGGCTGAGTCTGCTGTCCAATGCGCTGAGCAGTATGTTGTCTTGCGCGCCGCCGCCGGGGTTGGGAGCAAGCGTCAGAGGCCCTGTGAGTCCGACATCTTCCTGGGACATTCTTGACGGACTGACTTCTCCTGGTTGCAGTTCCTCATCGCGCGCTGCGTCGGCCTCCTCGCCGACGTCTTGCTCGACGATCAATTCGTGCACTGGTAGCGACTGGAGCTTCTCTGGTACCATTGGCTGGATGTCAAGCCGACCGGGCGGCTGCCTCTTGAAGATGTTCTCCTTGAACCTATCGCTCGGAGATCCGACGTACAGCGGTGTGTGCCCCGCGAACCGCCTGTTGGCCTCGGGCAGCGGCGACAGGACAAGCGCAGATGGCGGTGGGGACACAGGCACTTCATCGTCGAGCGCTTCGACGGTTGCTCTCATCTCCGGTGATGGCATATCGATATGGGCCACAAAATTGGGGCGATTCTGGCGCCTGGCCAGCAGCGGTGATGTTGACATGGTCGACACGTGATTCCGCGCCGGCCGGTTCGACGGTGGTGGCGTCTGGGGCTGTCCTCGCTGTTCTGCTGGTGATATGGATGCAAGGTCGTCAACACGCTGCTGCTTCTTGCTTGTCAATGGCTCGTCTGGCGGTGTGCTTGTATTTGGAAACGCAGCTGGAGAACAGACATCTGGACGAACAATGTTCTTTTGCATCAGCCCCGCCCACTCAGTCTGGGTAGAAGCCTCGACGTAGTTCGCCATGATGGGAGCGCATAAACACTGCAAGCGGTTAGCCTGTGACGCAAGAGCTGGGCTTTTGAGGGTAAGGGACCGACCTAGCGGGCGCTTGACCTGATTGCCGAACAAAGCCGTGGCTCGGTCTCGGGCGTCGCGCGGTGATTGCTCGCCGGTCGCGTGGGAATGTCTCAGCGAACGTCGTAGAGATGGATGTTGTTTGACGCGACAGAGTAAGACTGCGGGGGTGGAGAGTAGGAATGCGGGCGACGGACCGCCGCGAACACATGTCGTGTCAAAGAGCGATCTGCGGCAAGGGCCCATGCGGTGAAGAGGAGGGAGAAGCGACTCGCATCACCGAACACGTTACCGGGCAGGAACGCCCGCGTACCTGAGCCGGGCCACTGTTTCGCAGCACCTCGGCCGGCCACGACAGCGGGAGCCATGCATCCCAAACATGGCGCTCCTAGTTTGTCCGCTCCATGTCCGCTCCAAGCTGTCCCCTGTCGTGTTCTTGGCCTTGGCCGTGTTCAAGCCACACACGGCACGGTGGATCTGCATGTCATCATGCAAGAGGAGGACCCATCTTGGCCGCCACGACCCCTCACAGCACACAACACCGCAAGATGCCTGTCCAGTGCTCCTGGCACGGCAGCACTCATCACACCTAGGGATCACGCCAGCGCAGCAATCGCTTCTGGAAACAAGTGCCTGTCGACGGCACAACCACGGTCCGAGCAGTCGTCAGGACGTTTTGGAATCCTTCCCGTCTCGCCCGCCACGAGGAGGGGTATGACCAACTTTTGCAACTTTTGAGCCCTTACAAGTACAAGAGGACTCCTGGGACGTGGACTCTGCTCTTCTCTCATCTTCGCGTGAATAGTCGTCCGAGATTCAAGCTACCCAACCCTGGCATAGTGCCGATCACACGGCTGAATCCGGGAAGCTGGAGTATAACTATAGACAAACCCATGTGCGAGGTGACTGGTCTGGATGGAAAGCTCTCGAAAGCCTACCCGCCAACGGTCTCGTACGTTGTGTTTGCGCTGAAGTCGTTGGTGGTCGGTTGAGGCAACCAGAAGTAGCCCAGGATGGTCCACTTATTCCACAGGTCGAAGAGCCATACCAAACAGCCGGAGCCAAAGCACGTAGTGGAGCAGACGCTATCGCCGGTCCCTGAGAAGCCTGCCAAAGAAGTACGAGAAGACTGCGATCCCGTCGCGTCTCCAACACGTCTGGTCCGCGATGCTGCAAGAAGATCCAACCCAGCCAACCCCATGCTGGCCAGCATGCCAGCGTCAGAGGAAGCCTTGCCAGACTTTCCGACGCCAGAGATATCAGCCGTGCCGCTGGAGGGCAAGCACGGCGCGAAGATGCACTACACCTACTACCCGGCGTCGGCAGCACCGAAACTAGGCCACAACAACCCCTTCTCGCAGTCGCTGATCGTGTTCCTGAACGGCCTTATGCTCCCGCGGAGCTCGTGGGACCAGAGCATCAACGCGTTCCTCGAGAAGCGCGTGCAAGCCGGCCTCCCCTATCCCGCACTGCTCAGCTACGACCGCCTCGGACAAGGCGACTCAGACCGCGACCCCAGCGACCCCGACCCCCGACCCTGCCACGGCCACGACATCATGTCCGCGGTCCGCGACCTGCGCCAGTTCACCCTGCAGATATGGACGGAGCACCTAGCGCGCGCCAGCCCCTCGCAAGCGCCATGCCTGGTCTTTGTGTGCAACAGCATCGGCTGCGCCATCGCGCGGCTCTTCGCGCAGACCTACCCCGGCACCGTCATCGGCCTCCTGTTCCTCGACAGCATCGTGGCCAACTCGGACTACACCGACATCTGGCCGGACCCGGACGCAGCAGGATTCGACCCGCACTCGCTCCCCCCCGGCGTAAGCGCAGACGACGTGCGCACCACGCGGGCAAAATACAAAGCCATGTTCCACCCCGACGTGGCCAACATGGAAGGGCTATCGCGACGGAACCTCGCCGCGCTACTCCCCGACGCCGACGCGCCGGCGCTCGAGGGCTGGGGCGGCTCGGGTCCGTACCTGACCGTCGCGGGGCACGACTGGGAGACGTTTGCGGAGCAATCCCGTGGGTCCCCCCCAAACTCAACCCCCCTCCCTCCCCAACCCTAGATAGCTAAGCGGCTAACGAATTGTCGCGACAGACCACGGCGCAGCGCACACCCCGCCCGTACTAACAATGACGTATCTCAATCCCGCGTGGCAAGCGTACAACACGTCGCTGACGCGCATCACGGACGAAGGGCGTGCGATTGGGCCGCTGATCGCGCTGAACAGCGGACATTTTATTCAGAGCGATAGTCCTGGGTTTGTGGCTGAGGAGTTGACTTCCCTGCTGGACCGGGTTGTGAATCGTGTTGAGCAGGTTAGCGAGCGGGTGAGTCTTGTCTTCTCTTTTTCACGAGAGGGTATTTGTTCTTCTCTTGTTCATGAGAGGGCATTTGTTCTTCTCTTGTTCATGAGAGGATGTGTGTGGGTGTGGGATTGGATGTTTTTGGGCGAGTGCTGACACGCTGATAGACGCCGGAGATACGGAGGGAGATGATCCCGTGTAGTGCTGATTATGCTGTTTATAGGCCGGATGCTAATGACTACGTGTATGGCGGCGAGATGTAGTGTGTTGTGATGCTGGAGGATGCCGGCGAACAGATGGAATTCGCGTGCTCCTTTTGTTTGCAGACATGCACAGGCCGGCGAACAGATGGAATTCGCGTGCTCCTTTTGTTTTGCAGACATGCACAGGCCGGCGAACAGACGGAATTCGCCTGCTCCTTTTGTTTTGCAGACATGCACAGGCGACACGGTCATGGTCGAGATGGAGACGGAGATGGACGTGCGTCATGGGACGAATTCACTTCTCATTGTTCATTTTTGATTCTTCGAGGCGCGGATGGGATGCGAGTGGTCAAGCGCTGGTCATGTCATTGTAACTCTTCTCAAGCGCTGGTCATGTCATTGTAACTCTTCTCGAGCGCTGGTCATGTCATTGTAACTCTTCTCGAGCGCTGGCCATGTCATTGTAACTCTTCTCGAGCGCTGGTCGTGTGATTGGAACGCTCCTGCTCATGCAACTCTCGTCGTCGTCGTCGTCGTCGCTCCCTTGTCCTCAAACCGTCTAATCGTCATTATCCCAGTTCCCCTGCTGCGCCTTGCCCGGCATCTTCGGGCCGCCCGCCTGCCGCGCGACAATGATCTGGTCGACGCTGAGCACGGTGCGGGCCGCCTCGGCGGCCAGCTTGACGGCCCAGCTCTTGCTAACCCACAGGTCGAGAATACCCGCCTGCTTGGCGTCGAGGGTGCCCGTGTTGTCGTCGTTCTCAATGTCGACGCCGACGGTCCACTCGTCGTCCTTGTTGCCCTTTTGCGCGCCGTGCGCAACGTACAGGCGCGCGAGGACCTCGGTGGCGTCCAGACCAGCCGACTCGGCGAGCGTGCGCGGGATGACCTCAAAGGCTTCGGCAAACTTGCGGATCGAGTACTGTGCGAGGCCGGGGGTCTTGTCGGCGATGGTCTTGATGCGCTCGATGAGCTGCATCTCGGTGGCGCCGGCGCCGGGGACGAGGCGGGCGTCGCGGGTAATGGCCTTGACAACGTTGACGCCGTCGTCAATGGCGCGCTCCACGTCGTCGAGATGGTTCTGGGTGGCGCCGCGGAGGACGAGGGTCGCTGTGCGCGTCTGCTCGTTTTCCTGGCGGAAGACGGTGACGCGGTCGCCGCCAATCTCGAGCGTCTCGACAACGTCGATAGCGCCCATTTCGTCGGGCATGGGGGCGCCGAGACGGGCCAGCGGTGTGGCGCCGACGACGCGGCACAGTCGACGCAGCTCAAACTTGGAGAGGATCTTGATGGTGAGCATGTTGTAGCGGTTGAGGTAGTGCTGCGCGAGCTCGCCAATGGTGGACCCCGCAACGACGACGCGGATGCCCGAGTCGTGCAGCTCCTTGACGGCCTGCTCGACCTGCTGCTCCTCGCCCGTTGTGAAGTCCAGCATCTCCTTGGCGTTGTGCAGCAGCACGGTGCCCTTGGTCTCCGTCTGCGAGATGTCAATGGGGCACGAGAAGACGCCGACCTTGGCCTTGGAGGCCTTTGTGACGCTGCCCTCGGGCGAGCGGGCAAAGACCATGCCCCGGACGACCTTGCTCTGCTCCAGCGCGCCGCCCATGATCTTGACGACGCGGACATTGTCGACGTTGAAGTTGACGGGGTTCTTGGGCAGGACGGCGAGCACGGCCTCTGCGACGAGGTCGGCGAGGAAGTCTTCGCTGCCCGACTGCTTTGCGGCGACGACGGTGCGGATGGCCTTTGCGAGCTCCTCCTGCGAGCGGATATCGGCGACGCGGTCGCACACCAGCTCTGCGCGCTCGTTAGCCCCGGCTCCCCGCAAAACGACTGCTGGGCAACGTACCCTCGAGGACCTGCTGTGCCGCGTTCTGCGCCTTTTCGTAGCCCAGGACAATGTCGCTTGTCTTGAGGCCCATGCGAATGAGCTCCTCGGCCTTTTTCAGCAGCTCACCGGCCAGGACGATGACGAGGTTGGTCGCATCGCCCATCTCGGCCTCCTGCTGCTGGCTGGCCATGACCAGCAGCTTTGCGGCAGGGTGCACGACCTCGAGCTCGCGCAGGATGGTGGCCGCGTCCGAGGTGAGGATCATCTTTTGCAGGTGGTTGATGACAATCTTGTTGCGGCCGTAGGGGCCCAGCGACGTCTGCACCGTCTGGGCAATCGTCCTGCAGGCGTCGATGTTGCGAATGACGGCGCCATCCTCGGCGTCGTAGCTGGCGCGGGGCGGTTAGCAGGCAGCCTCGACGCACGAGAGGAGGGCAGCAGGCTCACTTCTGGTAGCCCTGCTTGAACAGCCCGGCGTTCGGGGCGCTGGGTATTGAAAGCGACATGGTGTGTGTTGGCGAGGGCGTCTGGGCTTGTCTTGCGGGACGCGTTCGCGTTGGGGTAAATTTAATGCACGCTTGGCGTCGGCGGGGGCGGAGGCCGGAGGTGAGCAAGACACGGCTTCACGTCACGACGTGTGGATGATCGATCGTGGACATTGGATCATGGACATTGGGTCATGGTTGGAAATTGCACTGTCACGCACGTCTTGAGACGGCGAGTCCACATAGGCCTCGTTGTCATGCAGCTGCAAGAAAAAGTCGTTGTCATGCAGCTGCAAGAAAAAGTCGTTGTCATGCAGCTGCAAGAAAAAGTCGTTGTCATGCAGCTGCAAGAAAAAGTCGTTGTCATGCAGCTGCAAGAAAAAGTCGTTGTCATGCAGCTGCAAGAAAAAGTCGCTGTTGGAAAAAGTCGCTGTTGTGCAGCTGCAAGAAAATGTCCCTGTTATGCAGCTGCAAGAAAAACTCAGTCATGCAGCTGCAAGAAGCTCACCGTCATGCAGCTGCGAAAAAGTCCAGTCGTGTAGCTGCAAAGAAGTCCAGTCATGTAGCTGCAAAGAAGTCCACTGTCGTGTAGCTGGCAAAAGTCAGTCATGCAACTGGCAATAGTCAGTCATGCAACTGGCAATAGTCAGTCATGCAGCTGGCAATAGTCAGTCATGCAGCTGGCAAAGCAAAGCCGCTGCCACGCACTCGCACACGCGTCACATTACAAGAAATGTGAGCAAAATCTATCTAGCTGTCTGCCTTGGAACAGATTTGAAGCGACCGCTAGCGAAAAAGACTGCTCGATCCGTCTAGGCACCATTAAATGACCAGCGTCTGGTAGGAGAAAAAGCGACACGCTGGAGATAAGGAGGGCCATGTAGAAGTAGAGAGCAGCCCGGGCCTGTCGAGAGCGAAGTTTTGACTGAACGCGGATGAGTAAGCGCCGCTAACTACCAAATACGCCCCGTGCGCCGATTCCCCCGAACGTCGACTTTTCGGACAACGGGCGACGAAAGGCCATCAGCGCAGTACGAGATGAACGCCGGACAGCACACACGGCGCGCCGCCGCGAGAGCAGGTAACGTGACCCGCCCGCACGCACTGCAGTGGAAACCCACGCTGACAATGTCAGGCCAGTCCGCATGCCGCACATGTCGCAACCCACGGCGACCCTACGCAACCGCCGCCGCCGCCGCCGCCGCGCCGACGCCTGAGGACACCCTCGCCCAGCACATCCCGCCCGCAGCCCAGTCCGCGCCGGCAAGCAGCTACGCCGTCAACGCAGGCGTGCTGCTCTCGCGCCCGCCGCAGATCACGCGCGACCTGCACCCGTTCGAGGCGGCCTTCTTCCTGTACCAGAAGCGACTCAACGAGCGGCTTGCGCTGCCGTTCACGCGGTACTTTTACGTCAAGCCGCGCACGCCCGCAGACCGCGAGTGGAAGCGCAAGATGGCGGCGCGCCTGACGCCCGCGCGCGACATTGGGCGCTACAAGGGCTACGGCGACGACGCGTGGAACGACGAGGTGCTCGTCGGCGCGCGGGAGAGCGAGCTGCAGTGGCAGGTGGACCGGCTGCTGGAAGACGCGCAGACGACGGGCGCCGAGGGGGACGCCAACGCGGCGGCAGCGGCGGCGGCGGCAGCGGCGAAGCCAGAGGTCGACGCCTTCGAGCGCCCGCCGAGCCGCGTGACCGAGGCCGACGAGAAGAACGACACGAAGAGCCTGGCGCGCGCGCTGCAGCGGACGCTGTACCTGCTGGTCAAAAACAAGGAAGGGCGGTGGGAGTTCCCGCAGGACCGGCTGGGGGACGAGAACCTGCACGGCGTACGTTTGCACGCTCAAGAGAAACAAAGAGCTCCGCGCTAACATCCGCCAGGCCGCACAGCGCATCCTCAACACGTCGGCGGGCGCCAACATGAACACCTGGCTCGTGGGCCACGTGCCCGTCGGGCACTACACGTCGACGTACAGCGCGCCCCTATCGCGCGCGGGGCTGCACGAGCAGGGCAGCAAGACCTTCTTCCTCAAGGCGCGCATCATGGCCGGCCAGGCGAGTCTGGCCGACAGCAAGTTGGGCCTGCGGGACTTCCAGTGGCTGCACAAGGAGGAGCTGCAGCGCGCCGTCGAGCCCGACTACTGGCGGCAGGTCAAGAACATGATTGCTGAGCGGTGATGGGCGGGTCTCGGGTGTGTAGAATATGCATGTAGACGTGCGTGTAGACGTGCGTGTAGACGTGCGTGTAGACGTGCGTGTAGACGTGCATGTAGGATAGCGTCGTTGTACAGTAGCCACCAGGAGCGAAGCAGAGTAGATGAAACGACTGCATTGCCCGCATCGAATTCTTCAGTCCTTGGCAACACCCGTCTGTCAGTTACTTGGACTGGACACGCAGCAAGAATGAAAAATGGGAATTCTATCCGAACCTCTACGCTCATGTATGCGACAAACGCCCAAGCTCCAAGCTCATGCCCGTCATCACCGCAACCCTACCAATCGCCAACGCTATGCCACGAATGCTGATGCTCTCAAGTCGTAAGTCGTAAAGGCCATGCTGCGTCCGTCCCGCGACGCCATAGAACCATCCTCGTGCGCCCCGACACACCAATCAAAGAAAAAAGTCATAACCTCGTAACGTCGTTAGTCCTCCACGCTCGGGTACAGCGTCCAGTCGCTCCCCTTCCCCGACTGCGCGCCACCCCTGCGCGTCTGTACACACTCCTCCGGGTCCGACTTGGGTTCCTAGCCGCCGTCCGAGCCGAACATCGCTTTCGCCGAATCTGCGCAATCTGCGACGAGGAGGGTCAACACAAGCTCACGGGCCAAGCAGCTCGACTTCATCAGACTCACTGCCATAGTCTGACCCATCGAATGCCCCTTCGCCCGGGCTCAGCAGGCCCACTTCCGGCAGCATCCTGACCTGCGTTTCGACTTCAATCTGCCACTGGTGGAGCAGAGCTTTGTCGTCCGCGTCTTTGAATACAGCTAGATCTGCGTCTTCGCTCTTATCCAACTCGTAGAGCAGCGTCGTAAGGAACTTGCCAAACTGCAGCAATGCCTCGAGCTGCCTGCGCGGCATCCCTGCCCTGCACTCGTATGCGATTCTCTTCATCATCGCTCTGCTTGTGTTGCGCGCGCAGTTGTACGCCTCGTCCAGGTATGCAGGATCCTCCATGAACTTGATGTAAATCTCGCGGATGAGCTCGTAAGCACCATTGCGAACCTCCTCATCCGCGTGCACGAGTAGCACATGGGCAAACTTGTGACTTCTGGACATCAAACACCAGTACACGTCTGATGCCGGGATGTGTGGGTTGCTTGATTTGAGCACATCCCAAAAAAAGCCTACCACATCACGACCACTGGGCGCTGTCGGCTCGTCCGAGTCAGCAGCTTCAACCACCGTGTCGCACACTTTGCTGAGGGCCTCCGCAGTTCTGGTCGCCTCGCAGTAGCTCGAAGCAATCCGTAGATATGAATCACAGTAAGGATTGTTGAGCTCACTGATCCCTTGAAGAATCATAGTGCTGATGTTGCTCTGGATCTGGTTGTCCAGCGACCGGGTCATCCACTTGACGATGTCACCCGGGTAGAACATCTCCGTCTTGGATTGATCGAACACCTCGACCATCTTGTCGACAACTGCGTATGCCCGGTTCTCACGGTGCCAATACAGCAGCAGACCTTTCTCCTCTGGGGTCAGTGGCATCTCTGTGCACTCGCTATTGAGCGCACTCGTCCGCTGCGACGTGTCGCACGACGGCAAGTTGATATCCATGTGCGAGAGAATGGTCGCCACGAACCCTATGAGCCGGTTATAGATCTTCGTTCTCTTCTGGAAGACCCGATGGAAGTCATCGTATCCGTCAGCGACCCTGGGGCTGGCCTGCAGACAGAATAGCCGAAGGCAGAAAGCGAGGAGGTCTCTATCCAGCAACGCCACTGTCTCATCCATACCCATCTCGGCAATTTGAGTCAAGGTCAGATACAGATCATCCCATCCTCTGGTTCCCTTCACTGAGCTTTCAGCGAGATCTGTCAGTCGTTTCGTGATCAGGACAAGAACACCGGTATCGCCATCTACATCCAAGACCATGTCGCTGTCAGTGGCTGTGTCACACAGATACGAGTCCTTGCCGCGAAGAAACTTGAGACAGTCGATCAGAAATGATCGAGTCTGTGATCTAACGGTCGGGTGTGGGCACCGCAGGAGAAGGTTGAAGAGCACCTCGTCATCTCGTGCCAGCCACTGAAGAGTGGCTTTGCAGCAGCCTTCGCATGAGAGACTGTATCGGTGGAGATGTACCATGGCCTCTTCGAATATATCAGTCGTCTGCTGTCGCCAGGCAACACGTCCAAGGTGTGCAAGGAAGATGTCAAGAGCGTGCATCTCATGGTCGTGATCTTCAGAGCAACTGCCGTTGTTGATCCTCCGCGACGCACCGTGTAATTGGCGTACGAAAGCCGAATGATATGGATCAAAAAGACAGTATTCTCGAACGAACATCTCGTTCTTGAGGTCAACATCGTTTTTGATGGATTGAGGGACCTCAACCTGTGGTGGTTGTCTCTGCGACGATATAGTCCATTGCTGTTGGTCTTGCGCGATGGCGGACCTTCGCTGGTAGAACAGCATGTAAGCCGAGTACATCTTGAACTGATGCGAGTAAGGATCCTCGGCCATTCCACCAAAAGTCTTCTGCGGGATCTCGGCTGGATTGAAGGGGTCAACTTCGTAGTCATTGAAGTTGAGCCAGGTAGGTGAGGCATTGCTGGTCGGACATGGTCGCTTCCGGATGTAAGAGTAGTAATGGCCGTTCTCGCAATTGCCGTAATGGACGACAACACCAACAAGATCAAACAGGTCCTCTGTGTGTGGCTTCGAAGGATCACTGAGGTGCTCAACGTTGTAAAGACCAACGTCGATTGTCTCTGGGAAGTCGAAATTGTCGTGAACCTTCTTCCGGCTGAAATCGGTCAGATCGAAGTCGAACCGCTTCAGGTGAAAGATCAGGTTGTCGGGCGCAGATTTGAGGCAGGTCCTGCTATTGTCAGCTGTGCTCCGCATGCCATCCAGCGCTACTCACCGCTTCACAGCGTCCACGAATTTGCCGCCACAAGATTCGCACTTGTACTTGTTGTCGCCTTCCATGACGTCGCCCTGAACAAAGGCTTGGAGACTCTCTTGCAAGGTAGCTTTGCCTTGCACGTCGCATTGTAAAGCGAAGAACGAGTCTGCGCGCTCGGAGACATGCTCGCATTCCTTCGACTTTACTTGCTGGAGCATCTGCCCACCGTAGAAGTTGCGGAACCGGCGCTTATCCTGTTCGTTCACAAGCTGTGCTTCCCATTGATCAAATAGTAGGTTGTAGAACTCGTCAGCATCCATCTGTACCCCAATATCGATTGGCGTTTTGTCTAACGTCATGACGCACGCAGCGAAAGGTCGTGGGTCAGCGGCTCTGCGATACGAATTCTGCATCGTGGCAAAGAGCCTCTGAGTCTCCAATAGAAGACGTTGGGAGCCATCGCCCTCTTTTACCTCAAGACTGAGCATGAATTGTCTGAAGTTGAGGTTCATGAACAACTGAGCCAGTAAAGAGTTCATATAGCAGATAGCGCGAGGGTTCTGCAGGCCAACGTATCCAGTCTGAGAGCGAACCTCAAGTGCACGGTCGACCGATAGACTAGGCATGACATTATCAACCGGTCTGTTTTCGACATCGCCACAAAGTCGAAGTAAGCGCTTGTAGGAAGGTCCATCATCCGCTAGAGCTAGCATCAGGTCGTAGAGTTCCCGTCTGACGTTGCTGTCGAGAACAGGAAGTAGGGCGGACGTCGAGCCATATGCCGGCGGGGCAAGTGCAAGTGGCGCTGCGCTGTGTGAAGTTAATAAATCGCTCGATGAGCGACAAGGCCAAAAGCCATGCACGCAAGCTCGGCGATCGAGGACGTACCTGTTAAAGAGGAACCTGTGAAATACAGATGAGATGAGCGCGCCAGCGTTCAAGGAATTTTTGTACGACTTCAGCGAGGGAAGGAGGCACAGAAGTAGCTTCGTAAAGCCCATGACTACGTTGTCGGCTTCGTATCGACCAGGAATCTCGGAATGATTGTGTGCCAACAGCAAGGAACTCCAACTATGAAGGAGCGCCCGTAGGTTGTCTTCGCTGCGGTAATGCTCATCGTAGACGCGGAACACATGCTGGGCGAGCTCGAAAAGTTGCGTCGACTGCTCAGAGGCCTGCGAAGCATCGGGCAAAATGCTTGCAATAACGCTCCAGTAGCGCGAAGCGATCTCGCCTGGGACAAGCGAACATGACGAGGGAAGATGCCCGCCACAGACTGAGAGAGCCTTCAGCTTGATATACTCACGCAAGTCTTCGCGCTGATCAGTCAACAGCAGCGTTCGATGGATCTGAGCCACTTCGGGGTGCTCCCAGAACGTCTGCCATACCAGTGGACAGCACAACGAGGCTTCGAGAATGGTTGCATAGCATTCTTGCACGATCTTCGCAGCATTGGTCGCGTGTATTGCGGTTGCAAGGATGCGCGTTAGCCGTCTCGCCAGGGCGGGCGCATCGGAGAAATAGTCTTTCAAAAGATCGGATGACGGACGCTCTACTGATTATTAGGGGTGGTTTACACGGTGGCCATGGCTCTCGCAAACATACCTCTAAGGAAATCCAACATGGCGCTGATAAAGACGCCCACGAGAGGCACCATGTCAACCACAGACGCGTCAGTCCCAAATAGTTCTTCGCTAAGTAGTGAACGGTCGAGGAGCTTGATCGCGTTGAGTAAGAACGCTTCATCTAGATTTGACTAAGGTGTGTCAGTAGGTAGACTGCTCTGGGTCCAGAGATTGTTGCCTTACACTTCGTAGCTGATCTTTGAGCCGGCTGTGTATAGCCTGTGCAGCGTATTTTGCCTGAAAAAACTTGCCAGGTGGGAATAGACTCTCCACTGTAGCCTCACCGGCGGCCACATTATTGGTGATGGTGCTGCGGTACGGAAACTGTGTCAGGAATCCGAAAAGCAGCTGGCTCGTTGCATCATCCGCATCCATCCATTCGTACATCTCGTCAAAATGCTTGACTAGGCTTGTCTCGAACTCAGAGAAGCCTGCGACTGGTGCACTCACAGCCTTGGAGGACTCGTCCCTTTGGATCGGCTGCACGAGGAGGTGTCCGCTGATATTGGCATCAGCTACATTCTGACCCGCATGCTGAGCTACGTCCAGCTTTCGGCCTTCAGCAAATACTTTGATCTTGACACACTCGGTTGCACGACACAGAAGGTGATACAGGTCAGCAATTGTGCGGTCCGGAGAGACATCCATTGTCTTCCGCTCGTCACCGAACTGATACCTGAAAGTAATGGCATTTGCGGACGGAGTGCCAATGTCCATCGACTCGACCTTTGAGTCTGCCCTACGTGCACGGTTGAATTCGGGCCTTTGCCGTACCAACTCGAGTAGCTGTTTTTGGAACAACAGGACGCGACAGAATCGGAGCTTACCGTCCTGTTCAGTTCCGTCGTGCTCCTCGCGTATTTTCGCGAAGGCAGATCTCAACTCTTTCATGCAGCGCTCGACCAACTCGCAATGCGCGAATTCCACCTCTGGCAAAGTGACACCTCGACGTTGAGCAACTTGTACGTATCGCGAAGCGAGTTCATGGGCTGCGTAGTCTTCAATAGTACCGGGAGGACTCGATAGAGCCAACGACCAGAGAAGCTCGCCACCGGGGATCTGCAGAAGCTCGTGTTCCACATCTTCAATTTGGAAGGTTTTACGCGTCAAAGGGAAGTTGTAATTGGCCACAAACTCGTATAGGCCAGACGTGAAGTACTGTGGTTCCATGTTGGGTATGTACGCAGAGATCAGCTGAAGGCAGAAGTCGCTGTCCGGTGAAGTCTTGATGACGTGTATGAGATGCGTCCATGCCGCGTCGCGGGCATGGTTTGACAATGCCTGCGGCCCGACGATGTGATCCGACAAGTCTGTGTAAAGACTTCTGGGAACGAGCTGGCCAGCTCTATAAGCCAGAAATGCAAAGAGTTCAAGCCTGTATTGCAAGGCTGATAACTGGTGAAGGTGCGGGTCATTTCTGGCTTCTGCCCCGACAAACAGTGAGATCTCCTCCAAAACCTGGTGCACCAGTTCCTCGTTCTGCTGTAGAGACGTGATATTTCCTGATGAGCCCACAATGCAGATGACCTTCACCGACCCAGTAGCTGCGGAAGATCGTGCGATGATGTGCTCCATGCACTGTAGAAAGATGGAATCCCGATCAGGGTCTGGGATTGATGGAGCCAAGGCATGCAGCTGACCCATGACGCGTACGTGAATGTCCAGGTCGTGCTTGGTCGCACCGTTCCTCGGTGCAGTATCTTGTAGCAACCTGACACAAACACTCCAAGGCCGTGCCGTATCGCCTCTCAATTTCCAATCATCTGATACCATGTGACCCAAAAGCTTCTTGGTGACCTGTTCCAAAAAGCCTAAAATTTCTGGTGTGAAGCTCTCAATAGGTAAGTCGTGAAGCTTCTGCCCCAGGTAAAGAATGTCGGTAACTTTCATTAAGTGAAGAAATTTGAGTAGCATGGTGATGGTGGCCGCGATTACGCGTGGGTCCGGACTGTTAGCCACAGTACCCCAGATAGCATCAGTTTGGCTGTCCTCCCATCGGTCGGTGACGACCAGGAAACCTGGAATATTGCCGCTTCGAATGATCAGCTGCGGATGCGAGTCCACACTAATGATGTAGTCCACCACTCTCCCCCGAAGGAGAACATCGGCCAGATGTCGCAAGACAGGGTGTTTATCTGGAGAGTACTTTTCGGTCATGTCAGAAGACGTGTAGTGTGAGTACAGGTTGAGCAGTGCATCGTCCATGAAGGTGATGCTCATGACACGCAGTTCCATTCTACCTTTAACAATGTACTTGCGCAGCAGGTTGAATTTCCAGCTGTTTTCAATTAGGAAAGGCAGGATGTCAGTGTACTGGCGATAGTCGGTGACCTCTGTGCTCGTTGACACATCAATCGGCACCTCCGCAAGCGAAGAAGTTGTCGGCGAGTCAGGGGTATGTGAATTCAACAGCTCGTCCGCCAGACTGCTCGCGCTACATTCGTCCCAATGGCTGATATCTTGAACGAGGGTGGAGAGACACACGATCAAGTCTTTTGCGACAACGGCATCGGCAACGTTTGCTGGGTCCCGGATGTCCTCTGAGTATTTGCGGAAGAATAGCAACGTCCCGCGGTAGTAATCTGCAGGTGCAATTCTACCACAAGCGGATGGAAATCGACAAATGGTCCAGCCTAGTGTACTGAGGACTTGGCCCGTACTCAGAGCGATATGATTTTGCAAGAGGGTCGGCACTGTGCGGAAGGCTTCATCGGCGAATTTCAACAAGTTCTGAGCACCGTCCGCCGCGAGGAAGGCGACATTCAGGCGATTGTTCACGTCGCGTACATCGACACCGTACTCCCTTCGCAGCAAATTCAGCAGCGGGGCATTCTCGGTGCGAAGAAGCGTTTGAAGCTGATACAGATGTCTCTCGCTTAAAAGCGCCGACGAGAACTGTTCCCCGGAGCGTGGCTGATTGAAGAGATGTACGTCGACGAGGAACAATTGGGAGCAAAGTTGCATGTAAGCGATGAAGAATCCGGAGAAGATCTCGTCTACTGATGAATCGTCGCCAAAACTGTCGCCAAAGGGATACCTGCTCACGTCATCATCTTGGCCATTATTGCAAGCAGTAATCCATTGGTACCTCCGCTTGAGCAGCTTCTCAACCAGGTCCGCGAACTCGATCCAGAAATGCGCTTTGTCCAGATAGAAGTTTTGTAGGTGGGTCGAAGTGTCGTCAGGAAGGCCGAGCAGCCATTGGGCCAGGGATGGGAGGAGGTCGTGGGGAATGTCCTGGTCTGCACGATATCAGCAAGGCTGGAAAGTCAAGCTCAGGCCCTACTCACTCTTCTGCACATGTTCGGTGATTCCACGGACCGCGTTCAATGCTCCCCTAAAGCGATCGCTGTAAGGGAACTGCCTGAAGTAGTCCTCAGCATTGAGCTGCACTGAAGCGATCATGGACAGGTCGTCATCGTCGTCGTCGATAATCTCGATAACAGGCGGACTTGTGTAATCGTCCCTTGCACCATCTAGCATGATAGGCAACCTGTTCGGTGTTGTTTCTCGGTCGGGGTGAGGTCCGGTGGAAATGCAATCGCGCACCTCGTCTGGAGCATGTGAAGGAGACGGGGGCGAGTGCTCCCGTATGGTCATGGCAACCATCTCTTCGTGCGGCGACGTGATTACTTTGTTTGGCGATTCAGGGTCGGTCGAAATTGCGCGCAAGACAGCGCCGCCGCCACCTAGTCGCTGGCGTTTACGGGTAAAGTTGTCGTCTGCGTCCGGCTCAGGGTCGCGGCGCGGCGGCGAAAGTGAGGCCGAGGTGGCTTGCTCATTCGTGGCAGGCGACTGCTCTATATCGAGATGCTGCGCGCTCATGACTGAATGAGCTGGCAGGACAGCGGCGTGTTTGCGCGGGCGAGTTTGGCTTGTCCACGGCGGCAGGCGCAGGCAACAGTCGCAGCTGCAGGTCCAGCCTTAGTGGGCAAGGACCGCGTGCGGTAAGACGGAAAACGCGTGAGTGAGTGACAACATGAACCGCAGCTGCGTCAGGTCACTTCAGAGAGGTTGAATGTAATGTTATATCGATTGCGCTTTCGTTGTGGAGAGCTCTTGAACGCGTCGTTAATTCACGAAGTTCGCGGGGCAGCTTTGGACGTCATCGCCATTGGATGACCAGTTCACGCTAGTCAGATTAGCGTCGGCGTGCGCGGACCTCCGAAGAAACCGCAAACCACCCTTCACTTCTCTTTGGCCAACCAAGAGCGCCGTGAGCAAGCATTGCATCATCATCGGGCCCTTGGACGACCTTTTCACAAACAAAGCTCTCAACACTTGTTGCCGTGCCAAAGTCACAAGCGCCACCAGGTCGCTTCCGTTTTGAAGCAATTTTCCGAAATCTTGCACCCGGTCCTGGTCTAGACGGCATTTATACGCGTGTCATGGCACCCACGACCAAGAAAGTGCCAAGGCCAGTCTTCAAGACATCGTCGCCTTTTACAGAGACTACATGGTCAGCAGGTAGCCCGTACACACTGGAGTGACACTGATTTATGTAGTCCATCGGTATCACCTGAAGACCAAGAGATTATATCAGAGCTACTATGCAAGTAGGTAAGACCTGGCCCTCTGATAATCGCAATGACGTTATTACGGATTGACGTTCAATATGATCGATCTGACTTTGGCAGTCTACTCGCACCCTTGGGCGAGCATCGGAGGGCATACATCCAGCCCTCGAGGAGTAAGAAACGGAAGAGAAATGACAAGGCACACTCAGACGATTTTGCAACTCCTTCAACGCCAGCTGTAGGATCTCATATCCTCATCGGTTTAAACAGCGTAACAAGATATCTCGAGGCTCTTGCCGCGAGCTCTGCACCACACACTGTGCCAGTCAAGGATGCAGACAATGTCGACAAGGATGTTTCAACTACCCAAGCCGACACAGAGATGCTGTCCACGACTATGCTCAAGCACTTTAGCATGGTCGTCCTGACACACCCTCAGCCCTCACTCTCTCCTTCACACGCTCACATACCAACACTACTGCACCTCGCGACACGGCAAACAACGCCGACGACTAAGGTGTCAGAGCCTACACGCCTCGTTGCTCTCTCGACTTCCAATGATGCTCGCTTTGCAAATGCACTGCACATACCTCGTGTTGGTGCTATTGGCATCTATGAGGACTCACCTGGCGCTAAGGCGGTAGAAGAGTATGTGAGGAAACATGTGGGGCTGACAGAATGTCTGTGGGTTGATGAGGCCACGAAGCCGGAATGGCGGGGTCTTAACGTGCAGCAAGCATGAGCGGAGGATTCCCTTGGTCAGGTGTTGTTCGCGGAGGACAAGTCATGCGTGTGAATGCGACGCTAAGGGGACCTTTCATTGACTACGACCCGAAGGCAGCGCTCGCTCTACACTGTTTATACCAACTCTCGCTCAAGAATACTGCTCATTGCCGGGCATGGGAACGAAACCTAGTGTCCTCGCCCAAGTTTCTCTCATTAGGTGGCGCTGTCACCGATGCGGCAAGCGTTGGACGTCAGAAGAAGTCAGCTATAAATGCTCGAGCTGCCAGCATCGAAGATGCCGCTGGAAATGCTGGAGCGAGGCAGCGGAAATCGAGGCGGAGGTCTGGACTGACGGCAGCGGGCGGAGGAAGCTCAAGCAGCACTGCAAAATTGCCGATATACTGTAGTATAAATTAGGCGCTACGACCCTATTTTCCTCATGAAGTGTGGCCGTTTACGCCCTTTGTGATGGCGGCAATTCTTGACAATATCCGTCAAGAAGCACTAGGCTAATTCTGGACTAAAGCAAACGCGTTCACGTCACGAGATTTCGCGCTCGCTCTTCATCACCATCGTCATCACAATCATCAAGTCTGGTTTCATTAAAAGAGAGAGGAATCGCTCAGGGTGATATGATACATGATACAACAACTTCGAATCTTCAGCTACTGCAACGACTGTCAACCCTCGAGGTGTGGGGCTCTAGAGCATATTCGGGTAGGTGTCGTTACTTGGGCACTATAGTTAAACCTGTCCCCGAGACGAGGCATCTGTTGACTATCTATCCGTCATGGTGTAAGCCAATCTGCATTGTGTCTAGTGCTCTGCCCATCACATTGCCGGTGGTGGAACTGACAGGCATTCGGCTTCCCCGCATTCTCCCGGCCCACACCAAGATGACTTCGCACGAACATCCCGAACATGCATCTCGCTTGACTACAGCCTACGATGGAATCTTCAAATTCGGTCGAACGCCCTCGGAAACGTCGCGCCATCAATGCGTGCATTGGCTGCCGGACATCAAAAGTGCGATGCGACGGAAGACAACCTTGCGCGCGCTGCGATAAGAATGATGCAGTGTGCCAGTATCGGGGCCACGATGCCGCTTTGACACATCCAAATACGTCCACAGTCCGCATGGAGAGGCTGGAAGCAGAGGTTGAGCAGTTGAAATCATTGCTACACGATCTGACCCCACAGCAAATACCACTCCACCCACCCTTGGAGGACGCAGGATTTAGGACGCAAGGCAGCGAGCTTGGACTAAGAGACTCAGTGGACACAAGACCGCACATCCGATCGAACGCCTTGGAAAAGGGTGTCGTTACACACAATGATGCTTTCGCATGGTTCACAAGCTTCTTCACTGGTTCTCATTACTTGGTCCCGATCTTCTCGGAAAGCAGCGATGTAATGGCATCCGTCGCGTCGCGGAGTGCCTTTCTCTTCGATGCGATCGTCAGCGTCGGGTGTCGCGCAGAGCAAGGCTTCAATTCTCCGGTCTTTCGCCAATTGCAGTCGCGCCTGCGGGAGCATTTGACAACTTTACTCATCACTTGCGAGCGGCCAAATTTGGAATCAGTGCAGGCTATCACACTGATGGCTGCCTACAGCGAGAACGGTTATATGCTCATCGCGCTTGCCCTTCGATTCGCGACCAAGCTTGGTCTTCACAAAGCTACCGATCAGCTATTGGCCTTGCATCACAACCGAGACCTTCCCGGCACCGAGGAACGAGAACTGTATCGTCTTCAACGCGTCTGGCATGGCATATGCAACCTTGAGCTGTTGTGAGTCTCCAGGGTTCCTTCAATGATTGAGTCAAAGCCCACAGGAGAACTGATCTTGCAAAGCTTCTCGCTCGATGGCGGTCACTTACCGCGAGGAAAACCACGAACGACGCCTCGCAAGATCCGAGCCCTCCTTAATCACACGGAATGCACAGCAGTCGACGTTCGATTACTCTCACAAGTAGAGCTCAATCTGATCCGCACCGATGCGTATAGTGACATCCTTAAGTATGGTGGGCCTTCACTCCTGCAAGATGAGAGTACCATTCGAATCAAGGTACACGATACGACAATCGAGCTTTCGCTGTGGCTTAGCGAGTGGACCAACGTAGTGTCGAGGGAGCCGATCGAACACATGCGCGAGCTTGCGCTGCTGAACCTTCACATCCAATACGATTGGGCTCTAATCACGTTGCATCTCAAAGCTGTATCTGCTTCGGGCATCGAGAACATCGCCATAATGACCGATTTTCAGAAAGAAATGATACAGATAGCGAAAGAGGCGTCAACAAGACATTTAGGCCATTTGCTAGAAGTTTCCACTTCGCCGACGTCACCGTGCGGAGCGGCGCCTGCCTACCTCAATACGTTTAAAGGTACTATGGACTATGTCTGGGCAAAGGGTGCATTCTCCATATTGCTCGTACTTCGACTCTCCGTTCTCCTGCGCAACCCAGTAACTCACATCCTGACGTTACTGCGTGACGCACACAGGGTCCTGGAGGAGCTCAAGAAAGTCACGATTGGCTACATACCGTACTTTCAGATCCTCCAGACCAGTATTGAGAAATGCGAAGCAGCCATTGGTGATTATTCTGCACAACAAGACATCGCTGATCCGAGCCTGGCGGTTAGTGGGCCTGCTGAGAGCGACTTCCAAGGCTATGCACCAAACCAGTTCACTTTTGAGTGGGACTTTCCAGGTTTGAATCTGAAGCACATGCCACTTGGGTGGCAAGATTTATTTGTCGACATCGACAACCTTTTCTAGACTTCGAACACTTCCATTACTTTCCCCGCTCTTGTAGCCGATCTTTTCGAAAGAAATCTCGGGCCACCTGCAAGGTATTCACCCTCATATCACGCGGAAACATGTACTGGAGGGATGATGTCAAGAGGCATTGGATATTATCAACACAACCATTTCGTTCAGGACTCATCACCAACGCCATGCCTTCAGAAGTATGCCCGTCAGTATACATAGATGAAGTCTTCGTTCTTGGTGTCTGTAACATCATCGAACGCCTTATCACCAACGCCGCTCGCTTGAGCATTTTCTGTGTCTTCAACGTCTGTGTTGGAAGATCCTTCCATACTCGTGTCGAGCACAATAGCCGACTTTCCCATTGACTCGCGGGTAAAGGCGTGTCTACGGTTCAATACCTTGATCCACAGCATCGCCAACACAACGAGAACGACTATCGCAACGAACAGAGCCAAGTTCGATCGAAGACCGCGATAGTAGTAAGGTTTCTCAGATGGCTTGAAGAGATGAGGACCAATGATGTTACCAGCGCTGGCTCCCACGAAGAGAATACTGGTTGTGACCTTCCTCTTGGTGTCACCACCGGTGTTCTGTCCCGACCATGAGTAGATCAAGGGCGAGATGCCAGGGTAGAAGGATGTGAGGTAGTAACCCACGAGAAGAATACCTCGGTGATTCTTGCCTCGGCCAACTACCATCAGTATGATGATGCCGATCACCGGAGGTATACACAGCAGTATCAGGATAGGTCCCTTCTTCTTCAGCTTCGTGGCAAGAAATGCGCCGCCAAGTGTCGCGATGATCTGAACGGCACCGAAGGGCATGTTGAAGAGGATCGTTTGGAATTTTCCGAAGCCAAATGACTGAATGATCAAGGGTCCGAAAGTTGTGATGCCACCACTGGGGATACTCACGGCTGTCAGCATGGAGAACCATAGCCACGTCTTGACATCCAGAAATGCCTCTAGTACATGGTCCCACTTCCAGACCCTCGAGGCAACACCCATCTGATTCATGCGCAATCGCTCAACTGCGATCAGTTTCTCGTCTTCGTTCAAAAATTTGGCCTCCATAGGCGAGTCTGGCATGAAGATACAGACCGGGACCGACACAAGGACGGTCAGGAGGCCACAGAAGAGAAAAATGATCTGGTACGAGTGCATGCGGTCGGACTGGATATGACCTAAGCCATATGATAGGAGACTTCCGAGGATGTTGACAATGCCTAGCATGGAGTACCACGCTGCGTTGCGGTTCGTTTGCTCAGAGCGTTTGTACCACATCTGGACTACGGCGATGAAAGCAGGTGCTAGAGTGCATCAACACACAGGCGAAGAGGCATATAATGAATCGGCGGACTTACCGACAGCGGACTCAAATGCTCCCAACAAGAATCGCGTCGCCATGAGACTAGAGTAGTTGGTTGCACCAGCCATGCCGCACAGAATGGCGCCCCATGTAAATACCATGATGCCCACGAACTTTCCAATCGGGAATTTGACCAAGAAAAATGCAACTAACGGCTGCATCGCAAGCTGCGCGATGTAGACGATGCTGCCCAGCCATGAGTACTGGTCCGAGTTGGGATCGAGGTTTGCATCTTCGATGAGGCCAAAGACAGAGGCGTATGAAAGTGTCGTCTTATCTGAAGATTTTCCGTCAGCCTTGAGACCTCATTGAGGCGCTGAAGGAAATACCGAGAGATTGTAAAAAGTAGATGGAGAGCAGTATTGGGAGGATGACGAGGTCGATATTCCTCAACACACGCTTGTTTTCCTCTGCCGTCACGACGATGCGCTCATTCGAGGCAAGCAATTCCGCAGCTTTGTCCTTGCTATGGACCTTTGAAGACGGTTTGTGGATGGATTCGAAAGTCTCAACCTCGTTCTTGCTTATGTCCGCCGGCGGGAGGTTGTGGTTTGTCATGATGGGAGCGGTGCAGCGAAAATTGGAGACTGCAGTGGAGAAGAAAACGGCGGAGCTGATCCTCCGACTTATACAACATCCCCACGGGGAACTCCACTGCCCCAGGAACTCCACTTGCCTCTGATCCAGGGAATGCTGCGGCCGAAGTTCCCGAAGGGTGACATTACACTAGGCTAAAGATGGGCAAAGAGGGATGGCACGTGTGCTGCAACATGAACCACGACCCGACAATACCGAGCGTCAAAAGCCGAACCCGGACCATCTGCTACCGGAGTTTGCAACATAAAGTATGAACGGTGCGCGATGGTTTGAGGTGACACAAGAATCGTAGCCTCTCTCGTCGACGTGGTTGGCGAGCACAACTATCCTAAGGAATCACTGCTACGCTACTCTCATCATGGGCCAGCTTGAGATTGTTCCGCTTGACTTCAAGCGAATGGAGGATGTTGCAGATACCTCCACAGTAATTCGTCTTCAATCGCAACAAGGCCAATATAACTTCAGCTTCGAGGCTCTAAGGCCAGGCCTGTTTCGTACTACCTTTACATCTCCCAAGCATCTTCTTCCACCTCACCGAGCAGCGCCACTGCCATCGAAGGACTTGAAGGGTGTCAAAGTACAGCAAAACTTCTCGACGGCCACCACAAAGTCCTTCCAGGTGGACGATGTAACCGCAAGCGTTGACTGGACGACTGGGCCGCCGTTGTTAAATCTGCAATTCACCGGACAAGAAGCACCAATCCATTCAGATCTCCCTCACCGTGCGTACGTGGCAGATGGCAGTGGGATAGCACACTACACGCGGTACAACAAAGGCACCTTGCACGTTGGTCTCGGAGAGAAAGCAGCACCTCTTGACCTGTCCAACAGACATTTCGTCCTGTCTGCGACTGACAGTTTCGGCTACGATGTCTACCGTACCGATCCGCTGTACAAGCACATCCCACTTCTCATCAATGCTACACCGCAAGGATGTGTTGGGGTCTTCTCCTCGTCTCATGCTCGCGGGTTCTACTCTGTGGGATCTGAGATGGACGGCATGTGGGGACGCTTCAAGGTTTATCGACAAGAACACGGCGGTCTCGAGGAGTACATCATCATGGGAGCCACGCTTCCGGATGTAGTCCGCATCTACGCCAGTTTGGTAGGGTATCCTTTGCTTGTACCACGCTGGGCGTTCGGATACATTGCTGGAGGGATGAAGTACAGTATGGAGGACGAGCCGCGTGCATGTGATTCACTTATGGAGTTTGCGACGAAGTTGAAAAAGCATGACATCCCGTGCAGTGGCTTCCAAATGAGCTCTGGCTACACAGTGGCCGAGACCGAACCGAAGACGCGCAACGTCTTCACTTGGAACAGGCATCGTTTTCCAGACCCTAAAGGCTTCATGGATGCGTACCACAAGGAAGGCATCCGGTTGATTGCCAATGTCAAGCCATATGTCTTGGCGAATCATCCTGAGTACGAGAAGCTAAAAGCGGCAGGTGCTTTCTTCACAGATCCAGTGACAACGGACCCTGCGCAAGCAAGACTATGGAGTGCGGGCGGCGGCGAAAGTGGTGTGGGCGGTCATATTGATTTCACCTCTGAAGCCGGGTATCGTTGGTGGTTCGAAGGCATCCGCGAACTCAAACGGGTGGGCATCGACTGCATATGGAACGACAACAATGAGTACACAATTCCAAACGACCAATGGAAGTGTGCACTTACCGAGCCGTCCGTCAATCAGGATGGCGGAAGTGATTGTGGCATGGAGATTGGGTTCTGGGGCCGGTCGCTGAATACAGAGCTCATGGGTAAGAGCTCTTACGAAGCTACCCTGGACATCGAGCCTAATCAGCGACCCTTCATCTTGACTCGCAGTGCTACTGCCGGCACCCTACGCTACTGTGCTAGCGCCTGGAGTGGCGACAATGTCACAAGCTGGGACGGCATGAAGGGGGCTAACGCCCTTTCGATCGGTGCCGGGCTTTGCCTTATGCAGTGCTATGGTAAGAACACCCGTAAAATCGACAAAATTTTGTGCTCACACTGGATATAGGACACGACATAGGTGGATTCGAAGGACCACAGCCTTCTCCAGAGTTGCTGGTTCGCTGGTGTCAACAAGGCATTTACTCGTCACGCTTCGCCATCAATTGCTTCAAAACATCCCCTGAGAACAACCTCGTCGGTGACGTCATCGAGCCGTGGATGTATCCAGAGACAACACCGTTGGTTCGTGACATCATCAAGAGAAGATATGAGCTCATCCCGTACCTGTACTCGCTTGCGCTGCACAGTCACGTCACCGCAACACCACCGCAGCGGTGGGTGGGTTGGGGCTACGAAAAAGACCCTGAAGTATGGACTAACAAGATTCTAATCGATGGCGAGACTCAGTACTGGCTCGGCGACTCATTGCTGGTTGGTGGCGTCTTCAAACCGGGTGCTTCGACAGCAAAGGTGTATCTGCCAAAGGATCCTGCGGATCCGGGTCTCCAGTTCTTAGATCTCAACAACAAGCCTCAAACCTACTACAAGGCAGGCCAGTGGATTGAGGTTTCTGCTAGATGGAACGAGAGCATCCCAGTGCTTGCAAAGGTTGGCTCAGCTGTCCCTGTGGGGAGACCTGAGCAGACGCTTGCTATTGGTGACAAGTCGAACCCTGCAAACCTGCCTGCGGATGACTACCGCGCCGTAGAAATCTTCCCGCCAAAGGGTTCGTCGAATGGCAAGTGGTTCAAGACCACTTGGTATGAAGATGATGGGATCAGTCCACCGCCTGCAAGTATCTCGACATTCGAGCTGCGGTACACGACAACCGAGGATACTGTGGAAGTCGAGCTGGACAAGAAGTTACAGCCTGGGTTTGAGCCAGCCTGGAAGGACTTGGTGGTGATACTACCAGTTGGGGACCAGCGACAGGTATTACTTAATATATAGGATAACTTACTGAAAATGTGAAGATCTATGCCAGAAATCGTGCTCAAGTCAAGCGAAACTCAACTCTGCAGAAGGAAAAGACAAATTGTGCCCATACCGAAGTCGTATTGTCACATGCTTCGCTAGCAACTTTGACCACTGGCATTTGTTGTATACCGATCCGGAGCATGCTCATGGTTTCCAGCTGATCCTGTGCCAGTGCCTCCGAGTGTGGCATATATCTTGATAGCTTGACTTTAAGTCGGGCAGAAGCATCCCACTTCGTCCAATCGGTTTTCAACTCGGCGCACATGTCGCTAACGTCAGCCTCCAACTCAGCCTTTCAATACTCAGCCTTCCCGATTCTCTGCCAGATCACCATTTCACAGCGCTTCGTCTGTAGATGAATAGAATTACGATCGCCATGGTAGCCAAGGCTACTAAAACATCTTGTCAAGTTACAAGCTGCAAGTTGCTGCTGGACACCTTCCACAGTCAAAACACCATTGCGTTTTTTAAATGATTAGAATAAAGGCAGTGGTGAAGACTCAAGTGCGTGGAAGTGTTGATATGCGCTCTGGTCCAGCGCTTCAGATGTCAACGAGAGAGGTTGAGATGGGATTGAGTAAAGTTGCCTATCCGATGAAGTGGGCATCTAATAACATCCTTCTTGCAGTGAAGGGTACCGGGCGCGACTTGAAGATGAAAATATTTAAAAGCTGCCCCTGACAGCTTCTCAGGTCTAGCAACACATTTTCTTAGTCGATTTGGACCCGTAGCTTTAATTGCATGGGGCGAGAGACTGCCTAAACTGCTTCGAAAAGTCCCAATTCGACCGCTGGAGATGTGCTTAGTATTGAAAGCGGTCCGCGATAGGTCAATGTTCTGAGATTTGCGATGCGCTGGTGGTCGAGTCGGGACAAGGCTCCCAGTATTGGCCTGGGTGGCCAGACCCAAGGTGGAGACTACGGACCGTCGGGTCGCACGTGTAGTCTAGCTGCTGATCTGATCTGAAGGATCTGATCGCTATTGGCACTGTCACAGGCAAGTTCCTTGTGGCGAACGCAGTCCAGAGCCAAGATTCATTCTGGGCTCTTCATGGTGGCGGACCTGGACAGTATGGCAAGCGGACCGAGTGTGTCATCAAGCACTACCCGGCGCTCAGTAATGTCATCTTTGACAGTTTTCTCTTGGAACTCTCCTGCCGCACACCTTAGCCACTTGCTAGATCTGATCGATGCCCAGCTTACAGGTGCAGCCACTGTGTCCAACAACAATGCGGCATTGAAAATCTCCCCAGATCTCTTATCTTATCAGCCGTTCAATATTATCGCTGTCAATCGGGTCTCTGGGCTTTCAACACTACTTCTGCTGCCTTCGAAGCTCTGGTTTAGCCCGTCATCGCTCAGTCTAACCTAGGAAACAGCATCGGGAGCTCAGTCAAGGTCACTTTTGGTCCTCCCACGTCCGGTAGCTATGCTGGTTCTCACTCGGGCGTCTCAGGTGATAATTTCGCAGTGACAGCGTGACTTTTTTCTCGCCTTCTCGGCCGCCCGAGACTTGTTGACACATCATGCGCGGACAGGATTCGGTACCCAAGAACACCTTGGCGAGTTAGTTTGCGACAGAGAGCACGTATGCCACTATCAGTCTGCAAGGCGGTCCTGGTGTCCGTTACACTACCGAGTAACGCTGGTATGCGCTGCTTCCCACCTGGCGCTCGGCACATGTGTACTTCATCTCTACCGGCGCATTATCAACTCTGCTGATAAACCGAAGAAAGTGCTGAATAATGCTATCAAGCGGTACGAGAAGAACTGGAAGCCGACGTGGAGGGGAGTGGGCGCCGGACAGTGGCGCGTACGTAAATGAGGCGAACCCATTCAACAGAAAAGTTTGTGAAGGATTACTATGGCGACAACTACGAGAGGCTAAGTATCCCCAAGGCGAAGTGTTGTCTAAAAAATAGCTTCTTGGTGTCAACACGTGTTGGTTGCGATAGCTCGGACTGCTATCTTGATACTGAGAATTGTGTCGCATTTGAATGGCACCGTGGCACGCGGAATGACTTTTCGTTGTCGAAACTAACAGCCATTTTGATCTTCTTTATTTCTTGCTCGCTGTATGAGATCCTCCGTTTCCTGTCAGTAGAGCTGATAATATTTGTTATGTCTTGCGTAAGGCCCCCGTTCGCCTGGGTACAATATGGAGAAGCCCTATTGAGCATTTGATCACCTTCTGTAACCACGTGGCCCAGATCACATGATATCCTATTGTAGCAGGCACCACCTGGTGGGCAAGTGCACTTACCTGAAAGCTGAGAGCTTGTGTAACACAACAACAGAACATCACACAACACAACAACAGAACATCACACAACTCGACAACAGATAGCAATACAATTGTTGGACACAGTCTCCGACCGACACTGCTCGCGCAGTTACACCTTCGAACTAAAATGATCAGACGGTATCGTACAACGTACCGGTAATGCTGCCCTACACAGTGTCAGTAAGTGCACTCGCGATAAGACTGACACTGCAGCAGTTTTCTGGGTCACCCTCCGGCGACTTTGCCTAATACTCCAACACTCAATTGAATGCACGCCTTGCGGAGAACGATGCCTAAACGGTAGGCTTAAGCTATCACCATTTACATCCGGCACAGTATTCACTGCCCACATAAACTGAAACTTAGTAAGGCTGTTTCACTACCGACATCGTCAGTGACTGTGGGGGTGATGCAAGGCCCATACATACCACATACTGGTTAGGGAACCTTTATCGCTTCCATTCCCACTACCGCACCATTCTAAACTGAAAATCAGAAGCTACCAGCAATATGTGCGATCCTCGCTCTTCCCGCCGTTATTCCCAGTGGGATAGTCGCTCGGCCTATCCTCAAGATCGCCGCTTCATCAACGACAATGACTTCAACTCGGCCGCTGGCCTTCACAACATGTCTCGCCGTGAGCGCGAGGAGGTCTGGCGACGCGCCCAAGCTCGTGTGAACGATCCGTACTCTATGCCGTGCCAACGCTCTGGTGCTTACGCGACCATGGGCAACATTCATGCTGTCGAGGACGCTCGCGGCCGCCGCCGCCGCAACACCGGCGTCGATGAAGTCGCCAATCAGATGTCTCGTACGAATATGGGCAACTGTGGATCTCGTGGCCGCCGCTCTGGCTACAATGTCCACTGGGTTGACCAGTTTGCTGCCCCTGAACCTCCACGTACGCACCCCCGCAACGCCGAGTACTATCTCGATCGCGCATGCCGGCCTCGCAACACCTGGTGCCACAACTATAACGACGCCAACCAGTACATGAACGGTCGAAATCCAGGTCGTCGTACAGCGCCTGCCGACGGTCGCCGTGATCGTCACGATCCTCGTACCTACGCGGGCCTGAATCTTCGCTCAGGCCTCAACGGTGACCGCAACCGTGATCCTACAACTTCACGCTGGGACAGGATGCGCAACTGGTTCTGAGATTTTGAAAATATGTCATTCTTCATTTTTGCGCCATAGCTGTCGTTCAAAGGAAACTAAGGATGAATGGTACTGCAGGCGATGTACCAACTTAGAGGAGAAGTGGCTGAAGCAATGATTGACGGAATGGAGAGGCTTATGTGGTCAGATGCAGATTCAGACAACTGCCTGCCCAGCCATGATAGAAGACTAGAACCGGATCATGTAAAATATTGGCATTACTTGTGAAAATCAATATACCAGATGAAAGCACAGAATGAGTGACGGAAAATCGTACTGCTTGAATAGAGCCTCTCCCCCCGGTCGTTCGAAGGACGCAATGCCTATGGCAACTAAAGACACTGTCGACTTGCAGATTCTGGACAAAACTTTCCAACAATAAACACTGACCAGTGCATTCGTAATGTTGGTGCGGTGTATCCTTCGAGTATCGGCAGTAGTCTGGCGTTACTGCGCTCATCTGCAGCTCGCCGACTGGCATGATCGATAACTTCCGCTGCGGTGTCCGCACCACACAATTAATGAGCAATAGAGAAATAGGCTGGGTAAGAATCGGATGAAATGATGAAGTTGTTGACGTGGTGAGCGAGGTTGGTGATGACAAAGAGCTCGAAAGCCGAAGGCGGCGAGGGCCCGCGCTTGAACACCACCCCCACTTCAGCTCCCACATGCACCTGTTGACGCCTCCCATCACGATCGCGCCGTCTCCAATGACACACTTATGTATCTCAGACGCGCGTTCTCTTCTTCCCTCCACATAATAAACAACGCCCTTTCGAAATATATCTCCCCACTCCCAAGAGCGAGGTTCATCAGCACAACAATGGGCTCCACAACACAAAAACCGGTCCTCATATCCGGCGGAGGCATTGCGGCATTGCTGTTTGCAAGGTCGATGCTCCGCCAGAAGATCCCCTTCATCGTCTACGAACGCGATGCATCGATAGTGTTCCGCGCACAGGGTTATCGCCTGCGCCTCTCATCTGTCGGACTAGACGCTATCGAGTCAGTCCTTGGGCCAGAGGCTTTTGAAAGATTCTATGATGCCTGTGGTAAGACTGGAGGAGCAGGATTCGCAGCTATTGATCCTTTGACTGGCGAGACGCTTGGCAGCGACGCGCCAAGCGTAAGCAAGGAGACGCTCACAAGTCGAGGAGGCCAAGTCGTTGGCATCAGTCGCGGCGATATGCGCAAGATCTTCTCAGAAGGACTGGAAGACAATGTGCGCTGGAGCCATCACGTGACTGGGTATGAGAAGACTGAAGGCGGCGTTCGACTGATCTTCAAGGATGGCAGCAAGAGTGAGGAGGGAAGTCTGTTGGTCGGAGGGGAGGGTGTCAAGAGCCCAGTTGGAGGGCAGTTGTCGAATGGCGCAATCAAAGTCTACGATCTTGGTTCAAGAGGTATTCACGGACAGGCGCCCACCAGCGCGTTTAAGGGCCTAGGAGAGGGTGTGTTCCGTCTTGTAGATGATACCACTCAGCCCAACGGTGGAAAGGTCTTCATCATCACGAACGTCAGAGCCAACGATATGGGCAACCCAGATACCAACTTTGGCTGGACAATGGGTGGAAGTCCCGGCGTGATCACTGCGCCCAACGACAACTACACCATCATCGGCAAGCCAGCTGCTTCAATCGCCAAATCGTTGACTTCCCACTGGCATGAGCGTGTAAAACCATTGTTCGACAACATGGTCGAGGACGAGGCCGCATTCTGGAAAATCACATGCTCCGATCCAAAAGGCGTACCAGGATGGCCGAATGAATCGCGCGTGACCATCATTGGGGACGCTGTCCATGCCATGACACCTGCAGGAGGTAACGGTGCGAACACAGCAGTTCGCGATTCCGATCTCCTTGGTCGATTGGTCGGCGAAGCCTGGGCTCAAAGAAAGGGAGACACCTGGGAAGGCGTCACCGCCGCATATGAGAAAGAGATGCGTGAGTACGCCAGTGCCGCAGTCAAAGAGAGCTTTGGACAAGCGACAGAGCAATTTGGCATAAAGCTCGATCTTGCGACAGCGCCTACCGTCAACGAATACGTAGCTCCAAACTAGGCAAGATCTCACTGACGCAGTCGCTCTACTATTCACATGCTGCTTTACTCGAATCTTCCATAATTAGCAAGCCCGGTATCAGGTATGGACAACACGGATCGACGGCCTTTTGGACCAAGGGTTGATCAACTTAAGGGCCCATGGTCGGAAGATTCTGTCCTGCCTTGCCCCTTCGGACTTTTTTTGTGAGCTGCCTTCTTGGCTTTCTTCGGCCTTCAAGAGACATCCTACTGTGTTTTTCGGCCATATCATGCCATATCTAAGTGGCTCGGATAGGTGACCCGGTCTATCCTATGCGCTAGTCGCAGGTCGCGGAGTCAACTCCGTTGGCTCCACTGCGCTGCGCCATGCAAGCGCTAACACGGACTCCCAGATACAAATCACACCTCAACTTCTTCCCTCATCGTTTTGCTTCTGTATACTAAAATGTGGCAGTACGTATTTGCGGCCGTGGTGTTGTACGCAGGATGGAGCTGTGTAACACTCCAAATCAATCACAAACGTGCATCATCCATGGGCATACCGCTAGTGCGCGTACCTGTTGATGGCCTCAATGTTCCATGGCAGGTGCTTGGTGCACTGATGTTCAAGATTCTCGATGGTTTGACCTCGCATACTTTGCCGACTTTCATTCACTACACTCGAAGGGGCTGGTTCTGGAAGGACAAAGCGGCATCGCATCTTCGCTACGGACCAGTGTGGGCAACAGTCACCCCAAAAAGTACATGGGTGCAGCTCGGCGACCCTGATGCGGTTTACGAACTGTTCTCACGGAAACAAGATTTCATCAGACCTCATGAGAATTACAGTGAGCACACTTCCAACATTGCTGTCAATCATGCTGACACAACACTCAGAGCCGTTAGGGCTGTATGGGCCCAACATCCTCACAGTCAATGCGCAGCAATGGCCACGCCATAGGAAACTCGTCGCTTCGCCGTTCAACGAGAGCATCATGAAGTTCGTGTGGAAAGAATCCACTAGGCAAGCAACGCAGATGATAGCTTCTTGGGCAGACTTGGGGACCTCCAGCATCGCAGAGGACACACGCACAGTCTCGCTGAACGTGCTCGCTGCTACCGGCTTTCGAAAGTCGTTTGACTTCCAATCAGAGAGCAGCCATAGAGCGAGGACTGGTACGCCGGCTGCCTCCACCTACCGCGATGCATTGTGCAAAGTACTTGATAACATCATCCTCTTGCTGATATTTCCTACTCGGATTCTGTCGCTATCATTCCTACCTTGCTCCTTCAAATCCATTGGTGAAGCGGCGGTAGACTACAGAAAGCATATGGAGCTTATGTTGCAAGAGGAAACGGCTGCGGTAGAAAGAGGCGAGCAAGGTTCGGGGAGTCTTATGACTTCATTCGTGAAGGCTTTGAAGGCGGGTGAAATCGCAGCCAGTGACCTGCAGACATCACGAGGTCTGTCCGTCGACGAGGTTATCGGGAATGTCTTCATCATTAACTTCGCTGGTCATGACACGACCGCTAACACGCTCGCATTTGCACTCTGCCTGCTTGCGTCAGAGCCAGAGATACAACGATGGCTGGCAGAAGAACTTGATGCGGTCACGAAAGACGATGACAGCTGGGACTACGAACGCTTGTACCCCAGCCTGATGCGCTGTCGAGCAATCTTAGTAAGTCAAAAACCTTGCTCGCATCAACCCAAGACCCACAAAGGGACCGGTGCTCACCACCCACTGCGGGCCGACTTTCTAACAGCACCGCAGTACGAAACATTGCGCATGTATCCGCCTGTTATGGCGCTGCCAAAGCATACATCTTCTACACCGCAACGACTACAAGTCGGTGATCGTGAGATCGTGATACCCGCCAACGTGCACGTTCAACCAAGTCTCTTGGCACTCCACATGCACCCAAAGTACTGGGTTCAGCCCGAAAAATGGAACCCTCAGCGGTGGATTACTCGCGCGTCTGGCGATAGTGCCGATCAGGGTGAGGCGCTTGTCAAGCCAAGAAGAGGCACGTACTTCCCCTGGTCAGAGGGACCAATGAACTGCCCAGGGCGCAAGTTCTCAGAAGTCGAGTTCACAGCGGTGATCGCTTGCTTGATGAGAACGCACCGACTCAGCATTGTCAAAGAATTAGGAGAGAGCGAGCAGCAGTCGCAGCAACGAACTTATAAGGTCGTGAACGATTGTGACGACCAAATGTTACTCAAGATGCGAGCCCCTGAAAGGGTCAGGCTGAGATGCGAACAGAGGATTTGAATGCAAGGCTTCAGGCGTTTGAGGCTTCATTATTCGGGCCGTTGAGGTCAGTTCGTCCTGGGAAACGGCTTATCCAAACATCTTCTCCGCCTTCAATTTGTTTTCTTACCGCGTGCTCTCGATAGCGACCTCTCTGGTGACTTTAATTCCATTTCCCAGTATATGCTCCTTTGAACTACACTTAACGTCTTAGAATCACCTAACTCTACCCACTCTTCGTCTCGACCGTTGACCTTGCTTTTGTTGGTCGCTTCGCGTAGCATTGACTAGGAGTATTGTAGGCTCCGGTGGTGTCGCCAGCGAGTTTGAATACGCGGCGAAAGAGAGGACGCGAGGGTTTGCGCGGGATTGCATTTGCCCCCTTTGATTGACAAGCCGCAACAGGCCAGCAGGGGAAGATAATATAAAGTATGGCGATGAGATTCATTGCTGTAAACATCGCCGATACTACGTACAGACTGTACGTATACTTCACTCTGCCCGAGGCGGTGCGCATCAACATGAGCGAGATGCTAAGCTTGATGGGAATGGTGGCTGCACAGTAGAAGACCTCAAAAAAAGAAGTACTGCTTTTATGAGTAATTGCAAGATGTAGCACTGTAGGGCTTTGTTGGACGCATCTACATGCCCGTCTTCATCTGCTCCGTGTTGAGCTTTGCCAGGTGGATCCCGATGCCGTTATATGCACCTCCGATGCAGAGGGCGGTGAGCGCTAGGAATAGGATCTGAAGGGTCAGTATACTGTGGCCGACAGATATCACGTTTGCCACGTGCTGCTGCAGCCGTCATAGACCAGTCATCCATGCCAAACGCCCCAATGCGAATTCGTGTGTAGACGCGGAGCCCGAAGGTCACATACGTGATAATAGCGAGGGTAATGACCGATCCAGCAAGTTGAGGCGCATTATCTCCGTAGTAAACCATGTTGGAACGATGATGGAGAAGGGTTCAAAAGGGTAGAAAGGTCCGAGTGGGAAAACAGCAGCATACAGGTACAAAAGGCTCAAGAGATGGGGTAGATATGGGTCCGGGGCGAGAGTTAAACTTACCATGAGATTGCGTACGAATCACATATCCTGCTTATGAGTCAAAGCTGACATCTGAAGCAGGGTAGACCAGGTGATAGTATACACCCAGGGTTATCGCCTAAGAAAGGAATTGCTGTGCCGTAGGATCTCTGCAGATGCAGAATTGATTGCTGATAAAGTACCGCAAGCAGCGGATCGTGGTCGGTCTGAAGGATCCGAGCAGTGAACTAGGGCTTCTCAATGGGAGGCTTACCCCATTTCTCGAGCCATTTCCAGTAAGAGATCATGTAACGTCGCATCCAGCGTACGCAATGTTTTCCCTTGCGATGGCAGTCTGAGGTAGTCTGTGGTTCTGACAATGTGACAAGCTCTCGCGGACCTTGACGATCTGTTTCGGCGGAAGACCCGCAATTTTTGAGCTCATGTGCAATCTGCAAATACAGCCTATCGAAAGAGAGCACATACTATAAGGGAAATGGTGTTAATAGTTATGGGTTTTGACGCTCGCAAGTCGTCCTGAGTTCAGGCGTCCCGCGTGGGTGCTCGTCTCACTTAGTCACGGCGCTTTCTACACAAGCAAGCTAACTATCGATACTGTAACGGTGCGGGAAGCGGGTCGCCTTCGCTTCGTGCGTCTAAATTGAACTCGAATCCAGTGATGAGCGGCGCAGGTGTTGAGGTTGGCGCGGCTCGGCCCATTGGTTTGACTTGACATGCGTGTCTCTTGAACTCTTCCACCTTTTTGAATTACCGATATTTGAAGCTGTGAGGCTGCACCTTAGGTAGCGCTCTGCACCTAGCGGACAGATCAGAATCTGCCCGCCTTTTGCCAGCACTTCATCCAGAGGCAAGAGCTGCTGAAAAACGGAACGGTCCTCGAGAAACCGACATTTGTGGTCGAATTATGACATATGCAAGATCCATGCTCATCGCGTCTACGTTCCATCATGGAGTCCTACTGTTTGAAGGCCAGTGGGACGGTGCAAAGACATCTCTCATTCGTTACCTCACTCGGCAAGTCCAACAATTGATAACCGGTGTTTGAGATCGGTCAGCGACGGCGTCCATAATCTTCAAGGGCATTAACACCATGAATGACTACAGATATAACAGAGCTAGCTTGTGGCTGTCGACTCTTCCGACTTCGTCTTTCTACTTTTCGACGATGGGGTCTCCGGTCATCTGGCGCGGGCCCTTGGAAGCAGCGTCACCCGTCGTCACAAACGTCTACTGCGATTGCGCCAGCAGAATGTTAAAATTCATGCTCGCACGTCTTTGTCTATATGCCAAATTTTATTGTTTCCAAGTGTTTCCCTCTTCCAGTTGTACTGCATTTAGCATCTGAAACATCTGAGAATGGTTCCCCCATTGGTGCGCTGGCCCTTGATTTGCTCTTCCTACTGCTATGTGTCACGAGTTCACTTGGTCGCAGATTCTTCCTTACTTTAATTAAGATCGTGCTCTCTGGCTGGCTGGTATTTAATAAGAGCCTACGACTTGTCTCTCTGGCGACGCATACGTAGCGACTCGTATTAACGCAAGGCTTACTCTGTCGATTTAAGTCATCTTTTTTTTGCACATCAGTCTACTTCACCCTTAATAAATGGTTCATCCGGTGTAGAAATCTTGCGTATGGCGTTTACAATGCCACCTCTGGTGTATCAGGTCTAGTGCTTCTTTTCCCCTGGGGACATTGCTTTGCATGAAGGACTTTGGCGTCACGTTGCGATTGAGTTTCTTAGCTCCCACAATTCTCAGTGTACCTGCACGTTGTTTGATCAGGCCTCCACTGCTAGCACACATAAGGTCGCCACCGAAAGACCCGAGAGCAGCATTTCTAGCCGAACGACAATCGCCTTTGTATTCCGATCTTCTCACTCCTTCAGCCATTGTTATTTCCGCATCTGAATTCCTCCCAAGACCTGAGATTCCTATTTTCTGTCACTCTCCTTCCATCGTGCGCATACACCCTTGGCCTCGATGCGTCGAAGGCGTCTCACCCTCCCAACATATCTGTACTATGCGAAGTTCCCAAATTCATTTTGCTGAGCTGATTCTCTCATCGTATCTCGATATAGATTCCGCACTCGCGATTCGCTCCCATCTCCGTTGTAGGAGATCAATTTCCCTGGAGGTCGGCTAATTCATGCTCGATGCTATCCATCCTTTCTTCCACAAAAGTTCTTTCCAAAAAGGTTTTCTTCGAACTGCTGTACAGCGCCTCTCGGTTGATAGATCATTCTTGCTATCGTAAGGAAGAGCGCTGCCGTGCAAGGTGAAAACGTAGTAGTAAGCAAAACTATTGTACTGTTCGTCTGGCTCGACCTGCTCTGTGGCATCGCCGACTCTCATATCTGCTTCTATGATTTCTCTTTCTTGTTTAGTTAGTAAGTTATAGAATTCTAACTGCGTTATATGCACGTTGCAACCCTGCCTGTAACACTAGCACTTACTAAAGCGCCCAGCATAAACACCAACCTTGCATAACTACACGCTTACACTATACACAACTCAACAATAATTAATTCATTGAAACCCGTCAAATCTGATTATAGTATAACAAGATGAAGTATACTTTACAGGACTATAATAGGGTTCTTTGGGCCAGAATAGGATTGGATTTTAGTAGGGTATTAGCAGAGTGTCTAACACACCCTTATGTCCGACGCACCTGTGGAGTACTTTGGCTCTTATATTATAATAGGCTTTATTAACTAGATAAACTCGTTGCATTGTGGTCCTCTCCTTGCTCGTCCCCTACTGCTTCATTAACGCCTCCAGCGTCTTCCTTGTCCCCTCAACAATCAACTTATGCTCCACAGTATGCATCCTCTCCGCAAGTTGCTCCTCAGTTTCGCCAACTCTAATCTCCACCTCTCTTGTCACGATCGCGTCCCCTGCATCCACCTCCGCGATGACCTCATGTATCATCACACCCGTCCGCTTCAATTCCTCCTTCTGCCCCGCCTCCCACGCCCTGCCTATCGCATTCGCGCCCGCAAACTCGCCTGGCAGTGCGGGATGTAGGTTGATGATCCTGATGCCCGCTTCAGCAATCGGATTGAGGAAGTTGGGCGTGACAATGTGCATCCAGCCTGCACAGACGATCAGGTCTGTTCTTGGGGCATGGTTAATGATCATGTTCGCGAGGTCGGCATCGTATTCGCTGCGCGCGAGGTCGAGATCTGAGGGGTGCTTCTTCTTGTAAGGGATGAGGTTGTGGTAGGAAGTTGGTATGCTGGCTTTTGAAGCGCGTTCGAGGCCGTATGCTGCTTTGCGACTGCCTGTAGTCAGAGTGCGGTTGCCTTATCTAAGCGTAGATATGTTTACTTTGAGATCACATGTACGATTTTCGCGTTTGGGAGCGCGTCGGTGCCGCACGCATCGATGAGGGCTTGTAGGTTCGAGCCATTGCCCGAGATCAAGACTGTGAGATTCTTGCCCGTCATTCTGTGGTGTGTGGGGCCAAGTACGAAAGAGCCTGGAGGCAACGTACGCGCTCGTTTCAGTAACAACCTCAAGGTTGAGGCTCTGTGCCTAAAATTTGAGGGACGTGGGGGGTGGGGTAATCCTTGGTATTACCCCGCCGTATCACGTGATCTCGGAGGTGATCATCAAAGTCCGCAGTCTGAGGCTGACGAACATCTTGGTGCTGCACTACCACGATCTCCGGCACAATTGAAACTCCTGCGTAAAACTTGTTGATCTAGCTTTGTGTAGACCCTTGGCTTGGTTTACTGTTCTATCCGCATCATTCCTTAATACTGGCGAGGTCTTGGAGTAGAAAGAGGTGGAAAGGTTTTTGAGGACAGCACTCACCTCGACAGATGCAACCTCTCTATGTCGATTGCCTTGGAGAATGATTGCTGTTACACAAAGGCCTTAGCTACGCCTTTGCCTTGAGCAGCGTAAACGCTGAGCGGTTTCTACTTTATAACAACATCCGAAGACACATGGATTGTCTAAGCAAAGCGGATATCGAACGAAGCAAGACGTCAGTACCGGTATGGATTTGAAATCGGCGGAACAATATTTCCACAAGATATGCGGACATACGCAATAGTGTCTTCTGTTGTGGCCATCGACTTCATGGGTGCTATCACTGTCCTCTTAGCAGTTCACCAAGGAAAGCTAGCCCTTGATTGGGGTGAGCAGATCACTGAGAGCACTCTCGACTGTCTCTGCGGGGATTCGATTGACGCTGCTGGTTGTTGTTTCTCAAATTCTTTCCGAAGAAACAGCGCAGCGGTTCCTCAACCACTCTCACATCCACAGTACAGGGACTCGGTTCTGGCGAGTCGCGACCGAGGGTCCAGGGGTCCCTGAAGCGATCCGGTTGCGTACTGCGGCACGATCCAGTTACCTCTTCGCCTCAATGACTATTTGTTGGTCCGTCCATACAACAGGCCGACCGCACTACAGAGTGCACGCTCGTTGCTTCATCGATTTCCAAACATCAGATGCTTTGCACACACCACAAAGGCACAGAAGCAGCTGCGTCTTTATTGCGAAGCGCGACGCTTTAGGTGTCTCTGCGCCCGATCTTGTCGCAGTGATACTTACATGCGCTGTGACCGCTACGGACAGCTCGGAGCACTAAACTCGTGTTTTTCCCTGGTTCCCGTATCGAGTGCTCGAGAGTCGTGAGTAACGCGAACTACTGCACCCTATCACATACGATTCTGGAAGGTGTCAATCCGCAACCGAGCATCTGTACATAAGAAGATCCAATCACTAGATAGCTCAAGCTCAAAAAGGCCTAGTTTTATAAAAGAGCCGGCAAATGTCGACGGAGTCGGCATGTCAACGAAGCCACCTGCCGCCATACCGCCCTAGAAAGGTGCTACCATGGTGACACAAGACCCATGGGTGAAGTCACATGGCGTATATAGAGGTTTCAATTGGCTTGAGGTCACGTTTTCCCGATGACATGCCTTCATATGCCGCCGAGACTAGGCCTATCATACACCCCCTCGAACGGCACTTCAAGCCGGATCTCAGCTGATAGTGTCGCAAGATGTACTGATCTGCCAGTCCTACGCCTGTTTGAATCTGGCCCCTTCATACAAAGCTGATGTTTCGTGCGAATACGACGTGCGTCCAGCAAGTGAGGAGCTGCAGCAGCGCGCAGCTCTTGCAGCTTTGCTTTGGATTGGTCAAACTCCAATTGAGATTGTGCAATGTAACTGTCGTGCGGTCTATAAGGATCTGGCGCACGTGTTCCCATGGGACATCACAGTGCTTACTGCACAGTGCTCACTGCACAGGCCCCATAGCCAGCCACCCGGGTTTCCCGCAATACGCGAGGAACTGTCCAACATAGCAGCCACGTGCCAGCTTTGACCCCATACAGGCGCAGTCACGTTAGCAATCACACTGCATCTTCCATAATAGTCAATGATCTGACGATACCTTGCAATGATAAGTTCGTATCGCAGCACCCTTACAATCTATCCGCTGTAGAGGCGCGCCTTGAGGCCCCAGCCATCACGCGAGATCAACACACGATCATGTAGTGTTAGGTGCGGCGCCATTTTAATGTATCATAGGAATCCCTCCCGAACGGTGCGGGCGCGGCGTCATTAGTTACCACTCCGGGACGGTGCGGCCGATCACGTTATTCCGCAATTGCTCAACTCACTGTGCCAAGGAGTCCCAGGTATATACGGTATTATGCCGAAAGAGCAGCCGATAAGGCTCTCATTGCTTGATTGATTGTTCGAAAACCTGAAATCACGCCCGGCACCGCACGACGACGTTGTAACGATACGTCATCAGAAACAATTGGCGATGCCCTAACGTTAAACTCCAACAATGATGCCTTGTAATCTGAGCCTCTGAGGTCCCAGGGTGCTGGGCCCCCTCCCGGTAACCGACCGCAAACCGCGTAGGCGTCAATGGTCGTTCGGCCCGAAACGCTTCTTCGGCGATCATATGGGCTTAGCATACCTACAGAACATAGGTGCACCGCATTGAACTCGTCATTAAGCCTCGAATCATGACAGCACATGCATCGCGGGGAACATCTCGCGGCGTAACTTGGTGTGACCCTCGGTGCACGCATCTACAAGTAAGCCTCCACGACCTACAGACGATCGGCTAAGTTGCCCGCACAACATATACTATATCTGAGTTAGCACTTGTTTCTGTTCTGTGTTAGCCCCTTCACTTGTACGAGAGTACTCCTCCCCCGCCAAGCATTAGAATGAACCTCTTGGTCTTTGTAACCTTCGCTTTTCTTGCTCCGTCCTCTTCTCGCTACCCGTCTCGATCTACTATATCTTCACGAAGTCAAAAGTGAGCGCAGCAGGCAGCTAACGCTCGGATTTCCGCTTCCATGCCAGTGTAAGTGTACTGAGGTTTGCTTGGGCTAGGAAAGTGGATGCCAGCCTTGGAAGGATCACTCTACTGCACCTGCCATATCCGACGTTGAAACACCAACATTGGCCGATATACCCCCGAATTTAGTCACTTAGTTCGATCTTACGGAGCATGCCTATGCAGGATGCATCTCCGGTTCTCTTCCAAGCTGATGGTCACTCAGTACCAATGGCCACAGCACGTCGGTCTCGATTGTGATATGATGGTTAGATAGTCTGAATGTCTATCACCAAGGCCTAGTTTCACAATCCGCTTGCGATTAAAGTTTACCTGTGTCCCTATAATCGCTTTCAATCTGTCCCATTACGATGGTTTTCTTCGATTCTAAAGATCTCATGGACAAACGACAACCAATGGAACTGCCCCCTTTGAGCGTCATTCTATCTTGGCCTCTACCAAACTACAACGACCCTGTCACTCGGGGCAACGCGCTTGTCATTGCCAATGCTATATTCCTGACTTTGGTGCTGATTGTTGTGTCACTGCGTCTGTACTGCCGACTAGCAGTTCGAATATGGTTCGGGCCTGATGATCTCTTCATTCTCGCAGCTTTGGTGTGTGCCAAACCCTGGAAGAAGTTTCCGTCTTCGAAGTTCCTAGTACTAACACTCGAAGTTCTTCACTATCTGCCTAACCGCGGTTGTCATCCTGGCTAATGAACACTTTGGATGTAAGTATCCCCGTACCTATTCAATGGTACTGACCTGACACCGGCAAGGGAACAAACACATCTGGGATATTCCATTAGAGTCATTGTCATCGAGTCTCAAAATTGGGTTGGTCGCTAAGATAGCATATATATGGGCGGCGTCATGTACAAGGCTGTCTCTGCATTTTTTCTACTATAGGCTTACGGGAGGCGCCAACAAGCCGTGGTTCAAATGGCTCGTCCACGCGAATGTTGCGTTGACCGTTTCTATACTAATAACCGTCACGTAAGCTCCTCATATGACCCTTGAGCATCTCGATTGCAGTCATAGAGCACTGACTTGGAAATAGGTTTGTGTCGATCTTCGCATGTCACCCGGTGTCAGACTACTGGAAAATTGGTTCGGCTCCCGGCACATGCCTTGATGAGGGCGCCTCGGGCTTGGGCAGCGGTATTGTCAATTGCATTGCAGATTTCACGACCTGGCTCACACCCATACCGCTGGTGATCGGTGTCAGTACTCATTCTTACTTTTGAACCACAATGCTGACCATACTTAGCTTCAAATGCCCCTCAGACAACGAATTAGCATTATCGCGCTGTTTGCTTTAGGCATCATTGTGACTATAATTGGGATCGTTCGGACATGGTTCATCTACAAGGCCATACTGACGGCAGATATCACCTGGCATACCTATCCATTGTGGATCGCCGCCGCCGTCGAAATCGATCTTGGCGTCATATGTGCATCAGCTCCGGTTCTTCGTCCTCTGATTATCTCGATGCGCAACAAAATGAGCGTTGCGTCCGCATCCAGTGGTTTGTTTAAGAAGCCGTATTTCGAGGTGTTCGATCCTTCTCAACGGTCAGATCTGAAGGTCAAGGAACCAGATACATCGAGTACCTTCTCAGCGTTGCCAATCCAGAGACCTGAGAGTGCTCTAATAGACTTGGAGCTCGGGGACGTTTCCAAACACAGCCGTATGTGCGAGAGTCTTTACACAGATATTGATCCAGAGCTAAGATCATTCAAGGTCATCATTCAGAACCGAGGCAGCACCACCACTATTAGCGGCGCCCGTGAAAGACACAACAGGTCGCACAATAGCTAGTAGTAACCGAGATCATGCTGTGGAGCATAGGTTGGTCAGGTGTTGGAGAAAGCAGTGAGCGTGGTGACGAAGGGGCACCAAAGTAGCTACGAATCATATTGCTTTACAAATGACAACATCAGCAATGATCTAAGGCCAGATCTCGCGCCTATAAACGGTAGAGGTGAAGACGACGACCTGTCTTAGCGTCAGGCTTCAGAAGAGGCGCAGTGAATTTATCAGAACAAGAACGGGCGTTCTAACTTCTCTCGAGAGGGTAGATGCAGACAGCTACGGTAGTATTGGCGCTATGCAAATCTTGCCTACTATTTTTTTCTGGAAAGACACCGAAAGACACCGTCAGAAACAATCATCCCATTCACCTCCTTCCTTGCTGGACCTTCGGTACAACAAGCCAGTCGCACCACACCTTGGTCGAGAATCCGCAGCGCCTGCGCTACAGGAGATTGCACGTTCCTGATTGGAATATGATACCTGCGCTAGCCTTACATTACCTATCGGATTTTGAATGTGTTAGAATGTACCACAAAACACTTTCATGTCCAAGTTTCATTATTCTCAATATCAAATGGCTAGGGGACAGGCTGACCTCCAAATTGAGAGCCATTTCGAGGTGGGCTCGCGTCAACGCAACTTTCTTCGCTGCGGGCCGCAGATTGTCCGTCACTGCAGCAGTCTGCTCTCTATACCCTTGCGTGCGGCACTACACTTTGTCGTCAACGATAAGGCCAAGGAGATTCATGTCAGATCAGGCGTCATGCGAGTATACCTGCTTGATGCCTTGTCTAAAGCAGCAGATGGTGTGGCAAACCAAGACGCTCTCCCCAGCGAGAAGAGGTACCATACATCTGTCTGGAAGGACAGTATCTTACCTCTTTGCTTCTATGGCCGCAACATTGTAGTTGTTTTGTTTACAAGCACAAACATCAGAACAACTAGCACTGTTCACGAAAAGCTGGTGGTGGTCCTGATGAGCAGAGTACGCTACTCTGATCCAAAGACATGGATAAAATTAGTCCAAACATACCAGTCACTCTCTGTTGGATCTACGATCCCAAGCCCAGCTTCTGTGGCGGTACCGTGGATGCACTGACCCTGCCCAAATGACTACAGTGGATATGGCACCGCAAGACGCACAAAAGAGGTTCCAGCGGATATTACCTTCTCGGTTCTGATGAAGTCACAGGTCCCCAACTGATTAGGGGCGTGAAGAAGGACGCAGGCGAAATAGCGCTTGAAAATGGACACGACCATGAAGAAAGCTGTATTTGACTACATCCCTGTCACACTTTACTGCTGCTTCCTTCAATTCACTTGCTTCGCACAGTCGATGCAACTCATATCCCGAGGAAGGACACAAGGGCGACCGGTCCCCATAGTGATTACTCTGAGAGATCGTACAAAGGATATAAAGTTTCTGCGAAATTTGTGAGGTTGGTCAAGAAGCACGTGCTCGATCGACCTACCAGTGTGTCACAGCCCGCGGGCCGCCAGCGCGCCAATCACATCACACCGGAGACTTTACTGATGAGCGAGCAAGCTGCTGACACACGCCGGGAGCGGATACGCATCACATCCGTCGCGACTGCTGACCTCGCAAGCTTACAAACTCCAGACACGACGTGCTCTCAGCAAGGACGCGTTCGCTGCGCCGCCTCAAACATGGCATTTGGCGTGCAAAATGTAGGCGTTCCAATTCCGGAACACGATAGCGCTATACCGCGCTCGCTAGAAACTATTTTTTTTCGTCCGTGGAACGGCGCGACAGGTGCTAAGCTGGTGGCTCCTGCGCCAGAGGTAGGTATATGAGTATCTCACAGCTCATCTATGCATCGTTCTACAAATTCATTTCGCAATTATTTCAAGATACACACTCTTCTTTGCTATCTTTCAGCGACCTCCTGCTCTTGTCGGCCCCTTCACCATGGCGGAACAGCGCAACATCGTCGTCCTCGGCGCCTCAGCCGCGGGTCTCCAGAGTACTCACTACATCATGAAGCACATCCTACCGGCCCTTAAGAAGAGCAAGACAGACGCAAAGTATCACGTCTACCTCATCAATCCCTCCTCAGACTGGTGGTTCCGCATTGCCTCCCCCCGAGTCGCCGCGTCCACAACACGCATGTCCACGGAGCAGATCCTCTTCGACGTGCGCCCGGGTCTGAAGCAATACTCCAGCAGCGACATTACCTTCATCGAAGGCACTGCCACTGGTCTCAGCGAGCAGACCCGCTTCGTGACATACCGCCGCGCCGGCGCCAGCGCGGAAGAAGCGCTCCCCTACCACGCCCTGATCGTCGCAACAGGGAGCCGCACCCACCACCAAGCGTTCTCCATGAGCGGCTCCACCAGCACAACCCTGGCTAGTGTTGCGCTCACCAACGAAAAAGTGCAGAGCGCAAAGGACATCGTCATCGTCGGCGGCGGTCCCACGGCCGTCGAGTTCGCAGGCGAGGTCGCCGAGCACCGCAACGGGAAACCAGGCCGGTTCCGCACCGCCCCCAAGAAAGTCAACATCACCATCGTCACCGCGTCCGACACCCTTCTCCCCGCGCTGCGCCCCGCGATCGCGCAAGCCGCTGACGCCAAGCTGCGCGCCCTCGGCGTCGACGTGCGGTACGGCCAGCGCGTGCGTGACGCGTCCGAGACCGCGGGCCGCACAACCGTCACGCTCGCCTCGGGCGCCAGCATCGACGCAGACCTGTACGTGCCGGCGCACGGCGTGGAGCCGAACTCGGCGTTCCTGCCCGCCCATCTGCTCGACGAGAGAAAGTACCTGCGCACCAACGAGGGGACGCTGCGCGTCGACGCCGCGGGGCCGCGTGTGTATGCCGCCGGCGACGTGGCGAGCTATTCGCGCAACAGCATGATCGACATCGTGAACTCACTGCCGGTGCTGTTCGTTAATCTGAAGCGCGATTTGCTCGCGTTCGATGCGGGACTGCCGGATGCGAAGCCCAAGGGTGTGGATCGCGTCTATGTCCGGGAAGAGAGGGAGATGCAGATTGTGCCTATTGGGAGCGGGGGCGGCGTTGGCGCGGTCATGGGGTGGAAGGTGCCGAGCTGGTTCGTGTGGATGCTGAAGGGGAGGGATTACATGGTTGGCATGTCTGGTGCGCCGACGGTGAGTGGAGAGAGCATGAAGAAGGAGGTTGTGTGGACTAAGGAGGAGGCCGTTATTTGAGCTGGGGCTGGGCTTTGCGTTGGTCGGCGTTTGTGTGGTGTGGGTCCTTGTGTTGGGTTATTTTGTAGATGGTTTGAGCGTATACCATAATCTTTCACCTTTCTTAGCTCACAATAGCGCATCTTGCAATATACCAGTCAATATCAGCATTCCTATCCGCTGTGTTCGATTTCAACTTCGGGTCTGTCAGAATATCCATAGCTGCAACTCTGCTCTACGCGTCTATCAGAACATGCTATACACTGTACCCCCACCAGCCAATCTACAAAGCACCAAGCTCCTTCAGCTTGCTAATCATGCCATCCACATCCTCAACCTTAACACCGGCCTTCCGTGTCGGCGGCTCTGTAACCTTGACCGTCTTGAGCCTCACCTCGCTATCCAGCCCATAATCAGCCAGCGTCTTCTTATCGAGCTTCTTCTTCTTTGCCTTCATGATATTGGGCAGACTCGCATACCGCGGCTCATTCAGCCTCAAATCCGTCGTAATAATCATCGGCAGCTTCGTCCGCAGCGTCTCGACACCGCCATCCACCTCGCGCACAACCTCGACATTCTCGCCGTCAATCGTGACCTTGGACGCCTGCGTGGCCTGCGGCCAGTTCAGCAGCCCCGCGAGCATCTGCCCCGTCTGCCCCGCGTCATCGTCGATACTCTGCTTGCCCAGGATAACGAGGTTGCTCTTCTGCTCGTCGACGACTTTGCGCAGCAGTTTCGCCACGCCTAGCGGCTCCAGCGCGTCTTTCTCTTCGACCACCACGTGGATGCCCCGGTCTGCGCCCATAGCCATGGCTGTGCGCAGGATATCCTGCGCTTTTGGGGGCCCGGCGCTGAAGGCGACGATTTCCTCCACGGGGGTGGTTTTCTTCTCGCGCAGGCGCACGGCTTCTTCGATCGAGAGCTCGTCGAACGGGTTCATCGAGTGTTTTACGTTTGCGGTTTCGACGGCGGTCTGGGCGCGGTTCACGCGCGGTTTGACCTGCGGGGGGTTAGTGCTGCGTCGTGAGGGATGGTGGTCTGCAATATCGGGGGTCGAGGGGCGTTGCGTTGAGTGCTGGCGTGGATCGTGAGCTTACCGCGTAGTCGATGACCCGCTTGACGGGGACCAGAATCCTGAGACCAGACATGTTGACTTCGATCTGCTCTTTGAGAATTGCGGCTGAGGATGCGCAATTGCTAGAGGAACGCAGCCGGCAAGAGTGGGGATAGCATCGGTGCTCATGCTGAACCCAAGGCCGAGGTCGATTTTGCCGTGCCAAGGCCGCAATGATGTCAATGGATGTGTGGACCCTTGCCTTGCCGTCTGACCTACGACACCACATCGAGTTGCAAAATGGACTCGACTCGGACGCTTGTTATGCACAGTGAATTGCTTTACCATGACGAAGCGAAACCCGGGAGTTCTTCTGGTCACCGGGTTCTGCGCTTGGGATGCTTATGCCTACCACATGCACACCAGTGACTTTCGATTTCAAGATGCAACGAGCATTTCGTCCATTGATTCAAGACAGCATCTTCTCAACCCCCTCAGCCAAGTCCTCACAACTACAGCAGAACCCAAAAGTATGCGCAGCATTATACTCCCAGCACTCCTGCGCGAACCCCGGACTACTAGTCGCACTCCCATCGCTCAACAAGACACAATCAAAGCCCTTGCTAAACGCATCCATTAGCGTGCCGCCCACACACTGATCCGTATTGACGCCAGCAAACAGACACGTCGCGATGCCCTCTTTCTCCAGGAACTCTTGCAACGGCGTCGTCGCGCCCCACAGCCCGGACATGCGGTTCTTGTGCACCCACACGTCGGGCCTGGTGCGCAGCGCTCGACCTTGATCGTACAGCGCCCGCAATGGAGGGTACAAGTCCGCGTTCCAAGTATCCCGCATCAGCAGGCGCCCGGCATCGACCTCACCCCCGCCCTCGTCGTCCGAGAGACGGATGGTGCCCATCGCGCTCCCAAGCCCCGTGCTAGCCCCCTCCGCAACATGGCCATGCTTATCGACCCCCACCGCACCTCCACCACCACCGTACGCTGCAGAAGAGAATCCAAATGCCCTCGTCACTCCCGCCGGCATGTCCCGAACCTCGTCGTCCGTCAACCCCCAATTGACCCACACAACTCTCACCCCCGCTTTGCGCGCCGCCGGCACCGCGCGCTCGAGCAGCTGCTTACACGCCCTGTGCCCGGGGCTGTCGGTCGACCGGCCCAGCGCGGGCGAGAGGAAGAAGTTCTGCATATCGATTACGACGAGAGCGGATTTGGCGGGGTCGAGGGTTATGGGCGAGGTTGTGGTTCGGAGCGTGAGCATGCCGCTGCTGCTGGGGGGTCCATTGGGGTCGGGGTTGTTGGTGGGAGATGGACGGGACAGGTCGAAGCCGGCTTTACTTGAGTGGCGCCAGGAATTCGAGGGGGGGCCTATGGTTGCTTTGCGGTGTTCTGGGGTGCTGGGTGCGCTGGATGCCATGGTGTTGATGTAGTGTGTTTCAAGTCGAGTGCTGGTCGTGATTTCGCAGACGGCTTGGTGATCTCGAGACGATACCAAGGCACTGACTGCGTCACCGTCTGCTCGCCAGAGCGAGGACGCGATATATACCCGATTAGATGACGGACCAGATAAGGCAGGTACTCTCCCGTTGCGGGGTAGGTGGGCGTATCTCCGGATCTACCTCTCATGCGGTTGATGCTTATCTTGACGCCGCGGGCTCTGTCACTAACGGCGCAAAGTCGGAGGAACATGATCTGGAAGTACGTTGATGCTGGTGAAGGTAAGCCACGTGCTCGTCACGATCGTCGCTGGTAATCTTCTTTTATATGGGGATTTCGTAGTACCTTGGAACTCAGCAATTCGCTGCGCCCGAGAGGTTCAAGTCTTACATGGTCCGTTCCATTGCTCTGAGGCTCACGGGACGGCTAATTACCCTGCGCAAACCGCTTCATCCTCTCCTCCGCAGCCCTCGCCCTCCTCTCCCTTTCAAGTCTGGCCTGCGCCTCAGGCGTCAACCCCCTAGCCTGCTCCTCTCTAACCTGCGCACCCGTCTTCTCCAGCAGCCTGCCAAGCGCGTTTCCCTTACCGAGTCTCTGCGTCGTCCTCGCCGCCTCAGCAGCCTCGCTTTCCTTCCTCACGCGCTCAGTCTCGGCCTTGCGACGCTCGGCTTCTGCGTGCGACTCCGCGGCTCTTTCGGACTTGTCTTGCTCGTCGCGCGCCGTTGCTTCGGCGCGAGTCAGGGCCGCGGGAACGCCCGCGAGATCCCAGTCCCACGCGCTCTCGCCTAGTTCTGAGCGTGCGACGCGGAAGGCGTCGCGGGTTACGCGGTCGCCGGCGATAGTGAAGGGTGTTCGTGCGTCATCGTTCATGAGGGTGGGGTCTGCGCCTGCCTTGGTGAGCAGCGCGGAGATGATGGGCGCCGCGTTGAGAGACGCGGCTAGGTGGAGGGGAGTGGGCGTGTGGTGGTTCTCGGGGATGAAGGTGAATGTGGGGGGGATTTCGTTGGTCGTGATGTAGTTGAGCAACGCAGGTACTTTGGAACGCTTGATCAGTGGTATGATCTGCGATGTGTGGAGCATGGCGGCCTCGTCCTCCTTTGACACCTTCTGAGGCTTCGGCTTCGCGGTGGGCTTCTTTGGCACTTGTTCGGGCTGCGGCGCATTGAGGGCGGCGAGCGCTGCTTCGTCGATGGTGCTTTGCTTCACACGCGTGAGTTCGACAAAAGCACGCATCAGCTCCTTCTGTGTGGCTCGCCGTGTGCTAAACGGGAATCCTCGATTCCTTGGGTCGTTTGTGCGCAGGACCTGGCCCTCGTATGGCCCGAACAATGTGCGTCGGTTCGTAGCACCGGTCGCGCGCACAAAGACTAGATCCGCTGTGTCAATCATCGACTTCCAGCTCGTCAGCAGATCGCGAACCTCCTGTATCAAGGCATTCTCGTTGTAGCGCCGAATCGACGAACCAGCCGAGTGCGCGTTGCCCTTGGCATTGTCGTTCGCCGACTGCGAGCCACCCTGCTTCCGTCGAGTCGTGTAGCGGTGGAAAGTCTTGTGCGCGATGACCGTGGCGGATCGCTCGTCGACGCCGGTGTGGCTCTTGCCGACCTTGGGCGCGAGGGCGACGATCATGGCTGCGAAATGCCCACCGCCGATCATGGCGAGGAAGTAATGCGGCCCAATATCTGTCTGTGGGAGCGGCACGCCACCCTCCGAAGACTTGACCTTGGGCGGCTGTTTGGGCGCGAGCTGCTTGTTGCGTATTGTCTCGACTACATGCGACTCCTCTTCCTGCTCGGCGTTGGTTAGAATCGCGCGGTATATCCCTAGCGACATGTTCTCCGGCAGCTTCGGCGACGAGAACCACAGCAACGGCGCATTGCCCGGCCCACGCTGCTTCTTCCTCGACGCAAACTCGTCGAACGCGGGATCTGATATCTTCGCCTGCTTCTTCAGCAGCGCGCTCAGCGTCGAGTCCTTCGGCTTGCCATTCTCGTCAACCTCGTCCTCGGACGACTCGGACGACTCGGAGCCCGATATGCTCTCGTCCAGCTCGCCGATGAGCTTCTCAAACTCGGCCTCACCCACGGGCTGTTGCCCCTTGATCTTCTGCTTCAGGTTGTAGCCGTGCAGGTCGGAGCGGACGTGTTTGCGCTGCTCGGCTACGGAGCTGAAGTTGAGCGCGCAGAAGTTGCACGACGTCGCCTTCGACGCGCCGCCCTCATCCGTGTCTGGCTTCTCCGAGGACTCATCTGTCGGTGTCGATAATTCGAGTGCTGTCGCTGCGATGGGCCGGCCGGACTGGTCTTTGTATTCGAGCGTGGCCAGCAGCTCTTTTGGCAGGTCGAACACTGCAAGTGTCAGCATTCATCCAGAGGTTTAGGGTGATGCCTTACCATACAGCGGTCGCTGAAGCAGATCCTCGCCTATCTGCGCCATGTTGACACGGAATCGCGGGGTGCGAATGCGGAGTGGAAGTTGTGCAGTCGCGCAGGCAGCACTCGTGAATTTCGCGGGGAACAGTTAGACACGATGACGTGCAGACGCCGCGAGTCAGACGCGCGCGTATTTCACGTCGCGCTTAGCCGGGCCCCCCACCTCCTTCACCCACTCTCTCCGTCTTGTATCGATTGGAGGCGACGTGGTGGATATGTACTGTGCGGAGATGATTGTAATATATACACCCGGATCCACCTACCACGTCTCCTGTCTATACCGCCCGCTCTTCTCCAGCGCCACGAGATATGCCTCCGCATCTTCCCTGCTCAACGCCCCATGTTCCTGAAACCCTTCAATCAGCGCTTCGCGAACGGCCTGCGGCATCTTGCCCGAGCTGCCGCAGATATATAAGATCCCGCTCCTGTTCACCACAGCATCGTACACTGCCCCACTCTGCTGTCGCACAAGATCCTGCACATACACCTTCTGCCTCTGATCCCGCGAGAACGCAGCGAAGACTTCCAGCGGCACGCCCCTATCCTTGTGCTCTTTCCACTCGTGCGCGAAGAAGTAATCGGACTCGGCATTGCGGCAGCCAAAGAACAAGAGGTCGTTCGCGACTGGCATGTCCTGGGCGGGGGCTTGATGGCGCCATTGCATGCGCTGCTGTATCAGGGCGCGCATGGGCGCTACGCCTGTTCCGGGACCAATCATGACAACGGGTCGTTGGAGCTCGTCTTGAGTGACGCCAAGGCCGCCGCGGGATAGTGTGACGGTGAGCTGCTGTGTAGGGGCGAGGCTGGCGATGTAGCGGGTGGCTACGCCCTGTCTGATGCGCTTGATCACCGTCTTGTATTTGACTATGGCGATGAGGAGTTCGATTCTTGTGCGTGTTCCTTTGTCCTGAGGGGAGGGTACCTCAGTCATCGCGCTGGCGATGCTGAACTGTCTCCCGCGCAGGGTGGGGATGATGCTGCATACTCTCTGCCAGGGTATCCTGACGCTCTCGAACTCCTGCAAAACTTCAAGAATGCTGCGGCGCGGGCGTGTTGTGTAGTCGAAGAGCTCGTCGATGTACTCTGGATCTGTAAATTCGAGTAATCTGTCGCGATGGAACTCATCACTGGTGTAGTGCGCGAGCTTCGCAAAGAAAGAGCGCCGTGGGATGGAGAGAATGTCGAGATTGTTTGTGAGAAGTTCTCGAAGGGTTGTCGTGCTGGACGAAGTGAAAGTTGATACTGGTAGACGAGCGGTGGGCGAGACTGATGCGGACGACGGTGTGAACTTCAACCGTCGGTCGGCGATAGGCGTCCAGTCCATGATGGCAAGGAACTGGTCGACATCGACGGGGAAATTCTTTGGATATATCGTCAAGACATCTCCGGGAGCGTAGGGATGTGAGCCCTCGATGTCCAGCTTGAGATGCCGTACATCTTGCCAATGTGAAGCAGGCGTTAGCCGCTCGTTTGACGTGACGCCTGCTGTGAGACCACCAGGGATATCGAGGAGAGATTGGTCTGGCGGCTCTTCTGCATCGTCATTGTTGCCAGATATTGTGTGGCCGTTTGTTGGTGCTGTCTTATCACTGTCTGCCAGATCAAGTAGCCATTTGGGATCTAGCAGTACGTTGTCCGGTATCGGCTCTGAACCCTCAGGCAAAGGGTACTCTTCGAGAAGACTGCTGCGCAAAGTCGATGTCCATGGCAGAAATGAGCCGTCGATGCTGGCGGATGTCAGCGTGGGTCAAGAGCCTGCCGCTGATAGAAGGGCAAAACTCAAGGGTGATGGTCATGAAAGTGTCGCTCAAGGGGCTGCAAGGCAATTGAACATGATAGTAGCCACGAATTCCACATACCCTTCAGGATGCTGTTCGTCAGACTCGCCACGGTCACATATTGGCTGCGCGCCAAGTTGGACGAGACGGTTGTAGAGCTTTCGATGTGCCCAGTTGTACCTTTCAAGCGTCAGAACATGACCTCCATCTACGCCGTGTACAGACTAACTTCGGATATGAGGTGTCACCGAGGCCAAACGATGCAAACCTCATATGCTGCAGACACCCTGGTCGCAGTCGAGCACTGCGCAGCGCCTTCCAAAAGGCCTGGCTGTTGGGCGGCAGATCGCCCTGGCCCGTTGTGGAGATGGATATCAGGACCACATGGTGCTGCAGCAATTGCTTCTGCAAGGATATCAACTGCGGCCCTGCTGCTCTTATCGCGCCCGACGTACTAGGCTGACTGCATTCAGTTCTGCGACTTCCGTGTCGAAGCGCAGGCGCTCGGCGAGCCTTCCCATCTCTTCAGCAACATCCTGGGCATTTCCTGTTTCGGAGCCGTAGAGCACAAGGGCTCGACGGGGGCTCTGCGTATCCCCCATGGTCGGTGCTGCGGTGACGCCAAACTCAGAATGCAATCTGCGGTGAGACTAGGCTGGAAAGGCTTGAGGATTCGATGTCTGTGTGGCGCTTCCCCGGGCCCGTCGAGAGTGAAAAGCGGTGCACTAGCGGCCACGTCAAACGGCTGGCGGGGTCTCCATGGCAGCGGGCCTGGAACGGACCCATCTGCGAGTGAAGAGCAGCGTCATCTCTCGAACCTTCGAAGCGTGGGCACACAGTTGCGTCCAGTGCACCTCTTGGTGTGGCGCAAACTGTCCACTAATTCTCCGCCTTGCATTCCAGCAGGCCCCGCGTGCCTGCAGTGCCCGGACAGGACGAGCAGGTGAGAGAGAGGCGGCCAAGATGGCACTCACTCACTGCACCCAATTGCGGGCGCGCCTGGTCCGAGAATCCTGTCTTCACCGCTCTCACAGCTGCCTGTCCTCGCCAGCGGAACCCCTGCCAGCACTGATCGCAGGGCGCCTGCATCTGTGGCTGTCTTGCTGCAAGTGCTCGTCTCCAGCTCCCGTTTGGGCCTAGCGCGGCTTCCGCGCCCCGTCCCCATCGCTTGATTTATTTTGATGCACTGCGTCTCCTGTTCTCCCCATCAAGTCAACAGCTGAGACACTCAACCACCCCATCAACCACCTCTCACCAACTTCCGGGCTCGTAGCTTCCCACCCCACCCCCCTCGTCAATAGTTCCACCCTCCAGGCGGTTCATCAAACACTACTGTTCACGGTTACCTTCATCGGTCTACTAGGACTCCAAGTTTACTCCACTTCCACACGCTTCGATCCAGTTCGTGTCCGTCAACCCCAAACTTCAGCAAGAATGTCCGCCCCAGTTGAACAGGTCACCGCCCAGATGTCCAACACCACCCTCGACAACGCCGCTCCGGCCACGACCGAGAGCACCGGCGCCCAGCAGCCCACCGCAGCCGAGGACGAAGCTGTGCGTGCCAGCGCCGCCGAGGGAAGGCGACTTTACATTGGAAACCTCGCGTACGCGACCACCGAGGGGGAGTTGAAGGACTTCTTCAAGGACTACCTTGTGTGCGTGACGTCTGCGTGCGCCTATGACGCGTCGTGCGCCCCGAGCTAACACGTTGCACAGCGAGTCCACCACCATCCCCACCAACCCGCGCACCTCGCGCCCTGTTGGCTACGCATTCGTTGCCCTGTCGACGCCCTCCGAGGCCGAGCGCGCTATTGCCGAGCTCAACGGCAAGGCCATCCTCGACCGCAAGGTCTCGATCCAGCTTGCCCGCACCCCCGAGGCTCACGCTGAGGGTGCCGGCAGCGGTGCCGAGGGTACCAGCGGCAACGAGCAGCGCCGCCGTGCCTCGACCCGCGGCCGTGGACGTGGCCGTGGCCGCGCTGGCCGCGCTGGACGTGGCGGACGCACTGTATGCTCCCTGAGTCACAGCTCTGTGGTCCCATGCTAACCTACTCCCAGAACGCCGACGGCACTGAGGCCGAGCAGATCGAGCTCACTGACGCCGCCCCCGCCGAGAGCACGCCCACAAATGTACCCGGCCAAGTTGCTCCCCTCACAGAGACCACGAACGAAGCGCTTACCAACAAGGACTCTGCCGCCAGGCAGCTCGCTGCTCCCCGCGAGCGCAAGCAGCGCGGACCCCCTGAGGATGGTGTCCCCTCCAAGACCAAGGTCATGGTTGCCAACCTGCCTTACGACCTCAAGGAGGACCGCGTACGTCATTGCCATTCATCATCTTGACACCTGTTTACTAATAACTTGGCAGCTCCTCGAGATCTTCAAGGACTACTCCCCCACCCAAGCCAAGATCGCCCTCCGCCCCATCCCCCGCTTCATGGTCAAGAAGCTCCAGGCTCGCGGTGAGCCTCGCAAGGGCCGTGGTTTCGGTTTCGTTACGCTCGGCTCCGAGGAGCTCCAGCAGAAGGCTTGCAACGAGATGAACGGCAAGGAGATTGAGGGCCGTGAGATCGCCGTTAAGGTCGCGATTGACTCCCCCGGCAAGGAGGATGATGCCCCCGCCGACGCCTCCACTGAGGGCGCCGTTGCCATTACCGAGGCTGCCCCCGCTACTACCGAGTCCGCCGAGAAGCCCGCCGAGAAGTCCGCCGAGAAGCCTGCCGAGAAGCCCGCCGAGAAGCTCGCCGAGAAGCCCGCCGAGGCCCCTGCGGCTACCACGACTGCTGCTTAGGTGCCCTCAGTTGCTCAAGGCCACGTCGGACGCCGTGAGCAATGCTCGATGGGCTCCTTCACGAACCCCGGTACCCCAGTCATGACTTAGATGACATGGCCTAACGTTTGCTTCGCTGCGATTTGTTTACCAAGTTACTGGTCTATCGATATCTACTCACAACCGGATATTCAGGCCATCGGCTTTACCTACTTCGTTCGAGATGATCGGTCCGGGAAAGTGATTACAAAGTCTGTCAGGCGCAGCATTATGGTGGAAAACATGGAAAAGCTTGTCTTATCTGCAACAAGCTTGAGCAGTTATGAAATATATGAACATGATCTACATGCCACATCGGCTGATGAACCACTTCACAACTGTCCACTGTATATCGTCGTGCAAGTCAACCGAACGCGGGCCGTCTATTACTCCTTTCGATGGCAATGCTGGATGTGCGTACTCAGCTGTGCCATGTTTGCATGCCCATCTTGTTGCTATTGCCTTCCAAAGCGATCTTGGCACAGTGAGAACGCATATTCCTTGTTTGGCAGATACTTGCAGAGTACAGTATACAGACGATGACTTTACAATAGTCACATATGCGTCTAAACAGTGCGCTTCAGAACCCAATGATTTAGGAACGGGGTGTACCCTATTATTCCTAGTCCGGGCGCAATGAGGGTCAACGAAGCATCTGACTGTTGTTACTCCACCACATTAGAAGTCTGCTATTATCATACATCCCGAGATCGCATTTGCTCAAGTACACGGCCTTCACTCTGCCGAGAGCGAAAGTCCGATGAAAGAAAACGGTACCTTTTGGAATCTGACTTGAAGGTGTTGCTTTTGATATGGCCATAGGCTTTGAATTTCGGAACAGAGGCGGTCTCGTTTCCAGATCGATTATAAAAGCATAGCTCCTCAGGCTAGCAAGGTTTGGATTGACTCCAGTGATTTCTCGCACAGCAACGCTGGCTTCTCCTTGTCTTACGCGCACGGCAGATGGCGTGGCCGGGGTCGCATTTGTCAGACTCCTCCTTCTGCGTAGGCTCCGCGACCTGCTAGTCTTCGAGATACGCCTCACCGTCGCCATCTGACTCTTTCACAATAGCCGCACACACGGTTGTAGTCGCACCTGTTCCGCGGCCTTAACGGTCTTGCTCTGCCCGTAGGCGACCCAAGGGTTATTTTCGTCCTCGAGAGTGAGGTTGGAGAAATTGACGCCGTCGTGGCGATGTGCAGAGGAGGACAGAACGGCGACACGGGATGGAAAGACAGTGGCGGTCGGTTGCTAGATGAAGACTGCAGCAGCCGTTGGGCGGTTTGTCAAACGACTTAGACCGAGAGTGTTTACCACTGGCATCCTCCACAAGCTCTTCGTCGGCTTTATACACGCCAACATGTGTCTAAAAGATGCATAACGACAAAGTATGTCACTGAGCAAAGAACAGCCGTTCCAAGGACAGCCCATGTCTCTGGCACATTCGCTCTTCAACCAAGCCGTCTATCGAATGACCTTACTAGAGCCCTCTCAGCACATGGAGCCGAACTCTCCACTTGGAACCAGCTGTAGACGATCTGAATTCACTCCTCAGCGGCTTGAAGAATGGGGAGCAGCTGCAAGACATCATGCCTCATCACCTCCGTACTGGAAGAAATTGACATCTCTCGATGACTCCATGCACACACCCTCTCCGGTTCGGGACCTGACGAACGCGAACAGCCTGCCCTTCTGCTGGTCTTCAAAATGAAGCAATAAGATACCGTGCACCATACCATCGCGAGACTGGAGTTCTCCAAGCACCCTGGTCACGAGCGAGCCAGAGAGCTCTCGAGTTGAGAGAAGAGCCCAGCGCTGTCAGAGGTGATACAAAACTGCATGTAGTCCTCGATGCGTCCCGAGACAAAGCTATAGGGCCCTGCACAACGAATTGCACATCCATAACGGCCGTCCAGACACTCTAGGCCGACGGAGTAGACTGTCCGCCTCAGCTCTTCCAATGTCAGAAAATCTCCTCAGAGTCAACGAGATAAGTCTCCTTTCGCGAATACAAGAGATGCGCATGTAAGGCTCAGAAAACGGTGGTGGTAACCCTCAGCCCGGCAGGCCGCAGCTGTGGGCCGGCACACATTCGAGCGGCGAACATCCGGATCCGAAGCTCAATGTGCCCCGGGTAGAATCCGAAGATTCGCTAGATCCTGAAGGAGCGGAAGGAACGGACCGCTTGAGATTGAAAAGGAAGCTCGACAAACGCCACACGATCGAGGATCTCAGTCATGCATCTGGAACAGCAGAATGTGGGGTCGAAGACTATAGTATGGATATTTGCTAGTGTAATAGCCGTAGGTACTGCAAAGAGAACTGCAGTAAGAGACGTAGTCTGCAACGTCTTGCGACAGATGCGTGCCACCTTAAAGCAAAATAAGAAAACCAGGCGCCATGAACAAGCGCATCAAGGCTGCCTAACAATCTCCTGCTCGCTCCCGATGTCCAAGTCCGCACAATTCACTAACACACTAACGAACATCGTACTGGCCAGCACCTGCGCGAGCATCGCAACCTCGCCTCTCGTCAGCCTCTCATCACCAGTCTCCACAGTCACGGCATCGACATCGATGAACTCGCGCTCCAGCCAGCCCTCCTGTCCCTTAGCCTTGGGCTTATCCTTGACCACGACAGCAGCCCACGTGTCGTCGCCCACGCGGCCCCAGTCCCCCGCCATCTCAGACGCGATGCGGTACACGTTCTTCTCGCGGGGCGTGAGGTCCATCATCTCCATCCATGAGAACCGTGCAAGCGCGCTCTCGATGGTTTCGCCTGCGAGCCCCACACTGGCCGCGATGCGGCGGTGCGCGTACATGACGTACTCTGCCCTTGTCACGCTGGCGACGGCGAGCACGATGAGCTCGCGCTCGCGCTGCGTGAAGGTCGGGGTCGATACGATGGAGTGGATGTAGCTGCAGTATTGCGGGATCCTGCCGTCTGTGTAGCTGAGCACAGCGAAGGGGCCGAGGAGTTCTCCTGTGATGGGGTTGCGTAGCGTGAAGGAATCGCCGAAAAGACGCTGGGCTTGGTGCTGTGAGCGGAGGAGTGAGAGAGTGTAGTTTGCTGTTGGACATGGATGGCGGGGAAAGCGCGGCGTCTTGTCGGGCTTCTTGTAATTATTGACTTTGGCATCGCGGGGGGGAAACGTGGGAGCTGCAAAGGTCGGTGAGACCGGTGGGGAAAGGGGGGCGTGGTCCGCGGAGACAGCGAGATGGGGTTTATCCATGGGATCGATGTTAGTCGCTGGTGAGGGCGTAGTAGGTTGAGCTGAAGAGAGGAGGTCCATGTTGTAGATGATTCGAGGCTGAGGCTGGGATGGCGTGGATGACCAAGACAAACGCAGAGGTGCAAACGCAAGGCCTTCAAGTAAAGCTTAGAAAAGTCGGACCTTTTCGACAACAGGACGCACCGGAGGATACATAAGTGTTGAGATGGCACGGGTGTGGCGTACGCGCAGAGTCCTGACTCCTGCTGCTTTAGACAGGATCGCCCTTGGTGAAAAGATGGCCAAAGGATCCACGGATGAGTCGCCCGGTCTACGCCTCAAAGCGACTTCCGTCGACACGCGGAGCCATATCTTCAGTGTTGAGACAAAGATTGGACTGCCATGTGTCGATACGAAGTTATTGCGGGTGCGTACCTTGACTATTCTTTTTAAAGCTTGCTTTCGGGTGATAGAACCATGCGTGATTTGCCGATTGGTATGTCGAGTAAAAATCCCTTTCTCAAGCTGCTAGCAAGGAGGCCACTGAGAGTTACGTCCGAGGTCGAGTCGGAGTCAGATCTCGGTTCTGCCTAGACGGATCAGCAAGCTCGATGGGGTGCGTCGGTGATCGGTATGTTTACATTGTTATTCTACAACAAAAAGGTGTGGCATCATTTGAAGGGCAGTCTCAAGGAGCAATCCTTGCCCTCAACCAATCGGGCAGGTTGCGGATGCCAAACGCCAGAGCGACCCAATTTTCCTAATGAGCGTGCGCATGAGCGTGCCCAATCTGCGTAACGAGTGGCAACAACATGCCAAAGACAACAATAAGGATGTCAATCTTGGACATGTCTTGCTTTCCAAGTGGCGCGTCGAGATAGCCATTGATAACAGGCTCTTCTTGCGGGTTCGTTGCCTCTATCATTGAGTGCATAGCAACGTATCTGACAACGTTAGTAAGGGTAAAATGAGGTGTAAGCTGTGTAAACTCACAGAAATGTGCCGCCGGAGAAGCACAATACCCAACCGGTTGACCAGGTGAGGCCCTCGTCCCCACCGAGCGTGCCGCGTCCCAGCGCGTGAACCATGGCCCAAGTCACAAAAGCGCCTGCGGGGGCGGCAAGGCTGAAGAAAGCCAGGTGGGTTCGTGCTGTGCGCTTCGAGTGACCTTGCTTCAACAAGACCGAAGTGAGTCCAAAGGCAGCGGGGGCCTTGTGCAGCATGATTGCCAGGAAAACAATGAAGGACAGGGAGCCAGCAGGAGCAGCCGATGAAGCGCCGAGGGCAATACCATCGGCACAAGCATGAACCACCAAGCCGATAGTCGTTGCAGATCCTTTCTTCTTAGGCGGAGCCATGGGTGTAGGGGTCAGCATTGGTGGTGATCCAGGTGTTGTCAGGCCGTTCAGACTAAGACTGGACGAGTTGTGTGGTCCACGGTGCAGATTGGATAGTGAGATGTGCATGGGCTGGTACTGCTGCTGCGACGAAGAGAGGGCTTCTGGGACGTGGTCAACAAGGAACATGAGGATGTAACCCAGGATCAGAGCAACACCAATGTAGGCGTGTGGGCTGGGACCCTGCATATCCTCGGCGTGCTTGTGGTTGTTCTCGTCCTCTTCTGGGGCGTGCACACGGGTGTGGCCTTCCTTGTGGCCTTCCGTGGAGTCATCGTCGCCCCCCTTTTGCGCCTGATGGGGCTCCTCCTCCTCGACCTTGTGCTTGTAGGCTCCATTCTCTTTGGCCTTCTCCTTCAGCTCCTGTGTCCTCCTGAGTCTGAGGTCAATCGGAGCTCTTGGCTCGAGGGCCCCGCCATTGGGCGCCTTCAAAGCACCAATCCTCACGAAGTCGGTATCAACCACGTCTCTAGCACCAAGACCGAAGTCCGAAGGGTGGTTAATACCAGTCTGCAGCTTATGGATGTTGGGAATTGTGTCCACGACGCTCCGAGATATGCGCGAATGTGTCCTGCCGGCGCTGTACATGGTCTCGATGCCCTCTGGAATGATGACGATGAGCGACGTCCCCACCAGCACGCCGGTGCCGAGGAGTGTGATGATGCGCAGCTGGCGCGACGAGAGGGTAAAGGAGAGCGGGAGGATGCCGGCAACAAACGAACTGCTATGGTCAACTGACATTCTATTTAGCATCGATACACCGTGACAGGAGGTGCGTACGCAATTGCCATTATCGTGCTCAACGTGAGCAGCATGAAAAGACCGTCCCACATGTTGCGTGTCGTGTGCGGCGGTCCGCAAGTCGCTGAACAAGGAAGAATACGCCGGGTATGCAAGAAAAAGAAGACAAAGAGGTACGTCACTCAGCGCTGTCCATGCCCTAACACTAACGTAGCGAGGTGATGTGGAGTCGAGTGTCGGTGTCTGTTGATCCAACACAGTCCTCCACAAATGTCTCGTGTCCGTCGTCTCGTGTCCGTCTCCGTGCAGGGGCTGCGTCACCGTTAGCGCCTTCCCGTAGGGCTGAAGTAGGAGTCGCGCTAAAGCGGAGGCAGGCGCGTCCATTTCCCGTCTTCGCGACGCGCCTGCACATCTGACCGCTTCACCACCTCTACACAAGTGCAAACATGGATCTCGACGAGTGTAAGTGGTGAAAAAGATCGGTATGGTATTTTCTAATCGCATTCAGGGGTCACAAACTCGAATGAGTGCTTCGACATTAGTCTCTACCGCCCAGGCATGACCGGCGACGAGCGCATTGGCGACACCTTCAACCCCAGCTTCACACACACGGTCATCGACGAGAACGAGTCAATAGTCGGCTACAAGAACCCCAAAATCGACCTCGACTTCCGCACAAACGACCTCAAGCCTAAGCTCAAGATATCCTTCGAGGCGCAGTTAGACCTCAGGAAGCTTTCGCCAGATCTGGACCAGGCGCAAGTCGACCTGTCACCAGAACTGTTCAAGCAGCACCTTCCAGAAGAGGTGAAGGAGAGCAAGGCGCAACGCGATGCGGCGACCTCGAAAGACTGGAAGCCCCCGGGCCAGCTTATGCAGAGCTTCGATGTGCACGGCAAACACTACGAGATATGGAAGGCACCGATCATTGATCCAGCTGCGAGACAGATTTGGCTGAATTTGAGGATCCTGGTACTGCTGTTCATCGATGGAGCAACAGTGAACGGGCTGGACGATGAGGAGACGCTGGACCGATGGTCACTGTACTTCCTGTACGAGGTGCAGGACTCCGGCATCCCCACTACACCATATGTCCTTGCTGGATTTGCCACATCTTACAGGACATGGATCTTTCCCACCTTCAAAATTGCGCGGTACACCAAGATGCTCCCAAGCCCGCCTCCAGAGGACTCGAACGGCACAGTGGAGAGGTTCACACCACCTCGCCTGACACAGGATCCAAAGACGTTCCAATTCAACGACAAGCTCGATAGGCTCGAAACATCCTCGAGGGAAAGGATATCGCAGTTCTTGATTTTACCACCCTATCAGAATCAATCTCTTGGATCACGGCTGTACAACCTCATTTTCTCGGACCTCGTGACAAAGCCTTTCATCTATGAGATTCCAGTCGAAGATCCGAGCGAAGACTTCGACGCCATGCGCGACTACTGCGACATCGTCTACCTCCGCTCTCTTTCCTCCTTCGCCTCCCTCTCGGTAGCATCAACCCTCCCGGCTGAAGCCCTGCGCAAAGACTCTCCCATTCCCCGCGACCAGATCCTAGGCAACGGCGCAGACCTCGAGAACTTACGACACGAAACAAAGATCGTAAAACGTCAGTTCTACCGCATGGTCGAACTGCACGCACTCTCGACTATCCCACCTAATCACCGCAACCGCGCGCGCATCACCCGCAAGGCTAAGAGCAGCAATGAAAATGACCGCAGATACTACTTCTGGCGTCTGGCGCTCAAACACCGGATCTACATGCAGAACGCAGACGCACTCGATCAAATGGAGGTAACAGAGAAGGTCGACAAGCTAGAGGCTGCTGTGGATAACCAGCAGGAGGAGTTTGAGGAGAGGCTAGAAGGAATCGAGAAGAGGAGTAGATGGAACAGAGGAGGAGCACGATCCAACGGAGCCAAGAGCAAGCGCAAGAGGGTCATTGTCGAAGACGAGGATGACGAGTGGGAGGACATGGACACTGGGTCCATAGCGAGCAAGAAACCCAAGGCATAAGGGACACTGAAGCATTGTCGGAGCACACGGCGTTACGGGGCCTTTTAGGCATTGATACCACCATATTGGCTTATCTAGCGTTATCGAATAGCACGGAGAGCTCAAAGCTAATGAGAATATCCAGATCATGTTGGTGGTGGCGACGATGCTTCAAGGCACCTGCACCCCCGCGAGCGAGCACACGCTCGACATATTGGTTTGACCGTCGCAATCTCCCAGCAGGTATGTACCGGTATGGTCTTGAGCCAAGGATTATTTTGTGGGGTTCGGCAGGGTCGGCAGCCCAGCCACGACGAAGCAGCTTGGCTACATCGCCACAGACGACATCGACGTGAGGATAAGTGCTCCAAGAAGAACAAATACTCGTCAAGATAAGCGCCTCACAAGATGACGATTGGTACCTGCCTGTTGCGTCATGCCACCAATGCTATTGATACACTCGATCTTGCGGCTCTCGGAGTATCCTCAAGGCTTGGGGTTCCGCTTCTAGTCGGTCTTAAAGGTAAACCTACCATCCAAGACCGACTGAAGAACCAGCAACTGCTCTTCGTCGCTTCTTACCAGACCGGTGACTCAGCCTCAAGCAGTCCCATGAGCTGATGCTCATCGCCTTCAGTGTGGATGCACACCGTGTGGAACTGCCACATGAGGCTTTGCCCCAAGCACTGGCGCCCAGCATAAACTCACGGATGACGCTGCCGCCAGACAAACACCACAGGATGATGCTAAGACAACGTGCGTTTGGACCAAGCTGCCAGGACATTGGTCTTATATAAGCGTTGCACGGTAGACGCTACTATAAGAGTCCTGCTTCACGCTGGTCTTCCCTAGGATCTCCCGAGCTGTCTCACCCAACTCAACTTTAGGACGTGGAGCGAATCACGCCATGGCTCAGCATGCGTCACAGAATGGTGACTACTTCGCCAGCTCGGAGGATTATCCCAACGGTCGTGGAAAGGAAAAGCTCCCCTCTGACAACGGCACGCGATCCAGCGCACCTACTCCCCCAGATGCGGCCTACGACAACCAAGAAGGGGAGGTCTACGACCCATATGGAGGCAAGAAGCTGGGCATGGTCCGAGTGAGTGGTGCCATTCTTCTCGAGAATACGCAGCTAACATACTTTAGACGGCTCTGGTACGCTGTGTTGGATTCTCTGAAGGGTATGCGGCTTATATGTTGTAGATTTTCTTCACGAACCAAGTCGGTATCGGTATCCTTAGTCTGCCAGCCATGTTGCACACCATTGGCCTCATTCCTGGCATCATCACCAGTAAGTCAAAAATGTCTGCGGGGGCGCTGAGCAAGCACTGATAGTTCCAGTTATTGCAATGGGAGTACTGGCAACCTACACGGCCTACATCCTCATTCAGTTCTACCGTCGCTATCCCTCCATCAGAGATGTGGTAGACGTCGCCAGGATCATGGGTGGCAAGCCATTGGAGATTCTGGTCGGCGCGGCGCATGTAGGTCTCCAAGATACGCCGAGAGTGACTCTCTGCTGACCAGTCTGCAAGGTGCTCAACCTCTGTCTCATTTGTGCCTCAGCCAACGTCACACTCTCTATTGCTCTTAACACGATAACTGAGCACGCACTCTGTACAGTTGGATTCATTGGTATCCCGATGATCATGTGCTGGCTACTCTGTATGCCTCGCAGCTTGAACTTCGCTGGATGGTTTGGTATCCCAGCGACCATCAGTATTTGTCAGTGTCATCCAACCGTCTTAAACCCCCAACTCATTGGTCTCAGTCACTTCCGTTCTCATCGTGGTCATTGCGCTAGCTGTCAACGGTCCCGACTACACAGCAGTCGCTAATGGTGGCAGCGGTTACTGGAACGAACCCATCAATCAGCCGTTGCAGATGCGCCTCGGGCCCAATCCAGGTGCCACAATGAATCAAAAATTCGAGTCCGTGCTGAATGTTGCCTTTGCATACGCCGGCAACCAAGCGTTCGTTACCGTCATGTGCGAGATGCGCAACCCGTAAGCAGAATACCTCAATTGATAGCTCGACGGTGCTGACACTATGACCACAGGAGCAAAGACTACACTCCCGCCATCATCTGGCTCAACGCCATCGGTGTCCCCATGTACGTCATCGTAGCCTGTGTCGTCTACCGCCTCGCAGGTCAGTATGTTGTCTCGCCCGCACTCGGCTCCGCGCCCGGCATCGCCAGCAAAGTCGCCTACGGCATCTTATTCCCCACTCTGCTCGGTTCTGGTCTTGTCTTTGGGCACACGGGCATTAAGTACATGTACAACGTGATCATGGACAAGGTGATCAAGACAAGGCACCGTTTGACTGACAACACGCCGCTCACGTGGGGTGTCTGGCTCGGACTTGGTACGCTATTTTGGCTGACGGCGTTTGTCCTGGCGAACGCTATTCCGGCATTTGGCAGCATTCTTGGTATCTCTAGCGCGCTGTTTGTGTAAGTTACTCATTCCACGAGCCAGTCGGTCAAATCATCTAATATCTCGCAGAACCTGGTTCACCTTCGGCATGGCCAACGCGCAATGGATCTTCCTAAACTGGGGCCAGCAGTTCATCAACTGGAAGAAGACATCGCTGGCACTCTTCAACTGGTTTATGATCTTAGGTAAGCTCCTCGTGCCTGGATTTGGATATCTTCGCTAATCGATTCAAAGCCTCGGCGTTCCTCACTGTGTTCGGCTTGTACACGTCTATCTCGGATTTGAGCGCGAGGGTCAATGATCCCAACGACCCATTGAATGTGTTTACTTGCGCGAACAATGCCCTATTCTAGAGGGACAGCATCAGGCGCGAACTTCGACGGACTTACGAAGCTTGGTGTTCGACGACGCGATGTGTAATTTGTAATCTATGCACTTGGTAGACGCTCTGGGCTGCACCAAAATAAACCCTGCTCATCTTGGAGTCGACCATCAGATAGGAATAAGCGAACTCCAGAAAAAGCTTCCGCACTGGTTCTGACTTCTGATATGATTGCGATCTGCACTCGATCCTCAAATCGTGTGTGATGGTGATCCAAGGCTCAAGGACTTCGAAGATTTTGTACATATGTAGGAACGCAGAACTCGGCGTAACTACAGCTTATCAATAGATCACGTCTTCAAAAGCACTTAAGACTAATCATGACATTCCTGCGAGTCACATGGCTCATGATCTTCTACATGCGATAGCAGAACTTGATATGTGTGTAAAATATTATCTTCTTCAGTCTTGATGTTGTCTCTAATGCTCCTCCTGATTCCAGAGTGACTTTCAGCTCTCTCTGAGTCCATGTTAAGTCCACGTTACTGTTGGATAGTGAAAGGAAACACGCACAGAGGTAGTGTCTTTACATTGTTCGATAGGGTCTCTGGCATGTGAGGGTCCACGCTCCAAGCAAGTTTGCTGTGCAGAGTGCTGGGCTGTGGAATTTTCAAGGAATGATGCGATTGAAGGCTTATCAATTGGTCTGTGATGTTTAGGAAGTTGCGGCTGTTTCTCTTCTTTCCTGATTCGAGTCGAACGTCCTGAATCTCTTTGAATATGCTCACATTGGCTTCTTAAATGATGATGTACATACAGCTTGGTATTTTATTCGATTCCTGAAACAAGTGAATGTGTCGTGGCGGTTAGGCTCAAGAATTAGCTCTAGGTACGCGCTCTGAGATGAAAGAATTACGTCACTGCCATCATCTCGATCTCGCACCTCGAAGGAAGCGTTCACTCTACAGCCTTGCATGCCAAAATTACTTCATCAGCATCGCATCAGGAGTCAACTGTATACCTCCAATCACCTGGTCGTTGAGAATGCCGACGATCGGGCCGCGCTAAACAGCTCACGTGGAGACACACTGTCCGTCTCGAAGAAAGTCGCTTGGGATGAGCACGGAATGCTATAAGCTCAAGCCCAGGGCCACAGTGCTGGGTTAGTCGATGGCGACGCCTACGCTGCGACTCACGATAGCCACAATGCTCGAAATGCGACCGAAAAGGACTCGAATGCCTTGAATTCTGCTACAAAACCACTTCGTTGATAACACTGAGTGACTACCGGTAGGTAGGAACATACCAAGGGGGCCAAAGCTACCAGAGGCTGATACAGCTCCCGTAAACACCGATGTCGCGCCCTCCCATGTTATCGTTGACGCGTTGACATACTCTACGCTCAAGATCGATCACGTCTCTGATTATGGCTAAATTGGAATACAGGTAATGTAAAGGTTGCCCCAGATCTTGAAGCCAATGGTCACTCATCTTTCCACACCACCGACATATCGAGATGGCATGAAGTTAACATCTCAAAATGACACCTGACTTTGTGTCTTGTCACGCTGCGTCGAGCTGTAGTGAAGGACGAAAATATGAAGCACAACCAAGCCCTGTTTCATTACCATCAAGCATATGCAGCTGAGATTCTGAATCATAAGATCAAGACTCTTGGGCAAATCCGGCCAGAGGCAGAGCTGTTTGAGGACGCGAGCTTTTTCTTCTTCTCAAAGGTTCAAGCAAGCGCCTACGGAGCATGGCGCGCTCATCTAAGTGCACAAAAGAGCCTATTCAACCTTCGGGGAGCCAAGACCTGATGGAAAGCCTTGACTACGAACTCTTCCTTTGCCATTTTGTGTTGGACGACGCCTCTGGTACTGCCATAGCGCCAGATTCTCACATCATGGTCGAAGACGTCGATAAATACAAGGTGTATCTAGGTTTGCTCGCAAGATTCAACGTTGATGTCTGCAGCATCATGATCCCTATACCGGAAGCTATTGCGCAGACCAAAGCCACCATCAAAATATCGAGAGCTGCGCGAAAGCAAGGGAAGAGGGAGTTGGATCATCGACATATGTAGTATTCGATGCTCTTCGAGCTTTCGATCCTGCGGATTGGGCCTCGCACCGTCCGCGTCATACATCGAGCTAGGCCAAGAGCTGGGCGCTGCTCGCCACTTATTTTCAAGCGGCAGCTATGCTCTATCTTGCTCGGATATCTGGCATAGCTGTGTGTGGCAGTGAGATAGAACGATTCTACAATCGACTTAGAACTTCTGTGTACGAGCTTTACGAGCTCCGAAGAAACGGCGGAGTGCTCGACAAGTACATCCTTTGGCCCACAGTACTCTGCGGCATCGAAGCACTCTTCCGATTAGATGAACAACAACATGGCACCAAAGGAGAGGTTGATCCAGCAAGTCAGCTCCACATGGACTAGGATACCATCTTCGACTGTGCTCCCTTATTCTTGACGTAGCTAGGGCCAGCTGTTTTCGACTGATGTTGCCTTCACAATGGCGTATGCACGACTCTCCCTCGGACTCGTCAGGTTTTCTCGAAAAAGCCTGGAATCTTATGCTACTTGTGTCATGGAGTACAGATGAGTTTCAGATTTACGTACAGTGCTGATGCAACGATAATTCCAACGTTATCAGCTTCCTATAATTGCATTCGCTTCTGGGCTGTTTCATTACATCCTGCAGACTTGGTTGGTGCAAGGACCAGTCAGCTCGGTTCGCCGCCAAACTGCATCCTTCGCCTTCCTGGAATCCTACTCCGGCTCCGCGTCCCAAGTTTTCTGCACGCAGATACGGGTACGCCCTGGCTGTCATCCAGACAAATAGCGCTCTACAGACGAGAGCGGTTTGCTCATTCAGGTTTGAACCTCGTATGGCAGTGTGGCGCACCTTGGCGTCTACACAGTACTAATACGCCATCCATAGAGAACCGAATTCTGTGTAGGTTGGGATGAAGATAGTACTTTCAATGGCGGTTGTTTGGCTCTACATGTGACTACAGTGCGCTGGAACCTACCTGCGTCGTGGCGGCATGGCACACGGCAACCTCGGTACTCCTAAAATACACTCCAACCACGGATATTGAATTGGCCCCCACAGATCCTATCAGGAGCACTTTATCGTCACAGCCTCGCATTATGAAACATGGCTGACCGGAACATCTTGATCGGGCTGATGCGAGATGAGAACTTCCGCCTCCATCACTATCGTAGTTTTGCAGTATCTTGCAGACCACCTGGCGCGTATATCAAATAACCCGAGTCACCTCCCACTGTCCAGCAGGGTGTACTCTTCGCACTTTTGTGAACCTCAATTTAGCCTTACACTTCTATTGATTCTTCATCTCCACTGTCAAGCGGCACGACGTAGCTACAAGATGGCACAACAAATCTCGGTCGCGCACACGACAATTAATTACGCCTTAGCTGTATCGAAGCGTGATCAAGCTTGTCTTCCGCCCTTTGAGACCGACTGGACTCATTACTTGGATCTCTTCCGCCAGGATTTAGATGACCGATTCGAGGTTGACAAAGGATACGACATCACACTTACAAGAATCGAGCCTGTAAAATTCTTATCCCCAGAACACGAGTCGATTCCGGCAACTCCTCTCTTGCTATCGCCGACTCTTTTAGCCTCCAGCCCTCTATCTACACATAGCAATGACTTCACGTGGGACTCGTCACAGATGCCACATACACCATTGCAACAGAAGGACGGAATGGGTCTAGATCTGACTACTCCACCGACGTCACTGGATTCTTCCGAGGGCAAACTAAAATATGTGACAGAGCGTACATATGCGACACCTTCCCGGGCAGAGGATAGTGATGATGAGAGAATATCAGAGAAGTACACGCAGACTTCAGACATCTTCCAGTTCGGTATTCGAAAGTTGGATCATATGCTCAAGTCGAGTCAGTCAAAGCGCGTTCAATCTATGATACTTGCTTACACCCTGTTCAGTCACGCGAGACGACACTACCGGATCTCCAAGCAGCTTGCCATGCGACACGAGTGTGCCCTCAGACCGTATGGGCAGCGAAGCTTCCAACTCAAGCTCTAAACCTTCAAAAACTCACATGGAAATCAATGCCAGTACTGTTGATCTTGGCTTTTCAAAAGGTTCTAAGAGTGAACACGGTCCCCCTGCTACGGTCTCGCAGCAGGGTCCGCACCAAGACAAGCGCAACCATCACACCCTCCAAGGCTCAGTTCTATTCAAGACTGTACTACGAGACGGCGACGGAGTTGAGGTCGAGAGCATTTTCTCGGCGATCGCCAGACGCTCAAAGACGGGCGTCTCCCATAACACCTCCCGCAACTCAGATCAAGAGAAGCACCAGATTCGGACGGCGGCAGCACCACAAATCAAAACGGAGGCAGCATTTGAAATCAAAACGGAGGCAGCACCTAAAATCAAAACGGAAGCCTCTGGTCTTGTAGCGACATCGAAAGCCTCCCAAAAGATCCCACATGCATGCATGAAATACTGGACACTGCTGGAGCAAATTTTGTCCTTCGAGATCACCGCAAGACTGGCCAGGAATTACGACAGATGTGTGGCTACACAAGGTAAAGGTTCAGCTATGAATCAGTGCTCCACTCCACGTAAGCTTGTTGCGGAAGCTGTGAAGGCCGCCGTCGACGCTTTCCGAGAGTGTGTCGACAGGTCTGGCTACATAAACCTTCCGCGCTACATTGAACGTCTCGTCAGAACTGTAATGTGTCCCCTCCACCAAACAGTGGCGCTGCGGAGTAGCACTGCCAACCCAAGGATGAAACAGCTGCGCGAGCTCATCGATACTCTCCCTCTGCTTTCTAAGAACATTGTAACAGTTTTCGCAAATTGGCTGCAGGCGATAAGCAACACCAACATTCCTATTTCGCTCTTGAAAGCGAAGTTAAAAGAGCCGTCACCTTCGCGCTTGTCGAAGTCCGCACCTTACCATCGGAAGAAAACCGAGAGGCCCAGCATAGCGGAAGCTTTGGAAGAAAAAGTCAACGAACCGCTCACGGAAAAAGACAAGAAAGACGGCTTTGTCTACATGTTCTGGGATCAGCAGACTTTCGGGATGGTCAAGATTGGTCGAACCGGTGATCTCGAAAAACGTCTCAAGCAGTGGGACGCCCAATGCAAAATTCCGCATCGCTACCATCGATCTTCGCAGGATGGCAAACACCTCACGATACATCATTGTCAACGTATCGAGAGGCTCATGCATATCGAACTGAGGGAGTACCGTAAGAAGCGTGCATGCGGTGGCTGTGGTAAGACTCACATCGAGTGGTTTGACATAAGCGCAGAGAAGGCAAAGAAGGTTTACCAAAAGTGGCAAGATTGGATCATGCAAAAGCCGTATGCACAGAACGACGCAGGGAGCTGGGTCGTAAGGCCCGATATGCTTCATACTGTGTCACAAGTGTGCACACCCGTCCTGTTCCCAGAGACGACGATCAAAAGAACGAGGCCACGCAAATCCCTGCCAAAGTCACCTGCCAGGAAACGAACCTCGAGAGCAGCGAGATAGATTGCCAGCATCCGCAGATAACAATGTTGTTGGAGGTCCGCCTCCGCTTAATCCAATTCTAGACGAGACTTATTTCACCCAAATTCCATCTGTTTGTCGCAACGTTTTCGACTCGCAACGGATCTCACCAACGACCAGACAGTGGCGCTTAATATCATCCACATACCCGACTATTATCTCAACTCTAGCATACGATCTTTCAATAGCTTGCGTTAAAGTGTATGTCCCATTCACAACCGGTTCAAAAGGCTTCGGCTGGATTATCGGCTACTAATTACTACGCCCTTGATAGAGGCTGGTGAAAAGCTGCCATCTGTCTTTCGCTCGCAGCGATAGCATCAGTAGGCCTATTCGTGACCCTCTGTAGTTGGTAGTACATTACATGACAAGTCTCTATGCAGGGCGCGAAGCTGCATTTCCTAGATAGAGATGCCTGTGCTCGATGTCTATAGTCATCTTGATCGAAGCTCTCGCTAGGCCAACCGTAGTCTCGGAAGATCTGTCGATATCATCGTCTTCTTGTTCACTGAAGTGTGCCTCGCTGTTGAAGTACGGGAAGCTGCTTCCATCAGCAAAGTGGATCGAAGTATGCACTACACCTGCCAGTCTGAGTTGCTCGAATTTGGGAAGCACATCTTCATAAAAGTCGATGATACGATAAGTTGCGTACAGTCTCCTAGGTGTGTTCTTTACCATCCTCATTCATGCGAACAACTGCATCATTTAGGTCTTCAAGATTCTGCTCCGGTCAGATCTGCTCAGCGTCACAGTGTATCACACTCACCTGAGCGAGTTGGGCGAAAGTGGTAGGTCCTGTTCGGAAATCGCACACGGTCAACGTCCCCATTCAGTATCTACAAAGAGATGATGCCCGTTGCGCCCATGTGGCTGACCTATCATGAGTACATGAGATGGCAGTGCTGCCAAGCACAGATCCAGACCAAGCTCGACTGTCGCGCCTTCCTTCGCCCAGGCGAAGCTGCAGTCTGTGGGCGGCGCCGCTCCTGCCGAAGTATCCGGATATCAGCAGCATGCCCAAGGCCAACACAGCCTTCCCCAACTGCCGGAAGCATATCACAAGGTTCCTGGCTCGCAGAGGTCGCCAAAAATATCTACCTTTCCCGTCTCTGCCGTGCCCGGTATCAAGAAGCGCAATATGCGGAACTCAACCACCCACGACCCACCAGCGTCCTGAACGCGGTACTAGGCGGTGTTAATTCAAGGTGAAGACGAGGATTCTGAGTGAGAGTGGATCGCATTTGAACTCTAGCCCTGGGAATCGATGGATTATTCCAAACCCCAGGCCCCAGAACGCCGGTCTAGCATCCCCCCCATTCACTCACTCACTCACCCACGCGTTTCTCCGCCTGCGGCCTGCGCAGCGGATGCGCCTCCGTATTAAAAACCCAGTGATCGAGACTAACGAGTTCGGGATCGCTGAAGACGAGGTAGAAATACTTGAGCGTCTCGGCCATCCAGAAGCTCTCGCACTGATCGAGTTTCTGGCTGGCGTGGCCAACGGGCAGCGTCACGTCGGCGATGGCCGAGTGCGCGATCGGCGTCCGCGTTGCGTTCGCGATGGACGTGAACATACGCCATGCGGCGTCGGCGAGCGCGGGGTCGCCAGTTATGCGGTGCTGGATGAATATGGATTCAATGGCTTCTGGTCTACATGGCCGTCAGCACAAGACATGCACGGGGGAAAGAGAGCACGTACCTGAGCAGATAGCGTCGATCGCTGATCCGCGCGAACCCCGGCGGCAGCCCGTCTTGCTTGATGATATCGGCCGCGTCGAGGTTGCGATCGAACTCGTCGACGCCCGCGGAGCGAACGGCCGTGTTCCACTTCTCGGGCTGCCACGCGCAGTCCGCGTCCCCGCGGCACGGGATGAGCTTGGCCTGCTCCGGCATGATGCCCGAAGGCGTGCTGTCGTACGCCCAGATACACCCGTCGACCAGCTTGCGCGCGACGGCGAGCTCGGCGGAGCGGTTGAAGACGCGGGCGCCGAGCGCGACCATGCCGCCCGCGAAGCACGAGAGATGCTGCGCTACGGGGTCGAGTTTCGTGCGCCCCGTTGCGCCGCTGATGCGCGCAGAGCCGGACATGAGGATGTCCTTGTTCTGCGGGTTCAGCGGGCGGAAGAAGAGATGCTGTTTGGCTTCGCGCATCGCGTTCGAGAACAGGTTCTGGTACTGCGGATCCAGGCCGTTGAGCAGCAAGTGTTGCTTGGGCAGGTACTCGTAGAGGCTGTCGGACATGCCGCCCATGGTGAAGTGGGAGTCGGAAGCAAAGTCTTCGCGCGCAGGGCTGATGTGGATGGGGAAGAGGCCGGGAATTTGGGTGCGGTCTTGGTGTTTTGACAGCAGGGCGGTTATGCGGGCTACGGCGTCGTAGTACTTTGGGTCGCCTGTTAGCTGCGTGAGGCGAGTGAACTCGAGGGTCAGGGAGCCGAGCTCTGCGCTGAGGCCTTGTCCGTCGGCTTGTTGGTATTTGCGTACAGCGGCGCTGAGTCTGTTAGTGGAGCTCAGCTTGGGCAGGGGAGTTGTACCTTTCCCAATCCCATCGCCCGATTGGCATCCGGTTCGGCGTGTCGAATGCTGCGTATAACATGTCTCCCAGCTCGATTGCTTTGTCGAGCAAGACGTGGTGTTTCGCCTCGCTGACATCGTATGCGCCCAACAGTCCACCCAGGTAGCGTATCGTGGTCTCGAACACATTCAGACGGGAAATGGCACTCGTAGTGAAGTCGATCCCCTTGACAGCCTTTACAGCCTCTGCAAACTCGTCGTCCAGACCCATGATAGCCAGCGTATCCAAGGTGTCGACGAGTGTTGCACCGCGCTGTCCAAACGCATTGGTGAAGCCTCCTGTCACCGGAGTGACTTCGTCTTGCAGCCAAGCATGCTTCTTGTAACCGTTCCAGGAATGCAAAAAGGCCTCTTTCACAGCAGCCTGTCTGTGTAATCTTTCCGCCTTGGTGTGCTGCGTCTCGACCCCAAACTCGTGCTGTATGCGGGGAATGGCGGGAGGTGTGCCCGTCGGCAGGGCGATGGTCGAGGCGACAGTGTATCTAGGAGGTATCTCTTTCCATCGTATGGGTCCTTTGACTCGATTCGAAGATGTGGCGGTCGGTAACGGGAATTCAACACCGAGAGTAAGCTGGCGAAAGGAGAGGTACAGGAAGGTGAAAGCGACAAGTAGCACTGCAATGCGTCGTATTAAAGGGCTCATGATGGCCAAACAGAAGTCTAAGATATCCGAACCATCTGCGATACAGCACGAATCGCAAAGACTCTAGAGAAGCCGCCAGGAGGCCTCAGAGAATCGATAGGACTAGTGAAGACGGATGGAGCAGCTGCTCGGAACGAACGGATGGGGAGCAGGAACAGTGATGGCGGAAGAAGGTGTAGGTGTAATTACAAGATTCCGCAACAAGAAAGACTGACATGATACACGGCACTCACCAGCAGCAAGAAGGGGCAGCACGCCCCCATTGCGGGCCTTGGAGGCTCAGACAATCCAGAGTGGGTTGCTCGGCCAAGCTCTCTGGCGACGCGTCGCGCTCCGGACCCTGGCGCAACTACGCCGTAGCGGTACCTACCTAGCAGGGATCACCTAACTTACTACCGAGCCGTCATCCAGCGCTGGCGCATCTGCAGTGCTCGGCTGCCATTGAACTCGCAGCAAGCACAATCGCAGCCATGAAGTACAGCGGGTTCGTAGTCCCCCCAACGGCCCAACCCGCACGCCACCACTCTAACCCGCAAGGCTCTACTTTATCCCGACCCCGACTGCGCAACCCGCCGACTCGTCCACCACCGCCGCAGCCCTGGTCTCCGCGCTTGAAACCCTCTTCCCCACGCTGTCCCGCGCCGCACCGTGGTCCCTCGTATACCGCCTCTTCCGCGACACAGCGCCGCGCACCGATCCCTCCGACACGCCCGCCCAGCACGCACACACATACCAGCACATCCTCACGAACACGGCGCTGGCCCCGCAGCGCGCCTATGTGCACGTGACGCCGCCTGCGACAGGCGCGGACGGGAGTCAGCATGGCACCGGCGTAGTCGCAGCGATACCGGCCTCGCAGGCCGAGGCCCGCGCGCTGCTGCTGCGGCACCAACTCGCCGCGCTCTGGACGCCGCGGCACACGCTGTCGGTGCAGAGCGGGGCCGCGTACAGCGGCGGGCTGTTTACGATCCACATTGGCGAAGTGAGGGCACTGCGCGAGGGCCAGGGCGGCGGAGTCAGCAGTCCCGGGGTGGTGGTGTGCATTGCGACGACGGCCGGCGGGGACAGTGAAGCGGGACACAGTGGGGGCGAGAAGGCCGAGGCTGAGCAGAACGGCGTCGAGGCCGTCGACTTCGAGTTCGCGCAGGCCACGATCCGCGAGCTGTGGGGCCAGATCAGAGCTCGCCAGGAACCAGCGCGCGCCGAAGTGAAAGAAGTCTTCATGGTGCCGCAGGAGGGCGGGACGAGCGACGAGACCAACGCAACGGTGCGGATGTGGTGCGAGGTGCTGCGGCTGCGAGGGTGAGAGACACGCCCGTCGCTGGAATCGAGTCTGCGAGGGAAAGCGGGTGTGCATTGGGTAGCTAGCTCTCAGGACCGAGATGGCGCGTGTCACAGCTCGGACTCTGGAGGGCATCTGCGAGCAAGCTCTCGCCCATCATGCGGAGAAGGCATGAAGCTATGGAGCTGTGAAGGCACAGCGTCCACTGCGAGCGGAAGACGCCACTGAGCCCGGAGTGAACGGCTGTTGGTCAGGCGCCCGCAAGGACAGACACAGGCCCGAGCATCGATGCAACATCCAAGACGTCTAGTGAGAGCATCAGAGTCAGAGAGGCGAGGTCGAACGTACAGATGGTGAAAAGACACAGCTCTCATTGGCCTGCTACGGAGACTCCGCATCCGTCCAGCTGCCCCATACCCATTAGTCCATCATCCCCTCTAAGATCCCTACAGGTATCTAGAATACAACAATAAAAAGAGTGACAAATGCGAATTGGACATGCAAAGCAACGTTCAGATTACAACAATTTACTCGACATCAGATCAGATCGGACTCATACATGTGACGCCTTCCGTTCCCTAGGTCAAAATGCAAAGAAAGGGGATATAAGAGAACATGTGAAGGGTTACCCAAAAGCTTGACTTAACCCAACTTTGCAAATGCGTCCAGCCTTTACTGGGCACCAACCTCCTCCTCGGCCCATCCGTTCAGACCGCTGTCACCCTGGATCGCCAGGCCGTAACCACCGTTGCCGCTGCCGAACCCACCGATGCCCGAGCTCAAGCTGCCGAACGAGTTCTGCTGCGTAGCTTGGCTGGTCAAAGGCTGGTTGAAGGGGCCCTGCGTGAAGACCGGAAGGCTCACAGCGCGGGAGTGCTGTGCACGAGCGTTGAGGTTCGAGGGGGCCAAGAGACCACCGACCGTGGTGGGACCAGAGCTGTTGCCGTTCGATGTGCCGTTGATAAGGCTGAAGCTCGAGGTGCTGTTGTGCGACGTGTGCGAGTGGTGCGGCTGCGATGTCGTGTTCAGGTCGGCACCATAGAAAGCAGCCTGGGGCGACTGGTATGACTGTTGCTGCTGCTGCTGCTGGCTCTGCTGCTGTTGCAGGCTAGCCTCCTGCTGCTGTTGCTGTTGCTGCTGCTGCTGCTGTTGCTGCTGAGCCTGGAGGTACATCATCAAGGGGTTGTTGTTTCCCGTGTTCAGGATGTTGGCCGGGGCGGGTGCCTGCACGGAAGGGAACTGGCCATTCGCACTGCCGCCAGAGCCAGGAGCGCCAGAGCCGGTGGGCGAGACAGAAGGTCCAACGCCACGGTTGGGTTGCAGACCGTTGATGGGCGACGGTGACTGGAGGCCGTCGCTACCTGCTTGCTGGGCTTGGGCCTGCTGGTTGTTCATCTGGCGAGGAGGGTTACCACAACGGTCCTTGCCGAAGTTGACCTTGAAGCGCTTGTACTCCTCACGGCCGCGAATGGCCTCAATGGCCTTGATGGCATTGGCGATATTGGTGAAATTGACAAAGGCACAGCTCTTCTCGCGCAGTGTGTTGACGAGCTCAATCTCGCCATACTCGGAGAAGTCTTGCCTGAGGCGGTCCTCGGTCCACGACTCGTCCAAGTTGCCAATGTACACGTTTCGCGAGGCACCTCCGCTGACAGCCAGGGCAATGGCAGGCGGAAGAGCACCCGAGTGCTTGCCCCAACCAATCTTGAGACGACGGTTGTGAATCATGAGACCCTGCAGGTTGCTCAGAGCATAGAAGGACGCAGCAGAGGTGGGATCAATGAAGGTCACGAAGCAGATGTGCTTGTCAGGAATGTACCTGATGTGGTGGAGTAGGCCACCACGGACGACGTTACAGATCTCCTCGATGGTGGTCTCCGGGTGGATGTTACCCAAGTACACGGTACGGTTACCCAAGTTGTTAACACCGCCGGCGGATGTCGCGACAGCTGCTGCCGCTACAGATTGCTGAGCAAGAGCGTTGGAGATCATGTCACGGTCAGCTCCGTTGAGAACGTGAGCATATCCAGGAGCAATTCCAAGGTACTGCGCCGCGTTCTGTTGCTGGGTCTTCGAAACGTACGCGCATCGGTCCTTGCCGTAGTAGACACGGCGAGGCGCCTGCCACTTTGGCTCTTGGGGGAGTTGAGCAACAGCCTTGATGGCATTGCCGATAGACAAGAAGTGAACGAAACCGATGGCCTTCTCACGGACGATCTTCACAGTATCGATTGGACCGAACTTGCTGAGATCCTCGCGCAGCTCGTCCTCGGAGACATCCTCGGGCAAATTGCCAAGGTAGACGTTTCGGGAAGCCCCTGACTGTTGCACAGCAAGGGCCACCGAAGTTGGTACCTGCGAAGGTTTGCCCCACCCAATCTTGATGTCCTGACCCCGGATCGACAACTTTTTCAAGATTGCATCCGAGTGGAAGTGGGTAGCAGAGCTGCTATCCAAGAAAGAGATGAACGCGCAGTTCTTGTCGGGCAGAAGCCTAACGGACTCAATCTGACCACTTCTTACGTGGCCGAGGATCTCCTCCGCAGATGTCTCGGGAGGAATGTTCCCCAAGTAAACAGTCCTGCTGGTGCCAGAAACCAGGCCGGGGGCAATTGGCATGGACGAGCCAAAGCCACCGAGGCCTTGCGCACCAAAGCCACCGAATCCAGTGGGCGACTGGGGCCCATTGAAGAAGCCATGTCCGTTCATGCTGGTAGGCGAGACAAGGCCCTGGTACAGCTGGGGTGAAAGGGGCTGCTGCAAGGGGCTACCCATCTGGTTAGACTGGTTGTTCTGCTGCACTTGGTTCTGACCAGCGAAGTTGCCGAAGCTCTGGAACTGGGGTGAAGCGAAGGCCGAGGGAGAACCTGGCTGGAAAGGGCTGCCCAGAAGAAGCTGCGAGGGCAACAACGGGGTGAAGTTCATGTCATAGCCAGTGCCAGGAGTCTGCATATCAGCGCCATTCTGGTTGCTAGGGTTCAGCCTTCCAGTGTTGATGGACATGTTGTTCAACCTCTCAGGGTGCCTGTCGGCGTAGCCTGGCTGATTCGTAGCGAAGGCTCCGTGGGAGAAGCCATGGTGACCGCCGTTCATGTTGCCGTTCATTTGTCTCTGGAAGTTGGATTGCATACGAGGTCCAGTCGGTGTCGAAGAGGTTCCCCCGTTTTGCATTCCTAGCAGATGCGGTGGCAGACTGAAGCTGTCCCGCGGGTTGTGAGATAGCACGGCCGTGGTGGACGATGTATTACTGCGTCCGGGACTCGATGGACCGGACCGCGAAATATGTATTGTTGAAGGTGAAGGCGCAACCGGTTGCAAGAGGGTCGCGGAGGATGTGAAGCGTAAGCTAAAGCGTCAATGCTTTGCAAGGCAATCTGGCAGCTGTCAGTCGGCTGGCCCTAGCTGAGATGGCCGTGGCCCGAGATAAAGGAGGGTGCTTACATCCAAGACACAATGGCAAATGGGCACTTAATGTAGGGTGGACCGCGCCGAATCGAAGGTCAAAGGACTCCAACAGCTGGTTGCTTGATGGGATTACCGAGTCAAAGCAGACGTCGACAATACCAGGAATGCAACGTCGGGCGGAAGATTCAAGCACGGTATTAAGGGCAGATTATAAGCTGCTAATCTCGAGCAATGACCACAAACGGGACAGAATTAGAGGCTGTGTGCTCGCGGGCAAATGCTGGCCAACGGCTTGTTTTACGGTCGCCGATGCTGAAAAGAGCGAACAATAAGAATGAACGAGGCAAAGAGGCGGACTTTGCCAAGGGCCTCAGAGCTACAGAAGCGTAGATAATGAGCGAAAGGACCGCAGAGGAGAACGCGACCTGATGGCGGAGGCGATAAAGAAGAGAGGTGGGTGGGAAATGCTCTCGCCGTGTTGCGAGACAGGAGAAGCAGCGCAAATGAAGCCCCCGATCTGGGAAGGCGTGCCCGCCGAAATTCAACGTGCACATGCCATGACCACCCTGCAACGAATCGCGCAGACCACCGAGTAACACTTGCCGGCGCCCTGCAGAGCGGAGCCAGTGTCGCCGATGCCTGTGCGAGGTAGCGCTACATTGCTTGCAGCGACGATTCCGCGTGTCTCACGTTGAGGGTTGGAAGCGTCGCGCAGCTGCGGTGCCGATCCCTTCGCAGGGCTGACTGCAGCGCAGCGGGTGCTTGCAGGCCTCGTGCCTGACTAACGAGAGGCTCCGCCAGGCCACTTTTCGTTTCCAGAAAGCAGCAAAGGCGACGAACACGGCCCGGCATCCTTTGGCTTCTGGCGGCTTACCCAGTCGAAGGGGTCCAGAGCTCGATCAGGGTGCCCTAGCGGAGGGACCCGCGAACGCGTCGGCTCATAGACGAGGAGCGTGGTCACGTTGCCTGGTTATTCCGACTGTAATGATTGCCTTGCTTCAACGTCATGCTGTCTTTTGCTGACTACGAAATGATACTGCCATGGTTGTGATGCTTGGAAAATAAGATTCTCGAGCTGCTGTGGAAACAGCGTTCCAAAATTACGGTCTCGAAAAGGAAGGCGCTTTGGCCCACAGAGCACAGCACGTAAACCGACCTCCGAGTGACTGCCGACTCGTGTCTTTTCGCCTGCTGCTCGTCCACCAACAATCAAAGTCGTGATGCCAGAACTGTATCCGTCGATTGCGCAGTGCGCCGTCGTAGCGACAGCCTTGAAGGTGCTGCTGTTTCCTGCATAGTAGGTGCAATCGCGAAAACTAGCACTGTCATCGACGTGCATGCTCACCTTTTTTTGCTAGCAAGTCGACCGATTTCGAGGTTCACCGCAACTGGCTGGCACTGACACACTCACTGTCCATCAAAGAATGGTACTACGAAGTGAGCAACTGTCAAAACGACATGGAAACAATGGAGAGTATCCTAATTGGGTTCCCAGAAAACTTCAGAATGGACGCTCGATTATCCCCCATTCTTCGCCTACTTTGAGTGGCTGATGTCTCAGGCTGCTGCATACATCGAGCCTGCCTTGCTGAATGTAAAGGATCTCAACTATGACAGCTGGCAGACCATATACTTCCAGCGGACAACTGTCATCGTCACTGAGCTAGTCCTAGTCTACGCGCTGCATCTGTACTTCATCATCTTTGCTTGCAGTATCGCCCGTGCTAACAGTTGACCAGCTACGTCAAGACCTCAAAGTCGAAGGTCACTGCACACGCCGCTGCACTGTCTATCCTACTTTCTCCCGGTCTTCTTATCATCGACCATATCCACTTTCAGTACAACGGCTTCCTCTATGGCTTACTGATCCTGTCCATGGTGCTGGCGCGGAACCAGTCGACCATCCTCCTGTCAGGCATCCTCTTCGCGGCGCTGCTGTGCCTGAAGCATATCTACCTCTACCTGGCCCCTGCCTACTTCGTGTTCCTTCTTCGCGCATACTGCCTCGGTGAGCGTCGGGCCTTCCCGTACTTCACAATTAACTTTTTCAACTGCGTGAAATTAGGAGTAGGCATTATTGCAGTATTCGCTAGTGCTTTTGGTCCGTTTGTTGCTTGGGGACAACTCGAGCAGGTCTTCAAGCGGCTTTTCCCATTCTCACGCGGACTCTGCCATGCCTACTGGGCTCCGAACGTTTGGGCGATGTATTCGTTCACTGATCGAGTGCTCATCTACTGTACGTCATGATCTGGACGCTCTCTTTGAGTACGCTAATATGATGTGTAGTGGCCCCTCGCCTTGGCTTGGCAGTGAACCAGGACGCAGTCAACAGTGTCACTAGAGGACTCGTTGGAGACTCATCGTTCGCCGTGCTTCCCGACATCGTACCCCTCACATGCTTTCTTCTCACATTAGGCACTCAAATCGTAAGCTTGAAGTTGACTTGTTGGTCGGGCAACACTGACTATTTGCAGCCTGTTCTCATGCGTCTGCTGTATAAGCCAACATGGGAGACGTTCGTTGGTGCAGTCACTCTGTGCGGCTATGCTTCGTTTCTCTTCGGGTGGCATGTCCATGAGAAAGCAATCCTGCTTGTCATTATCCCTTTCAGCCTGGTCGCACTCCGTGACCGCCGATATTTTGGCGCTTTCCGACCTCTGGCAGTCTCCGGCCACGTCTCGCTTTTCCCCCTACTGTTTACAGCCGCAGAATTTCCCATAAAGACGGCGTACACCATTTTCTGGCTCGTCTTGTTCTTATCGACATTTGACAGACTGGCACCTGCGTGAGTCCCGGCAGTCGCATTCGTGATCCTCCACTAACCACTCAACAGCTCATCCGAACGACGCCTCTTTTTGCTCGATCGCTTCTCTATTGTCTACATTGCTTTGTCCATTCCTTTGATTGCATACTGCTCCCTGTTCCACGTCATCATCTTCGGTTCCCGCTACGAGTTCCTTCCTCTCATGTTCACCAGCTCCTACTCCGCCATCGGCGTGGTCAGTAGTTGGCTAGGATTTCTGGTCGTATATTTTGATACATAGCTATGGTTAATCTTTGGTTTCAACCAGATCTACTCTGGCTGTTTCAATTGTTTCTCTGCCACACAACTTAAGCCACAGATTACGCCGAGTGTTGGAAATGCTTTCATCCCACGTGAAGGTAGAGTCATTATTCAGATAAAGTCAAAGTGACTGTCTGTGAGCTTAGTTCTCTCAAGTATACTGGTCATGGATCAAGTAGGTCATCATTGTCAGAGCTCGTGCTATTCGTGTCTTGTAGTGCTAGGAAGGGGGTCCGAATGGTACCTGGACATCGTAGTGGGTTTGATTATTATTGATAGTATGTTGGAAACCAACAGCAGTCATTTTAGTATGTTCAGGAGTTGACCCAGCCGTGAATTACTCGTGTCGGCGAGCGGAGGGCTACGTCCAGGGTCAAGTGGGTCAAACCTGTCAACTGGTTTGCTTGGTGGCTCAAGAGCATGAGCCCTCCGGCTTGACGTACATCGCGTTATATCCACGAACATCACTTATGGAGTAGATGCAAGCGACTAGTAGCTTTCGCGTCTAGATCCAGCTCACTCTGACGATCAAAACAAGACCGAACACACCGGTGCTGGAGTTGCAGCGGTGTGGAGGTGGTGGGCGTGTGTGAGAGGGAGGTCCTGGGAGGTCCATGCCAGAAAGGGCAAGGACCCGCCAAGCACACCTCCGGCACGACTACCTATAGCTTTCCTGTCGTCCCCCATTGAATTGTTTCTCGTCATCCTGCCGTTCTCACCCCTCGATCGCCTCAACCCTCGCGTCCACAATCGCCACAAATTCTGCCACATTTCCAAGAAACGCGCTCTCGGAACCTAGCGACGCGTCTCGGAACGCATTTCGGACCTACAAGGCTTGCGACAACTTTTACGACGTTATATTCGTGCGCGCCCAAAAGCATAAACCACCTGGGATACACCTTGAGAGGGTTGTGCAACAACACACCTGAGCCCAATCGACACTATTGGGCCCACGCGACGCGACTCTGGCTACGCGATAGTTCCGCAAGTCGCAACGCGATTGCTAGAGCGCGTGAGGACTTCACATGAGCTCATAACTTCACCAAAATGGTACGATGGCAGGCATGGCCCACGCAGAATCAGTTAATGACTTGTGTAGGTACTCTTCAAACGCAAGCCAGTGAAGTTCGACCCTCCGCCAAAGAACATTACCGACCACGATGAGGTATGGGCGTATCTCGAACCGCGCCTGAGATACAAACTAAGATTGATCAACAGGTCTGGGTCATCGAGAAGACAGGGGAGGTGTACAATGACTATGAAAAGTATTTGAGGCGGTATGGCATAATCCCCAAATGAGGTTAAGTTAGGAGACTTACTAACACTTCCAATAGGTTGGACTTCTACGACCAGGTAGGCGCTAGGAGGGGAGATCAGACACAAACACTCACAGTACTTACGCTTTCCAGAAACTCTTCACCTGCGAGTCCACCGGGCACTCGGGCTACACCTTTTTCGAAGCCATGGAGAGCCAGGTGAGCTCCGAGCCGGTCTGGGAGGGCATCAAGGTAACGGAAACGCAGACGGAGGCGTCAAGGGAGATTGACAGCATCTTCCCTGATGCTTTGAGGTCTCGTGTCCTCCACTTCGTCCAGTTCAGGACGACTTCGCGGATGGATGACCTGGGTAAGACACCGCGGCGCTCCTACTCCGTTCCACGGCTAACTTTGGCTTTCTAGTGAATTTGGTGTTTGATGTCAGTTTTCAACTAGTAAACTGCTACCACATCGCACTGCTAACATCTACCAGGAGTTTAAGGAACAGTACATGGTTGGCGATAGAGTCTGCATTGAGGTGGAAGGCCCAATCGGCCGCCGCTACGGTGTGATCACAGACATCACCGACAACAGTCAGCTACATCAGAACGCCTTCACAAGGTCACCAGATGATCAGTACAGAGCGTACACCTACGTCATCACCATGGACGATAACAATGAGCCTATCACCAAGTACAAAGCTGCAGACCTGCAAAGGGACAGGAAGTACTACTCAAAGTTAATCCTGAAGCAATTTCTGCGCAGCACAGTATCGAGAGAATCCTGGATCGGTGCACCCTGGATGGCAAAGGATCATTTGGCGAAACGCTACAAGATCCCCACCAAGATTCCAGAGAACAAAACCCGCGAAATGGTGATGGCGCAGAGGAAGCTCACAAACGGTTCGCGTCAGAATGGCGCAAGTCCGATCCAGCAGACACATCCACATCAACTACCGAACGGGCACGCACCCCAGACAAACGGACATCGACCTCAACAACCGGCACAGCACGGGCAAGGCCCGCAGTCGTTTATCAATTTTGCCAATCCTCCTCATGCCCAGAATCCACCTCATCTCATGCATCCGCACATCCCTGGCTTCCCTCAGCATGCGCAAGGAGGCCCACCACCTCAATTCGCGCATCAAGGCCCGCCTCATCACCTGCCGCACGGCATACCTCTCAACATTCCTCAAAACGCTCTACCGCCGAACCTTGCGCACATCATGCACCACCCACCTGGTGCGCTGCCAGTCAATCTTCCTTTCCAAAATGGGTTTATGCAGTACCAGCAATTTGCTCCCCGGAACTCTCAGCACCAACAACATCAGCAGCAACAGCAGCCCATTCCTATAGCCAAATCCTTCGAGCCGATCAAGTACCCTATCGAAGATTTGGATATCTCACAGCCGCGTCTGAGTACTGTGCGACCCACACTGAAGTTCTTCTCAGACGATGTACCAGCTGGTGTCGAGGCGCCTGGTGAAGAGGATAAGACCGGAATCCTCATGAAGAGCATCGGCCCACTCTTGTGCGCTTGGGAGACTCTGAATGTGCATGACACAATCTACATGCTCGACTCATTCACTTTCGACGATTTCGCAGAAGCTATGCGATTTTCCTCGGACGAGCAGGACTGCGAGCTGTTTGTGGAGGTGCACTGCTCTGTACTCAAGCAGATCATCAACGAGAATGGCAAGCTTCAGGCACCCCTGCCGAACATGGCTGAAGCAGAAGAGTCTGACGAGGAAGTTTCGAGCAGGGAGTCGACTCCGGACCCCGAGCCAGAGCCACCGAAGCGAACTACACGCAGCAGTCTGAGGAAGTCCGAAGTACAGCAGATCATCGAGAAGGCTCGAACTCCAACACCCGAGCCACCGAAAGACATTCACAAGGCTGCAGAGTTCGTTACAGACTTTGATTGGATTGAGCAGCTGAAGATCCGAAACTTCCAGAACGGGGGCTGGCAGGCGATCATGGTTTCATTGCTGTACCGTCTGTCCTTCGACCCGATCCAAAAGGAGATATGCGATGAGATTCTTGCTGCACTCGTGCCAGGCGATCAAGATCCTAGCCTTGAGAGCATCGCGGAGAACTACCGCAGCATGGACGTCAATCTGCGCATTTCAGCGCTGGATCAGGCTCTGCGCCTGACAGTCACCACTGATGCGTTCCGTGATCAGCTGAATGCTGCTTCCCTTGAGATGACTCGACTTCGCAAAGAGAAGATCGAGTTCCAGAGGAAACGCAAGGACCTGTGAGTTGAAATTGTGGTCTGACGTCGTTCATACACTAACCTCGAACGCAGAGCTGATGAGCTATTCAAGCTGGATCTTGAGCGCAAGATCAAGCTGCCGGACAATACACCCGCCTCTCCCTCTGATGCCAAGGAGAACGAGGACGTATCAATGCTTAGTGTGCCAGACTCTGTCACCGAAACTGCTGATGGGGAGAATGAGGACGAAGACGCATCCGCTGCAAAGAGCAGGACCCGCACGAAGAACAAGCGCAAGGCCGCAGCTGAGGAGGCTCGCAAAGAGAAGGCCAAGAAGGCCAAGATCGAAGCCGAGAAGAACAAGAAACAGAAAGAGTGGGAAAAGCTCCTCAAAGCAGTTCATGACAAGAAGGACGAAATCAAGGAGTGTGAGGCCAACATCAATGAGCTGGACGACGATCTTCGCGAGACCCTAGTTCACCGCAGCAAGGTACTAGGCAAGGATCGATTCCTGAACAAGTACTACTGGTTTGAGCACAACGGAATGCCATTTGGTGGTGTGCCCAACAGCTCGACCGCACAATATGGGTACGCCAACGGACGTATCTGGGTACAAGGACCAGACGCCGAGGAGCTCCAGCCGTGTCTGGAAGAGCCCGCACTTTCGCAAGACATGCAGCGATTCAAGTTCACCATCCCACAGCGAAAAGAGAAGGAAGAAGGCTCGACACATCTCTCTACGTCTTCGGAATGGGCCTACTACGATGACCCAGAAGATATCGACAGACTCATTTTATGGTTGGACGAGCGTGGTCACCGTGAGAAGCAACTCCGTAAGGAGCTGCAAATCTTCCGTGACCGCATTGCAGAGTACATGGAGAAGATGAAGAAGCACATCACCAAGGCTGAGAAGACGGAAGAAGATGTAGAGGACGAGGACAGCAAGCCTCGCATTTCAACACGTGGTAAGGCCAACGCAGAAAAGGAGGACACCAGGGAACGCTGCCTACTCTGGACGAACAGCATCATGTTCGACGAGTACGGCTACATCCACTCCACCGAGTACGAGCCGCCCAAGAAAGGCAAGGCAAGGGTCGTCAAGGCTGCCAAGGGTAAGGGCAGGCGGTAGTGCCGGCGAAGGGTTGGGTTGACTGTAAGACGATTTACGAGAAGTGTAGCGGTGTTTACGGCGTTGTGGTACCATCAGCATGTACAGTGGGCATTTTCTGGAGTTTGCACAGGGCGGATACTGTCACAGCATGGCTCTGCTACATAGAGGGACTGGTGTTCAGGGGCATCGAGCAGTGCATCGCCTGCTCATTAAGACTTCCCAGGCGAGGTGTACGGGCATTGGGACCTTGTTGAGGGGTGCTACAGGCAACATCACTTCAAGCGGTCCAAAGCTCTGGATCTAAAAATGAGCTCCTTCACATAACAAGGTGCCTGCAATGAAAGTCCAAAGTGATACTATTCTGTGACATGTTCCTGCTTCATGGTCTGTTTGCTCCCAGTGGCTGACCCACTGCTGACATAATGACTTGGCGCTTGGGAGGAGCGCCACAGGTCGCGAACGGCCGCAAACACGTATCGCGACAGCCTGTAGCTCATCAGCAAACGCGATTCCGCATTTCGAAATATTGATTTCCGGCTCCAGAGGTACAACTGCACTACTTAGATCACCACCGACGTACTCCGCTGCGACAGTCCCTGTGGCAGTCCGCTTGCATCATGGCCACGAATGGCGCGCGGAAGGGTGGGTACTACAACCTCCGCAGCTCCCCCACACGATACACCGACTGATGACCACATAACAGGCTCCATGGACTCCCAGCCTGGCATCTTGAGCAGCGGCGCCCTAAAAGATATTGTTAAAGTCGAAAATAAGAAGTTCACACTCAAGATCAAGAAGACTGCGCCCAAACCAACAGAAGCTGGCAACTGGAAGGAGAGCGATGCAAAGAGTATGTCGCAACATTGTTGTGTACAACTGCGTAGATAAGGACAAATAGCTCAGCAGCAGCAGATGCCGACGGCAAGCCCTCCGCAGCTGGCTCGCCAGTCGTAAACCCCCTCGACGAGAAGACACTCGCTGGATTTCAGACCGGCCGCCCACTTGACGACAAGGTGGATACGATACAGTGTAAGCACTGCCGGCGACCTATACTTCGAGCCGCGTCCGCGACACACATTCGCGACTGCCTGAACAAGAAAGCAGACAAGCAGCGGAAAAAGAAAGAGGCCAAGGAAGCGAAGGACGCTGCGCTGCGGAAAGAGAAGGGCGAAGATGACGACGATATTCGGGCCAGGAAGTCTGCTATCAAAGGGCTGGAGCCTGGAGCGAAGAAGGGCAAGAAGCGCAAGATCGACGGCGACTCTGAGAAGCCCGGCGCGAAGAAGAAGAAGAAAGAGGAGCCCAAAGCAAAGGGTGCAAAACCCAAGGGTCCGGTGGACGTGGAGAGGCAATGTGGTGTGCCACTTCCTAACGGCGGATTCTGTGCACGAAGCCTGACGTGCAAGTCGCACAGCATGGGGCTCAAGCGGGCGGTGCCTGGGCGCAGTCTGCCCTACGACATGCTCCTCGCACAGTACCAGAAGAAGAACCAAGCTAAGCAGCAGCGTAGGTGGGCCCATTACTACTCATATTTTTTTTAATTCTTACACCCCACAGGCGCAGCAATCGACGCCAACGCCCCGCTCCCCGAAGACCTCGAGCCGTCGGGCGCCGTCGACTCAGACGAAGAGAAGGACGCCATCATGGCTGCTCTCGCGCGCCACAAGCCCCGGCCTATCGCAACGCACAGCCACGTCTCCCAGCGCAACAAGTACCAGTACATCCGTATGAGTAACATGCTCCGCGGGGCGCTTGGCAACCCACCAAGCATGTCCGCATTTGGTAACCCACCCAGCGCTACGGACGGCAGCGGCATGGGCCTCAGGTTGGGCATGATGGGTGCGCCACCGAGTGCTTCGAGCGAGAACTTCCCCGGCAGCGCGGCCATGGGCGGGTTCCCGATGAGCGCGGGACTGGACGGTAGCATGGGGAGAAGACAGAGCGGGATGATGGCGGGCGGCGGCAGTGGGCCGAGGCAGATCCTGCCTGGTCAGCTCCCTGGGCCAGGGGCGCCGCGGAAAAGCAGCCTGAGCGTTGGTGGATCTTAGGCGGATCGTTTGGAGGCGCATTTCACGGAGTTGTCAAGACAGAACGGGTGCGGCTGTGGCGGGCTGGCGACGTGCCGGCGGCGATGCGTCCTCGGACCGCGCAGGGGGACGTTCACGCAGCCGAGGTGCAGGACACTGCAGGATTTGGGACGGGTGTTTGGGCGTTCATGACGATACCCGGAATTCGATTATGAGCAGGGTTGGTAGCAATACGGAAGAGACTCTCGCTTTTGCTTGATTGTGCGGATTCTAATCTTGTTCGTGTCACTGCCCCGTCATGCCCCAGTAGCCCGTCCTCTGCGCCTTGGGAACCGTCATCTTGTAGTGCTGATCATCCTCGTCCTCGCCGCTCCCAATGACATCGTCTGCACTGTCGTTTGCATCGAACTCCTCCTCATCGCTCCCGCGCCGGTGGGTCGGCTTGTACGGATCGCGATTGAACTCGTCGTCGTCGCTCAGCTCGTCCTCGGGGTAGTCGTTCGCATAGTACTCCTCGGCGTTTGAGTCGTCGTCGTCCGTGGCAAAGTCCCGATCCGACTCGTCGCCGCCGTTCCACCACGCCTCGTCCTCGTCCGCCAGCACCAGATAGCCCACGCTGCCGTGCGCCGTCGGCAGCTTGCCCGTCTCGTCCGGCCGCAGCACGTCCCGCACGTACGTGTCGATGACGTACTCGTCCGCGTCGAGGTCCATGGCATCGCCGTCGCCGTCTCGGGCAGCCAGGGCCGCGGCTTTCTCGGGCTCGCGCTCGGCGAAGCGGCGCGTTGGTGCTCGGGGCTTGTGCTTCGACGGCGACATGTGCGGGGCGGCAGGCTCTTCGCTCGCGAGGCGGTGGCTGAGCGCTTCGAGTTCGCGCACATGGTGCTCGGCGGGCTGTGTGTGGTGCGCCGTGCGGGCGGCGGGCGTCGAGCGGGCGGCGGTCGAGGCAGCGCGCGTGCCGGGGCGTTTCCGGGGGCGCGGGGGCTCTGGGTGGGAGGATGCTTGGACGGCGGTGGCGGGTTCGCTGGAGGGCGTGCTGGGCTCGGTTGCGGCTCGTCGCTCGACGAAGACGTGCTTCGACCGCGCGCGCGAGACCGGGTCGAGGTGGAAGCGTCGCTCGGCGGTGGGCGTCGCGGCGCCGGACTGCCGTGTGTCGCCGGGCTTCGTGAGGCGTCGGAAGAAGATGTCGGCCTCGCTTCTCTGTCGCTTCACGCTGTCGTCGAAGATGAGGGAGTCGACGGGCGCCTCGGTGCGCTTGCGCTTGACCGACAGCGTCTGTGGCGCTTTCGACATGTTGATCGTCGTGAGAGGTAGGAATATGGAGTCGCCGTAGGAATATGGAGTCGCCGTAGAGTATGGAGTCGCCGTAGGAATATGGAATCGCCGTAGGAATATGGAATCGCCGAGAAATATGGAATCGCCGTGGAACTATGGAATCGTCGTAGAATATGGAATCGTCGTAGAATATGGAATCGCCGTAGAATATGTACTCGCCGAAGAATATGTACTCGCCGAAGAATATGTACTCGCCGAAGACTATGTACTCGCCGAAGACTATGTACTCGCCGTAGAACTATACGATCGCGGGTGTCGCCTGCTGTTGTTTGTTTGCTGAGGGGCATGTCCGCGGGGAATTGCTCGGTCGCATCAGTCCCCTACCGGTACCAGTACCTAGCTCGCCAAGCCAGGCAGGTACGCGCGGGATGGGCGGGAGATCAGATGGCACACCCGGCCAGTCACCTGCGCCGTGTCCACGATGAAGTCGGAGGCGGTCTGAACCATGTCTGCCTGCGCGAGTCACCAACACACCAACACACCCTACAACCTTGTCCGTGAACCCGTCCACTCCTTGTCGCCATCAAGGTATCTGCACCGCCTCACTCCGCCTCACTCCGAGCCACCACAACACCTCGACCCCCAACATGTCGATGAAGCGCATGCGCCGCATCTTCGAGCGCCAGACGGAGCGCGAGGCCTCCTACGAGCCGCTCGAGGGCGGCTCTGAGCGTCCAGATGGCGAGCACATTGAGGGGTCGGAGACGGACTTCTCATGGACTACCTACTCCGTCTTCCTGCTGCTCGGCGTGGCCATGCTGTGGGCCTGGTACGCACTCGTGCTGCCCCAACCATGTGTGTGTACTGACTATCACAGGAACATGTTCCTCGCTGCCAACCCGTACTTCCAGCGCCGCTTTGCGCCCAACGACAACCTGCTCCGCAATTTCCAGTCGGCCATCATGTCTGTCTCGACGGTGGGCAACCTCGGCTCCATGGTCGTCTTGACCAAGCTGCAGGCGCGAGCCAACTACCCGCGCCGCATCGCCGCCTCGCTGGTTCTGAACATTCTGGTCTTCACGCTGCTGGCGCTGTCGACGAAGCTGTTCTTGGGCGTGGCAGCTGGAGTGTACTTTGCCTTCTTGATGATGATGGTGCTGAGCGCGAGTCTGGCAGCCGGGCTGTGTCAGAACGGTGTCTTCGCATATGTCGCTGGCTTTGGCCGCGAGGAGTACACACAGGGCATCATGATGGGCCAGGGCATTGCTGGAGTGCTGCCCTGCATTGCCCAGATCGTCTCGGTCCTCTCGGTGCCGCGCAGGAAGGAGCACGTCGACCATGGCACGCCGCAGCAGTCCAGCACATCTGCGTTTGCCTACTTCCTCACAGCCACTGTCATCTCCGCTGCCGCACTAGTCGCTTTCTTCTACCTCCAGCGACAGCACAGCTCTAGAATACACCTCGACGAAGTCGACTCTGCGCCCACCGAGCGCAAGAGCGTCCCTCTCACCCGTCTCTTCGAGAAACTCACCTGGCTGGCCAGCGCAGTGTTCCTGACTTTTGTAGTCACCATGTTCTTCCCCGTCTTCACGCAGAAGATCCTCAGCGTGCGAGACCCCACCTCAGCCCCTCGCCTCTTCCAACCAGCAACATTTATTCCCCTGGGCTTCCTGTTCTGGAACGCTGGCGATCTGCTTGGCCGCATGGGGCCTGCTCTACCTGCTCTACGTCTTACAGCCTACCCAAAGGTCCTATTCCTGCTGTCTGTTGCACGAGCTGCGTTCATCCCTCTGTATTTACTCTGCAACGTCAGCGGCAAGGGTGCTGCTGTCAGCTCTGACTTCTTCTACCTCGTGATTGTGCAGCTGCTGTTCGGCCTGACAAACGGGTATCTGGGCAGCAGTTGCATGATGGGATTCGTGGAGTGGGTCGACCCCGACGAGGCCGAGCCTGCAGGCGGCTTCATGTCACTGTGTCTTGTGGGCGGTTTGACAGTGGGGAGTTTCATGAGCTTCTTCGCCGCCCAGGCCATATGAGCCGCTGTCGCTCGCCACACGCTCGTTACAGATCACGGCCCCAGCGGCGCTACGCCTTGCGCACAAGGTACGTGCACTTCCACGATCGCCCACCACCTCCTCGTCTCCATACCCCCGCCCGTGGTCTTCGCCAGTATTGTGCACCTCCCTTCGACCTCATTCACCCACTCCAGGCGTGCAGCTGCCTCCACCCCTCCGCTCCACGATACCCATGCGTCAACGCTGCTGCGCAAAGCCGCCTTGGCCTGCTCTCGACTCCAGAACAACTTGGAGTCATGATGCAGCATCCAATAAGCGTCAAGACCTACGTTCACCTGCACCAAGCGATAGGGGTGCTGCGGAAAGAAATCGTCGAGTCGCACCCAGCATTTGCGGTCGGTCTCGGGGTGGGGTTCCTCAAACTGCTGCAGGAATGTCAGGGACGGCATCGCGTCGGTCGAGTTGCGGAGGCGCAGGAACATGTACGCTGTTGGCATGGTTGCTGCACGTCGCCCACCCCGTGATGAATGGCAGAGCGGTCTTTTGTACAGAGGTTTAGTACGCAATGATTGCTATCGTTCAGAGCAATCCGGGACGTTTGCTACACCACGCTGCACAAGCATACTACAAGCGCAGCAGTCGACACGAAACGGAGAAGAGCGGCAGAGATGCAGTCCTCATAGCACTTGCTAGGGCAGGAAAACAGCACACGCAAGCCCTGGTCTAAGAGAGAGCACATCACTCAAAGCTGCTGCCCGCAAACAAGACAGTTTTGCAACAACTAGGAAGATGCTGCGAATCAAACTATGTTATCGTGCTCGGAGATATAACGCGCCGTAGTTCACTTCACCCCTTGCTCTTGGCGCTTTGGCGAGTCTACAGTTCGCTGGCTGCAGCCTTCGCGGTCGAGAAGCCGGAACCGCGTATCATAGTGGAGTTGTCCACCATCGACCAGTCCTGAAAATTCGTTGCCGGATAGCGTCAGGAAACACCACTTGTTGATGGAGTGTGGTTGAAGGACAGTGAGAGAGCGGGGTGAGCTGGTGAGGGGCAGTAAGCCATCCGAGGATCACTCCTGACGAGGCACTCCGTCTGTGCCATCAGCCAGACCAGGGCATTGTGGAGACCTTTCCATCCAGTCAGTCAGGCAGTACCGATACCCTAAGTCCACGCGATCAAAATGTTATTTATCGAGTGCAGAGGGACGCCGTACGAGGTAAGGACACGTGACGTCATCGCTGCGTTTGAGCATCGCTCCTTCTCTCCTCAGAGATAGATGCTAATGTCCACGAGATTGGCGTGCAGCACGGTCGTGCAGCACAACTCCAAATCGACCGCTGCATTGCGTTCTACGCGAACCTGTTCCTGCAGAACTGCAAGCTAGAATGGCCGCAGGTCCTACAGCGCGCTTCCGAATTTGAACAACAGGCCAAGGCGAAATGGCCGGCGTTCCACGAAGAGATACAGGGCATTGCCGACGGTGCGGGGAAGGACTTGTTGGACATCGTGGCCATCAACGTGCGGACTGAAATCAACTTTGGTCTGTTTAGTGACGGCTGCACGGCGCTGTCGTGGCAGACGGAGGAGCGATCTTGGCTCGGCCAGAATTGGGATGTGAGTGACAAATATACATCACGACCTGTTTGTACTGACCAGGAGCAGTGGATGACAGCGCAAAAGCAGAATATCGTCATCACCAAAATCACACAGGCCGGCAAGCCAACCGTGCTTCAGGTCACGGAGGCCGGCATGATAGGCAAGATTGGCTTCAACAGCGCGGGCCTGGGCGTCCTGTTCAACGCCATCAGAATTCACGGCGCCGACGCGACGCGACTCCCCGCACACTTCGGGCTGCGGATGGCACTCGAGAGCAACTCTGTTGCGGACGCGGTGCAGAAGCTAGAGAGCCACGGCATGGCGTCGTCCGCGCACATCCTGCTTGGCGACGCGAATACCGCTCTGGGTCTGGAGTTCACCAAGTCGACGTTCGCGCACTGCGAGCCAGATTCTGCCGGCCGCATTGTGCACGCGAATCACCTCCTGAAGCACCACCCTGGCGAGACGGATACCGTCTGGCTGAAAGACTCGCTGGTGCGCGTGCCCACCATGACGGCCAACGCTGGCTCCCTCGGCGCTGAGCCTAGCTGGGAAGCAGTGAGTGCGCTGTTCGAAGATGAGCAGAATGCGCCAGGTGCTATTTGTAGGACGGAGACGGCGGAGACGGGGAGTGCGACGCTGTTCAATATCGTCATGGATTTGAAGAGCAAGAGAGCCGTTGTCAGATTGGGTAGGCCGACTGAAGTCGAGGAGACTGTCGAGCTACAGTTATAGGCATTTCATAGATAGAGCGCTGAAGCATCTCTAGTAATGTTCTTCGGGTAGTATACCCAATATTATAGTGCGTATGCGTTGACGCAAGGCGCAATACCTAAACCTAGCTTGTATCCAGGCTTTGTATCCAGGCTTTGTATCCGGGCTTTGTATCCAGGCTTTAACAATATTCCCTGGGCTCGTGCTGCCACGCAGTACCCAACCAGGCTACTTTCTGCATCCCTGTTCCGAATGCATGCTCTCGGGTGTTTCCGCGTGTGCGGTCCAGGGGTGCTCTCGGTTCCTCGTGCATATGGGGCGTTGACAGGTGTCGTGTCGAAACGTGTACCAGTAGCAGCGATCACAGCAGGAGAAAAATAATTGCTGAACGCCTTTCCCCCCGGCTCCCGCGGCACTGTCACCACGCATCCAATGATCAGAATGTGGGCAAACCCCGCGTGTGGCATGCACTCTGCTCTGAATTTGCTTGAACTGAGTACGTGCGTATGCGAGTCCGGGACTGTGCCCGGATGAGAGCAATTCCTCGCAAACCCGCTTTTCATGCCGGCAGCGGTTCCTACCGAGGCGGGTGTAGGAGGCACAAGCTTTCGGCTTGGCCTTCAAGAGGCTCGACTTTATTCTCCGTTGTAGAACCCACCACGCTGACGTAGCCAGGTGACGTAATGGTTGGGAATGAGTGCATCGTTGGATATTGTAAGCAGACAGCTGCAATATTCGACATATGATCCATGCATCCTCCGCTCGATCCGGAATGAGCGCGAGCAGATACAGTGTCATTCCCCAAGGCTCAGCGTCCGGCGATCGAAATTTCGTATCGCTCATCGTAGAAACGAAAGAGGCGTGAAGCGTTGCTTAGTGCGTTTCCGTCTCGTGCATATGCTCGATACTAGGACATAAGTGGAACTCGGCGTTCCAGTCTCGTGGCGTGGTTGTAAACGCGTATGCGTTGAGCGGCTCCATCGGTTCTGATGTGGCTGTTGGATTGAACAGATTCCAATGCGACAGTACGCCTCCAGGCTCGGTCGCGGCGTGGCTAAAATTATCCTGAGCGGTGGATTTACGTGTTGCAGGAATGACGACCTGCGGCGCCACCAAAGCGTTGATGCTTGCTTTCGAGGCGTACAGATCCATGTATTCCTTCTTTACTGGAGCCAGAGATCTTTCATACTCCTCAAGACAACGCGTTGCAGCAGCCCATCGTTCGCGAATCGAGCGGAAGCATTCGGCGAAGACGTTCATCGACTCTTCCACGTCCTCCCAGGAATATGTCATGAGTACCTCTTGTTTGCAACACTGCAGCCCCTCAAGGAAGACGATAGCGCAATGGAAGACGTGATGACATGGGTGAAACACGTATTTGATCCTGCCGGGAGCGGCCTCTGACTGTCTGTAATAGCCAGCGGCAATCTGCACAGCATGTTTCAGCGCTATCATCCTCTGCGCTGTGGTGGGTGTTGGAAGGCATTTTGAAGGTCGGTTGAGCAAGAAGTAGACGTAAGGCACAGCGATGTCGGAGTACAACATCATCTCTTCCCATCTGGCATGCAGCCCCGGATCTTGGTTCGCGCGTGCCGAAGCGTATATCTCATTCTGCCACTGGTGTATGCGGTCGATGCAGTTCTGTCCCCACGATTCTATAGAATCGAAATCTTCCGGTACTGGCTCGTCATGCCACATGACCGAGACACACTCGGCTTCGATGAGTCGGAAGCTGCAGATAATTCGCTGGGTAAATTTGGAGACCCGTCCTTCAGGGACGGTCCCGTGTTGAGTGATCGCCGTGTCATCAATCTCCAATGGGAACTTGACCTGAATGCCTTTGACAGGCAGACTGGTAGGGAATAGGAAGATAGAGCATACGCCGACCTCCATCTCCCACGCACACCAAAATAGACGTCGCCGCATGTCGCGATCATAGTCGGAAGTTTTTGCATGGTAGGGTAGTTCTTGATGAAGACCCAAGTCTATAACAGATTGGCTTATCAGACCAGTCAGGAGCCACAGATCCGCCATACTGGGATTGAGAAAGATGTACTGTGTGAGAAGGAGGATAGCCTGCAGACCAGCAATATCGTTTGTGGCGACTTTGGGAATCCATTGCATGGCGCATCGGACAAGCTGGAACGCTTGCTGATTGGCCTTGACTACGTTCTTCCTGGCGTGCGTACTCAACGAGATAGCCATGATCATGCATACGATGTATTGCTGACGTATTGAATCCTCAGCAGAATTTGTTGTCCTCTGTTTATAGATGGAGTTGAACGCAGTAGTGACATCGGTTCGATGGTATATTGGATACTGTGTGATCACTCGCTCGAGGTAGTTTTCGAACAGGATTTTGGCACCGTTCTCGTCCGCGATCAGATCACGAAACAGACTGATGGTTGGAGGATTGATGATTGATCTGGGGTGGTTCTCGTCTAAGTCAGTGGAGCCAACCGGTCCTTTCCTTGATGGTAGCTGGGTTCCTTTGACAACACACTGCAAGATGGGCCTTGCTTTGGATACACCGAGAAAAGGAGGAGTAATGTCTTCCATGGCTTGATTGACAAGACTGTCAGCAAACGCGCACTTCTCGGCACCCTGGTGATTCGAATGCGCTTCAGAAACATGTGAAGCAGCTGGCGACAGTTGGCCAAATCGTCCCACAGACGGAGAGCTCTGAGCACCCTCTAGCCTCGTGATGTGAGCTTCCAGGTGATCGGCTATGCTCCTATATGGCAGGGTCGAGGCAGTTGAGGAGTCGAAGCCGACGCATCTCACACCTGCATCCACGCATCGTGTGCAGTCGGGAACTTTGAAGTCGCACTGCGACAACGTCAGTATGATAATAGCCGCACAGTGAGACATTAGTGGGTAGGCACCGAAAGCTTTCTCTTCCTGCACCTTGCGCAAGCGAGAACACGACGGCGTACTTTATTTTTCTGCATCATGCAAGGTGGGCGCTATGCATCTACAGCGAGACGTCGCAAGGCTCATAGCGTGATGGAGCTCGTTGAGATGGTTGCGATGATGCTGGGAACTCCAGGTCAAGGCTCAGGGCGATGTGTGGGTCCGAGTGTGTGGCACCACTCAGGCTTTAGCTGACTAGCGCACTCATACAACTGCAACGTTTGTGCGTGTTCATCGACGTATTTCTGCGTCTCTGCTCGAAGGTTGGGCATGGATGTCTATCCTTACGTCCCAAGAATGCAGCATCTCGCACTGTATATGCAAGTACCCATGTAGCATGTGCGCACGCAACGCGAGGGTGCCGATAGCCTGCGGTTGGCAATCCCTTCTCCATTGGGCGGCGCTTACCAGATAAGACTTTCGGTCATGCCCTCACGTCGCCGTGATCCCAGTTCGTCACCTTCCCAGCTCATCGCCTGTAGCCGCCCTTCGCATTTCCATCTGTGACATGGCGACACATCTGGACACCTGTGTCTCCTCAAGGCCCTGATCCTTCGCCACTTGCATTTTTGAGATGGCTTCAAGTACTGGCAGCAGCAACGCACCTGGGGTTGACTTGGACGCCGTAATTCAGGTATTTCTGATGAACATAGAAGCCTGACTGTTCAACTGATGTCCGCAACAGGGCTTGCCTGCATGCAAGCGCTGCCGGGAGTGCCGCCGTGGCTGCGACACACTCCTCCCGAAGTGCCGGTCATTATTGATGCTCCTTCCCGACGGCTGGCTGCTTGGGCTAACATCAACAGACAATGCACCAAAGCTGGCGTCGAGTGTGTATATCATGACCATGGTCGCGGTGCGCTGGTTCCTCGCAGGTATGATCAGTCGATGCTGGATAGTAGGACAATCCCTCATTGTCTGCAGTTACATTTCTGAGCTGGTCGATCACGTGCGCAGACTCGAAGCTCGAAACAGCTCGTCGTCACCTGCAGCGTCCGTAGACACTCCACACAGAACGAGCTTCATCGCAACCAACAAGTCCGAACCGCTGCTGCCGGGGCCCACTCCCCAGTATGAACATCATTTTGCGTATGCTGCGGACAGCTACCGATACCTTGGCTCGGAATCATGCCTCCTGAAGTCTCCGAGATTGCAATCGACTTACGTCCGCTCTCCCTTCAATGAAGAGGACGACTTCGTTATGGAGTGGAAGTCATCGCCGCAAAAGCTGTACGAGCTTGTCGAGGAATACCTAGAGTGCATGTATGAGCTTCCAATTGTGCACACCACTTGGTCCCACATTGACTCCCGCAGGCAGCCAGTATACCCAATCATCGATCTATCACAGCGATACCTTAGTCTAGATGTCCCTACGAATCTGGCGCCGATCGAGACGTTTTCACTGAACATGATATATTCGATCGCCTGTCATGTCATTCCTAACAGTGCAAAGCGGCAAGACGCTCGAAATTTGTGGCAGTCTTCGGGAAAACAGGCCCGTTATCAAGCAAACTGTCTGAAGTACCGCAATCTTGCCAGCAAATTCTACGACAAAGCCATGGATCATGTCGAAGCAGCAACGCTCGAGCCTACGACAGACACGCTGCGAGCAGTATTACTGATGGCTATCAACAGCTTGTTCGATCCGAAGTCAGGCAACATCGGTCAGCAGATAGCTCTGGCTGCACGCATGGCGTACAGTCTCGAGGCAACGGCAGAGCAAGAGGGCTCAACGCCGAGCAATACAGAGATGCTTCGAAACATGCACATGACTATCTTCAGCATGGAGAACGAGATTGCATCAACTTTAGACCGGCCGGCAACTTTTCCAGAACCAGTACGTCTCGACACAGAAGTGTCGAAAGTTCATCTAACATTCACAGAATTGGGAGCTTTACTTCGACAAGGACAGACCAGCTGAATACATGTGCTCGCTGTTCCGCTTGCAGCATCGATTTCGCAATGGCGACTCAGCGACTCGGTCGAATCTGAAGAAGCTGCTGCCGCGCTTGGACGAAAAGGCTGAATTACTTCCCGTCATTCGCATCGCTTTACATACAACTGTCCTGCTCCTAGATCCAAGCTGGGGCAGTGCCTGGTAGGTTCTCTCTCTCTTTCTCAGTAGATCCTGATCATGAATCTTCCTCCCAAGGTACGTTCATTGGCTGATAGCTCCTCCAGGTACGTACTTGAGGCTGTCGTGAGCCTGGGTGGCACATACACATTTCTCACGCCACACTGGGTATACCGGGCTGGCACCATCATAATTCAGAACATGCCCGAGATCTACGAAGCCAACGTCATACAGCTCTACTCCAACACCGTTCATGTGTTGGAGCTTTCGTCCTGGAAGTGGCCAAGCTCTGCTGCCCTCAATGCCTCTCTGGCCGATCTCATGACGCATATGAAAAGTAAATACAGACCAAACTGGGCTGATAAACTCCGCCTTGGAGATGTCAGAATATGATCACCAATCACTCGCAGAACGTACCAGCGATTCTTCAACCCTTCTTCAGGGGCGGAGCATTCCTTCAGGCACATGCAAGGCTCTGAAATTTCTTCGCCCTTTTTCATAGACGAACAAAGTGAGAGGTGAGAGGTCCACGATGAATTTTGCACGACACTTCTCAGCAAACGTCTTCTTCGTTCAACGGCCGCACAAAAGGAGCTGGCACCGACAGCTTTTCGTAACAAATCAAGGCCTAGTACAGCACGATATGGCATCGACTGAAGCGCAAATATTCATCGTACACCGATCTTTCAATCCATCGGGTGCTTATGTCGACAGCTGGCTCTCAAATTTCTACGCAGATCTGTCTTCTGTGCAACACTGCGCCCAAAGAGTCCGAGATGATGTGGAAAATGATGGCGCAGAGGCGATCAATACGGATGGTGCGTTCTCATTCACCATGACCTATCCTTCGTACACTTGCGACATCTCCATCCATCCTCTACTTTTACCGGAGCATATGCAGCCAAACTGTGGCTACGTCGTTTGTTGGACATGTTGGCCTTCGCACTTGGTGGCAAGTCTGTGCCCAGTCGATCGGGACCTTGTTTCGAGATTCACGGGCGATGAAGCACGCGGACACGCTGCTGCTTTGGCGTATCACAGCAGTCATCAGTCTGCGGGCGTGGACAGTCACTTGACCGTCGTTCACAACCAATGTGGCCTGCCACGCCGGTTCGGAGAAAGCGAGGCGCATACACACTTCACTATTGAAGTCTTCAGGCGAAGCGTTATTCTGGGTGAGGTGCAGGATCGGACTGAAGATCTTGGGGTGATGAGTCTGAAGGAGTCGCTATCCTGGTAACGACAATGACACAAGACTTAATGATAACCAGTGTACATCAGGGCGCGTTTCACATTCTCTCTCGTAAGCTGATAATTGCACGGCCGTTGCTGCGGGTTTTGAGGTTGTTCTTCTACACGGACCCCGTGATGGTGGTATATACCTCGGCCGTGCCCCATCTCCAGCCTTATCTACCCCGGGCTTATTCATCCGCAGACTTGGTCATCCTCCTCTCTCGCTCTCGCCCTTGCTTTCGCTCTACCCCGTTCTACCCCGTTCTGCCTCGGTGTCTAATATTCGTGGCCTGGGCAGTTCCAGCGCGTCCCTCTCCGCGCACGTCCTCGCTTCAGGTCGTCTCTTGCCGTGGCGATGCCAATGATTATTGCATCTCTTCTTCGCTCTTCTTTGCTCTTCTTCATTCATGGTAATTGCTATGCCTGTAGTACCATCCACGCCTGACACTTGATCGACCTCTCCATGCCCGTCAGCCGGCGTATGCAGCCCCGACTCTGGGAACGGCAGAGTCTACCGCGCTTTCCGGTACCGCCCCTGCCGCATCTCGGCCTGCAGCGCATCGTTCTGGTCCGGCAGCGGAGCGCGCTCGCGCTTCCAGCCATTCGGACCGCCTCCATTCTGGCCGTTCTGGCCGTTCTGCCCGCCCACAGGCCCGCCGTTCTGGCCCGCCATCGGGATGCCCGGGGGCGCGAAGCCCGGGGGCGCGAAGCCGGGCGGCGCGCCCTGCGGAAATCCAGGGGGAAGGAAGCCCGGCGGGGCACCTTGCGGGAACGCTGGGGGAGGGAAGCCTGGCGGTAGGCCTGGTGGGAATTGGAAGTTTGGCGGCGGGCCGGGCGGGAACTGCGGCGCGCCGTTTCCGGGAGCGGGGAAGCCGGGTGGGCCAATGTGCTGAGATGGTGGGCCGCCGTGGTGGGGCAGTGGAGGGGGACGGGGCATGACGCCCGACTGAATGAGCTGCGCCAGACGCGATGGATCCATTCCCGCGGGCACGCCTGGGAATGGCGGCGGAGGACCGGGCGGGAAGGGCGATGCGCCTGTTGGCGGCAGCGGCAGAGGGTGGTTGACGCCGCCGATGCCTGGCAGTGCGCTGGAAGAGCCGTCTGGATTCGATGGCGCGAGGCCCGGCAAATTGAGGCCCGGGGGCAGGAACGGCAAGGAGCCAACGCCTGCTATCCTGGCCGGCAGCTTCTGGTCGACCAGGCCTTCGGCCTCGTCCTCGGCTTCCTGTTCTTCTTCCTCCTGCCGTTGGCGTCGCCCGTGACGCGAATCAAAGGTCCCGTTGCGCTCGGCGGCTTCCTGGCCGATGTGGTAGCGGTCCTCGGGGTACTTTGTGTCGCCGGGGCGCGGGCGTGTCCAGAAGCGTGTCACGCGGTCGTTGGAGCCGGATGCGAGTATGTGGCCCAGGGGATGCCAGTCGAGGGTCCAGACGGTGAAGTCGTGCGCGTACGGGATGCTGTGTGCTGGGTATATGGCCTGCGCAGGCGCGTTGTGAGGATCGGCCGAGTCGTACGGGGAGAGTGTGGGTGGCGTGCCTGCCGGGGGGTTCTGCTCGTCGAGTAGGTAGTGGTGGATGCTGCCGTCGACGCCGCCGGTGGACAGCAGGTTCTTGTGCATGGGATGCCAGGCCATGGTGATGATGTCCTTTTCGTGGCCGCGCAGGAGCAGGACGTCGCGCATCATGCGCAGGTCGAAGACGCGGGCTGTGTGGTCACGGGCGCACGTCGCCAGCAGATTGCCCTGCGTGGGCTCGAACATGGTCTTTGATATTGGGTTCTTGTGTCCGTGCAGGGTGGTGAGGCAGCGGCCGGTGCGCGGGTCCCAGAACTTGACCTGGTGGTCCTTGGAGCCCGAGACGAGCAGCCCCTTGTGCGGGTGCCAGTCGACCGACTTGACCTCCCAGCCGTGGCCCGTCAGGGTCTGGTCCTCCTGGCTGGAGGCAAAGTCCCAGATCTTCAGGGTGGTGTCGTCGGCGCAGGTGACGAACTTGGAGTCGGTCGGCGCAATGGCGAGGCCGCGCACCGCTTCGGTGTGGGCCTGCATCTCCTTGACGTTGTTGAAGTTGGTCTGCCAGTACTTGACGACGCCCGTCTGGTCGGCGGACAGCAGCCAGTCGTCGGTGTGGGTGTACTCGACGCAGCGGATGGCGGCGTCGTGGGCCTGCATGATGGTTTCGAAGTTGAAGCCCATGCCGTTCCACAGCGTGAACTCGCCGCTGGTGGAGCCCGTGAGCAGGCGGCGGCCCTCGGGGGTCCATTTGACCACGTTGACGGGGTGCTTGACCTTGTTCAGCGACGAGTGCACGGCTTTGGCGGGGATCGACTCGGCGGCACTGGCAAGGCGGGCGGCGGGCGGCGCCATATCGACGATGTAGCTTGCGCTGGGCCGCTCCATCTCGGGCATGGCCGCGTGTTTGTAGCGCGGGCGGCGGCTGCGCATCCACTGCACTGTCGTCGCGCCATAGTCGGTCACGGCGCCTGCGGGTCGTGTCAGTGTCGGTGTCAGTGGTAGTGGTAGTGGTGGTGGTAGTGGTGGTGGTGGTAGTGGTGATGGTAGTGGTAGTGGTAGTGGTAGTGGTAGTGGTAGTGGTAGTGGTAGTGGTAGTGGTAGTGGTAGTGGTAGTGGTAGTGGTAGTGGTAGTGGTAGTGGCAGTGGTAGTGGTAATGGCAGTGTGCATGTCTGCTATGCGGACGACGCGCAGGTCGACTTACGCTTGGGTCGCGCGCGCAGGCCGCCCTCGAACTGGTACTGGTACGGCTCGCGCTCCATGGCGGCTGCTGTGTCGGTGGCGCGGTGTTGCGGTGTCTTGACCGGATGGTGGGTGGTCAGCGCCCACGCGCTGCTGGGACGTCGCGGCGCGTTGTTGGCTCTCTACTTTGTTCGCAAGAGTCGACGTGCTCCGGGCTCTACCTAGCGCCAATCTATGCCACACCTCACCAGCCACAGTCGGACATCGCGGGAGAGCAAACGACGTGCATCCTGGTCAAAAGGTAAATCGTCTAGGGCGTCCACTTGTCCAAGGCGTCATTCCCCGCAGCCCCAACAATCCAGAATCCCTCACGTCCCCAAGCCCGCCATGCATTGCGGCCGTCGCGACTGTCTCTTCCTTGGGTCCCCCAGCTGCCGGCCAAGTCGCTGAATCCGTGCCGCGGCATTCCACCTGCATCCACCCTCGCTCGACTTCTCAACACATTGGCATCTGATAAAGACCCTGGATCCCCCGCGGTCCCTCCATCGCTAGCCACCATGGCCACCCTCACCCATGCCTCGTCGACGGCCATTGACACCTCCGCTGCTGATTCCGCCACACAACAGCGTGGGCGTCGTCTCCAGCAGAATGGCAGTGCCTCGAAGCAGGCCAACGACGCCAGCCACAGGCGGACGCGCAGCAAGGACTCCAAGTACCGACATGTCTTTGCAACCCACTCGGTCGCTCGCACCACCTGTCTGAGCCACGAGTCCACGGACACGCCAAGCTTCGTGGGCTTCAGGAACCTGATGATCCTGGTGCTGAGTAACTATCACTCTCGAAAGACGTGAACCATTGCTGATTCAGCAGTCGTCTCCAACCTTCGCTTGATGATGGTCAACCTCCAAAAGTACGGCGTCCTCATCTGCATCAGCTGCCACGACTACCGCCGATCCGATGTCGTCAACGGCCTGCTCCTCTACCTGCTCGTCCCAGCCCATTTGTTTGTCACATACCTCATCGAGCTGGTAGCGTCATGGCAGGCACGGCGCGCCCACGCAGAGATATCAGAAGACGGCGAGGACGACACACCTGAGAAGTATGCAGCTGCCCTGGAGAGCTTCAACGCGACCTGGCACACGGTCGCCATCTTCCACGGCGCCAATGCCGTCTTCAACCTGTACATGGCAACCAAGGTCGTCTACCACGACATCTTCCACCCAGGCATCGGCACCCTCTGCGAGATGCACGCCGTCATCGTCTTCCTCAAGTGTGCCTCGTACGCCTTCACCAACCGCGATCTGCGACACGCCTATCTGCACCCGAAGCAGGCCGAGCCTCTCCCATCGCTCTACGACTCGTGCCCGTACCCGCAGAACATCAACTTCAAGAACATGTGCTACTTCTGGTGGGCCCCGACACTCGTCTACCAGCCCGTCTACCCACGCACCTCGCACATCCGCTGGGGCTTCGTCTTCCGGCGCCTCGTCGAGGTGCTCGGCCTGAGCATCGTGGTCTGGATCGCCTCTGCACAGTACGCCGCGCCTCTGCTGCAGAACTCGCTGGACAAGCTGCTCACGCTCAACCTGACGGCCATTCTCGAGCGCGTCATGAAACTCAGCACCATCAGCGTCTTCTGCTGGCTGTGCGGCTTCTTCGCCCTCTTCCAGTCGTCGCTCAACGCCCTGGCAGAGATTATGCGCTTTGGCGACCGCGAGTTCTACGGCCCCTGGTGGAACGTGTCCTCCATCCGCACCTACTGGACCACGTGGAACAAGCCCGTCACAAACTTCATGCGCCGCCACGTCTACTCCCCGCTCGTCGGCCGCGGCGTCCCGCCCCCTCTTGCCCAGATCATCGTCTTCTTCTTCTCCGGCCTGCTGCACGAGCTGCTCGTCGGCGTCCCCACCCACAACGTCATCGGCGTCGCCTTTGTCGGCATGATGGTCCAGATCCCGCTCATTGCCCTGACGGACGTGATCCAAAAGATCCGCGGCATCGACGGCAAGACGGCCGGCAATATGATTTTCTGGGTCAGCTTTTGTCTCGTCGGACAGCCACTCGGCGCGCTGCTGTATTTCTTCGCGTGGCAGGCCAAGTATGGGAGTGTGAGTAAGCAGTTTGAGGCTAGCAGGGCGGGGGGCATTTTCACCAGACGGTAGGGCATCTGGTCCTTTTAAAGTGTGTTCATGTTGTTATTGTTGTTGTCATTGTACTCGAACAATCCACTAGCCCGTCGTTGCCAATCAAGCACACAATCCACAACACTCTATGCACACAATCCACAACACTCTATGCACACAAGCCCATCTACCCAAGCCAACTCACAGCATACCCCGGCGCCTCCCTCGCAACGCCCCTCACCACCCCCAGACTCCGCAGCACATCCTCCTCGAGCGCTTTCTCCGCTCTCTTCACCACCACAGCGTGGCACTCCGCCCTGTCCATCGCCGCCGCCAGCCGCGCCAAGCCCACCTTCACATCGCTCTTCGCCTTGCATCCGCACCGCAGCAGCACGTCGGCGAGACTCGCGATGCGCAGCAGCCACGCGAAGACGTCGGGCGTGCTTGCCCAGCCCAGCGCGCCGTCGGTCTGGCTTTCGCACGCGGCCGTGAGAACGGCAAGCGCGTCGATCGTCCACTGCGCGCCTTGCTCGAGCGCCGACGCCGGGAGTGCAGATGCCACCCCCGCGGCGCAGAGCGCGCGCGACCAGGCCAGGGCATCGAGCGCGCCGTCGTGGAAGAGGTTCTGCTTCTCGTGCGCGAACAGGGCCGTCTGCGGGCGTGTCGCTGAGCGCAGCGAGTCTGCGAACGGGACGCTGAACAGTGCTGCGGGCGCGTGCGTTGCCGTTAGCCGGCGCAGCGCGTGCGTTGCCAGCGCGCCCGATGCGGGGAAAAGCACTAGCAGGTGCGCGAGCAGATGCTGCGTTGCGAGGAGCGGGACCGTCGGCTCGATCTCCTTGCTGGCTGTGGTCGCAAGGAATGTCCGTGTGGCGCAGGCGGCGAGATCGCGGATCTCGTCGTCGTCGTCTTGCAGCATGTCGTACAGGATCAGGCCAATGCCGAGGACGAGCGGCGCGGGCGCGGATGCGGATGTGCGCGCGGTCCAGAGCGTGTTGAGGGCGCAGATGGATTGCGCGGCGGCAAGGCGCGTGTCGAAAGGGTTTGTGTCGAGGATGGTCATGCGCAGCAGCCGGATGTAGCGTGTCGCTGCGGCCAGGACGATGGCTCGCGCGGATGGGAGCGCGTGGTGGGTGTGTTCGAGGAAGAAGCCGAGGAGGTGTAGGGCGCTCTGCATGTTGGAGGGCGGGCCGGAGAGGCATTGGGCTTCCAGCTTGGTCAGAGTTTGCAGCATTTGCGCGTCTGTGAGCAAGCTAAAGAACTCTGCGCTTCTGGGAGCGTTGCCGTCGAGGGCTTCGGCGAGGATGCGTTGGGCGTTGGAGGTGACTTCTGGGTCTGCGGCGTTCAGGACCACGCGGTGGATGTGAGCCATGAGCAACGACATTGGCTTCTTTGGGGCGTCGAACGCGGTCCTCTCGATGATTGTCTCCAGCATCTCCAGGGCGGCACGGCATGTATCTGGATCCTCTGCAGCTAGCAGCTCGAGGGCATCGCCAATGCTCTGATAGTCTTGCGACACAATGGTGCCGAGAGACTCCGTGCGGACTATAGTACGATCGATGATGAAAAGCCTCGCCAGTGCCTCAGTGCGTAGTGGACTGTCTGACTCGGCCCCGACGCCCAACTCATACTCTGGACCAATGTCGATGGCAGAAGTGAGCTGAGTCCATGCTACGAGTACCGACTCTGACCCCTGGCGCTGCAATATGGCTAAGCCACATGTGCTGACGATATCGAAGAAGACGGTATCGATCAAGGGGCATGCGTTGTGGGTGAACCACCGGTCAACGGAGTTGAGAAGCTGCAGCAACAAATCCTCGATGCTCTGCGAAGCTGCGAAACATTAGTGAAGCACTCAAAATATCGCACATTTGAGAGAGAACATACAAGTACCGAGATTGAGCTGATCATTGACCAGTTTCCTCACCATGTACTTGACGGCCAACAGTACGCCGTGCCGTGTGTTGGCGGAGCTGTGATGCACACCGAGCCTTTTGAATGCTGCACCGTACATCTCGTGTGATGGAAGCAAGGACACCACCGTTCTTGCAGCCATGTCGCGCATGTGCCAGTGGGGGCTTGCTAGAAGCTTTTCGACAGAGGTCCGGATGGGGCCAAGCTCGTTTATAGGTGGTCTTGCCTGCCGTAGGATTTGCAGTGCAGGGAAGACACCCTCAGCGCCATGTAGATCGAACGGATTGCTGCTCTCTGAAGTATGCTCAAGTGTCTGCTTCAACGGACCGCTTGGGTCAAGGAGTTCGGAAAGGATGCTTAGCAGAGTAGGGTAGTTGTCGTACGAGAAGCGAGACGTCTTTGCTCGGTCTTGCTCTTTCCAGTCCTGCGCTTCGCTGCTGCCGAGAAGTCGCTCGATCAGCGCTTTGAAAAGCATGAGACTGCAGTTACGAATTGGCCAGCTATTTCAGTCGTTAGCGATGATAGTCTTGAAGGGTGTGATCGATCTCACATGTTCGAGTTCAGCGTTTTTGCTGCGAGCTCCAGTCCCTGTGCAATATACGCCTCTGACGCTAGGCTGAGTTTCGAGGTTGTGAAGATTTCTTTGATACAATTGAGTGCGTGTACTTGAGGCAGGCGACTCTCCTCGATATTGGTGTGTTGCGCCTCTACAGATGCCTCGTTGACCAGGTCATTTATCGCATGAGCAAGCAGCTTGCTGCTAGCCTCTGGCTCAGCTGCAATGATACTGGCCATGAGTGTAGGGATGCCAGCAGATCTTCGAGTGATCGCTCCAGCCTTGTCTTGCATAGATCGCAGCGTTTCCTGTGCTGTATTAGGCATGGATAGAAGACTCTGACTCTGAACGCACCTCATACCACGTCTCCGGCAATGCCTGCAGCTCCGGAATCTTCGAAGTTGCGCAACGGCGGCAAAACGCGGCAAAGGTTTGAGCGACAGTTGAGTGTGCACCACGATGGCGGAGCTCCAACAGTTGAGTGAAGCACAGCCGTCCAAGTCTTTCAAAAACAGCGGGGGCAATGATGGCCTTTTCATCATCGCCAATCGAAGCTTTGGTGATGATAGTTCGGATCAAGACGCTGACGAGATCAGTACAGCTGAGGACCATTAACAAGAGTACTCACCTAGCCTCTTTGAGACCACGCCACGAATAGCTCAGGACTTCTCTCGTGTCCAGATTGGCAGCATCGTCTACCTCGTCGGGTACGTTTCCTTCTGGAGCATCTGCACACAGGACGTTGTATACAATGGACCAGAGCGACTCGAAGCTTGTGATCAGCTCGTTGTGAGCCTCCACCCAGTTCTGACGAGTCTCGGCTGGCTCATTCGCAATAGCCGGGTACAAGTCATCTTGATCGACGATATAGCTGTTCGCATTAGTCAGAATTTCCACATGACACAAGGGGCACGAACGTCAATGCAGCATAAATGCCGTGCACAGGGCGACCGTTCACAGCCTCTGACAAGTTTGTGCGAGCGATATCCAGTGTATCAGCCAGCTGCTTTCGTAGACCATCAAAGACTCCGGATCGCGAATACGATGACTCCGACGATGTCGTAAGGTCTGTGTCAGCCACAGCGAACAGTAACGAGTATGCCCGAGCGACTCCATCAGCCTGGTCAGCACGTCCTGTTCGAAGCATCATAGCCTCTGCACGAGAGATGAATCGACGAAGCGTCGACAAAACCGAAGCCCTTTCGGCGTCTGGCAGTGCAGCGAGGCAGAGCTGCAAGACCGATATGGAGGCCTCTCTGATATCATCAAAGGGGTCCAACACCAGATCGAGCAGCAACCGTGTAAGTCCTGGGTTCGAGATCTGCAAAGTGTGCGCCCAGTTCAGCTCTCCCTGAGCAGACTTTGACAGCTGCACGCGTGGAACTCCTGCATCGACACCAGATTTGAGTGTGGTGATCAACGACCGAAGAGCAGTAATGCGTCTTTGATACGTGCCAGTTGAGCGTAGCTCCCACTCAAGGAATCTTACGTACCACACAATGAACGCGAGAGACTCCGTAAGTGGATCCTCTGTTGCACCCGTCTGTTCGTTGCGTTGTTGGAAGCACTCCTTTGGAAAAGGCAAGCGACCCTGCCCCGGTGTGCGACCCTTGATCAAGCTCTTCGAGAGTGTGGCTGTACTAGCTCGAAGGCGATCAAACAGCTTCTGTGTGTAGCCATGGACTTCCCTTCGGAAGTATGCATCCGTGTCCGAGTGAAGGTGTACGAGGTTGCGCTCCAGTGATTTGAAGGTGCCACCAGTCATGGGTTTTGTAACCGCAGTAGAATGCACGGAAAGGAACATGCCGGCAAGTCTGACCTCAGGCTCGGCGTGCATCATCCATGCGCCGAAGATGTCATCTGGGAGGTGCAAGTAGTTGCCTTGTACTTCGATACGATCGCAAACGCGGTAATCTACTTGATGTCAACCTTTCACTCAAATTTTGCCGTCATAATGTCTCAGCTTACCTATGTCACGGACAATGGTCAGCTCCTTCCCTGTCTCGAGTGCAGCTAGAAGGATTTTGAACTCCTCAGACCTCTCCAAATCGTTCTTATGGGACTCGTGTGTTCGCAGAACCTCAGGCAGGCCTTCCTTTGACTGAACGTGTACGTCAAACCGCAGATATGAAAGAAGGCGAAGATACTCGTCGATATTAGGCATGAAGCAGTGCGGAAAGACATTGGCCTTGAACTCGCGGAGACGATCCGGCCATTGATGAAGCATGCCAACGACTGGTTCTATCCAGAGTGGCGATGTGGCAGTACTTTCATGTTGGGGACCATACTCCGGTAAGCGGCGCGCCTGGATGAGGAAGTTCTTGACCAGATGACCTGCTGATAGGGAGGTATCATGATGAACAACCCATGCAAGACAAGTCTTAAACAAGGCCTGCGGAGACGGAGTCCTCGATTCACCCGTAGAAGCTGATTGGGCGCCGTAGATCTCGAGTAGTTGCGCTATCGACACTACATCGCGGAGCAAGAAGTGTGCTAGGCCTTGCAGAGCTGGCTTGACTTTGATACGGTCCTGTCGGTCACAGATGATGTCTACAAAGGTTGCTGCAGCTTGCAAGCGGAGGTGGGATGCTCTCGTGCTTTGGTCTTTTGTAATAACGCCCGTAAGAAGTAGGAGCATCTGCCTCATGGACTTGCCCTTGGCATCGTCCGATCTCTGCAGGTAGATGTTGAACAATCGTAGCCATATCGAGTCATCCAGGATAGTATTGCACGCATAATCGCTTTTTGATGCTTGGCAAGCCTCGATGAGAGAGCACAGCGCATTCGATGCTGCGGCTCTGTGACCAGGGTTAAGGTCTGGCAAATCAGCTGTCTCCAGGAGAGGACCAACGAGATCGTGAAGCTCTCTGTCAAGATTAGCACTGACTGAAGCCGAACCTTGATGTTCACGGACTTTGCATCCTTACTTCACGCCAGTGATTGGCTCCTTCTCGTCGAATCGAGGGATGACTCTGGAGGCATTCTTGGCCAGGTCGCGCAGAACCTTTTCCGGGATTGGTACCGCCTGCCTTCCCTCGGCCTCTTTCATCGTCGTGATATGCGAAATGGCTGAGTAGGGGCGTGAGGAACACGGACCACAACTTGCAAGTGAGGCTCTGGGTGTAATGCGCTGAGAATCAGGTGGCGCAAAATGTGGGGCAGCGAACATTCTTCGCGCTAGTTAAACATCTGTGTGATCACCACTCATTGAGTCCTAAGCTCCGCATCACAGCAATCATTTCATTGAAGCAGTCCATCACAGAGATTGGATGGAAACGATTTGATGGTCAGCCTTGAAGCTCAACTACATTTGTCCATGTGAAGTTACAGTATAGTAGTAGCCAAACCGAGCCGCACATCTGTGGGACGCAGTCGGGGGACGATACTGTGACTTACGAGCAAGAAATCAAAGCAGATCGTTTGCAGTATGCGAATCTCACGTAAATACCTTCTGGTCTGCTTCGCTTACAGGCTCTTACTTGAGATTGTTATCATCGCATCCCTCCAATGACGACCTACATTCGCACTCGAAATTTGTAACCACGTGGGTGAAGTCACATGATATCTTGTTGTAGCAGGTACCGCCCAGTGGGCAAGTGCACTTACCTCAGAGCTGAGAGCTCCGTACACAATCATCACAACACGACAACAGATAGCAATACAATTGTTGATCCCAGCCTCCACCCGACACTGCACCAGGCAGTTACAAAATTAGATGCGCCTACGCCTATTGAGAGTCGAGGTCGATGTAAGGTCGATGCTTCGTGTCTTTCACTGTCATGTCCCGCACGAACATGGATTTTGTGCTCGGATAACTCGTGCGGCATTTTGCGAGATGAGAGATACCTGCGCAGGTGCCTAGAGATCTACCATCAGTATAGCAGGCGTTGAAACACGGGCCCACTGAGCAATTGGAGTCGTCATTGCAAGTCACTCCCCACTGGATTTCGCTGGCCTGAATTGTTTGTGAGGCTTTGTTGTTTGTAATTAGAGAGCATCTTTACGCATATGCCTTAATCAACAGTAGTCCACTGGCACCAGCAAAGGCAACCCTCCCCACAGGCTCCATTGTAGCACATCAACCCCCCATCAGCCAATTCTATAGGGCCAGACTTGCACATGGTCTCCAGATTCAATTGCTTGCGTTTGCCCATATGAGTCAGCTGGCTGACGCAGATCGTGACAATAGTGAGTAAGATGAATGGTGGATATACGATACAGAACGCTGGATCATGATATTCTGGTCAGTCTGACTACCGGTTTCTTAAGTCTCAAGAACGTATTCAGTAATACCTACCTGCCGCTGATAACATGAAACTTTGGAGGGCGCTGGACTGCTACAAATCAGATCTCATTGTTACCTTTCTAGCTAGACTGTGCTGGGCAGCATGTTGAGGTTTAGTTGGTGCTCCAACAAATGAAAGCTGCATCCCTCAAATACACTGTAATATCGCGAATCATCTTTGTAGCCCTTGTTCTCTGACCGCCGCTTGTTGCAGGCGCACATATTCAGGCGAGGAAACCACCACCTTCCTCATCCGCGTCCTTGTAGTGCACACCACTTGCAAGCTGGCACGGGTCCTCAGCGTATCCGATTGAGCAATGCTTCCACTCATCGTCGTCCATGAGGTAGCGCTTGAAATTAAGCGCATGGTAGATGTTACCGAAGCGGAACTCGATGTAGTGGTGCTGTGATGTGTGAGCAAGCGATTGTTACGGTATTAGCAATGCGAGATTTACTTCTCTTGCAGTCTTGCCCTGCTTGATACAATCGACATCCCTAGGGATCGATTGCTTGCCACGCGCAAGCTTGAACAATGCGCCAGCTGCCCAGTCATCGTCGGCACCGGTAGCGCGAACGCAGCGGGATGCATCACCCTCGATGCAATTCTGGATCACATCATTGATAGAGTTCGGACCCGGTTGCTTGTCCACAAAGATGATAGCCTTCTTCTCAGCGCCCTGCACCTCAATGCCGTTCTCTGTAGCATCGAGGTAGGTCTGGCAGGCTTCGGGGGTAAGGAACTTGACAAGAGCGTGCTCTGATCCAGGCTCTGGCAGCTGAATGGACTCAAGCCTACCGCCCCACACAAGAGCCTGAAGCTGGTTCAGGGATTTCACTCCCCCAACGCCCTTCAGGACGCAGGCCCGGTAAATGGCGCCTGCTATCAATCAGCTTATGTCATAACTTGTAGCCAGATGTCTGACATACCGTGTTCGCGCTTCTCCTGGGTTGGCCAAGCCTTCGTGTCCTCGAGTGGGTCGTATCTAGTCTTCCTGTCAGTCTTCTCTTGGAGACGGAGCTTCTCCTTGATGGCAGACTCTGCGGGGATTTGTCCGGGGCGAGTTGTTGATGCAGCTGGCTTTGTGCTGTCATCGAAACTGGGGGCCTTCAGCGAAGTCATTCCGGCCGCTGAGCCACTATCTGTCTTAGGGAGCACATCGAGTATGGTCTGGCAAAGAACCGTGACGTGTTTGAAATCGCTGAGTGCAATGTACCCACTCTCCACCAGAGCCGCACACAGTTGAAAGAAGTCGCCTTTGCGCTCACGCAGAATCTTCTTTACGAAGTCTGTCACCAGGGGCTCAGAGGTGAGCTTGATCTTCTTATTGACGACGCTCATCACGGCAAACACAATGCGAGCTCGCAACTTTTCCACCTCCTCGGGCTGGAGCTCAGTTACGTTCTGAGCATAAGCAGTACGCAGCTTGTTTGCTACAGCCTTGATTATGTGCGCAATATCGCCAGGACGGGTAGGTAGGGTGTCCAGGTACGTTGCCGCCTTGCGGAGATACACTGCTTCGCGCTCATCTTGACTCTCGCCTTGCCAACTGGCAGTGGATTCTGGCTTGACCTCAGACAGCGCCTGAGTGGGCGCTGTCTCGCGTCGAGGAAGCTCGGTCTTCGTCTGCACTACAGCTGCGACAGTGTTGGCGCGGTCATCGGATGCGAAGAAAGACTTATCGGGACCGGTAGGCGAGAGTTCCTTGGCAAGTCTCAAGGGCATTGACGGAGTTACACCTGACAAACGCGCAAACATGTCGTCCAGAGAGCCCGTTGCAGCAATACTACGAGAAGGCAACTCAATATTTGAAGGAGGAAGTGTTGCGACTGAGATCGGCGGGCTAGGCTTCACTGCAAGCTGAGGAAGTCGCGGTGGCTCGTTTCTGCGCAGAGTGAGTAACGTGTACAGTATCTCCATCCATTGCTTCGCACGTACTCCTTTGCTGCCGCTTGTTGCAGTCCAAGACCAGGAGCAGATGAAGAGCCCAGCGTTGGAAAATTTGAAGCAGCCCTTGATGGCATCGACGCCGTCGTTGCAGGAGGAGCTTGGGAACGTGGGGCGCTTGGTGCTGGACCAGCGGCGCCCACAATTTTGACAGCTTTCTTCTTCAGCTTGAAGCTGCCTACATTGGCCGCAGGCTGGACGGCGTAGTTGCTTCGTGCGTCATGGGATGACCTTACATCTTGTGTTGACCTTGAATCTTGGTGACCGCGCGCAGGGCCACCCTGGAGCAGAGAATGATTCATGCTTGCCGGGACTGATGGCGAAGAGGATGGAGGGGAAGACCACATCTGGCGTTGAGGTGAGAGGGGAGGCGAAGGCAAGGAACCAGGCGTTTCTACTGGCGTAGGCGAGGGCAATGCGCGCTTGGCGAAAGACCGGACGGTGACGTGAGAGCCTGCAAGGTACTATCAGGAATACGACGTGACAAGAGGTAAAGAGAATTGCACTTACCGATCGAGGTTCGCCGTTTGGTGACTGGAAATTTTTGGATCCCCTCAATGCAAGCGTCGAGGCTACTGTTGTAGCTCTCGTCTTCGCTGCGGTGAGTTGGAGGGATGCGAAAGGTGGATGCTTGCTCAACCATGAAATAATCAGCAAACCATCGATGGGGATCGATGCCTACGGGGAAGAATGTTGAATGTCAGTGCGGTGGTGTGGTGTGGGAGAAGTTGGTCGTGATTGCCCAGTTTAGCAGCTGCGACTGTGCCATCATGGTGAACACGAATGGAATACGGAACACTTGACTAGGAGCATCGATATACCAGATGGGACGAGTGCAAAGATCGAAGACTCAGTTTAATAGAGTCAATTCGTCTCTCGGCACATCGTTGTGAAACAGAAGAAATACTGACAGGAAGAAGGATTGGGACCACGCCTTGTCAAAGTCTCTGAGCCACAGTAGTATTGGACCTACATGAAGCCGTTTCTGGCACTTACGCTTGACAGTCGCCCAAATCGTAGGTCGCCTACATCTCCTGAACATGCATCAAACGACAAGGAGACGCCTTTGCCTATGATCTACAGACCTTGCCGTGCAAGACTTAGAGTTGGGCCATCTTAGAGAGCATTTATGCGAGTTCGGTAGGGTTATGGGAATATCCAATATATCTAGAAAGAAACCTGGCCTGGCCTATGTCGTGGTCTGTGGAAGTGAGTTGGGCAACCTCAGGATACAAATGGACACATGGATATGCACGAGATTTGGAGCAAAGTCGAGAGTGCGTTACATGTTGTACCTGGATGACTGAGGCACTCGTAAGGACTGAAACGGTAGTGAGTGCAAAGTGATTGTCCATGCACTGCAGGCGCTACCCAGCCACAGTTGCCCTGTGCGTTCGGAGATCTGCGACGTCATCCGGCTCGCCAGGCACCGCCGCAATGGTCTGGAGCTCTCTACTCCACCCCAGCCCAGAACAGCTCGAGCTCTGCAGCCACGGAATCCCTCCCTGCATTCATACACTATCACAGTACTACGCGACCCATTTCTGAGTCGACTAGACTTGCCCCGCGATGTGGGACGACGAGGACAACAACCCGTATGGGTCCTTTGCCCGCCATGATTCAAACACCTCCGATGTTACTGGCCTAGCCTCCCCTGCTGCCTGTGAGGCCTCAACATTCGACGCAGACGCTGGGTTGAGTCCATGAGCTTACTGTACCGTAGTGCCATACAGACCGGCGACGCCGCCTTCCGAGGCATCCTCCCCCGCGCAAGAGTCGCCCGAATATGTCTCGCAGCGGGACATGAGCGACGTTGACTACGACGAGGATCGGCAAAGCGGCGAGCCTGTCGCGCCCAAGAAGGGCGGCTACGATGCGCGCGTGGAGCAATGGTTGTACGAGAATCCAGGACAGCTGATCCTCATCACCGAGGCCGGAAAGGATAATGTGAACTTCATACAATATACAATCAATTGCGGCGTATGGCACACCAATCTTATCGCAGCCGTGCGAGCTAATATGATCGTAGGGCCTCGAAGTCAAGCGCAGATACTCTGAGTTTGCGTCGTTGCGCGCGACACTGGTCAACCTACACCCGACCCTGATCATACCGCCGATTCCCGAAAAGCACTCCATGGCAGACTACGCTGCACGGCCAACCAAGGCGAAGGAAGATGCTGGTATAATAGAACTGAGGAAGCGCATGTTGGCTGTTTTCTTGAACCGCTGCCGCGCCATGAAGGAGGTCATGGAGGACGGCGTCTTCTGGCGTTTCCTTGATCCGCACACAAGCTGGGTGAGCGGTATTGACTGAGACCAACAGCATTATATGCTAACCGATTCCTCCAGAATGAGGTTCTAAGCAGTGCGCCAGTTGCCAACATTCCTAAGCAGATTCTGAAGGCTCCCCCTCTGAACACTGCGAACCCTTCGCAAGCGCATAGTTATCTCCCTGTCCCATCGTCGTCGGCGAAGCTGAAGTCTGCCGGTGCAACATCCAGCTCAGGCACACCTACATCCCCGCCCAGCCACGCTGCGCTGCCCTCAGCCGCTGCGCATACAACACCTGGGCCGCAGGTCTTCGGTCGCTTCCCTCCCGAAACGCGCGACTTGTCAGAAGAAGAGCTTGATCCATACTTCGTCAATTTCGAGCAGTCGTCGAAAGAGCTCGAGCACTTGCTACAAGGGCCAATGGAGAAGGTTAACAGGAGATTACTTACACACTTAGGAGCCTGGGGCGACGACATGGCAGATCTGGGCGCACGCTTCAACGCATTCTCGCTGTCTGAATCATCCCAATCGCTCGCGGCAGCGATTGAGAAGACAGGACAGGCGGTCGACTCCACCTACGTCTCCACATCTGAGCTTTCCTCATCCCTCAGCGCAAGCTTTGCAGAGCCCATGCGCGAAAGCGCGCAGTTCGCAGGCGTCGTCCGCGCTGTTCTTAAGTACCGCATACTCAAGCGGATACAAGAAGACATGACCAAAGACGAACTCGGAAAGAAGCGCAATCTCCTCGAATCCCTTGAGCGCAGTGAAGCGGAGTCCAAGCGCCTAGAGCAACATCTCAGCGGCGTCAGTCACGCCCCGCCTACTCGGAGTCGAGCAACCTCGTACAGCTCGGAACGGAGCGATATCTCAGAGCCCAGACGAAGCGCAGAGGCAGACCGCGCATCCATCGACTCGGACTTCCCACCTACCCACGGCGACGGGCCACCCCCGAGTAGCCACCAAGGCGCGCCGGACAGCCCGAATGCAAGCGCGTACTCGCCTCCGAATAGTCCGCATAAGAAGACGGCGAGCGGGAACTTCGTCACGAACAAGCTGTTCGGATCCATCACGCACGCTTTCAGAGGCATGGCCGATGTCGACCCTGAGAAGACGAGGAGAGACCAGATCGGCAAGACGAGGGACAGCTTGGTACAACTCGAGCAAGCGCTTGGCGTTGCAGAAAAAGACACCAAGGACGCCAGTGCCGGTGTGATGAAGGACCTGCGCAGATTCCAAGAGGAGAAGGAGAACGACTTGCGGCGGTACATGGTAAGTTCCTCCTCCGCTTTCAGTGAGCCACGTATACTGACATTGATGCAGATGGAGTTTGCTCAGTGCCATATCGACTGGGCGAAGCGCAACAAGGCAGCGTGGGAAGAAGCGAGGGTAGAGGTCAACAACATTCAGCATCCGGCGGATGAGTATCCCAGGAGCGGGAATGATATGTAGAAAGGCGATGGGTATAATGGCTCGATTACAGTAATCGAGCGAATGGATATAAATGTCTTCTCATTACCAGCATGTACTGACAGCTGCCTGCGCACCATCATTTCGTGATTACACGCACTTGGTTGGCACACTGCTTCGATACGGCGCTTCTACTCAGACTCCTGGCCCGATGGCATTTAGCCCACCCTATCACAAATTTGCTTCTAGAAAGTCGTGGTCGCCAGCCTGCTCGCCGCGTTCTTCGCATCGATGCGGTCATCGTCTTCCTCTCCCGCCTTCACGCTTCCCGCCTTGCTCGAGGCGCGCTTGCGCGAGAGCCCGCTCTCCTCATCCTCCTCCTCATCACCTTCAGGGAGAGCGGCGGGGATGCTTCCACTCACACTCCTGTTCAGACCGTCACCCGGTCGCCTTGGCACACCAGACCACGCGTCACCCTTCGGCCCTTGCGAAGTCGCGAGCGAAGCCCGGCGTACGGCAGGATGCGCTTCGCGGCCTAGTCGTGAGAGACCACCGGTGCCGTCGATAGCGCGGATGTCAGGGCGCACGGATTCGAGGGTCGCGAGGGTGCGGCGTTCGGCTTCGATTTCGCGGATGACGTATTCACGGATTGCCTGGCGCATGTCTGCTGTAGTCCGACCAAACCATTTCCTTTGCTCTTGCAGCAAATTTGCAGTCACGCGCTGGGCTTTCGATGTCAGGTATTGTTCGTGGCTACGGGCTTCGTCGAGTTGGGCAATGGCTTCGTCGACCTTGTCGCGCTTTACGCTGGAGCTGGCCTTGAGCCTGTCGGCGGCGGAGAGTTTGGATTTGGTAGCTGCTTGTGCTTGGAGCAGTTCGCGAAGGAGAATATGACGGTTTGTAAGGGTTTCTTTGGCAATGAAGGCGTCGCTGCTGTGGTACTGGAGGGGGTCGCCGAGGGTCGTTGCTTCCGCTGTGCCCTGGGCGGCGTGGAAGTCACCAGTCGCCTGAATGACCTTGCCCAGCTTCTTGTAGGCATGTGCAAGACCTGCATGGGTCTCTTGAGCATGCATGGCAGCGAACTTGGCACCCAGGTCAGACTCAGCAACACCGAGATCTATGTTATGTTAGCACGAACGCTGAACTTGGCATGGATCTGACGTACTTCTCCTGTGCTTGACAACCTTCTCGACTTTCTGTTCAGCCTCCATTGTGCCTAGGTAGAAAGCCTTGACAATCGGTCGAGCGGCGGCGAGCTCTGGTGTGTCGTCTGGAGGCGGCGCAAACTGCTTGATGACCTTACGTCGGACACCTGTGGCAGGCTGCTTCCTCCGCACGACTGGGCTGTATCCAAAGTCGCTCTCGACGAAGAAGACCATCTCCTCGTCGCGGATCAAGATCTCGTTGCTGCACACGACGTTCAGCCACCTTTGTATAGCAGCCTTCAGGCGCGCCTCGTCCTCCTCAGTACCAGCACCTGCCGATGTCGTAGCTGGAGGCACTGCGGGCACAATGGCCTCCGGACAGGCGGAGATCAAGTGTTCACCAAACTTGACGAACTCGCTATGTACTCGGCGGACGTCGCGGAACTGGGTGGTCCTGAACTTGGGTAAGTTGGTCTAGCGCATGATCAGCATGGCAGCAATCGCAACGATACCGCCTGTACATACGTATACATCGAACCGAAGTATAGGATCCTTCTTGCCATTGCGCTCGAGTCCCGTTACCTTCGCCTGGAACTTGTAGTGCTGCTGCTGGCGCTGCGGGCGCGTTCCGTGGTATCTTTGCGGCTGCTGGCCAGGCTGGGGAGCTTGCTGCTGGGCGTTCGGGTGCCGAGGCAGCTGCGGCGCATCTTGGCCGGGCTGCTGCTGTTGCTGCTGCTGCGGTTGCGCCGGGTACGATTCGCCGTTCTCTGTCGATGCAGTGCCGGGTCGACTTTGTTGGGCATTGTCGCCCACGTATCCATATTGCTCAGAGTCCTGGCCGTAGGGCGACGCGGGCGGAGGCAGCGGAGATGAGGGGAGGTCGCTGGTGGGAGGCTGTCCGAAAGATGCGCGATTGTGCTGCGGCGACGACGCCCACGGGCTGGAGCCGCCGGCAAACCCGTCGTCATTGTTGGAGTAGTCCATAGTGGGAGACGGTAAGGATGCCTTCACGCGCGCCTGTTGCTACAAAGGTAGCTATTGACGTCGTCCTAGGCCGTGCTTGCCTCACCCGCATCCTTGGCATCGAGCTTGCCATCATCAGGCAAGGCGCAACCCTTGACAGCGGCATTCATTCTGATCATCACGTGCGCTTTGCTCCCAATCTGCCATTGTCTAGAAACACGCTCCCGTGCAGACTTTGGTATGTGGGTTGGATGGGCGCGCTGTGCTCGTCGAGTCGTTCGACACGATGTGAAGGCGCCACGAAGGCTGCTCTCCACTCAAGCACCACATGATCTTTTATCGAAGACTACTCGCAACATTGGTATTGTAGCTCATATCGATGCCGTATGTTATCTTCTGTTACGTGGAAACAAACGCTGATGGATGTGTAGGGCAAGACGACCACCACAGAGCGTATGCTCTATTACGGTGGATACACAAGAAGAATAGGAGGTTTGCACGTCCGTCGAATCGACTCTACTGGAGGCTAAGAACAGCAGACGTTGATGAAGGGTCCACTGTGACCGACTTTTTGCCTGCTGAACGAGCGCGCGGAATCACTATTCAATCTGCAGCAATCACCTTCCATTGGCCACCTCAGGAGCCTGGCGCAAAACCTCCTCAGGCACCTGCGTCCTTTGAATCTATCGCTCCTTCGACTTTTCCGCACAATGTGAACCTGATCGATACGCCTGGTCACGCAGATTTCACTTTCGAAGTTCTCCGTTCTCTTCGTGTGCTAGATGGAGCCGTATGCATCTTAGACGGCGTCGCTGGCGTTGAAGCGCAGACTGAGAAAGTCTGGACGCAAGCTGGCAACTACAGAATCCCAAGAATCATCTTTGTCAATAAGCTGGATCGAGTTGGCGCTGCGTTCTCCCGAACTGTGAAGGAGATCGGCGTCAGGCTTCATGGTTGGCCTGCTATCTGTCAGATTCCATGGTGGAAAGGCGGCAATGGCGACTTCGTTGGTGTTGGCGATGTTGTCAATCTTCGCGGCATGCTCTGGCAGCCTGGAGGTGATGGAAGAGACATTCAAGCGGCCAGTTTAGAAGAGTTGGACAAGACCGATGCAAAGTTTGCCGAAGAGATTAGGAAGGCCAGAGTCGCGCTTGTCGAGATCCTGAGCGAGCACGACGATATCATGGTCGAGTCCTTCCTCGACCACGACGAAGATCATCTTGCTATTCCGGCTTTGCACGTCTGGCAGTCGCTGCGACGAGTAACACTTCACAGCTCTCAGGCTGTCATACCTGTGTTTGCGGGCGCCAGCTTCCGCAATGTCGGGGTCCAGCCTTTGCTAGACGCAACAGTCGATCTACTGCCATCGCCTCTTGAGCGACCAGACCCAGAGATCAGCATCTCAGGACAGAGCAGTACTCTGTCTGCGCTACTTGACGCATCAGCGAATGCCAAGTCTGCAAAATCCGCGAAGAAGCCGCAGCAGTCGGGAGACTTGGCAATCCCCGAGGTCAAGAATCTTGCAGCTTGTGCCCTCGCCTTCAAGGTAGTGAATGACACTAAGCGAGGTGTGTTAGTATACGTGCGAGTCTACTCTGGATCACTAGACAAAGGATCAACCCTCTACAACACCAACCTGGGAGTCGCGGAACGCGCACCACGCTTGCTCAAGATGTACGCCAATGATGCTGTAGAAGTCGACAGCATCGGACCGGGCCAGATCGGTGTCATTACGGGTTTGAAGCATGCAAGGACTGGCGACACACTCATCGTGTACCGAGGCTTGCAAATGAGAGGCACTCCTGCGGGCGGACTGAATACCCTCCAGCTCAGGCCAATCAACGTGCCCCCACCGGTCTTCTTCACAAGTATTGAACCACACAGTCTTAGTGAGCAGAAGCACGTCCACGAGAGTTTGGCAATCTTGCTTCGAGAGGATCCAAGTCTGCACCTCTCAATCGACGAGGAATCAGGACAGACGCATCTTGCAGGCATGGGCGATCTGCATCTTGAGATCGCACGCGACCGCCTGCTCAACGACTTCAAGGCGAAGGCACGCATCGGCAAGATCGAGATCGGCTACCGCGAGACTATCACCTCCGCAACATCACCATACACCTACGAACTTGACAAGCCTATCGCTGGTAAGCAAGCCAAGGCAACCATTACATCCTTCGTCGAGCCTATTGACGAGAGCATGATCATCCCTGACGCCCAAATTGAGACGGAGATCGAAAACGGTCCCTTCGAAACGACCTTCACCCTGCCAGACAACAACACCCTCAGCATCTCCCACCCCAATCTCTCTCGACACGACTCGGCCTCCCACAAAGCACACATTCCACCACATCTCTCCCTCCCAGGCATCCTTCAGTCCCTCCAAGCCGGCGCCTCAGCAGCCCTCGCCCGCGGCCCCTTCAACGGCTTCCCCGTAGCCAACACACTAGTCCGCATCAACCTCGACGCCAGCACGCAACTCTTCCCCGACACAACGCCCACTGCCCTCTCAATGGCAACGCGCGCAGCCATCAACGCCAGCCTCCGTTCCGCGATCGCAGCAAGCGCACCCGCACTAATGGAGCCCGTGATGAACGTCACCATCTTCGTCCACGAATCCTCCCTCGGTGCAGTCGTCCAAGACATCTCCTCCGTGCGCGGCGGGCAGGTGCTGTCACTCGACGGCAGTGATTCGATCGCGGCGTCGACATCGACGGAGGACTTGCCGCGCATTGATCCGAACTTGATCTACACGCCGCCCGATCCGTTTGCAAGCGGCACAGGCGACATGGGCAGCGGACTTACAGATAGTCAGCGGCAGATTGTGGCTCGCGTGCCGCTGAAGGAGATGGTGGGATACTTGAACCATCTCAGGGCGTTGACGGGCGGGAGAGGCACCTTTGTGATGAGTGTGGATGGGTTTGAGAAGATGGGGAGTCAGCGGCAGAAGGAGGTTTTGGATAGCATGCGGGACTTTTAAAATTGGCGCGTGATTGTAACGCGGCGCTTGGACTGTACAAGAGTGTAAGATAAGAGTAATGGCTTGAGTCTGTAACTCTCCCAAAGTGAAAGCTGCGATGTGTTTACCAACACCGCTTCACCTGCACACCCCAGCGACACAGCAGTTCTCACACTCACAATACCACCATCCAAACCCACTGTGCTCAAGTCCCCTCTACTACCTTACAGTCCAGCCAGTCTCCTCCCGCGACACTCGCCAACAACCCATGCCCCCAACCAGACACTAAAATTCAACTCAGCAAAATGACATACCACATTCCTGCCTCGCACGCCATCGTGCTGACCCTCGTCCTGGTCGTCGCATTCACCATATTCTTCTCCTGGTGTCTGTACAGCAGCTGCAGCCGAGCGGTCGACGCCGAGTTCGCCGAGCTACAAGAGCAGCGGCAGGCTGCTCCAGCCTGAAAACAGGGAGACACGAGATGAACGGGAAGCGCGAACAAGGTGTCGGGCCCGACGGATGAGCGAGGGTGCGTTGATCAAGCATCGTGACGGGCGCTGGCTGACGCGACGATGGAATAGATTGTGGGCGACAGACGGGTACTGGTGGGCGCGGACTACCAACGTCAGTCGTCTGAGGTCGCACGTTGTACGTGGTTGCACGCGACTACGAAGGTAGGACGCGTTTGCTGCATTTGGACTATTGGGCTTCGTGAGCCGGGTATCCGGCGTGACAGGTCTCGATAGTGGGTGCGGTGTTACGCCTGAGGCGCTGGCTGTCGCTAGATGTCGCTACCCGTCGGGTAGGCAGCTCATGCTAGCCGTTGCATTCGTCTGGTGATGGTGTTGGCTTTTAGTTTGGTGGAGTGGGTGCGACTCGAGCCTGGATTGTTTGCTTGCGGCTAGTTGTTTCGCTTTTGATACGAGTATAATGGCGACGTGCTCTACTAGTGTGGGCGTTGCATTCTTGATCATTCTTGATCTCGACAATTTACTCATCTTTTGCTCGTTTCTTTACTAGTCAGCATATACTGATCATGCCCACACCGGCAGCGATTACTGGTCTGGTTATGGGTGCAGCCCTGGGTGCTGGCTTGTTGTGCTTAGGTGCCTATACGGTGCACCGCTACATGCATTGGCGATGTCAAGAGCTCGTTTACTTGTCTCAGCGCAACACCGTGAGGGTTGTCAAAATCGAGGACCCTGAGCCAAGGAAGGAGAGTCGAAGAGCAAGGAACGACGAAGAGAAGGACAGGCATGCAGCTCCAACAGAGCAGGTACTATGGCAATCGCAGCGCCGCCCAAACACAGGGAGAATTCAAAATTCGATGGGTTTGCGAGGCGGCTTTAAGGACGACGGTCCAAGAAACGAGCTGGGTTGGGCAGGGGAAAGGCAAATACATCCCTACGTGCCAATGCCAGCGCACATGCATGCGCATCCTACGACTCACCATTCAGCAATCGGATGGCATCAATTTGGAACCGCGTATGATCAGTTGTGGCAACTACCAGCAATCTACCAGCAGCCAGCTCCTCAGGGCAGATACTATGCATACATTCCACCGCGTCCGAAGGTAGCCATGGTACACGAGCAGCCACACTCTGGTGAGCCAGGACCATATAATGGCTTTGCTGGCCAACCTGAGCTACAGCGAGCCCAGGGTAGAGTGGCCAAGCAAGCTGTGCGAGAATCAGGGTCGCAGCGCAAAGTCTCCCCGAAAATCAGGTCGAATGTTGAGTCCGTCTCTTTCGAAGGTGACAGCGTGGTGATACTCGATGACTACTCTTGCCTCATCGAAGGGGTAGTGCACCAGAAAAGAAAGAAGAAAAGCAGGGGAGACAAGAAGCGCAGAATAAGGGAGCGTAGCAGCTCCTCTAGCACAGAATTGGGGACCTGTTCGAGTAGTCATTCTTTAACATCCACAGAGGATATACCTCGATACTGCATCCCTGATAGCAGGTCACGCCGCACGCGCCTCCCTCTGCAAGACTTTCCTCCTTACCCAGAGTGTCCTCAGCGCGCTGCAGGCGACGATAATCCATACGCTCGACAGCCACCCCGTAGCGGACAGAGACGGGTACAAAAGGACGAAGAAGGCGTGCGAACGAAGTCGAGGTGGGACCCAAGTGCGGGTAGTCGACAAGCAGGTAATTGCTCCTCCTGACACTACGCTCCTCTCTCCTTGATCATGAGCGGCGTTTACAGACTTGGCTGACAAGTGTAGTGATTCATAGATCAGCCCAGGAGCCCAGTATGCGAGGTCGAGGAGCAGATAGTGGAGTAGCTTTGAGAAGTGGTGAACTTGAAAGAACGATTTCAGTACCAACTCGCGACATTGCTATCGATCCTGCGTCGAGAAGATTCAACAGCAAGAGCGGAGGTGTGCATGAAGCAGGCGCAGGAAAAGCTCCAGACAACACGGGCAGATTTACTGTGCGAACTGGTCCGCCAACATCCGCGGTCCAATATACGAGATTGAAGCGAGCCGCGGACAGTGTGGTACCACAGGAGGCAGTCAGAGAGTCAGGATTAGGCATAATGCCTGTAGGGAGGACGGAGAAGAGCCGTCCAGAACCTGTCATTATAGTCACAGGACCTATGCCAGATGTTTCGCCAACGACGTCTGTGTTGAGAGCGGAGAGAGATCACCTACAGGGTCCTTCAGCGCCTGTATCTCCCATCGATTGTACTAGGACGCTGACTTGGGCTGGTACAAGAACCGGACGAGATAGAGGAGGTTCCGTCAGCAGTGTGACTGAGGCTAGCTTTCATAGAGACGACCGGAAGTAAACAGGTGCTGTGTCTTGTAAGGCTCCATTGTTGAAAGAATACAAGGTTGCTGGTCGATCATCCCCGTTGCAAGTCGGCCTTCGTGTTCCCTTCCTGACGTCTCAAACAACGTCCACGCTCAGCCACAGTGAGTGACGTTCTGCCCTCCTTGCCAGGGCGTCGTGCGTTCGATGTGGACCGCGCGTCGTTCAACGCGTTGAATTCCGCTTGTTCGGCACATTCGGAGAGTCGGGCGGCGAAGGCGTCCGGACAAATTTGTCCCTGGCCGAGGCTGGTCCGACGCTGATTAGCTCCAGAAAGCTCGAGATGCGAGCGGTTATTATATTATGGTGGAGCAGCCGCAGTGGAGATTCGTCGATGCAGGGTGGTACTAATTTCGTACCGCTGAACGAGGCCGCTACGAGGCTCCAGGGGTGCGGGAGGTGCCGTCTGTCTTGCAAGTCCAGCCTCTCCAACGCGCGGTGTTATTTACTATACGCATGTATGATACGCAGTTGCGCAGTGGAACCCAATTGCACAGTGAAACTCAGTTGAGCTTTGGTGTTTCAGTATTGCTTAGTTAATGTCAGCAATATGTAGAGTGGTTCGGTAGGTAGGACACTCCTGCAGCGTCTGCATCTTGTGAGCGATTTAAGGTATCCAGCACACGAGGCTCGTTGCAATTAGGTTTCTTGAGCGAGGGCCTACTCCCTTTTTGCTCCGATTCCAAGGGACACCAGGGAGGCGTCACCGAGCGTCGGGCTGGCCAAACGCTGCCATGATAGGCACCAATGGAAGATGATCGGTGCACATCGACGCCTGCCATGATTGGTGTAGCCGCAGAACGGAACTGTCCGGGTTTGACCGTGGTGGGACGACACACGTGCATGGGGAGAGATGTCGCAGATGCTGGCGTGCTGCGCTGCGGCGGCTGCGCCTGCGTGGGTTGCGGGCTTGGTGGGTGCTTGGGGTGAGATTGCGAGTTACTTCGTACAAAAGACCGCCGGCCCAGCTCCTATCGTGTCGGACTTCACCTTTTGGCTGTTCCTCAACGCCTACTACGCCTCAACGGGATAGATAGCTGCAGCAGCGTTCCTTGATCACATGGCATCGGCGTAATCGCAGCTACCTTTCGGCCAGTCTCTCCTCCTGGCTCCCGTCACATGCGCGTCCAGCTTCGCCGACGCACCATATCCTCGATCCCAATGTCTGGTCTACCGCGACATGACTACGAGCGTTTACCACGTACATCGTTCGAGGCGCAGGACTTACCCAAGCTGGAGCGCTCTGCGTCGACGACATCATGGCTCAGTACCCTCAGCTCGAGACTGCCCGGCGTGAAGACACTGTCTGAGCGCGCTACGTACACACATCTGGTGACACCGCGGAGGAAGAAGCGCTCGATTCTGCGTGCCATATTCTATACTGTCTTCGCGTTCCCGTATATCTGCGCCGTCCTGGTGCTTATCGCGGGCATCTTCTTCCCGAGCTACACCAACCGTCCAGCTCACTACGTTGAGCTCCAGCAGCGAGCAGCGAATGGCACCGAGCCCGGCCGAGCAAACCCTTACAGCGAGAAGGTCTTTATTGCTGCGTCGCTGTACGAAGACAAGGGCCAACTGACATCTGGCGGCTGGGGGAGCTCGGTCCTGGAGCTGATCGACCTGCTGGGCCCAGACAACGTGCACCTGAGCATCTACGAGGACAACCCCACAGAGGCCGCCAAGCAATCGCTGGACAGCTTCCGCGCCAACGTCACTTGTATGTTGAATATCTCCAAGACCCATGAACACAGCTGACTTGTCAGGCAACTCGACAATTGTCGGCGAAAGCTTCGATGCTGGCACACTTCCGCGCGTCACTCTGCCCACAGGAGAGACTCGTCTCAAGCGAATTGCTTTTCTTGCAGAAGTTCGAAACCGAGCTCTGGCTCCCATCAACCACCAGAGTGTCAAGTTCGACAAGATCCTGTACCTGAACGATGTCAACTTCCACGCAGTCGATGCTGTCCAGCTTCTCTTTGCAACCAACATCGATTCGACGGGCCGCACCAACTACGGCGCAGCCTGCGCCCTCGACTTCATCAACGCCTTCAAGTACTACGATCGCTTCGCTACCCGGGATCTCGATGGGCGTGTCACAGGCATACCCTTTTTCCCGTACTTCACAAGCGCTGGTTCTGCAACCAGCAGGAAGGATATACTTGCGCAAAAAGATGCTGTCAGGGTACGAAGCTGCTGGGGAGGCATGGTCGCATACGAGGCCCAGTGGTTCCAGGACCAGGCTCCATTCGAGGAGAAGCCTGCTAACACCACGAAGCCTGCCAACACCACGAATGTTGCACACAACACTTCGCTAGACCATCACGCTCCGCTGCGCTTCCGCTACGAGGAAGAGATTTTCTGGGAGGCTTCTGAGTGCTGCTTGATTAACGCCGATCTCCAATACCGACGTACCGGAAAGGGCATGCCGGCAGAGTCGGGCATCTACCTGAACCCATACATCAGAGTTGCGTACACCGAGAAGACACTGTCATGGCTCAGCTTTATTCGCCGCCCAGAGCGTCTGTACTCGATTATCCATGATATCCTCAATCCCATGGTTGGGTTTCCAAGCCCGAATTCACGTCTGGGGGACGAGCCTGGACAGATCGTCACCGATACTGTGTGGGAGTACGACGACCCAGCACGAGGTTTTGCCCATGAAGCTACAAGCACTGATCGTGCCGGCACCTGGGTAGAGATCACCAGAACCGCTAAACCAGGAAGCTACTGCGGCGGTCCAAACCTTCTCGTTATGAACGACAGGCCAGGAGATGGCAAGGGCAAGTGGCACAGGGTCTCCATTCCTGAGCCACCGAATGCCTGAATTTCTCTTCAATACGTATATGCTTCACGGCCTGCCTCAAGACCTACTCATATTTATTGCTCTTTTCTTATCTTTACCAACAGCATAGCGAAGGCGCACTGGGAGCATGACACAAGCGTGGCAGGAGAACTGCGAGCATGTCAGAAGTTTTGATTTCACAAAGAGCCACATCTTGCAAGACAAGGGAAAGACTCTTCGGAGGTATTTAAGGAATTCACGCGTAGTCATGAATGAGAGGCAAAGATCTATCACTCCGCCACAATCAGCTTTCTTCTTCTGACATGACTGTGTGACCATGAATGGACTTGAGGAAAGCTTCGCTTGTGCGTGCCCCACACCCTTGTGTTCACCACGAGACGTGTAACAAACAATGCCCTAAAATAGTCCATCACATCTCAGCCAATCATTGCGGACTCCCACGTGACGAATTTCTTTCAGCCTTACAGCTAGCGCCGGTTCGATCTGCACAGTCCATCACGGTGCCATCATCACACGGGCTGCCTACAAACTTTGCTCGTGCATATCAAGCCTTGCCTGCTACCCCGGAAGGCCATATCACTCATCTTCAACCTTTATATAATTACACCTCCGGTGCAAACCCTTGTACAACGTGCCGTCGGAGTTTTGCGGCTCTACGTCACGAGGAAAACACAGAGCCGGGTACAGAAGCCGAGAGCCGGAAGGAAGCGTGCAGCCATGCTCGACAATGACACGCGAGGATGGGTCATGGCGGTGGTGAGCGGAATCGGTATGTGTGAAAAGTCTGGTACAGAGTCCTTATGCCAATCCATGCACAGCTTGCACATTTGGCGCGTCAATAATATGCGTTGACCTCGTCATACGCCAGTTTCCTGGACACCGAAACTTCAAAATCGAAGATAGTAATGTGTTCCTTTCGACTGGACTGAGTCTGTCGTTTGGCGTAATGGTGCGTATTATGTCTCGTGCCGCGACTGCACTTTTACTGATAACGAGTATAGATCTTCTCATCCTTATTCAGCATGCTTCCATCATCAAAGAAGTACCTGATCGAAGGAGGCATGACTGCAAGAAATGCCACTCTCACTATGGTCGGATGTTTCCTGGTAGGCGCGCTTGGCATCTCCGTTCTGTCAGACATTCTGCATCGGTATATTCCGCATTCTATTGTTGACTGCGATCACGAGCATGGCGATGAAGAGGAGGGCAAAGTCGAGGACGAAGAGGTGGCTCATTCGCATAAGCCTATGCAAGAGCAGAATCTGGGACTGATGCAGGTCGACGGCCACGAAGACCGCTCACATGGCACGAACGGCAGCAATAGCCTACCTCGTCGACCCTCGATGCACATCTCTCTGTCGACGAAGGTATCGCAACTCGTTACTGGCCAAAAGAAGGAGCTATGCGACGAGAATGGACAGTGCTACGGCTACTCAGACGCATGTGGGACGGAGTGCTTCAAGAACGTTCAACAGCGCCCACCACGCCTGCACGCCTCGAAGTCCAGCCAACATCTCAACCCGTCAAGGCCGTCAGTAGCAAACCGACATCAGACTACTGAAGGACTGCAGGCTCACGAACGCCAACCCCTGGTACTCGAAGATGTCGATGAGACGACACCATTAATACCTTCTCGCTCCGGGCCCGCAACAACAGAAGGCTCTGTCGCAAGTCTTCCCTCGGCCAACGGACACGGCCACAATCATCCCCATCTGGCTCAGAAGCACAGCACAACGTCTCTTTCCAGCGCCTCATCTCACTCATCGCGTCACTCCCACGCCTCTCACGTTCCCCAGCACCACCACCACGTGCCAACAAACGCCTTCCTCGCCATTGGACTGCAGACATCAACTGCGATCGCCCTCCATAAAATCCCAGAAGGCTTCATAACCTACGCAACCAACCATGCCAACCCCACCCTCGGCTTCTCAATCTTCCTCGCGCTATTTATCCACAATATAACCGAAGGTTTCGCTCTCGCGCTGCCGCTCTATCTCGCCATAAACTCACGCTGGAAGGCCATGTTCTGGTCCGCTTTGCTCGGCGGAGTCTCACAACCACTAGGCGCAGGCGTCGCAGCTTTGTGGTTCAAGGTCGCAGGGCGGGGGAAGGAGGACGGAGTCGGTGAGCCCGGAGAGAAGATGTACGGGTGCATGTTTGCGATTACGGCGGGGATCATGGCCATGGTCAGTCTGCAGTTGCTGGGCGAGAGTCTGGATCTTACACATAGCAGGAAGTTGTGTTTTGTGAGTGCGTTCGCGGGCATGGGGATTTTGGGCATTAGTTCTGCATTGACTGCGTGAGCGGAGTGCGGGGTGAGATTTGCGAAGTGTGGTATGCAAGGGTGGAGTGTGACCATAGCAGTTGTTCGGCGTTATTTGCTTGTGTTTTTAGATTACGTCTTTGGAGTATCGTGTATATCAATGCGGACTGTGAACGTCCATATTCTATTCATTCAGCTGCGTGGTGATGAGCTCCACCCACCCACAATAGGTCCACCCGATCATTGCTCGCAGATGAATTAACGTATTCGAGTTTAAATAGCAGTATATATAATAATAGCATTGAAATCTGTCATCCAATCAAAGACTAAAGCTGAGTGGCGCAGCGGAAGCGCGCCGGGCTCATAACCCGGAGGACACTGGATCGAAACCAGTCTCAGCTATCTCTTTTTGCCATCTTCACGCGCTCATGACTTTTTCATATTTTTGCCTGCCACAAAATGCAGACCTGCCATACCTTGAGACTCTGGTCACCCTGCATCTTCGTTGCAGCAAATCGAGAGCTACACTTTTATTACAGCATTTTACGCCAGCATCTCCCTTTGCACAGGTCGCTCTGATGGTGTGCACAACTTCCCAAGCCCCTAAATCACGAATCCGTCATCTACAGATTTCTCAGTCCACTCACTCCCACGCTCGCAACCAGCAACTCAAAAACAGGCCCACCAGGCCCAACCTGGAATGTGCTGCTCCAGTACCCCCTTCGTCCTCCGGCCTCATCCTCTACCAGACTCGGTGCTCCACTCTCTGCCGCTTCCTCGACCTCCCTGCACAAGTCCACCAGCTTGCCATTCAACTCCCTGAGCTTCTGAGCCTGCCAGTTCGCCTGGAATGGTTTCGGCGCTTTCTCATGGCTCAGCTCGATCTGCACGCGTCGCGCCGCACGGTTTGCGGACTCGAGGGTGGTGTGTAGTTGGGTGCAGATTTGTGGGAGGGGATGGTAGATGCGAATCTGCTTTCCCTCGTCTTTCTGTTGCTCCTCGTCCTCGTTGTCGTCTTCAGCGTCGGAGTCAGAGTCGGTGGCCGTTGCTTCGTCAACGAGGCGCCACAATCTAAGCGCGTAGAGGACCTTGCTTATAAGGGGCGCGGTCGGTGAGGCGGAGGGCGTGTGGTTCGCGTAGACGCTTACTTCGGCGCGCTCGACCCAGAGCCTGAGCGTCAGGGTTTTGGATGGGTCGTCGATGCTGAGCATTGTTGCTTCGTAGACTGAGATGCCGGTATGGAGGATCTTGGTGGTTGTTGATTGGCATCGCATGCTGAGGATCTCGTACTGCTGTCTGGCGTTCTGGAAGAGCTTATCCGTTTGCGCGTTTGCGCTGTCGAGGGTTATGAAGGGCTGGGCTGAGAGCTCGGTTCTGGTTGTACCTGATGGTGAGAAGGAAATTGTCTGATGAATGGAGTATTCGAAGTACGGCTCTGCTGTGGGCGAGGTCGTTAGAGAAGGAAGCGTCAGCTCGACTGCTGAGCTCGAGCTGGCAGTTTGCGCGGCAGGCATCGGCGGAAAATGCTCTACCGACGCTTTCTTTGTATCACTGGAGGAGGTGACGACGGCAGTAGATTGTGACAGCGGAGGCTCTGTAGTGATGGACGGTGGAAAGATCGTAGCAGGAGGCTGGGTCAGAGTGCATCCTGTACCTGCGCCCAGTGGAGGACTTCTTGACCCTTTAGTTTCCGTTGATGCACGCTGTAAGATATCTGAAGCGGAAGAGGTATGTGGAGCCATTATGTTCTGAGAATCGTCGACAAAATTGGATGGTACTGCATCAACGACTTCCGAGGGCTCTGCTGACGCATGCTCTGAGATATCGTCATCCACGGCGGTTTCCATTGGACTTATGGCATCTTGGTCCAATGTAATAGTATCTGGAAAATCAGAACTGAGATTCATTGGCTCAGATGCCTCAGATACCGGAGATACCTGGACTCTCTTAAGTGCCAGTGGGGCGTTCGTGACATTCTCTTTATCCGTTTCAGCGGCTTGTTCGTCAGATGAGGGCTGGAGGCATTCGGTGGCGGCAGGCACAATTGCGATTTGGCTGGTATCTGTGCCAATAACAGGAACCGCTGATAACACATCTTCACCAGAGCCCTGTCTTTTTGGAGATTGTTCACCTGAGCTCTCTGAGCGAACCATGACCGTCACTGGCATCCTGGGGTATGCACCAGGTTCTAGAGATGGAACTGGCGAAGCATACACTCTATACGTGCGAGGGGCGGTTTCACAGACAGGGATATCCGGGGCCTCGACAGCACTTGATGCCTGTCTGTGGGCACCAACATCCGTAGATTCTTCCGACAGTATGAACAAAGCTGCCGACTCCGTCACCGAAGACTTCTGAGGACCCAATCCATGAGCAGTCGTTGAACGACTGAGCATGTTCGAGTTGGTTGATGTGAGCTCTGGTCCCTGTATCACCGCTCGCCGAGTTGGACAAGCTCCAGAGGAGTTATTCCCGCGTTGCACACGGTGTTTCCTGTGGTGACTTTGGTCTGCCCGTTGTTCCCTCGCGTGTGTTGTGTCATGTATGGCAAGGCTCATTGAACTCTGCGGCAAGACTTCCTGACTTAGCACTAACTTTTTCAAAGTCGGATTAACCGTCTCCTGCGCCGCGACTTCGTCATCGTGACTAGACTGTCGCAGGCCCATCGCAGGCGTACGCTTGACAGAAGGCGTGGTCTTGGGAGTCAGACGAGCTTTCGAGCCAGCAATTTGCGTCTGGTTGCTCGCTAGACTTGGAACAACTGCCGAAGACGTGGTATGGCTCTCTGAGACAGGGCACCGAACGATGTTGGCGCTGGTAGTGGGCGGTGCTCTTCTCGGATTTGCGCTTTCCGTCTCCTGTATCTTGCTCTCCCTCGTCAGCAACGTATTAATAAACCTGGCGCCCACTCCAGGTATGTGAGATTCCTTGAATGGCTTGGCTGATGATGGTCGCCCGGCTTGAGCCCTGCTCCATTCACTTCCGACGTTGTCTAGCTCTTGCCCTGTGCCGCGGTGCCTCGCTTTGGCTCTGTCCAGGATATTGCGCAAGGGGCCGTTGTTTGCTACGTTTTGTAATCGAGCCGTATCCGCCTTTTGCGGCTTTGTCAAGTCCGGAGCCAGGGCTGAGGTTCTTTGCATGTGCGCTCGGGTGTTGGATCCACGGCTCGACTCAGGATCTTGTGTTTGACGACGGTGCCCTTGTGAAGCCTATTCGCTTTGGATCCGGTGTTTGGCCTTGAATGTTGTGTCTTGAACTTCCCCCTGGCGAAATTGTAGGAGTGGATCTGGGCAGAGCTGAGTAGGCGCCTCGTTGCGCGGAGATTGCGTGTGCGGCATTTTGGGGTCGATTGCGCAGATGAATTTTCGCATTCGTCCTGAGTGATGGTGATCTGATAATGGAATCTGGCGCTGGTGATTTGTCTTCCTTCTTTGCCATTAACATCATCAAGCGGCTCTTGTTCAGCGGTTGTGATGGTGGACATTTCGGTTGAGGAACCCGACCATCGAAAGCTTGATTCGGTCCTTGTCGCTGCAGGCCTTTCGGGGCCACAGTATCACTTCCGGACTCAGGCTGGAGACAATCCTCCTTCTTGCGTCTTCTTGCAGGCCGTTCTGGAGCCGCGGCGATATGTCCATCGAAGCTGTACCCACCATCGTCGTCACTTCCATTCTCATCTCCACTACTCAATTCTACGATGAACGGACTCTGCTTCAGTCGCTTTGCAGAGGCGGGAGGCGAAGCATGTGGCAGAGATCTTTTCTTAGAGCTGCTGGAAGCGCCCCAGCTTAAGTCGCTAATTCTCATCTTGTCCGGTATCTTCAAAGCTGCCTTCTTTTTCTTTGGTATGGTTCGCTTGGGTCTCTGGGTCAAGACTTTGAGTGGTCGCTGCTGATGGTCACTTGTGTCTGCGTCAGAGCTGCCACTCTCACTGTCCACGAACTCCGAACTCTTGTACTTCTTCGTCACTTGGCTTTTCAGCGTCCTTGCCTTGAAGCTCTCCGACGCTCGAGCTTGCTGTATATAGACTTCCTCTTCGGTCGAGGAATAGTCTATGAGTCGCGCTGTAGGTAGCTTAGTACAAGGCACATCAAAGCCGCGTTGTATAGAAGTCACGTTAGTTAGTAGTGAGGGCGTCGTCGATGAATAAGCAAGCGTCAGAGAGGAAGCTGTGAGGTAATTGCTTGCACTAGCGCTGGAAGTCCTGTGAAGCGTGGTGAGAGAATCGCCGCGAGTCGCCATTGCCTGCTGGTCGCAATGGCGAGGTGTCGGTAATAATGTGTCATCTTTCCCCTTGCCTTGTGGAGTCCGTTGGCCCTGAGTAGACATAGAGAGCTGTTGCAGGTGTTCAGACTCGGTATGACTGTCGTTTTGGTGAAATCTTCTGCGGGATGTCTGCTTCTGGAATATATGATCATTGCACTCAAACGCAGTGCCTTCGATCCCCTCACCGCTGTCACTTTCTGGCCACGCTTGAGGCAGGTTCATAACGAACGACTTGTTGACTGTACGATCGTCAGGCGGCGGTGTACAAAATAGCGAATCAGATCTAGCTCTTGTTTGTCTGTTCTCAAAAGATATCGCGCCATGACAGTCCATGTCCCCGTTCCATCCTGTAACGAGCTGTCCTGAGTGGAAGACGATGTTTTAACGTTGCTTGCATGGTTGCTTTGTACACCACCGTTTGCACATGCCGGTCATGGCCCTTGGCCTTAGACATGCATCAACCTCGCGATGCAAACAAACATGCATGTGCTCGCGTCAGTCAAGCACTCGCCGTTTGCTGGGACATTGCTCAGTGATATCGGACCGGCCCAAGTAGCCTTGTCGCCCAGGCAAAATTGATCTTTTGACGCGCAAAAGACAGAATTCGACGTGTATGCCTCCAGAAGACAGCATCTAAGTACTTGCTTATGTCACATCGAGGTCTCCTCCATGGTCTTACTCTGAAGTTTGCGTGGCTTTGGATATCTTTTGCACTCGATGCAGAGTTAGAAGGGCCGAAGAGCATAAACATTCGTGATACTGGCTTCGAAAGTCCTGACTCGCGGGTGGGAATTCTCAGATTGAGGCGTTGGTCTGTGATTTTCCTGATTGAGGCCGGCTCTGCCAGGCGCTGGAGTCGAAGATCGCGGCTTGCGCAACGAGGAACCTGTGTGCACGGTTGCCTTCTTAGCTCGATGCTGATCGTGTCCATCCTCCACAGACAGAGGTCTGGAAGGAGGTTGTGCTTGGTGCAAACTGTGCTTGGTGCTATCTGTGCTTGGTCTTGCGTGCCAGCGTTCTGATTTCTGATGCACCTCTGATTTTAGGCGTTGACGTTCTGCCTATGCCCAAGATAGCGTGAAGAGTCTGCTTGTTTGGAGGAAATCGTGTGGGAAAGCGTCTTTCCAATTTAATTATGACTTTCACAGCAGCTTCTTGTTCTTCAACACCTCCTCGGTCCCATCGAACAGCAACTGGCTTGCGTCTTGATAGAATACAAACCATGAGCTTGACTGATGTCGCTGTGAAGACGATCGAGTTCCGATCTCTCTGAGATGAAAGAATGCATAGGCGCTAGTTGTTCCAGCCAGTATCTTTTGTTGCGGTGCAAGTCGGTCTTATAGGCCTTGATCGTCACCTCTGTTGACTATCTTGGACTAGCACGTCTCAGGGCATGTATATATGTTCGCCTCCTAGCTAGCAAGTAAGCAACTCAGCGCAGTTTTCCATCGATATATACAGCGGCTACGTCTGCCGCGACATCTTTGAGGTGTTCTGTTCTGGCGTTCAAGCTATACCGGTAACATGAAATCAAGACGATGCTCCCAGAGCGGCAAGAATTCTTCATAAAATATGCGCATCATGGCGTTGAGGCTTGAGTCAAGGTCTTTGACCAGCTTGATGACCATAGCCTGATATGCTAGATCATATGAGCCTGATCCAGAGGCCTTTTTGCGCTTTGCAGCTTTGAGAGCAAGGTCATCATACGCACGCTGAATCCGATTGATTGTTCCTTCCAGCTCTGCGACTCGTGATTCGTGTTCTTCGTCGACTTTGTAGCAGTGTAGCCAGTAATCTCGTGCAATACGATCCTGAAGAAGGAGCTCCAAAGATGACATATGTTCCGTATCGCTGCGAGAGTGCGTCCGAGTGTTCAATTCTTGTTGGTTTCCAGTGTGCCAAATTCTCGACAAGCAGCTTTTGCTCGCTAAGCAGCTCCAGCGCATCAATGCCGACTTTTCACAAACTCGATGGCTTGTGTGGACGAAGCGATATAATTCACCCTGTCTCAAGCAGGAGCTCGAATACATACAGGTTGACCCTGAAGCATATTTGAAGTGAGGTTTCAGCCGCTACTTTCTGTTTGGATCAGCGCACGAATTGGCGTGTATTCGTGGTACAGTAAACCTGGTTCCTGGACTAGCTCTTTCGATGCCTGAGCAGTGAGGAAGCACATGGGGCGCGGTCTTGCCAAGCGTGAAAATCCAGGCTGAGGAAGCAGCCACCGCACATGCATAGGATTATGAGCCCAACAGGAAAGAAAACGCTTGAAATGCGATGCGAGGACAGTGTTGAGTCGCGAGGGGTGCGTGGTTGTTGTAGTGTCAAGTCGCTCAAAGCGACCTCGGCCTTTGCAAACATGTTTGTAGTCGAAAGCTGCATATACATGATCGCATATGGTCGAATACACTCAGTTGCATACGATTTGGTAGATTGTCTTCAAATTATGTCTGTCGTTTCTTGGGTGGATGTCTGACAACCTCGCATCGATCACTCCTTCTCGCAACGAACAGTCAAAGCAGCACAATCAGCTCCGAGGCACTCCATGTAGACTTGGCTTTATTACCACCTGCCACGGATGGGCAACCTGTCATGGCCGATAGTTGTACTTATTGCAAGCTGGCTCATGCGCCATACATCAAAATCGATAACTCCATAACTCGCCCGCAGGCCTGAGTGTGGCTATGATGAGCGCGTCAAAAGACTGAAGTGGCTTTTGCACTATCCTCTTCTGCTTTGGCTTTGACGGCAGGCTTCTGCTGTGCCAGCACCTCTATTATGGCTGCAACCTCCTCTGCCTTCTTCATTTGTGTTTCTTCGTCTGCCGGATTCTGTAGCGTATCGAGCCCCCCGAAGAGCCACAACTCCTGGAGGTCACGTATGAGGGTCGCGATGTCTTGTGTAGTCTTGATCTGCCAGAAATCGTCAGCACAGCAGTCCACCATATGTGACAACTCGAACAATCGACTCACCAAGCCAGCAGTCTGTTCCCTAATCGTTAACTCCCTCGCTGCACTTGTGGCATAGTCATTCGCCGCGTTCGTGGTGCTCGGCGGCGCACTATCCATCTTGACTGCTTTCAGTATCGTGCTTAGGTAGCCGTCGCCAGCAGTAAGAACGTTCTTATCTTGGCCCGGTGTGATGGCATCGCAGAGTGCTTCTGCGCGCGCTGGATGGTGTTAGCTGGTATATCTACCTACCGTACAACTGCCGCCGTGCGAAGATGAAAGGCACGACAAAGGACACCAGAAGGAAGTGAATGGATAGAGACTCGGCGCCGTGACTGTCCAGCTGATCTATTGAGCCACAGGACTCTTCAATGCGAGTGACGAGCTCGTCCGAACTGGAATCCATGAGCGAGCAAGGCAACGTGACTAGCACTTTCCTCTTCCTCAAAAGAAAAGGAAGTCAACGTCTAGACCAGACATAGCATCCCTACGTGCAGTCTCCCTGGGTGAGGCATCCACCACCGCCTGGTGCTCTTTGCCTGTGGCTGTCCACCACCTCCCCGGCTCAGCTCAAACAACAACGAGCTAACTTACCAAGCAACGCCTCCCTTGTGCGCTTTGAAGGGTCCATGCCAGCCTTGAGTGGCAGCCTCGACCCCAGAGTGTGGGGAAGTGATCGCTATGCTCATGACAATCACGAAGCTAGACTCCCTTCTCACAGCCTCGTTCCCGGTTATCGATAAGCGCACGGACAGACGCTTATTGTCGCTACAGCTGCGCTGTGACGAGCTGCATTTCGTGGGTCTGGCGTGCCCTGAATCGTAGACATCGAAAAGACTGTGATCATCTGCTTTCAAACGGGAGGAGTTATGTCGGGGAGAGTTTTGATGTACATCATGATTCCAACTTAACTGCAGGGAGCGTGTCCATCGACCTGGAGATGAGACGAGCTCAGCCCCATACAATAATGTCATCAAATATCGATTGTCTCGTCATGGCTGGCGGTGGGATGGCTTGGAAGGACGAGGACAGGGATTTGGCGAACTTTCTGAGATTTTTCAATACGGTCAACTCTTTGCCCAAAACGCAAATTTCAGACCCTGGATCCTTATCCTATACTGAGTTGCGAGGCTGGCATATTCCCGGCTGAGTATTCCTTCAACTCCCAGCTGACGATTACTGAGATGTCTGTAGTGCCCATCCAATTTTCGTTGACAAAGGTCGAAGTTTGGTCCAGGTGGCCTAAACAACCGCCAAACACCAGCAGCCAGGATCGCAGTTTCGCTCCCCTGTCGATCCCGTATCCGCTGCCTGACGGGCGATGATCCGTCGATCTTGGCCCACGCCTCTGCCGACCTCAAAATCTGCTGCTCGGCAATCAAAATATGTCCTCGTCTAATGCTGGCCCGGCAAGCGGTCTGCTACGTGGTCAAAGGACTCACTTGCAAGCGCTTCGCTCTATTTCCCCTTTTGGTGCGAGGCTGACGAGTCGATACCAATCCGCACCAACGCAGAACGATGCCGCGCTAGCGCTAGACTGACCCAAGATAGATTTCGCTATTTTCCTCCCCGTCTCGGGCCCTAATTAAGCTGGTATTACAGTTCACTTCCGGCGGTTCCTGCCAAGCTGTGTCGTTTTTGGCTTGCCAGCTTCATGGCAGCCTCTGTGGCTTGCTCTAACCCATCCGAGCAGCATGGAGGCCGGCCCCCTTCTCCTAAAAAGCATGGCTGGAAAATTAGAACGGGCGTCCGTTGCTTGAGTAACGCTAGGAAACGCAGAATTAGGGTATGGAAGAGCCGGGTTCGGACGGTACTCCGCAACGTGTGCGTGCGACACTTGCATTTCACCATGCTGAGTTTGGGCATGTGTGAGGGCGGCGCTGCAGCAAAGTGGTTCGAACGTATTCTCGACGTCCGGGCGTGCCGTGATGGCAGGGTGCTTGCAGGATGCAGGGAAGATTCCGAGAACCGCGCATTCTTCGAACCGGATCCAGGTCACTGTTCGCTGCCCGTTTCGGTATATCACTCAGAGACCTGCCCTATCTGGTGCGCGTCGCTTCCAGCCCAGCGGATTTGAAATGTTCGTGCATTGTGCCGAGACTGCTGCACTGTTTGCGACATGTCATGCATCCTTGACGACTTCACCGTGGACACCGAGAAGGATTCGTGTGTTGTGTAGGTATTCATGCATGTCGTGCTGTAGATAACGCACGTCGCTCATAAAGTGGATAGCAGCCTTGGTGCAGTAAGATTGTGGCTGGCTGACCTAGATTAGGCAGAGGAAGGGATCGTTTAAGGGAGGCCCCGAGAATGTGGGTCGACATGCACGTTTTGAGGCTGAAAGCCTGACACTTGCTGCCTTTGATTCATGTTGAAGTTATCTAGAATCTGCTTCTGGACCGATTCGGATGTGCTTGGTCCTGTTCTTGATTGGTGGTGGTTTACTGTCCTATCTTATTGTGTCCTATCCTGTCCATTGTGACGACAAATGAAAAGCTTGCCTTGTAGTGCCTATATTGGTTCCCCTAAGAGATAACGCCGGGACGCCTTGCTTTGCTGGAATGCTGATCGTGTATGTCGCTTGTGACAAAATGAACGTGATGCCAATTGGGAAACATCAAAGAGAGTGCGGAGCCGTGGAAATGCTCCCGATATAACACGAATGATGCGGTAATAGCAATGAATCAATTAGTGTGCAGCAACGACCATGCTCTTGCGAGAGAAGAGCGAAAACCTCTGCTTCATCGACTTCTTCTTCATGAGCTCGGGTCCAACGGAAATTTCCACGACAGACTGGTGTTTCTTGTGCTGGGTCTGGGGTACTTCCATTGGTTTCGATGCAGCTGGGGCGACGGTGGAGAGCGGCCTACTGTAGTTGTTCTCCCTGGAAATGTCCTTGGTCATGTCTTTGTTGTACTCTTGGCTGCTGTTGGGCCTGGAAATCTCTGTGGCCGAGCTCTCTGTATGTTGTTAGCAAAGAGACTGGCAAAGAGACTGGTTTAAGACTTACGTGACGAGGCCACGGAAGCGTCCGAGTGCTCAGCGCTGCTAGCGGACGCCTCGCCTGAGGCTTCACCTGCATCTGTTTGGGTCAGACAAGTCGTGTGCTTCAAGGTAGCTGTACATACCATCTTCAGTAATGGACATGGCTGACAGCGGACTCCTCCTCTTTGCGACGGAGGAGCGGCTGCTGACAGTCTTTAGTCGATGCTGAGCCGGAAGCTGGGGAACAGCAGGGATGCCCGAAGGATGGCTGAAGTGGTCGTTGCGCGCAGGCTGGCGTCCACGCGAAGGCGTCTCCTGTTGCGACTGCATCATCGTTGAGATGGAGAGGTCGCTGTTTGTTCTCTTACCGAGGCTTCCGTTGCGGCTGTGACTGGGCGAAGAGATGATTGATGCTGGGTGCGATCGCGAAGTTGGAGAGCTGCCAGCCTGGCCATGATAAAAGGAAGCGCCCGACCTATAAGCGGGTGCACTGGCAGAAGATACTGACCTGCTCCTTCGTGCGGCTGCAATCTTCTCCCTCAGTTCGCTGGACCCCATGGAAGATGGGGTGGCAGCCAATGCGTCGATTCCGGCGTGGACGGGTATATGCTTGTACGGGACTTTGGGCTTCTTTTCCTCTTGAGTAGCTGCCTCCTTCTTGTGTTCTGCGGCGGCTTCCTTTGCCTTCTTGAGCTTCAAGAAGAACGGCATTGCAGCCAATTGGTAATGTGCCTGTGGGATTGAATAGGTGGATCCAGGTGAGAGTAAAGCTGACAGTTGATGCTGCGACCGAGATTCAGACGCAGGCCGTGGGTTATACTTTAGCAAATAGTGGCTCAACAAATAGTCCACAGGCCTAGGCGGAAGTTGATTGCGTTCTTGTCAATGCGTGTTTGATAATGGCGCTACGGAGCTGGGCCGAACTATTAGCATGCAGCCACAGGAATTAGCCGTGACTAGCAAGTATTTACCTCGTAGAATGGTTAGCTCCCGCGCGCGACTACCAGCCCATCAGGAACCGTAGAGAAAGGTGTACCTAGCTGGTCGCTCATGGTTGAGGCGGACGATGTAGTGGATATGAGATTTCGCGCGCAGACCAACGCACAGAGCGACAAGATCGGTGGTTTATTTGCATCGAGGTGCAACGCTTCGACACCAGTCAAGTTCTGAGCAACCCAGTTTCTTAGTTTCAGAGTGCGGCCATGACAGCCACAAGCGCATCTGCAGCTCTAGTTAGCAAATCACTCGATGGGCACAGATAAGAGTGTGGTGATTCCCACGATTGACGGAGAAGTCGAGACCGAACGCACCCCAGCAGCGTCAGGGAACCTCAAGAGCGCGGTCGCCCTGTGCATACTGATCACTGATAACGCCGTCAGCTGTACGGAGGTATCTGGGCTGTGCGCACATTGGCCTAGGGGACCCGTGATTCTGGACTCTGCCGCGCGCTGATGTTCCTTCGCGGTCCCAAGTCCCGAGCAATACTAGACGGCGCTAACCGTCATCGAAGTACGATATGTACCTAACCGGTTATCGTCTTGCCGCTTCTGCTTCAACGACTCAGGTAGCGTATCGGAAATACTGCAGTAAACGTCCGAACTTCGATGAAGCGCAAGACGATAACCTCTCCGCGCCGAGAAGAGGCCTCCATGGGTAATCGAGTCTCTTGGGCGCGAAGAGTACGCCAACCGGAACCGCTTCCTACACCTCAATTACCGACTTTGCTTTGTGTCCGCGACTTTGGCTGCGTGCGTGCACCTGCTGGCAGCTACTCAGTTGAGTTAACGCAACGCTGGTGGAGAGCCCGAGAATTGCGTACGTTATACTAGCCACTGCTTGCGTCACGGTCACGATAGTCGAGACGTGACATATGTCCCATCCACCAGGAACCAGTGGACCTGATGCCGACAGGGTAGTTCATCGCTGCGTAGGGGCCTTTCAACTTTGGGTGAAGCTAAAGGTTTGCATTGGAAGAGTAGGCCTGCAGTATCAAATGGACGTCAGCTTCGGCCGCCCATTCCCTTGCTCGTACTTGTGCTGCGCCCGACCCACCTAGATGGAAGTGTGACATGAGATAGGATCTACGTAGCCGTCAAGGGATGATGGGCATGGTCGACATAACGCGGGGTACACGTGCCGATGGAAGGAAGAAGGGAGGCTGAAAGAGTGGTTCAGGGTCCACTGTACTGCGACTGTCCAGGCTTGACCGCTACTTCCGTGAGCATGGGTCGTGTGAATACCCTTGAGATTGGATCCTTTGAGGCTCCTCCGTTGTCAGTCCGTGAAGAAAGCACGCAGGTGAGGTGACTGCAAAGCTGAGACATGATGATGCGCAGGACCTCGGGCTAACGACTGGTGACACCACTGCACACCTGAGCAGGCAGCCGAGGTCAAAAGTGCCTGTCGACCCGCATGATAGATGCTGTAAGGATGGTGATGAAGTCTCACAGATTGGACATTTTGCAGAGAGACAATACGGTGTTGGAGGTGCCGGAGTCGTAGGTGGAATAGCGCCAAGCCGTAAATGGCGTCAGAGGGCTCAGATCTGGAGATGGAGCGCTGGCGCTTGCTCGCGATGGCAGTTGCCACACCAGACTGACGCTCATGCATGTCGCCGCAGTAAACCGCCACCCTCTCGCACCATCCTCCGCACATTCACAACCCCGCCGTGGTGTTGCGGCTCAAGGACTCTAGCCTTTGCCGCGGCCCAGGCTTTTCTTAGCAACTCTTATCGATACCTCCCGCCAGACCAGTGTTTCCGCTCCGCTGTCTCTGCAGGCCGCACGTCCAAACGCGACACATCGGCACCGGTGACGATCATCCACCACCGAGAAGCCGTCCGTCGCAGTCACGATACTGCGCACCGAGCCTATCGCTGACCCCGCGCGCATCGCGCATCGTACATCGCATCGAAGCGCCCCGCTGTCCCGTCGTGCCCCCTTCCTGTCGCGGCGCTCAGCATCTGCCGCCCGCCTAGCCTCCTATCGTCATCCGCCCAGCGCGAACATCGCACACGACCTCTGACCAGCATCACGGCCCCGGAACCCGCCGCGCTGCCCACGCCTGCCCTGCGCGCCCTGTCACGACCGCATTCCTAGCTGCGGACGTGACTTCCATCGCCGCCGGAGTGCTGGCAGAGACCTCACGTAGAGAATGGCCCAGGTAGCGCCACCGGCCCACGATCGCAAGCGCGTCAAGGTCTACGAGCTCAAGAACAATGACTGGTTCGACCGGGGCACGGGCTTCTGCAGGGGAGTTGTAGTGAATGTAGGTCTACGTGGATGCATTGCGATGGGGCTGGCTGACATGCGCTGCAGCAGGAAGAGGCCAAGATTGTGGTGTTGTCCGAGGACGACCAGACGCGCCAGCTGCTCGAGACGCGCATTAGCAAGGACGACGGCTACCAGAAGCAGCAGGACACACTCATAGTATGGACCGAGCAGAACGGCACCGACATGGCCCTCAGCTTCCAGGAGCCAGAGGGCTGCGCCAACATATGGTATGCATAGCGCGCGCAAGTACCGCGTTGTATGCGCTGACGATGCACAGGGAATTCGTCAATGAGATGCAATCGAGGCTGCAGCAGCTCGCTCAAGGTGCGTCTCTTCCACTTGCGCTCTCACGGCAGAGCTGATCTAACATAGACGATGGTCTTTCAGACGACATCGACCACACCAGCCCCATCATGCTCCCCAACCCCGACCTTGGCAACCTCCACGAGATCGAGAACCACATGCGCGCTGCGAACTCGACACCTGGCGGCAGGGAGGCCTTGGCCAAATTCATCCTGGCGCAAAAGTACATACCCATGCTGATACCCTTGGTCGACATGGCCGAGGATCTCGAGAGCGTATCAGACCTGCATCGATTGTGCAGCATCATGAAGATGCTGATTTTGCTTAACGACACCTCCATCATCGAATACGTGGTCCATGATGATGTCATTTTGGGTGTTGTTGGCGCGCTGGAGTGTAGGTATTGGTATATCAGCTCAGTTGTACCTACCGCTGACGTCTACAGACGACCCTGACTTCCCTCTACACAAGGCAAACCACAGACAATATCTTGCCGACGAGTCCAAGTTCAAGGAGGTAGTTAAGATCGAAGACGAGTCGATAAAACGAAAGATCCATTCAACATACCGCCTACAGTACCTCAAGGACGTAGTGCTGGCGCGCATCCTCGATGATCCTACCTTCTCAGTCCTCAACTCGCTCATCTTCTTCCACCAAGTCGACATAGTCCAACATCTGCAGTCGAATCTGCCGTTTCTTAAGGAGCTGTTCAGCATATTCGGGCCCAAGGAGCAAAGCATGCAGCGGAGAAAGGATGCAGTGTTGTTCATCCAGCAATGTTGCGCAATTGCAAAAAGCTTGCAGGCCAACGGTAGAGCTCAACTGTACCAGAACTTCATCAGCAATGGCCTGCTAGAAGTCATCCAGTTTGCACTGAAGCACCAAGACGCATCTGTACGCATTGCAGGAACCGACATTCTCGTCTCTCTGATCGATCACGATGCCCTGATGGTCCGCAGTTATATCTTCAAAGCCATACAGGAGAAGTCGAAGCCGCTGACGGATACGCTGATCGAGCTACTCCTGATCGAGGTTGACCTGGGTGTCAAGGCGCAGATGGCAGATGCAATCAAGATCTTGTTGGACCCAAATGCAAACTCAGCATCGATCGAGGCACTCGGCCGGACCAACAGCGACTTCCTCGCAAAGATGAGAGGGCAACTTCCATCGATACCGCAGACTGATTCCTTCATCCAGAATTTCTACGACGAATCTGCACGAAAGCTCTTTCAGCCTCTCAAGGAGCTCGAAGGCAAAGAGTCCAGTACGTAATGATTGCTTGTGATGGGGCTCAGCTAACGTGTTTTAGTGGGCGATCTTTCGATACAAGAAGTGTCGCTTTATGCCCACTTGGTTGAAGTGCTGTGCTTCTTCATTCGTCAACATTCCTACCGCAGCAAATACTTCATTCTCTCAGAAGGCCTTGCAGCGAGGGTCGGCCAGCTTATGAGCTGTCCAGAAAAGCACCTTAAACTCAGTATGAGCACGAGCTTCCCACTCTCGCACACCTGCTAATGTAATGCAGCCGCCCTCAAGTACTTCCGCACAGTCATCGCGTTACACGACGAAACACACAACAGACAAATAATCCAACACCACCTCTTCGAACCAATCCTACAGGTCCTGTTCGACACAATGCCACGGGACAACCTCCTGAACTCGGCATGCCTCGAACTTTTCGAGTTCATTAAGCGTGAGAATATTAAAATCATCGTCCAACATCTGGTTGAGACGCATCGCGAGAAGTTCCAGAATATAACATACGTGGACACCTTCCAGAGCCTCATCTTGCGCTACGACCAAATGCAAGAGCCAGTTACTGTCCAAGAGCTGGACCACTCCTTCACAAGCGTGGAAAGCGACACACCTGCAAGGCCATCTGGTTTGGTCAACGGTGGCAAGTGGGGTCAAGGGTTGAGGGATGTGGACGCGGATGAAGAGGCATATTTCAATACATCGGACGACGAAGACGAGTTGGCCGCCCCAGGAAAGACAGTTCTGAACGGAGCCTCGCCGGTGCGGCCGCTGGTAAACTATCCCGACGACGATGCCGAAGAGGACGACGTTGATATGGACATTCCGCTTGCCATGCGCAACGTACCGTCTGTCACTCAGGCCAAGGAAGAAACCAAGCCATCGAAAACGACAAGTGCGTCAGGATCACCACCAGAGCGCATTTCAGAGAAGCGCCGCAGAGAGGAGGACGAAGAGGACGAGCTGCTCGCCAACATATCAACAACGACTGCACCGAAGCGCCGTGCTTCCACGTCAAGCAATACAAGCACAACAAGTCTACGCAGCTTGCGCCGGAGATCACCGCAGATCAATTCAGGGAAAGATGGTGGAACGCCGAAAAAGATATCAATATCACTTCCGGTGAATAGTGGCGGCGGGAACAACGAAAACGACTGAGAGCATTCTTTACAGCAGCGACAACATGGAGGAGTTCAGACGGGATCTCAGCAAGCTTTACGTATACCCTTTGGAAACTCGCACACGAGCTCGTCTTGTATGAATGAGCTTTGTCAATCAATCATATCACTGGATAGGTACGGGCTTAGCGGCATGGAAGGTGTAAATACTGGCGTTCCGTTACCTTTGTGCTTTGGAGGAGGAAGGGGGGCGGGGGAGGGCGTAGCGTGCGCAGTGTGCGTAGCTCAGACTGATGCCGTTGGTCGACGCTGTATTTGAGCACGTATGGAGTAGCGTTGGTCGAAGACTATGTACTATATACTTAGCATCCCTGAGATCGACGAGAGAAAGATGACGATCGCTCACATCTTCAGCCTGTACTGATCGTCTGGATGGGCGACAATCCCTGTACGAGATCATGTTCCCATGCAATCCACAAGCGCGTGCATCTCGCGTTTTCGTCCCTGCATCAAACCCCACTTCCCGCTCGTATCAGACCAAACCCCACATCATCGTTACAAAGTCAAATGTCACATTCCAAGTGACTCAATTCCTCTAAACTTCAAAGCCCCAACTATCCTCAATCGCACATAAACCATCACACAAGCCTACGTACTACCACGCGCGATGAGCAATCTCGACACCTCACCCACACCACCGACCCGCGCAGCACAACCCTCGAATCCCGCCTCCGACTGCACCTTGACCTCGGCAGCAATGCCGACCAAGTCGCTCACTTTGATCCTCGCCGCCACGCCCTCGCTCGGCATCGGAAATGCCGGTGGGCTCCCGTGGCCGCAGCTGCGCAAGGAAATGGGCTACTTTGCGCGCGTCACGAAGCGCGTTTCACGCCCGAGCACCGGCAAAGGCGCCGCGGCTGGCACAATGCCAGGGCAGAGGCGAGTAAATGCCGTGGTCATGGGGCGGAAGACGTGGGACTCTATACCGGCGAAGTTCCGGCCGCTGAAGGGGAGGGTCAATGTCGTGATTACACGGAGCGTTGAGGGGCTCCAGTCACAACTACGCGAGACAGAGGACGGGGGAAGGATCGATGATGCGGAGAGGCCGCTTGTTGCTGGCAGCGTCGCGGATGCACTGAGTCTGTTACAGAGCGAGAGCGTTGGTGCCGAGGTCGATAAGGTCATGGTCATTGGCGGCGCGAGCATATATGAGCAAGCGCTTAGATTGCAAGAGGCGAGGCATGTGCTTCTTACGAAGATTCAGGAAGAGTACGAGTGCGATACTTTCTTCTCGGAGGATCTGCAGAGTGGGGAGTGGGCAAAGGCTAGCCTGCAGGAGCTCAAAGAGTTCACAGGGGAAGAGTTTGAGGATGGTGTGGAGGTTGAGGAGAAGGGGGTGAAGTTTGAGTTCTGCTTGTATAACAGGGTGGATTGAGAAAGATACTGAGATGTTGAGATGATTGATTTTGAAGCAGCTTAAGCTAGACCGCTGGACGAACTTCTGCGATTCCTCGTTGTAGCGCAGATGGCGCATCGTGGGCGGATTAGGAAGCAATCGACTATGCTGAACCCTACAAGCAGCGCATCCAATGATTGGCAAAAGGTTAAATTGTTCGGTCATCATTTTTCGTGTATTGTAATCGCAAGTATATGTGACCATCGAGCAGATCTGCGAAATGAACAGCTGTTGGTCGGATATGCTGTTCCTACAACGCACAGTTCGCACGCCGTTCTGTCTCCTGTCTTTGCTCATAAGCGCAGCCTAGCATGCTTAAGCCATCGCAATCTTGTACGCCGAGATACCGCTCATGATGAGCAACGCATAGTGCGCAATCATCCACAGCGAACCATAGTACCTCCCCTTGCCACCCTCCTCACCACTGTTCGTGTACCCAATAGCATACACGACACGGTTAACGCTCCACACCGCACCCAGGACAGCTGTCGCAACGGGCCATCTCAAGCCGCTGATAAGCAGTGTGCCGAGGACGGTGGGGTGGTTCTCGCCGAAGTTCTGGTGTGCGCGCTGTGCCGAGTTGAACGCGAGCATGGCCTTCTTGGATGCGGGCGCGGCCGTTTGGACCTGCTCGTAGGACGCGTATTCAAAGGGGTAGGGGATCTTTGCGGCCTTGCGGAAGGCGCCGACGCGACCTCCGTGCCAGGCACCGACGAAGAAGGTGCTGACGATGGCGCCGAGGACGTAGCTGGGGATTGTTAGCTGGTGTTTCGGGGAGCCAGGGCGCAGATGCAATAGCTGCTCAGGACGCGAGGCATTGCGTGGCTGCGCATGGACTCAGAGTTGGAATGATAAACGTACCCGTACTCGGCGGGGATAAGGTTCTTGATCAACTCGACCATTGTGGATGAAATGTGGGTAGTTCGTTGACTTGAAGGTGCTTGTGTAGGTGTCTAGGTGACAGGTGCTCGGCAGCTTGTCGGTGGAGTCTGCTAGCTTTCAATCGCGTCTTATACTAGCTCTCAACGTTCCTATCGAAGCTTCTGGCTATATACGTAGCATGGAGTTTGTAACGGCGGACGAGTTTCGGACGTCACCAAGCGGGCCGCGGGCCCAAAATCTCTCCGTTTCAGTCGCTCGGCCAGTTTGCTTACAACGAAGCATCGTGTTGCGTCGCACAGAGGGCCTTCCCAGACATGAGTGCAACCAATGGTAATTGCCGAGGGGTATGCTGAGACTCAGTCGTTCGTGAGATTTAATGTGAATCGAGGCCTGCTTACGTGATGACGTAGGGTGCCTATCTGAAGCACGACAATAACCATGACTGAGTATCACAATAACTAGCGGGAGGACATGCAAGTTATAAGAACGATATAGCAGTAGCGCTGGCGTCATTTGCGCCTAGAATTGCTGCACTTCATGTATTACTATCTATGTGATTACTAACTACGGAGGCTGCAGATCAACTCAGACATGTCGAAAATGGAGATGCAAACTTCCAGAATCGGACAAGGCATCCTAAGACTTTGAAATCTCAAGTCATGAATGCAAAAGGATATGCACGCAATGCCATGTTTTCGCAATCTCTATACACGGTAGGTGCTGCGGGTCCAGCGAAAAGTACCAAGGAGCGACTAAGGTCAGATTCTGTTAAACACATCTATCTATGCAACATTGTGCAAAGAGCGTAAGGAGTAGAATTTCTACATCCAAGCGGAACTTGTATCATCACCTAACCGAGGCCCAAGGAAACAACAGTCAGTCTACTCAGCGCGTCGAAAGCGCGAACAGCCCTGCGCATAGGCAGCAGCAGCTAGATCATCGAGCGCCACAGATTCGGTACCAGACGTAGAGTCGTCAAGAGTAAGGTCGACAGACAGGGCGCTCGAGTCAGAGGCCTTAGAAGTAGGCGTGTTCATGCCGGAAGTGCTCGGTGTATCCGCAGTTTCCTCTTTGGGTCGAACACAAGTACCGTTCCACAATCCAGGGGTGTATGTATTGATGGGAGCGTCGTCAGTGTCCTCTGGAACATATCCATCGACGGTACGATCGCCATTACGGCGAACGGTGTGACTGTCGTTCAACTGCAGGCCATAATGAATGAACAAGATCGACTCCAGGTATCGACGAATCTCGGGCGTAGAAACATTGGAGGAAAGACCGCGGACCAGGGCCAGCGAGCCGGTACCAGGAACGGTGACGGTATCGACGGGGATAGTCTGACCGAGACGCTCACCGGGATTTGAGACCATGCGCTTCAGTCCTGTGCGGAAGGCGTGGGCATTCATGCTGGAGCGGTAGGTGGATGTAACCCAGGTGCGGAAGGAGTTGACGATGTTGAGAGAAGTGCGCTGAATTCCTTGCTGACGGATCATGGCGATCCAGTTGATGAGTGCTTGGTAGACCGTGGTGCCGAAGTTGACGATAGCAGGAAGGTCGATGCCGAAGAAGAAGGCGATGTTGTAGGCAAGGAAGGCGAAGAAGCAGGTAAGCATTAGCGACTGAGGAATGCTGTTGCCGGAAGAAGCTGAGGTGAAGGGCTTGACACAGCCGACAACATTGAAGGTGCCATCCTCAAGGGCGGCTGAAGGGGGAGCCATGTGACCGTAGTGCAATCGTAGGAGTGAAAAGAGCAGCTACGAACGAAGCATGCCTTAATATTCAGTGATTCGTATGCTATCGTCCTGCGATGGAAGTAGTGAAGCTTTGTCGTACTGAGAGACGGTATTCTTATGTAGACAACACAGGAATAGTGCGCATGATCTTGTTTGTCAAGACATCTCCAGATATACAAAATAGAAAGTCAAGCATGTGTACGTTGTTGTCCGTTGACCGCCCTGTACTGAGCCTTACAATAACAAACGTGCAGGGCCCGTGCCATATCTTGGCTCATACGAAGAGGTGGCGTATGGTGTAGTCCCTTTTTGAGGTGGTGATCGAAGGTTCATCAAGGTACAGGTGTCGTAGGGCCGAAGTCTGATGGACTAATGTTGTGTAACTCGGATGAACAAAAGAAAGTCTTCAGAGCGCGCGTGGAAGCAAAGAACCGGCCCGGGAGTTTGCTACAAGCTGCCCCTGTGTGACAACAATGCACCTTATTCGCGTGGGATCGGGAAGCTCTGGCTGTCTCAGGCCTGCGTCTGTTGTGGCGTCTACTCTGAAGCGTCTAGTTGCCGCCTTAATCTTTGCTGTCTCTCTCCTCAACTTATGTATGTGTCAAAGCGATGCTGGTACCAGAACACGCGTGTACACCCTCTGGTGACCTCCAGGCGCCAGGAAATTGCGGAAGTGAAGGGCAATCAACAATCACAGACCAGCTGCACGCTCAGCTTCTGCCATCATTGCGTCGACTTTAGGCTTCATGAGTAGCATGTATTCTTCTTCAGGAAGGACCGGTCGAGAATTTTGGGCTGCGAACGTAATCATGTCTGCTTGAGTGCTGAGATGCCAACCCCACCAGGTAGCTTCGATGTTTGGTGCGCCGAGGGCATCGTATATCTGGAAGTGATCTTCTTTCATGATGGCGCCAATGAGTTTGCAATAATGGCTGCGGTTCCTTGCCTCGGTTACGCCATACAAGACGAACTTGACGGTCTTCACATGCACCAAGCGACGCATGAACGCTACTACAGCTCTGTTTCGTTGCTCAAGCCCGACACAGCTATCATGGTGAAGAAACACAAACTCATCAAGACGCAGTGGTTCCAGATTGCAGCAGTAGCTGTCCCAGGAGTCCAGTTCCATCCCCCACATCCGATACACGATGCTCCTGACGCTTCGTAATTTGTGGAGAGGGAGATTCTGCAGGCCCGTACTTTGTTTGTGATTCCAGACCGGGAACCTGGTCTTGTTATATGCTAGTTGGCTGAATTCGGAGTTGAACTGGCGACAGACTAAGAGTAGCGCTAAGTTCTCAGAAGGTCTATAGTCACCCTGATATTCTTGTAGTCCGCGATCGCTGTGAGGAAATCCGGCCGTGGGGTGCTGCTCAAGTGCGTATTCAGCTATGCGTAGGCGCAGCTCGGCAGGCAAACCCAATAACATGACTGAAAATCACGTGCGGGCTCTACGAACCGTGGATGTAGTAGCATATGACTGGTCTTGTGGTTCTTGTGGTGGAGGTGGAGGTGATGAGGCGCAGCAGTCATGAGGCTCATCCGGCATCCACTGTTTTCTGCCCGTGCGCCCATCTGATTAGAACCCCTCACCTTATCAGATTTTCACCGTTCTGCATCACCCCGTTTCGCGCGCCGGCTGCTTCCCCATGCACATCGCTTGGTGCACGACTTTGTTCATTCTCGATCTCGCAAATGTAGCTGGTGCTCTGAGGTCCGGCAAGTGGTGTCCCCGCGCTTGCGACCTTGCTCTCAACTATGCGACCTTCAACGACACAGATCCGTGGCTTTCCCGCAAAGTCCGTCAATGCCGAAGCGACTTCAGGATCACTTCACTGTATCTATGCTTCGATGATTTCTGCAATCTGAATGACGGGGAAGTACCAAAGTTCATTGCAGAGAATAGCGAGTGGTGCGACGAACATGCGGGTGTAACGTTGCCTCCATTCCACGATGTTGTCGATCATTGGAGTCCCAAGGACAGGGCACAACTGCCGAAGTATAGTGCAGAGAAGGCTGTTACCCGGCCGATTCTGAACACGGCCGTACTTCCTGAGACCGATTTCCTTGAGAGAGCTTTTACGACTCTGGTAGGCAGCCCTCTCCGCACTGTCATCGCGGAACGCTGATTGGCGGTAGGATGCTGCGTTCTTCGAATACGACCTCCACCTTGTTTACGGATGGTACATGTATTACTTCTGGATCGTCGTTATATCGTTCGGTGTAGGGACCCGCCTTCTGGCTTTGATCACCAACATCAGAAGCCGAGAGTATCAAGCTGTGGCCAGCGATGATTTCGATCGCCCAAAGGACCACCGTAGCGCCTTGAGCCTACCGCACTCTTGGCTCAAACGCCACATCACCGTACCTGCTGCGTTTGGCGACCGCTGCTCACGGCCCTTTGGATGGTGCACAATACCGCCTCGTGCTCAAACACTGACAATCGCTACATTCATCATCCTCAACACCATTCTTTGTTGTGCAGACTACCGACTCACGGAAGGCAACCTGTACTGGCCAAAAAAATCGGATCAGGCACTGCGTTATGTCTCTGATCGGACTGGAATCATCTCGCTCGCCAACTTCCCGCTGGTCTGGCTTTTTGGCATGCGAAATGATGTGCTCATGTGGCTGACCGGCTGGGGATTCGGTACCTACAACGCCTTTCACAGGTGGGCAGCTCGAGTAGCAACCTTGCAAGCCATTGTACACAGCCTTGGATATACTCTGATGATATGGAACAGTCAGTCAAAGCCAATGCCATATACCCGACGAAATGCTGACAGTGTGTAGGTGGTGGTTTAACACATTTTCTGGCGTACTGGAAGAAACACTACTTCTGGAATGGCGAGCTGGCTACCATTGCTATGTCCCTTCTTGTTGGCTTCTCCTTCTACGGGATCCGGCGAGCGCATTACGAGATTTTTCTCGTCACCCATATTGCATTATCCATTGCAGCGCTTTGGTCAATGTACTACCATGTCGAGATCTTCACCAATGGCGAATGGAACATCTTCATCTGGCCATGTCTTATCATCTGGATCTTCGACCGCATGCTGCGCGGTCTTCGCATTTTGGCATTCGACTGGAGGTTCTGGAACACCAAGGCTATCGTCAGGTACGATCCGATATCGAACTTGGTGCGTATGGATGTACCAATGCTGCGGAGCAAGATTGCACCGGAGCCTGGCACATACTATTACATATATGTGCTGAACGACCCACTCTATGTACATCAGAACCACCCATTCACATTGGCCTACGTCACCTCGCAGGAAGAGAACAAGCACATTCCGCTCTCACTAGTTTCTTCGAGACCTTCCACTAATCGCACAAACTCAGCTTCATCCTCAGAGTCTGACGCGCTGCTTGCGCCAAAGCGTGCAGGAACTCTAGGACCATCGATGGTGTATCTGATACGACCTTACGACGGCTTCACATCACGCCTCAAGGAGCACTGTCTTACACGGCCGAAGACACTGCGTGTCAATATCGAGGGACCATACGGGCACAGTGTGTCTCTGCGCAAATACTCGAACGTTCTGTTCATGGTGGGTGGAACTGGTATCGCGGTGCCACTGTCACATCTCGCCCACATACTCAGCTCCCAATCCACCGTGCAAAATGTGAAAATTGTATGGGCAGTAAGAGAGCACGCGTTCCTCACGTCCATGATGCATGAATTCAAGACATTGCTCGGCGATGAGCGGTGCACCCTGGAAGTGCATGTTACTCAAGACACCGAGCACAAGGACGATATCCCTGGTCAAACGCCACACGGTGTGTCAATACTCAGCGGCAGGCCGAATGTATACTTGTCAGTCGAGGAAGCTGCCGAAGGCGCCGGTCAGCAATCTCTTGCTGTTGTCGCTTGTGGTCCCGCAAGAATGGCAGACGAAGCTAGGAAAGCTAGTGTACAGATGCTTGCGGATGGCTATACTGGCGTTGAATACTTTGAAGAGTCTTTCAAGTGGTAGAGCGGTAGACTGGTTCGCATATGCACGGCGTTTCGGCGATTATTTCAGCGTACACACGTAGACCATGTCCCACTATTCGCATGCTCTTTAGGGGCAAGTCGAGCGTACCACTCTGCGACCTCCTCCACAGACTCCTCCAATCCTCTGAAAGCTTCGCCGTTCAACAACATCTTCTCTGTCACCTTCGAATGCACGCGATATGGCATATTGGTTGGCGTCCTCTCTTTTCCAACCCTGAATAAGCCCTTCTTGATTTCAGAGGCAAATCTACTGTCGACCATGCTTGCTGCCTTGTACCAGACCTGGCTTCCACCAAGGCCTGCCTCTGTACTTGCCGCAGCAACATATCGAGGTGGTAAGTCCGCGTCAGGGACTTTTATCTGATCAAGCGCTTCGATATGGACCCTTGCACAGTCCTCTACATGCACGAACCCAAACGCATAGCGAGGCGTGTTGTCGTCGAAGATCAGGGCTCGTGTCTGTCTGTCCATGTGCTTCTTCGCCTGCTCCGCCGTCTTTACAAACTCAGACGTTCCGATCACCGTGCCAGGGATGACCTGTGCGAATGAAAATGGCAGTGTATTATCTTGGCGTAACTTATCGAGATAGTCCATGCTTTGAGCCTTCGCCGCGCAATAAGCCTGGTGAGGACTGCTGAGTGGCGGGAGGTAGGTGAGCGATTTAGCGTTGACTCTGACGCTCTCGTTGAGAATGTTTTCCATGCCGCGTCCATACGTGTCTCCAACCTCTGAGTCCACAAGGCCCGCACCAGCTTGAGTGAAAACGATGCGTTTGACACTGCCAGAAGATTTTGCAGACGCGATGATATTCTTCATGGATTGCATGAAGGGGTGGTAGATCTCGTTGTCCGGGTGCAAAGTCAGTAAAGGCCAGACTCCGGCGATATGAACGACATATTGTGCATCTGCAAGTGCCTTGTCGTATGCGCCTTCGACCGCGTTATCGGGCACCACTGCATACTCGATATCGTCCAGATGTGGCTGTACAGAAGGTCCGGACTTGATGATGGCGATAGCTGCCTCACGGCGTACAATGCACCGTACTCGATATCCGGTCTGCAGCGCGTATACGACACACGCGTACCCTATTGTTCCGTTTGCGCCCGTGATCTAGTAGTAGTAACACATGTTAGTCGTGGTGTTGCGAATGTACCTTCCCTATGACGTACCGCGACTAGAGCCTTGCCACTTGCCATTGTTGATATCTCCAACCATCAGCACGTTCAGACAGAAGACACACCTTGAAGCAGTGTACCGTACATCAAGGTTGAAATAAGCTTAGTTTGGACCCGCACCAAGGGTTCGTTCGGTTCAACCGCGGTTGACAAAGGGCGCGTGGGAAGGGCCTGGACTTTCCGCAGGCTACATTTCGTTCTTGCCGATCGAGAACAAGCGATCCGCAGCCCAGAACCTACTGTACATCGATCGAGGTTCTTTGGAACACTCAACACCCTAAACAGATTGACGGCGTCAACGCTGATCGGTTGAAAAGCTGTGCACAATGAGAAGAAGGCATCGTTCCTCATGCAATTGTGCTCGCGGACCGATATGGGTTCAAGTATTCATCGGTCCGAGGGCTTTCCTCATGCGACAAAATCAAAGCTTGACATCGTAATCGTAAGTTACCTGCATGATCGTGGGTGGGATCGAACCACGCTACGTCATCGCATCTCGATGTACAACTGACGATTCGATAGATAGGAGCCTCTCTGGGCGGGCTTGCAGCTGCGCTTGCTGTAAAACGTCTTCCATCACCGCATGCCCACTCGATCACGCTGCTAGAGCGCAATCCCAAACCGGTGCTCGACAACCAAGGAGCCGGCATCGTTGCAGGAGGGGACACACTTGCTTTCTTCGAGAAGTATGATCGATGCGGGCGCAAGCTGGCCGTGTCCAGTGTGCGCAGGCAATATCTGGACAAGAATGGCAACATTGTGCACAAGGAAGACATGAAGCAGAACATGACGAGCTGGGATCTGGCCTACTACATGCTGCGCGCGAATGTTGATGGCCTGGAGAGCGCATATTGCAAAGTACCGGAAACCGACGTCGGTAAGGGTCAAGTCAAGCACTTGCACGGGCACAGGTTCACGGGCTTGTGGGAACAGGAGAGCAACCAGGGCAGACTCGTTGTAGAGTACACGACCAGCGATAAAATCAAAGGATCCATGGAAGCGGACCTTGTCATTGGCGCTGATGGGCCTAGCTCCACGATCCGCGATATCTTTGCCCCATACGTTGAGCGCAAGTACGCAGGATACGTGGCTCTGCGAGGCACCGTCCGAGAAGACCGTGTGACGCCGAAGACCCTGGAGGCATTCAAGGAGCGTTTCACCTTCTTCCACTGCCCCGGTGTCCAAGTCCTAGCGTACCTTATTCCTGGCGAAAATGGGACACTGGAGCCTGGGAAGCGGTTCATCAATTTTGTATACTACAAGAACACAAGGCCGAGAAGCCTGGCAGACAAGTCGGCAGAGTTTCGCGAGCTGATGACGGATGTGGATGGCAAGTACCACCGCATTACACTGCCACCAGGCAAGATCAACCCAAAAGCATGGAAGAAGCAGTGCGACATTGCCCGAGAGATACTTCCGCCTCAGTTTGCAGAGCTCGTGTGCTCGACAGAGAAGCCCTTTGTGCAAGCCATTACCGATGTCATCTCTCCAACCAACGAGTTCCTCGACGGTCGCGTCATCTTAATCGGTGACGCGCTTGCTGGCTTCCGTCCGCATACCGTTGCCAGTACCAGTCAGGCATGCTTCGACGCCATGGTCCTTGCGGACATGATTGAGGGAACGGTCGGAAGGCGGGAGTGGAAGAAGGAGACGCTTGGGTATGCAAGGACGATCCAGGCTCGAGGTGTGAGCATGGGCGAAAGAAGCCAGCATGAGGATCTGCCGTTGAGCGAGCACATCCAGGACCGTAATCTGGCAAGCAGACCGAGACAGGATGAAACCTGGCCTCACTGGGCTATCGCTGATCTGGACTGATGGTAACAGAGATGGACGCTACTGTTCTTGTCAGCGAGCATCTTCTCGATCCTTGTCTCGGTCGTTCTTCTCGTCAATCAAATGTCTACCTGCACACGTGCGTTGATCTCATCTTCGTACCTGAATACTGTTGGCACACGGTAAAGATAAGCTGCGGAGAGAGGATAAGCTGCGGAGAGAGGATAAGCTGCGGAGAGAGGATAAGCTGCGGGGAGAGGATAAGCTGCGGGTTAGGCTGTGATGGTGCATGGGTCTTGCGGTGCAGAGGGGAGCCGTGCCTGTGTTCAGCGAGGGGGCTTGATGGAGTGGACGTGGAACTTGGCTGGGATAGCGGCTGGGTGTGGTGACTGGGTGTGGTGACTGGGTGACCGAGTGGGGTGACTGGGCGACCGAGTGACCGAGTGTGGTGACTGGGTGACTGGGTGACTGGGTGACTGGGTGTGGAAACTGGGTGACTGGGTGGTATTGTACATTCTATCTATTCGTGTCAGGACACGACACGACACCAACAGGCCGAGTACGCGTGCAGTGCTCCTGCCGCCATCGATCCCCATCATGCAAGACATCCCGCCGATCCCCATCATGCAAGACATCCCGCACCGGCCATGGCGACACGGCCAGCTCAGATCAGGGCCTCGCCTCTGAACATGGCGTCCCTGACCTCGCGGACCACATCTGCCCTGTCGCCGGCGCCCAGGAGCACGATGCCCCTTCCGCGGCGGCCCATGCGGCCCGTGCGGCCCAGGCGGTGGATGAAGTCGATGGTGGTGTGCGGGACGTCGTACAGGATGACGTGGCGGACGGAGACGGTGTCGATGCCGCGGGAGCCGAGGTCGGTGGTGACGATGACCTTGGTGTTGGCGAGGGAGCGGGACGTGGTGGGCTTGGCGGCGGCGGCGGCGGCAGCGGCGGCGGCGTCGGGGGAGTCGGCGGCCGTGCTATCCCGCGTCTGGCCAAACGACGGGCTGATGGAGCCGTCGGTGAAGGAAGCAAGCGTCTTTGCCTGACGGACGGGGTTGGTGTCGCGGTGAAAGGCCAGCGCGTCGATGCCCTTGCTGCACAGGTAGCCGGCGACGGCCTCGGTGTCGTCGCGCTCGTTGACGAAGACCAGGATGCGTTTGGTGGCGACGCTCTCCTTGCCGTCTTCGTCGCTGTACTCCGAGGCCGACTTGCCAATCTGCCAGATGGTGTCGGCGCAGGCGAGCATCTTGTTGCCGCGGTACGGGTCCTTGTTCACGTCGACAACGCCCAGCTGCACGCGGCGCGGGATGGCGTGCAGGTTGGGCGTGACGAGGCGCGTCATGTCCGGGAACCTGTCGGCGAGGAACTTGTCGAGGTACTTGGGGATGGTGGCGGAGCAGAGAACGAGTTGCTGCAGCGAGGGAGTGGCGCGCTCGAGAATCTCCGTCGTCGAGGGCTTGAAGGAGCGGTCGAAGAGCGAGTCGGCCTCGTCGCAGATCAGGTGCGTGACGCGGGCGAGGATGTTGGGGTTGGACTCGGCGATGCTGGCGAGCAGGGGCGGCGTGGAGATGACCACGTCGACGCCGTGCTCGTTGAAGAGGCGGTTGCGGATGACGGTGGCGGACATGCTGGCGCTGATGGGGGCGGCGCGGAACTTGACCGTGTGCGAGAGCGACTTTGCCACGGCGCCGACCTGGGCGACGAGCTCCGCGGAGGGGACGAGGACGATGGCGCGGGGGCGGGCGGGGTCGACGGCCTTGTTGACGGCGGGCTCGGGCACGTCGAACATGTCGCCGCGCGTCGAGGGCGGGCTGGCGGCGGCGGCGGCGGCGGCGGCGTCAGCGGCGGCGTCTCTCGCGACGGCCGCTTCCTCGTCCTTCTCGCGCGCCTCGTCGCGCTTGATGGCGTCGAGGGTCGGGAGCAGGTAGGCCAGCGTCTTGCCGGAGCCCGTCTCGGCGGCGAGCAGAAAGGCGTCGGGGCCGGGCGACTTCTTCGAGACCGCCCGGGTGCGCGTCGGCCTGCGCAGGCCGAGCAGGGCGGGGATGGCGACGGCCTGGGCGGGGGTGGGGCTGCGGTACTCGAGGGCGGGCAGGGCGTCCTTGACGGCGGCCTGCACCGTGTCGAGGAGCGGGAACTTGTCAAAGGCGTCGTACTGGTCGAGCTTGCCCTTGACGGCCTTGCGCGCGGCGTAGGGGATCTCGTGCAGCGAGCGCTGCATCTTGAGCGCGTGGAACGAGTCGGGCTTGGTGCGCCTCTTGTCGCTGTCGCGCCCGCGCGGGTTCGTGTCGCGGTCGGGGCGGCGTGCTCTGGCCTGCTCCCGCTCGCGCACCAGCGTCGGCGGCGCGCTGGTCTTGTTGAGGAACGAGTACGGCTCGCGCGGTCTCCTCTTCGGCCGGTCAGCTGCGGGCGTGTCGACCGAGCCCGACAGCTGGAGCGTGTCGCGTCCGTACGTGGGCCGTTGCCGCGAGCGCTCTGCCCCGTCGCGCCCTGCACCGTCGCGTCCTGTGTCGTCGCGCGCTCGCGCTCGCGGTGCGCCGAGGCGGGTGTTGAACGACGCGCCATCGCGGCCGCGGGGAGGCCCGTCGCGGTCTCTGGGCGGCGGGCGTGAGCGTGGAGGCAGGGAGCGGGCGCGGTCGCTTCGAATGCTCCAGTCGCTTCGGTCGCTCCGGTCGCTCCGTTCACCTCGTCCACCTCGTTCGCCTCGCTCACCTCGTCCGCCTCGCTCGCCTCGTCCGCCTCGCTCGGTCTGCACCTGCGTGTAAAGGCGGGTGTGCAGAGTCGGCGCCGTGCGCGGCGCCGTCCCCGCCAGCAGCGAGCGCACCTCGCAGAAGGCGCAGACGCGGGTCGTCTGGCGCAGCATAGATGGTCTGAGCGGGTGTGTGGTAGTCTAAGCGGGTGCGTGGTAGTCTGAGCGGGTGCGTGGTAGTCTGCCAGCGTCGTCGGCAGAAACTCAATGCACGTCGTCTCTCGTGCGCTAGCTGCGGCCACTTTTTGGCGGCTCGCGGGACAGTAGCGCCATAGATGTTGACCCACCGCTCGTGAACGGTTGGTTGGCGTTGTTACTTGGGCAACCGCCTCCACGCGCGCTGTTGACAGAAACCTGCTGGCCGATCACACGCTACAAGTGCCTTATCACTCCACGCACAGCCCAACCTCCCCCTTCTGCCTCACCACCCCAACAAAGCGCCTGTGCTGGCCTTGCCCCTTCGCTTCTCTGCTCGTCGTGTCCGCCCTCGCCCGCTCGAGCGCGCATCCTTATCGATTGTTTCGTTTGCTGGCCATTGTTGACTGCGCTGCGCCTAGCCGCCTGCACCACGCCGCCAGCACCACGCCGCCAGCACCACGCCGCCTCGAGGGCGCCGCCATTCTTTGCACACATTCCAGCGCAGCACCCGCCCAGCTGCAGTAATCCTCACAGCTGCGGTAATTCTCACAGCTGCGGTACTTCTCCCAGCTGCAGTACTTCTTCCAGCTGCAGTAATCCTCCCAGCTGCGGTACTTCTCCCAGCTGCGGTAATCCTCGCACTGCGCGCGAGTCGCCATGTCTCGCAACGAAGCGGTAAGCATGGCCCCCGTTCCCTCCCATGCACGTCGTCCCTAAGCCCGCGCAGGTGTCGCCGCTGCGCATCAACAAGACACCCACTGCCTCGCCTGGAAAGAGCAGCGGCCGCCCGCTCTCGGAGATTGCATCGGGCGAGCGAAGGAGGAACTCTCCGAGCTTCGACCAGACCACAAAGGTAGAGCCCCGCCCTGCCGTCCCTCTGCGCCGCGCCTTGCCGCGTCTGTCCCCCAGCTGCTAACGCCCGCCAGCGCATGCACGTCAACAAGGAGTCGTCGCCTTTTGCAGGCTCGTCGCCGTTCCAAAACAGCCCGCGCCTGTTCTGGAAGGAGCACACTGCCTCGCCGCGTGACCGTTTTGAGAATTCGGAGAACAGCATCAGCGAGGACGCGCAGATGCCGCTCTCGCCCAAGCGCAGCTCCATTGAAAACCTCAAGAAGCAGGCCCGCGTCAAGAACAGCGGCATCTTTGCAAAGGAGCAGATGCACGCCTACGACCCCACATCAGTCACCCCGCTGGACCGCCCGCTTGCTGCTGGCCGCCCGCTGAGCACCTCGATCCAGGGCAACGCCTTTGGCGGCGCGGGCCTCAACGGCCTGCGCCTGCACGACGTCTCTCCCGACCGGGGCCACCGCCGCGGCGAGAGCTTCAACAGCATTCCCATGCTGAGCACCATCAAGACATCGCCAGCAAAGCTGCCCACGCAGTCGACATTCGGCTCGCCCTTTTCCTCGCCGACCAAGGACCGCCCTTCCTCGTCGGCCGGCCGCGCGTCTCCCACCAAGTCTTCTCTCGTCAACAACGGCCGCTTCAACTCGCCCCAGTACAACCCCGACTCGAGTGCGCTCTCGGACGACGACGACGACGACGACGACGTGAAGCACCAGACGCCCCGCGCCCTGCGCCGCCACGCTAAGAGTGTCACCTTTGACGCCGCTCCACCCAACGTCACAGAGTACGAGCTGGTCACACCCGAGCCTTCAGCCTGCTCGCGAGAAGGGAGCTACATGGAGACGGACGACGACGACGACGACGACGACGACGACGAGGTGAGCTTTGACGATGCCGACAGCTTCGATGCTTCTCTCGAGGATACAGAAAAGACACCGGTCGTCCTTCCCGAAGACTGGCGCCACGTGAGCCCAGACAATGCCAACAATTCGTTGACTGATTTCTACGATGACGTTTTGGAAGGGCGCGAGGCGAGCCCGCGCGCAGATGGCACACCCAACGGCGCTGCCAACGGCTCGCGGCATGGCTCACAGCACTCGGAGGGCTCGCCACGGCCGCTGCCTCCTCTTCCTGGCATGGGCCTGAGCCGGCCAGGCTCGAGCGGCGGCGACGCATCGCGGTCGCTGCCTCCGCTCCCTCCCGTCTCTGGATTCTCAAAGGCCGACCTTTTGAGCAGGCGCGAGAGCTCCATGTCGCTGGAGGACCGCATGCGCCTCATGAACTTTGATGGCGATCGCGACACATCGACGCCCACGCAAGAGAGGCAGAACAAGGCCGCCAGCAACGAGGTCAAGGTCCACGTTGACGGGGTCAAGGTCCACGTTGACGAGGTCGACGACGACGTGTCGGTACTGACTGCCGACAACGAGCAAGATGCCTCGATCCCACGCATCTCGCGCGAGTCGATCCTGCGCAGGGTTAAGAGCCAGAATTTCGACAAGCACGAGGACAGCTACGCCTACGACGCCGAGTCGAGCCCGGAACGCAGCTACGGCCACCTTGCCGACTTGGATCCTGATGTTCCCATTCCTTCCCGCGAGTGTTCGTCCAACTTTGATGAGACTGCACACGCGCAGCCCATGCAAGAGGCCGGGTCCGAGGCCGGGTCCGAGGCCGAGGCCGACAGTGTTCTTGATGCTTACCAGGACGTCGATGGTTCGGCCATGTCACAGCTCGACGACGAGGCCGACCCGTACGCTGTCGATGAGTTTGAGCTCGATGGTTCCGACGCTGGCTCGGTCATCCGCCACCCCGTCAGCGACGAGACGGAAGATGCAGGCTCGCTTGGCGACGATGTCAGCATGAGCCAGTACTCTGAGCAGCCAGACGACGAGCCGTACAAGGAACCAGCCCCGCAGGGTTTCGAGCAGGTCGTTGGGCAGCCCGACGAGTACCCCGAGGAGCAGCCGACCTCGCAGAGCACCATCGACAGCTCTGGGCCATCGACACCCACTGTCGCCGCCGAGTCTCCACGTGCAGCCGAGAAGAAGGCTCGCGAGGACGAGCTTTTTGCCAAGTTTGACCGAGAGCAGTCGATGGACCTCAGTCTCGACCCTCTGAGGGCCTCTTTTACGACGGCCCCGAGCCCGCTTGACAGCGCTCCGAAAATGGAGGCTATGCGCGATTTCTTGCAGCGGCCTGGCACTCCCGATGCCGAAGATGGCGCCGAGGAAGAGTACACGGGCTCTGAGCCGGGCAGCCCCAGCTCGATTGTTCACCATCCGGTCGTCATCTCGCCTCCCGAAATCGAGTCTGACCAGGACGTGCCTCTGCGCGAGGCGACTATCCGCGGCACTGGCGGCCACAAGCTGAGGACTCGTCCTTCGCTCATCCCAGACCAAGTTGACATGGCAGCCACCCGCCGTCAAGTCAGCGGAACGTACCCTCCGCCACTTCCTGAGAGAAGCCCCAAGCGGCAGTCTCTCAACTTTGAGATTGGCCATGTCGACGATGACTCGTCTGAGCTCAGTCTTGCCACCAGGGAAAAGATGATGCTTGATCTTGACCTGGGTGAGGATGAAGACGACCTCAGCTTCGGCCTTGACAACGAGTTCGACAAGATTATTGAGGCTCAAAAGGTAGACACCCTTTTTCCTTTACCCGACTTTGCTCATTTCCCGACATTGGTGGCTGCGCGACCGAGTGCAGCCGCTGCAATGTCAGAGAAACGGTTTGTGCATACGTACAGTCCCGCTAATGCACCCACACAGAAGGGCTACCTGATGCGGGAGAATACCAAGGTCGTCGTGGCCAGCAGCCGGCAATTTAGCGACGAAGCCCGTCCGACAACCTCTGCTTCCACGGCCGATTCTACTACCGGCGAGAAGCTCGCACAGGCACCAGGTGCCCGCAAGGTGAGCGGCAGCAAAAAGGCATGGACGACGGAGCCCTGGAATGGAAAGGCTCGCCGCAAGAGTCTCCGAACAGCGTCTGGAGCCCGCAAGGCTCGCACGTCTGGCGTTGCGCCTCCTCTTCCCGGCCACGAGTCTGCTGTTGCTGCCAGTCTAGACGCAGTCACTGAACAGGGCGACAATGAGTTTGAGGATGGCGAGGAGCGTGGTCGCGTGTTCGTCAAGGTGGTTGGTGTCAAGGATCTCGACCTTCCACTGCCGAAAAGTAAGTGTACCCAAGCTGCCCCCTAACGCAGCGCTAACGACATGTCACAGCGGAACGCACATGGTTCCAACTGACTTTGGACAATGGCCTCCACTGTGTAACAACATCGTGGCTCGAGCTGGGCCATTCAGCTCCCATTGGTCAGGAATTCGAGCTCGTTGTGCTTGACGACCTCGAGTTCCAACTCACGCTCCAGACCAAGCTTGAGCCCCCCGCCCGTCAGCCCGAAGTCTTTACCGCCGCACCTCCCAGGGCTGTTACGAAGAAGAACTCTGGCTCCACTTTCCGTAACCTTCTCACCTCTCCCAAGAAGCGCAAGGAGCAGGAGCGCCGTGTGCAGGAGGAGGCTGATCGCCTTGCCCTTCAACAGCAGCAAGAGGCTCAGGCCGCAGCCAAGCGCAACCAAAAGGCCACAGCTTGGGATCTTCTTCACGACCTTGTCGGCCAGGATGGCTCCTTTGCGCGTGCCTATGTCTGCCTTGGCAACTACGAGAACCAGGCCTATGGACGTCCTCTGACTGTGGATATCCCTTGCTTCAACGAGTGGGCTGTCGACGACAGCGGTGTCAGCAGTGTCAAGAGCAAGCGGGGTGGTGTGGTTCGCCGACCACCTTACCGTGTCGGCAAGCTCACCGTCCAGCTGCTGTACGTGCCCAAGCCAAAGAACGCGACCGACGACGACATGCCCAAGAGCTTGAATGCTTGCATTCGCGAGCTCAAGGAGGCTGAGGAGGTCAAGAGCAAGACCTGGGAAGGGCACCTGAGTCAGCAGGGTGGTGACTGCCCGTTTTGGCGCCGTCGCTTCTTCAAGCTCGATGGCACAAAGCTTACGGCTTTCCACGAGACAACACGACAGCCGCGCGCCACCATCAACCTTGCAAAGGCAACCAAGCTGCTCGACGACAAGAGCGCGCTCAAGCAGCCATCTGCTACCAAGTCTGGCGGTCGTCGCAAATCTGCCTTTGCCGAAGATGAGGAGGGCTACATGTTTGTTGAGGAGGGGTTCCGCATCCGCTTCGCCAACGGTGAGGTCATTGACTTCTACGCCGACAACCGTGAGAACAAGGAGGGCTGGATGAAGGTCTTATCCGAGTGCGTTGGCAAGGACATCGCCTCGGGCAAGGCCTGGACGCACATGGTGCTTGAAAAGGAGCGCAAGGAGAAGGCACAGAAGCCAAAGTCGCAGGCTGGCGCGCCGTCCCCTGGCACGAACCGCCGACCGTCCCACGGCCGCACGCAGTCGCATGAGGTGTACAGCAAGTTGACGCCGTCGAGCCCGCCCAAGCCGGCGCACGCACGAACACAATCTTTTGCGCCAACTCCCCCGCCAAAGGAACGCGACCATCGCATGGCACCTGCACCCGCACCGCGACCGAGGCCGCAGACCCAGGTGCAGCCCAACACGGGCAGCAGCAGTAGCCGCCGAGACCAGGTTCGATCGATGATTTTCTAAGCACCTCCTCCATCACCAAAGCACATCGATATCTATCGCTACGCTTCCCTGATGGATATTCACTTACATGCTTCTTCGTTTCCATGCAGGTTCTACAAAGACTAAGATTGCTTTTCTTGCAACGAAAGCGCCACCGCAGTGCTGCGCACTCGGCTGATCGAACCATTGACTTGGATTCGTTTACACACACATCTGGATCGACGCTTGTATAAAGCTTTTGGCTATCCGCCACACCATTTCCTTGGTTCGAGTCATCTCTTTGGTTCGATATCCAGCGTCACGACCGCCACGCTCGGGGGACGAGGTTGGCATGTTCTTGTCATACTTTTCTTTAATGGGAGCATTCTCCTACCGGCAAATGTTTGGGTCGGCTTGTATTGTTTGGCGCGAGGGCGTTGGGGGCGTACTGTATGAGCGATGTTATGACTGCTCTGTTAATGACGCGGATGATGGAACGAGTCGCACGTCGGGAATACACACATGACTTGGTACTCTTATACTTTTCGCTCTTGCATCGTCGTCTGCCTGTTAGCCTGCGTGATGGACATTTGCGCAGAACCGTCCAAGGTGACTCGCAAATTTGCCACCACCAAGTCAATCAAGTTGGCGGCATCTACTTGAACTAGCTTGTTCAGCGCGACGACTGCAGTGAACTGAATTAGTCAGATTGCCGTACTGCTCAATGTACTTGTTTGATCTGTTTCACGAAGCTCTTAGCCAATGTACTTGTTTGATCTGTTTCACGAAGCTCTTAGCCAATGTACTTGCTTGATCTATTTCAGGAAGCTCTTAGCCAATGTACTTGCTTGATCTATTTCAGGAAGCTCTTAGCCAATGTACTTGCTTGATCTATTTCACGAAGCTCTTAGCAAAGTGAAGAGAGGCTGTATAGTAGTTATAGAATTAGTATACATCACCCTCGTAGTCTCTTAAAGCGTACTCGGAGTCTATCTTGGTACTAGTAAACACTGTCCTTTTATGCCCTAGTTAGAGATTTACAACCAGCGCGAATCTAGCGGCGCAGTCAGTATAGTGTAGAGTAGAAAGATAGTAGGCTACTATTTATCTTGCGTCTTTTGCGCTCTAGGAGATGGCTGGGTTTGCTGAATACATGCTTGATTAATTGTAGCTAGAGAGGGAGGGTGTCAGGCCTGCTCAGGCATGTGGCCACATGGGCCACCTCTGACCTGAGGTGAGATGTCGAGAGATGGGATGACGGATTGTGCTGTTCCGGCCACAGGCTCACTATCTGAGTGAGCATTGGATACCTTTTTGGTTGCCTTGGCCAGCTGGGTCGGAGCCCGGTCCTGACAGAGTGGGTGGAAGTAGGCATGTTAACAGCTAGCTGCGCCGGGTTGGGATGACAAGGTAAGATAGTGCTATTTTGGAGGATTGTTAAAAGTGCTTGAAAACGCAATGGTTGGTTGGGGATGCCATTGCTGTTGGGGCTATGGTACGCGTCTACTCTTCTACCATGTTTGATGAGTGGGCCGTTAGGCTGAGGCTTTTGGGGGTAAGGTCGCTGCGGCTTGGATTGCTTGCGAATACGCCCATGAGCCTGGAGGGGTTGGCTTCTAATCAACTGATCAATTTTATTAAGCTTATTAAGCTAACTTGCTGGTTGATAATTTGGGAGGTGAGGCATGCCAGCAGAACTTATCGGAGATAAACCACAGCACTGAGTGCCGGGCTAAGTGTGTGTATCGTAAATCATTACATTAGATTCGTCGGGATATCATACGTTTCTCCGCCATTCCACACATCGTCGACCAAGCAGCTGCAGATCGACAAGCGTCTAAGCGTCTGCGTGCTCAGCGGATGCGACTACCTGCTTTCCCCACCGCCCCGCGATCACGCCCGGCGCGCCCAGGCCCAGTGTCACTCTCGACGCGTTCGTCGACGCGGGAGCGACCTCGCTCGTAGCCTGCTTGCCTACCGTCGACGCCACGCTCAGGGCGCGCATCTCTATCTCCATATCCATCTCCATCTCTACCTCTGCGGCGCGCGCGTGCACAGTACCGCTCGAGCCCCGCTGCTCGACCATGTCGTCGTGCGGCTCCGCGCCCACCAGCCCCGAGACGTGCGCCAGCGCCTCCCAGTCCGCCTGTCCCGTGGTCCGCAGCGCCGGGAACACACTGCCATCCATATGCGCCACGATGCGCGCCACGGCCCGCGCGTCCAGGGTCCGCGTCCACGTCGGGTACCGCAGGATCCAGAGCGCCAGGCACAACAAGCCGAAGACGTGCGCGGCGACGACGGCGGAGAGGATGACCAGGCCCGGCAGGCTGACGGTCGGCTTTGAAACCACGATGCCCGGGGCGGCGTAGATCTCGCGGCCTGTGCTGCGCGACCACGGCAGCAAGCCCGTCGTGTGCGCCGTCAGCGCCGCCTGGTTCGCGAGGGACATGGCCGTGCTGAGCCGCGTCGCGGCCGTCTCGTTCAAGCCCCACCCAACCATATGGTCGCTGTACGTGCTCATCAGGTGCAGCAGACTGCTCGCGCAGATAACTTCGCCGTATGTATCGCCCGGCTTGGCGAACGGCAGCCCGGCGCACAGCGAGGTGAGCAACCCGGGGCGGTCCGCGTACGTCGTCTGCAGCGTTTTCGCGTCCTCGTCGCGCGACGAGGTTAGGTTCGCGAGGCTGTGGGCCCACGAGGTTGCGCCGAAGAGGGCCACGATGGATGTCATCAGCGGGCCGGAGGTGTTGGTGTACGTGCGCGGCGGGTAGGCGAGGGTATTATTAGGTCGGGGTCTGGGGTCGGCTATCGGTGTTGCTCTGCCGCGGCTTGTGTCTCTGTTTGGTGTCAGCTTGTGTCTGCGCTGGTGGGCTGGGCTGGGATCGTTGGCGGGAGGGACGAGGAGGAACGTACTCTTCTGACGGCAGGTAGCCACCCTGATCGTATTGGGACTCACCGATCCATTCGCTTCTCATGTAATCGTGGAACTGATATTCAGCCAGCGAAGAACCGCCGCTCGGCCATTTCTCCAGCAGAGGGCCAAATGCACCTCCGTTGTGGACGTTGCCGAGTTCGAAGTATCCTCTTGTAGTCTGTCCTGTGCAATGAATCACTCCATTCCGGTAATTGTCCCCCGTGATTTTCAGAAATACCTCTTCAGACAGCTCCTGCCTGTTGCGACTCAACGTCCAAGGGTGTCTTCCTAGATCTCCCGGAGCGCAGATGTCGACGGCAGAGATGTTCGCGTCCGAGTTGCCCCAGTCGTAGAGCGCTTTGTACTGAAGGGAAGCTTGGAACGGGTTCCCGCCCGCGCATGTAGCGGGGAACGCGGACATATCGACGCTGGTGCACGAGGCTGTGGAATTGAGGCGCATGATGTGCTCGCGCAGCGCGCCGGTGGTGGTTTTGCTGGGGAGCGCAGCGACGAATTCACCAAGGTCTTCGTACCTAACGGCGGAACCACCGTAAGTGCTTGGATCGTTCCAGATGTAAGGATGACCTTGGCCACCGCTCAGGGTGGCTAGATCGTTCCTCATGCGCGGTAGAATGTAGTGTTGCGGCACGATTGCCATCTGCGCTGGCTCCAGGTCGATGCCGACTTGTGTGTAGCCCAATTCGCTGAACCGGCTGTAGCCAAAGTTGCAACTCCTCATGCCGACGCCGTAGTCGATATATCCAGTGTCCCTGCATGTTGGTATGGTGATCTCCTTCCATGGCGCGAGGAGCTGGTATAGTGGGAACTGAACGGCTCCTGCGATACTCGTCAGCACATCCAAAAACAGCCAGATTGCCAGATGTACCAAGAACCACGAGACCCATGCACGCAATCAGGAGCCAATTCACTCGCGTGTGTCCTGGCTCATTCCACCACAGCATCTTGTGCAGAGTGCCTGGGTTGCACCACGAACGATCCGCGAGGCTGAACAGTTGCCTGGCGCTCAAGTGCTGATCTGCGTGTCTTCTTTGCGCGAACACGACCATAGCTTGCGCGATGATCGACGAGATGATGGGGATAGCGAGTATTGCTGCAACAGCGTTCAATACAGGTATCGCTCTGGCCCACCCTTGCATGACCTTGTAGTCTTCGTACGAGATGCCTGGTGCGTATGTCCATGATGGTTTTGTCAGTGGACGAAAAGAGAGTATAGCGGTGATGATCCACGGTATGAGGACGATTGCGATGTAGAACGCGAGCAGGAAGAATGCGCGTTTGTGAGTGCGCAGAACTGGGCTTGGCTTCTTCGGCCTCAGCGGTGGTGCAGGCGGTTGCACGTGGCGGTTGTGATCTGGATTCATCGTGCCATGCACCTCGAGGAGGTGTCTGCGGTAGTTGCAACTACCGGATTAGGGACATGATGGACTTGTATACTTCCAGCACCGCGTGAACAAGAGCACCGTGCCCCTGTGTACCAAGGCTCTCTGATGTCCATTTGGGATGCCAAGGTGGTGGAGGCCTTAAAATCAATTACATTCATCGCGCTTTGGCGCTGCACCACGCTTAGCCTCGCCGTTTATCCGTCAATAACGATCTGGCGAGCCACAAAGCTGACCGGTGATAACAGGGGTTTGATCGCGTTGACCCAGTTGTGCTGTTGAGGCGCACGAGATGGGCGTGATTCCAGAAACGGCATGCAAATCGTTTTGAATCCCACGTGTACCCTATGGCCGGCTTTTCCCGGCACACCAATGGCTTGAAAGGGTTTGCAACAGCAGGACCTACATCCAGACCTGGAGTCGCGGAGCGCATGGATCTTAGTGCGCTAGTGCTCTTCTACAGAGCAATAGCTCGGAACCACGGAAGCTTACCGGATCCAAGCCTCAATGTCAAGGCTTGCAGACAGCTCGGAGTGACCTCTAATTCCAAGCCGATAGTCACTGAGCCATTGCAATCGCTGCTTTGAGCATACCATTGACCCTCCAGAAAGTCACCGTGCTGTCTGCCAACTCTTTAACCGCACTTGGGCGTTCCGAGCCAGTCGTTGGAAGGCACTGCGTGGTGGACATAGTACTTCTGCAAACCTAACAAGAGATGACCGATCTGCAGATCTACAGATCTGCCGTAGGGTTCCTCGCTCTTCTACGACCGCACAGCCTCAAGCTTTGAGTCCTTGCTAAAGTAACGAGCGATGCGTACATCAGCTCTGTGTACCACTCTAGAGTGATGAATTTTAGGGGTATCTACTGAGTCTTAGCGGAGTGTCTCGTATGCATGATGGTCTTACAAGTATTTCCAACCTTATCACCGCGCGTGCACCGCCAGCATCCCCCTCGCATCTGCCACAGAGCACTGTCAGATGTATGCCTCTAATACCGTCACCTCATCACCGCCCTCTGAACGAACCCGCAAAGCCCCCTCCTAGTCCTCCCAGCGCACCCCTGAAATCCTCCACATACCGCCCCGTGTTCGCGCACTCGCTTACCTCCGCCTTCTCATGTGCCTTAGGCAGCCACTCCCTGATCTTTTCCTCGCGATTGTGATTGCTTGGGTGCGTGCTGAGGATTTGGGGCGGGCCTTCCTGCCCCGACTTCTCCATGCGCGCCCAGAACTCCATCGCCGCTTCGGGGCGGTAGCACGCTTGGGCTGCCATCATAAGGCCGATGTAGTCGGCTTCGGCTTCGTGTTTGCGGCTCGCGGGCATGCTGAGGAAGAGCTGCAGGATCATGTTTGCGGAGTAGAAAGAGACGTCGAGGGCGAGACTGGCCAGGATCGGGATCAGGATCAGGGGGGCTTGGGACATGCGTTCGCTGCGCACAACTTTAGCATGATTTCCATGTATACTCGAAGGGGGGAGGGACGAACGCAGTGTGATGCGCAACCACGTGCGCGATCTCATGCCCCAGCACCGCCGCAATCCCATCCTCATCTCGGCAGTGCGGCAGTATACCCGTGAAGACAAACACCTTCCCGCCCGGTACTACGAACGCATTCATCTCCGGCGAATCAATGACATGCACCTCCCAGCTCATCTCGGCCAGGCCGCTCCCCTCTTGAAACGCAACCGGCAACAAGCGCTCGAGAACCCTCTTAACCATCCTACTCCGCGGATCATCATCATCCAGAAAGCGCCCCGCGTACTGCTGCTTAATCTCCGCGACCGTCGACTCGCCGAGCGCTTCCTCCATCTTGGCCGGGATGAAGTTGAACCGCCGCCGGCCGCTGACGGGGACTTGCTCGAGGTTCAGCACGTAGACTGCGCCGCCGGCGGCGGTTATGACGCCAACATCGCGGTAGAAAGTCGGTTTTGCGGCCCAAGTTGTGAAGAACGAGGATATGCCCGAGCGGGCGGAGAAGCGCTGGTACTGCGGGCCGCGGCGGCCGAATGGGATCTTTTGGTAGGCGCGAAAGTGAGCATGGTTGGTGGAGACTTGGGGGCGGAAGAAGTAACAGGGGATTGTTCGGGGGCGTATACGGTACATTGTGGTGTGGTGTGGTGTGTGGCTATGGGCGTCGTTGTACTGTGATAGGCAGCGTGAGGGTGCCGTCGAACGATGACGTCTTAAGTCCGCGGAGGTGCCAAGATTTGGAGAAGCTGCATGGGACATGTCAAGCTGACATGTCAAAATGAACAGTAAGGTATAGTGTATCGTTCGTATTATTGTCTGACTACTGTACAATGATTAAATCTACTCTTGCCATACCAATTGTTTCATGCTACAGTGCGCCAAAGTCCGACCCAAACTGGCGATCCAAGCCATAAGTTCCACGTCGTGTATGAATACTCCATGCGCCGCTTCGAAATGCTATGCCCATATCATACGCCAAATTGTGCTGGTTTGAAACATTCAAGTCGTTGCTCCATGCTTGACCGTCTCGCCATCTCGTCATTTGCAGAAGACAACCGCTCTACATTGTCCTCCTGACTGGCTTCCTCCTCCTTTTCGGTGGTGTGTCCACATCCATACTCGTGCTTAAGCTGCTTCGTTCGCTCCTGGGCGTCGAATATCGCTCGATGATGCTTTTCTTGAGAACCTTCTTCGTCTTGTTTTGCTTTAGCTCACGCTCTTCCTCAGGGTCCACGAAACGGTTGACGGTACGATGATCGGTGACGCGCTCCTCTTTGTCGTGCTTCCCATCCTTCTCAGTCTTGGGCCACCTGAACCCGTACAACTTCGAGTGGCGTTCGCAGCGGGGGCACTCTTTGCGCGTGTTGTAGCCATCCGCCTGCACGAACGTGTCGTCGCATGTCTGGCATTCGACCCATTTGCTGTACTTGGCCGACAGGCAGGCACCACTTGTCATGTAGTCGCCGGGCTTGCGCTTGTTCTTCACCCAACCCTCAGGAACCTCATCTTCTGTGATCTCAATGGGTGTACCGATGCGGTTCTGGTAGTCGATGTTAGATTTTGAACGTGTTGTGCGCAGTGTTGGGCGCCATTTGCGCTTGACGATTTGCTCATGCTCGCTGTCAAACTCAAGGCTGTCTGATAGCTCGCTGAGTTCTGAGGAACTGTCGTCGTCGGGGAAAAGAAGAGAGGGCAACGGGGCGTTTACCGTTGTTGTTGTGGTTTGCGTCATGAGCGTAGCCACGCCCAAAGTAGGGTTCTCGTGTAGTATCTCGGACTCGATCTTGATTTTTGGAAGGCTTTCCAGCGAGAGATCGTCATCGACGGAGGTTGCATCGGTGGAGTGCGCCGACTTTGGCGAATGCGCAAGCGACTGCGGGCTTGTGTCGCGGGATGAGCTGTTTTCATCCATGCTAACGGTGAGTGGTGTGAGAAGACCGTCGCGCTGTAGGTTGCGGATGTCGCGTGCTTTTGTTGGAGATGTGGATTCCGAGTTTTCGATACTGCTGACGGGGAGCGATGAGATGCTGTGCGCCTTTCTAAGGGTCGCCTCTCGCAGGTGTTCTGAAGCGCGCGATTTCTCTGGTGACCTCTTGATGAATCGACCCTTCTTTCGCAGCGTAGGCTCCTCAGACTCTGACTTGCGCTTCTTGCCCTGCTCTTCTATGGCTTCTTCTTCTTCTTCCTCTTCTTCCTCCTCGTCATCACTCTCTTCTATCCGCTTCATTGGCGCCCAGCCATTGACCCCCCTTTGCTCGCATGTCTTGCACAAGCACTCGACGTTGTCTTCGCCAAAGTAATCCTCCCCGTACGATACTGTGATCTCGTCGCCCGCCAAAATGGGCTTTGCCGCGACAATCTGCATGCCGTCGTAGCCCTTGGTCGACAGTCTTGCATTTGCGTCGCAGTCATGATTGGCAAAGCGCGCGGGTCCCAGGAACAGCGAGCGCGTCTTCTTTCTACTCGAAATGACCAGACTGAAGTCCTTGCGCGCCAACTCTAGCTTTTGCTCCTGTTCTTCAGTCATCGCAACCTGAACACCGGTCAGGTACTTGATCTCCTCGCGCGGGCTGATGTCCCTTCGTGCGGTGATGGAGGCTTCGTGCTCGGTGATCATGTAGCGGTTGGTGGTGGTGACTTCAAAGGGGCAATCCGGCATGTAAATGTTGACGTATCTCCTGAGATGTCGCTTGAACTGCTCCTGGTCCTTCTCGTCCTTCATGCTGGCCATGAACTTGCGCAGGCCAGGCAACTTCAGCAGCTCCTGGACAGCCTCGGCGGGTTCTTTGTCCCAGATGGCGTGCTGGCGGATGCGGTCGGCAATGTCCTCCTCGTGCATGCCCCGAGACGCAGCGAAGCGTCCGCCATGGTTCTTGCGGATAGTGGTCCAGTAGTAGACCTGGTGCGCCTAGCTTAGCCCAGTTGCTCTCCACGCTCTCGGCGACCGAGTTGTCGCACTCCCGCTAGGTTGCGACTCACCTTGTCAACCATCGCATCCGTAATCACGTCGTCGTACGATGCCAGTTTCTCCAGCGTAAGTCCGCCCCGGACTCCCCCAAGTTGGCGTGGCATGGTGCGCGAAAGGCCGCAACGAAGGGACACTGCGTTTGTCACAGAAGCTGACTGCGCGCTCCAAGCTAGCAGGAAGTGACGGCGCGAAAGGGGGTGGTTGGGGTGACGTCGAGCAGCCAATAAGCCAAGTTTCACCCGGAAGGAGCGACGGCGACAATAGGACAAGACGCGCAAGAATGAAAGTCAACAGCAGCACGGGCAGGACAAAGGCTCCGCGAGAAGGAGAGGAAGGAGCGGAGGCTGCGCACAAAGGCAGCGAGGACCGAGATAGCGCACAATAAGGGTTGGACCACAGGACTGGGCTGAGTTGGGGCCGTATGCGGACCCCGGCAGTTTGGCGCGAGTGAAGGGTGCAAGCGGGCGCTGCAGGGCTGGGCGGGAATCTCCGGCGCGCTCGACGACGTCCGATGAAGATTGTACCGGCGCGACACCGACGACGGCAAACAGCAGCAATCGCCGCGAGCCTGCACTTCCGACGCCCTGAGCACCTTTGGCCGAGCGCACACAGCCATCCACGATGATCCAGCTGAAGGTACGACGCCGCCGCCCGCGCTGCAGCCGCTGCGACAGGAACTGATGCGCCGCTTCTAGACCCTTGTCAACTGCATCGACAACTCGGGCGCCGCCATCGTCGAGTGTGTCAACGTCCTGCGATCGAAGCGCCCGGCGAAAGTCGGTATGTACAGACATCTATCAGGGGTCCTCGCGCACACAACGGCTGACGATCCCCAGGCGACCGCATCGTCGTGGTCGTCAAGAAGCAGCGCAACTTCGGCCCTGAGACGGGCAACAGCGTGTCCGTCAGCGCTGCGAACAAAGTCCGGAGAGGAGACGTCCGCCACGCCGTCGTGGTGCGCACAGCGAAGAAGTGGCAGCGGCCGGACGGCAGCGTGGTCAAGTTCGACGACAACGCCTGCGTGCTGATCAATAAAGCCGGTGAGCCCATCGGGTCGAGAGTCAGCGGCGTCGTGGCTGCAGAGCTGAGGCAGAAGGAGTGGTCGAAGATCTTGTCGTTGGCGCCCATGCACGTCTGAGCAGTGATGAATGGCACGGAGAACAAGAGGGGCTGCATTTTTAGGAGTACACGGAGCGCAGCGACACTGTAAAATATGTGTATGCCATTGTATAAATACCCACGGGTATCAGAAGACTAGTTTTCCAGGACTCCACGCCGTATGTAAAAGTTCAAACGCCGGCCAAATGCCCATCATTATGCATCGTTCATGTCGTGTGCGTGACTTTACCACAGCCGCAGCAGACGTAGTAGAGGGCCTGGTCTTGTCAGGGATGCCTTCAGTGGGAGCAAAAGAGCTTCTTACCATGCCCGTGTCCGCGGTTCGCTGTTGCGACTGAAAGAAGACAGCCTCGTTCTCGCCGCAAGAGCACTGCTTCTGGACGCGTGGTAGCTGGCCGCAACTGTTAGCGAGCAGGTTCAAAAGAATCAGGCAAGCAACAGAGGGGTATGCTCATGACAGAACGTCCTCCATGTCCTCGTCGTTGAAGAAGTCATCATCATACAACTCATAGTCATGGTCCAGGTAGTACTGCGGCTCAACGTGCGACGGCTCGTCCTCGGCCTCAAGCATGAAGCCTGGAGCCCAGTCCTCACCGCACACGTTGCACATGATGTCCTGCCCGCACATGGTGCAGCAGGTGACTTCTTTCTCTTTGTCTTGGGGAACAGCGTCACGGGAAGAGGGGTCGGAGGCACCAACCGTAGGATCTTGCGCAACCTCTGCTGTGACACCAGCCGTCGCTCCGACAGTCGACGCGATTTCGTGCCTCATGACGCAGGATGAGGGCGCCTCTTCGGTGAAGGAACATGTTCTGCAGGCGAACAGTAGCTTGTTCTCGGTCTTATCTTCGCGGGGAAACAGCAAGTTTGAGCTGCGCAAGTTAGCGCTCGTGTGCGAGTAGAATGTGCAACCGGTACTTACCACTCAGAGCAGAAGCGGAAGAGAATCTGCTTGTTGGGATCCTGGACAGGCTCTTGGCTCTCGTAGTCTGCTGCGGGGGACGACATGGCGGTGTGGTTTGCGGTGTGATGTTTGGACGTGGCGAGCTCAAGTACACGTCAAGAGCTGATTCGCGGGAGTGTGTGAGGGTTCGTGGTGTTGAGTGCTATGGTGTGGCGCGTCGTGAGTCTTGCTTATCGATGGTGAATGTGAATAAGCTTGGCGAGTCGCACGGCGGCGCAAACGCTGGTTCACCGTTCGCGAGCGGGTAAGTTACTATAGTAACCTCGCGCAACCAAGCCCAGCCCAGCGTGCCTCAGCCACTCAGCTGTTCCCCGCAGCCTGCCTTGCGCCGATCCATTGAGCAACCTCACCTACAAACTCAGCTCTCTGCGTACCCCACTTTACCCTGGCACCTTTTCCGTTGCCTCATTCAATACGCACAACCTCGATTGTCATAATGGTAAGCTATAGCTCTGCTTACATGCACCAATTACCGAGCGCGCGCCTGACACCGCGCGCAGTCGTCCAGCGAAACAGGACTGCCCGAGGGCTGGGAGATTCGCCGCTCCAACAGCAAGAACCTCCCGTACTACTTCCATGCCGCGACCAAGGATTCACGATGGGAGCCTCCTGCGGGCACTGATCCGGAGAAGCTGAAGCAGTACATGGCAGCTCACCACAGCTCCAAGGGCGTTGCACCGGCCAACTATGCCAACTCGGGCGACAAGATCAGGGCGGCGCATCTTCTTGTGAAGCACAGGGACAGCAGACGTCCTGCCAGCTGGAGAGAACCCAATATCACGAGGTCCAAGGAGGAGGCGCGCGCGCTCATCGAGGGCTACGAGGCTCAGATCCAGGCATATGAGGGCACTACGACAGACAGTGGCGCTGAGCCCAAGTCGCTTTCGGAGCTGGCCACAACTGAGTCGGACTGTAGCAGCGCACGGAAGGGTGGCGACCTGTGAGTGCCGCGATAGCCAGGTGGGACGGTTGAATGCTGACACTCAACAGGGGCTTCTTCGGCCGCGGTGATATGCAAAAGGAGTTCGAAGAGGCATCTTTTGCGCTAGAGAAGGGACAAGTGAGCAAGGTTGTTGAGACTGCGTCTGGGCTGCACTTGATCCAGAGGTTTGCCCTGCACCGTCCGTCCAACGATTCAACGCTAACTTATCGCAATCAGATTAGAGTAGGTTGCACAGGATTTGCAGCTTAGGGCCATATCGAAGGCATGGATGGTGAGATGAGCGACACGCGTAACGAACGCAGGGTGTTGAGAAGCGTCGCTTGACTGTGCAGCACAGCATAGGAACGTGGTTTAGACCCCGGCCACGCCGATGATGCCCAACAATCAACAACTGAACCGATGCTGTGCGGATAGGTTGCAACTTGCCATAGCCAGCTGCAGCACAATGCAGACAACGTCTTCAGCTTAGTTTGCTCTCAGCGTTTCACTGACCACCTCGATTGGCGGGCCTCAAAGACCGGAGGCCCCTCACGCCCCATAATATGCTGCCAACAAGCAAACGCAGACGCATTCGGCAATCAAATTGTGATGCCCAAACCCCAGAATGCGGGGAGAGTGGTCGAGGCTTGACAGCAAAACCTACTCCGCTGGTGTACCAACAGCCTGTCACCTATGATCGCGCATCATCATCCTGTGTGACAGCCTGACAGGGACCGAATGCCGAACTTGGGCACTCCACACATCTGACTTTGTAGACGAACGTCTGGATTGTCTCATCGTCTGCGTGCTTGTGGCACCTATATGACGGATCGTGCGGCCGCTTCTTGAAACTGCGTACCTTGTCCGCATCAAACCGCATTTCAAAACGCATGAGAACACGACAGTGTGCGTGCCTTTACACGACCTCGCGACACGTTCGCTGAAAGCCTCCAGGGCGAAGCTTGACTCGGCAACCTATCCGGCCGAACCGCAGCATTAATTCTTTCCGCTTTCGGCGTGCCGAAGTCTGGTTGGCCTCCAGCATCATCAAGGCGCTCCGGCTCTTTCCGACCGTGCAAGAGCAACCTTCCAAAAGCTGACATAGTGGGTGAGTCCTGCCGTCCCAATTTCCCGAATTGGCGCATCCTGCAGAGCGGCAGGCAAACGACTCATCGCTGCGCCTGTATAAGCAGACCGCTGCGCTACCTGGTTCGGGGTACGCTTGCAGTCGCAGATGCTGTGCCATCTTGGAGCCCGCAGCAAGGTGCCGCTGCACGCGCAGAGGCAGGTTGAGCGCCGTTGAGCCGGGCATCACGGCCGCATAGTTGGGCTCCAGGTGTCATCCCTGCACCTGCGACATTGGATGTCCGCCTCAACTTCTTGCTTTGACGCGCGTGTGGACGCACACGGCGATCCTCTGAAAGATTCTAACTCTCCGTAGACTCGGGCCTTCCCTTGGCAGCACCGCCACCTTTCACTTTCCAGGGCGAGAACAGTACTTCAGTGCTCCTTCCCATGTTCACGTTCCCGTTGTACGTCACTCGAACGGCAATCTAGTCAAATCCCCATACCCACACGTAACGCCGTACCCACCCCCAAGCCCTACTCCACACATTCCTTTTACTTCGCTTTCTCGGCCGCCTAGGCTCGATCGACACTACAACCGCGCTCCCTCACCTTGCAGAGCTCCGCCCACATCCCTCATACCCCACTCGCATACTTGTCTAGAAATTTCCGCCCTCGCGGATACAAATAAACACCTCACCCTCCTGTCTCACCACAAGGATCCTCTGCCGGGTCGGTGCACTAGCTTAAAACTCACCACGACCGCGACCTCAACGCTCTCTCGACCGGCTGTTTACCTTCAGGCACACAACATCTCCCCTTCACTATGGCTTCCATACCTTCTGCCAACCACTTTCACGACCCCAGGTCATCCCGCCCTCACAGTCGTCGTAACTCTACGCGACGGAGCTTTGCGTCCTCTCTCTCTCGGTCGAGCTCCTACCTCGATTCACCAAGGACACCCTGCCCTAAAGATGGCGACGCCTTTGCATACAACCCATCTCATCTGGACTACTGGTACTGCCCTCAATCCACCTGGGATCGTCTCCCAAGCTCTGTACAGAAGAGCCTCGCTGCTGTCCAGCATGCTGGCGCGTCAGCCTTGACTGGTATGTTAACTACTATCATTGTATAACCATCGACGGGTTGCGCCATTGGCTACATTTGTCCGCGATATCCACCCTTGTCAGGACGCATGTGTTATGTGCATATTGAACTAACCCTTTCAGGCTTTGAACGTCTCCGAGAGCACAGTGGGTCCAATGATGGCTCCCGCACTGACCAAAGGGCTCTGGAAGACGAGGTCCTGGTGGATCTCGACGACCTTCGCCCGCAGAAGTTCCGGACTGCCAGCAACGCTAGCAGCGTCTTCTTGTCAGATATTTCCTCTCCTACCTATAGCGGAACACCAGCATCGGACTCTGGCTCCGCCTCTCCCGTCCCGTCAACATTCTCGCTGTCTCAGTCCGCCACTACGCCCGCTTCTATCTCCCTTGGTCCACCAGAGCTTGAGGCAAAGCGCCCCTCAACACGCGAGCGCTCTTTCTCTACCCCTCTAGACCCACAGGACGCAAAGTATGCCTCAGAATTGTCGTATCTCCGCACGGAAGCCGTGCCCCGCCTTCGTCACGCCGGCCACAAGGTCGATACCGAATGGTATGAGGCCAAGCGCACGGGTTTCGTCGCTGCCGAGGATGTACAGGCCTTCGAGGGCTGGTGGACCGCAACGAAGTGCAGCATCTTGAAATTGAGCGAAAAGAGTAAGCGCATGGCTGAAGCCAATGGCGTAACCTCCAACGGCATGGGCTGGACTGCTCCGTAGTCGCTAGTGAGGTGGGTTCCCCATCGCCTAGTCATTTGGAGCAGTTCGCTGAGATTCTCAGTCTCTCCGTTGTGGAGGCCTTGGCCTTTTCTTACGTTTTGATCAGATTGACACAATTTCCTACTTCTCTTCCTCTCCACCTAGGGTATCTATTTCTCGAGCGAGGAGTTGGTTCCGGTACATCTACCGGAGGTGATGCATTTACACGCACATGGACTTCATTGATCTACCTTGGAGACGGAACTGGCGTCTATGGGTTGTCACAAACACTCCACTTCTGTCGAAGTTCGGTAGCGCTAAGAGCGCTTTCACGAACAACCTACTTTCCTCTTCCACAGCATCACGGCGGCCAACAAGAGCCCAGCCTTGGACGACACGCTCGTCAAGATAGCGAATATCATGATTACGACTCATTCCTCCGTTCACAGTGTGACGTGAAACTGCTCTCAGTACCTCTGGCGCTGAACTCTCGCGGGGAGATTTTGATTTTGTCCATCTCATCTAGGAGGCTGATTGCCTGTCGGGATTGCCATACCGTAACATGGTGGCTCCTGGCAGTAGAGATGCGAAAATGATCTCGAACAGCGCCCGAATGACGGACCCACGGTTTTGCGGAGGCTCCCGAATGAGCCGGGGTCGCCCCTGCGAGGCATGGACTTACACATATGCAACTGTTTTAGAACCTGCAGCCACGTTGTGTCAATGTGTCAATTCGGAGACTTGCGTCCGCGGAACACAGCCACAATGACTATCTTTGTGTTCCAGATGTGGATAGTGGACAGGGGGATTAGCGAATTACGCCCCAATGACTATATTTGCGCTTATTCTGACGTCAAAAACGCTGGAACACTGTACTGATCGAAGATTCAGGAAGCTCAGTTACAAATTGCAGATATCATGGGACAGACTAACTTCGATCACACCCGAATACTCCAGCTTATCGTGGGGCCTCAATAGTCTTCATCGTCGTCTGTTTCAGCGCGCGCCTGCCTCCCCGCGGTGCGCCATTTGCGTACCCCACCATTCCTCCCTGCTAGGCTGATGCGGTTCCACGGTGAAGTACTACCCTTCTCCCCATCGCCGCGTTCTAAGGAAGTTTCAGCCAGACGCAAACCAAACACACTAACGATGCACGACTTACTCGGCACGTTGTACATCCCTGGCTCTTCACCTCCATCACTGCGAAAGCCTCTTATGGCTGACTGCCTCCTCGGACCAAGGCTGACGTCGGTTTCGTCGAATTCGAAATCCCAATTTCTCCGAGGGCGGCCGCCCCCCATGCCCCCTTTCTTGCTGTCGCGACTGCGATTTGACGCGCTCGGTTCACTGTCAGAGTCCGGGTCTCGTCGCAGACCGAATCTCGGTCTGCGTTTCGGCAGCATAGAATCTGAGCCCCTTCCCTTGCTGCGCATGGCACTTGGCCGTGCATAAGGATTGAGCGGGCTTGCACCTCCCAGGCCCTCACGATCCTTGTCAAATTCGGTATGCTCAGATCGCATCCGCATTCCAGCCTTCGGTGGCATTCGCGCATGCCGTGGATTACGCGTGGTCATAGGATCGTACATGCCTTGCAGTTTCCCCGTGGCGTTCATTCCTCCCACGCGGCCCATGCCGTACGGATCGTGCATTTCCATCATCTGCTTCGTCATCTTGGGATAGTTTCCTGGTGTTCCAGAGCCATACCCGCCGAATGGCGTTGATCCATATGGATCTCCTTGCTTTACAGCTGTAGCCTGTTTGATCTTGTCAAGCTCAACTTGCAAGTCATCGAGCATGTCAGCTTTTCCCGCTCTGTTCGCTTTTTTCTTATCTCTCCTTTTGCTCTTTTTCGACCTTGAAGTCTCCGTGTCGCAACTGCTCGAACTACAGCTTGAGCTCGAGCCTGTCTTCTTCTTGCATCCAGAGTGATCACCGCAGTCTTTGCCAATATCGTCTTTCAGCACATATCGAGTATTCAGCTTGGCTCGCACTGGGACTTCTTCGCCGCCGATCTTGGCCATGCCCTCGTACCACTTGACAGCGCGCTCGCCCTTTCGACACTTGCAGTTCGTCGTGCAAATGCATGTATCAATTCCATCACCCCAACCCTCGTTGTGGTCTTTCGTCAGTGTCGCAGGTGAAGTCTTCGATCTTGTGAGCGAGTTACTCAATCCACCTCCCGCACTAGTGCTCTTCTGTATTGCTTCGTCAACGGCTGCCTGAATTGCAGAGGGCAAGTGTCTGGAACGAGACTTCGAGCTCGACGATGATGAAGTTGTACTCGGTGGCGGTGGCCGGGGCGGATGAGGCGCAAACGCATTGGCGTCGCGTGAGCCGCCCATGCCATGGGGATACCCAGGCATAGACTCGTGCGATGCGTATTGCAGCAGCACCGATGGATGTGGTGACATATTAGGGCCTTGAGGGTACACGCCTGGATACATCCCCGGATGCATCCCGGGATGTGGCATCATCCCGTTTGCACCCGTCTCCTCCATATCGGGGTATATCCCCGGATGTCCCTGTCCGCCTCTGAGCCCTGCATACCCAGTTGGTGCACTGCTAGGCCGCGGGTCGTTGTCATATGGCCCCTGCATTCCTCTCCTTCCTAGTCCTCGCATGTCCTGCATCTTTCTCTCCATCTTCCTCACAGGCACCTCGCCTAAGTCGGTACTCTCGCTTTCCCCCTCGTACTCGCGGATCCGTACGTCTGGCTCCACGTGTCCGTGGCACTTCCTTCGTGATCTGGCGCCGACCCTGCTGTACACCGGTCCTCCAGGTGCACCTTGGCAGGTGGCTCCTTGTTGGTGGTTGCAGTTCGTGTGAGGTGGATGGTAGCCTGGTGTTGGTGGTGGACACGCGTATAGACTGGTGCCGTAGGGGACAAGGACGTCGTTTCCAGGCGCGTTGATTGAGACAAGGGGCGGTGGGGTGGACGGCGTGTTGCCCATCGCTTACGCGCGGTGAACAATGCACGGTAAAAGGCTAAGATATATACCCCTCAAGAAGATCGACAGCTAGGTACGCACAGCCAGGTTCTGATTATGTAGACAGAGCTTCGCAGCAGAATGTGTATCAGAAGATACAGGATGTTGGGAACTGCGCAGCGTCCGGTCGGCCAGCAAGCCCTGGACTTGGATGGGATGGGGCGGCGTGCTGACACTTTGTTTGCTCGACGATAACGTGTGTTGCACGGCGTTAGGGGTAAGACCCGATGTGTGTGCGCTGGCAGCACACATGAGTGTACGACATGATCACGAGTACTGTGTGGTTCCGAAGGGGCGCTTGCTCGTTTGCAAGTCCTTGAGACTGCTCGGGCTCTGCGATTGTTCGCCGTTTCGAATTCATGAATTTGCTTTGTGGCGATCGTTTGTAGGATATTTCAGAGAAGCCATCATCGACCGAAAGCTCTGTTTTTTTGCCATCCAAAAGCTCAGACCGAGCTAGTGTCGAGTCCTTATAATGCGTTGTTTGCAGGAATTGCTTGAAAGAGTATGTAGTACAGTGGTGCTACCACTCTTGCTTGTGTGTTTGTCTCTGCGTGCTGCTTTTCATTGACTGAGCTGCAGTGGCAAACCCCGATCCCACAAAAGAATTGTCTATGCCGATTCTTGAAGGTTTAAAAAAAAGTCAGGATTGATCGCACTCAATTTCATCTGCAACCAAATGGGAAATAACATTACGGCTTTGCAGTTGCAAATAGTCGTCAACTTCTAGGAAGTACAAACATCAAACCTTCTGAACGACCATGAGTCACAGACAGTCATCCTTCTCGTCCAGCCTGTATCTCACGGTCATAACTGACTTCTTGCTGAACGCCTCCTCTCGTAGCAATCGCTGGGTCTCATAATTAAATCCATACAGTAGCGTTGGCCGAGCGCTCTCCTTCCACACTGGTAGCCGCAGTCGCGTGGACTCGACGATGACCAGAACGACTTATATCAGCCCTGCGGTAAGCATTGTAGCGTAAAATACACCTACCGCGCTTTCAGCCAGATAAAGAAGCGTGTCCCGCCCCAAGGTCCTTTAGCGGTCTCGTCGAACCTCTCAAACGGAAGGAGACTGTCAGCCCTTCTATGTGGCCAACTCCACTTCTGCTGACCAACACAAGCGCTTAAAGCAAAAGCGAGTGTTACCCGTGCAAGAGTGCCGAGTGCAGATATGACTGTGTTCAATGACACAGCAAGTGGCCAACGATCCAGCGACTTGTCGTCTTCCGATAGAGCACACCGACGATGACGATCATTGAGCCGATATTCAGTAGCATTACTCCAATCTCTAGGTACAATGAAGTGAAGTTTGCACGGAGAGGTACAGATGACGTAGCCTTTGAGGGCTCCTTCGGGGACCCGGAGTCAATGTGACTGGGTTTATGCGCAGTAGATGAGACCGAAGAGCACGGGTAACTGATATCAGATCCGGGCGTTTCTGGTACTAGAAGATCATAGCCATTGTGTTGTGTGCCTTATGTATGTACTGTATTGAATATCAATGTCGAAGCATCGGAGAGATCACTCTGCGAAGGTGGCAGCAATGGACTGACTTTAGAAGCCATTTTGTTGGAAAGCGAGCGAAGTACCTGACTAGCAGAGTGCTAAGCAATGGATGTCATCTTGTAGGGAAGGAACAGTGCTCATGCTTGCAGCTTGGACTTCACGTTGCACAGGCTGTGTAGAATCTGACCATTAGGAGGAACCAATTACAGATAAGCGTAGTTCAAATTTTCAGTCTTTAATTGGTATGAACACGCCATGTATGCACTGTGGTCAGCTTCGTGCCTACACTGCCTAGTAACGTTATGGAAAATCAACCCACGTCTGTGGATAAAATCGCGACGCGAACATGGACGTCGCGTAGGCTTCGAGCTGAACTGCTCATAGTAGGGTGCACCATGTAAGAACTTATGAAGATATGTTATTATCATTGATTGTTGTAAGTTGTTCTGATGCTGGTGTCGCACGCTCTAGCTATGATGACTGGATTACGGTATGCATTGCATTGAGGCGGGGCATGAGTGTGCTTGGCTGCAGGAAGATGCGTCTCAGCTCAGCCGCCACTGTGCTCCTCAGACTACAATATATTTTCGACAACATCGATTCTTTGGTAACCCTAGGCTGTACACTTGGCATGCCGTGTGATCGTCTGATGCAAGACCATTCGCGATATGGGTCAAACATTTGCAGACTGGATGTGATAATGGATTCTCGATGCACAGTATGACAGCATCAGTGGACGCACTCGAGCATTGGCTGAAATTCATCTTTTATCTCAGGCGTTAGGTACAAGCCCAATGTCTGGCTCTGTGTTGCGCTTGCAATACCAGTATGCAACGCGGTTTCTACCTCGAACGTCTGACATCTCTCTCAGCGATCAAGCGCAAACAGTCATCCTTCTCATCAGGTGCGAATCTGACTATCTTCGTCCCAGCTTGAGGGCCTGATTTTTGCGACTGGGCTTCTCTGAGTAGACTCTGCGTTTCGTTGTCCAGACCATACAATAAGCTCGGCAAGGCTGCCTCCTTCCACACAGGAATGTGTAGTCTCGTCGACTCAACAATCGTGAGGAAGACGTAGAGTATCCCAAGAGTGATCATTGCGATCGGGAAGGCTAAGTAAGGCCACTGAACTCTAACGTGGATCACCCACTTGAGGGTGTCGCCTGATGCTTCGTGATAGCGTGGACTGTCTATAGCGGTATTGCGTATCTGGTTCGTCAGGCTGAGAGCGACGTTGTCGAAAGTTTGGGTCAGGTTGCCTGAGTCCCATAGCGCGTTGACCAGGGGCGACTCGCCTCCATCCCATTCAGGATAGACCATCTGGTCAGTACTCCTTACACCAGAAGTACGGGCAGTGAGCGTCTTGAGAAAGTCGGTCATGGATATGATGTATGCGTAGGAGATGTTAAACGATCGAGTAAAGGACATGACGTCTGGAGATTCTTCTTCTGGTATGTCAAGCCGTAGGTCAGTCCTTTGGAGAACAGTATCGTAAAGCATGTTGCCTACATGTTCAGCGAGGTAGGCTTCTACAGCAGCTTTCTCCCCGGTGACGTCGACAGTTCCTGAGTTTTGATCGACTTGATAGGAATTTGGGTCTCTGTTGGACCACGAGCCTATGACGGTCTCTACGAGTTTGCCGTTTCGCGTTTCTGCTTTGTACATGTTTGCACAGAAGTATAAAGCACACTCAGTGGCAGTAGGTTTCGATGCGTTCCAAGCCACTTTTCCTCCAAGCCAGTCGTTGCCCGCCTTCATGATGGTGAAGGAAGCTATCATCGTTGACAAGTTTCTGAAGCGTATCGTGTCTCGCGCATCATAGGAAATGTTCGTCGTAAGCAAGGTTGGCTGGATCCCACCTTTGCTACCTGAATCAGGGTCGTATCTCGCTGTGTCATCGTTTGACAGGTTGGCATTCTGAAGCGTGAAAGCAGTGTATCTCGATGGTCCATATACCTGATTGAATGGGCCCGGGATGCTGGACCCGCCAGTCCCTGTTCTTTGGTCAAGAGTAATACGAGTGGACACATCGTTGCAAGAGCTGCAGATTGCTGCGGAGGTATAACGAGGCCAGGTGCAGTTGCCAGTCGTGCAGACACTGTTAACGACCTCTGCGGTGCGGTACGATGACGTGACAGGGTCCCGTGTGGTGCTATTACGGAAGCCATTATATATCGCACTGATCATGCCGAAATCAGGTTGCACCGTGAACCCCCCCATTTTGGTAAGCAGCCCCACAGATGTATTAAAGAAAGACAGACCGCCTTGAGTTGTTAACTCCAAAATAGGTCCTGTGTCGACAAGCAGAGCTTGAGGAAGTCTTGCTGGGTACTCAGCGAGCTGATCAACATCTAACCCCCCAGCGGTAGTCAGCACGGCTTGAAGAAACGGGTCGAAGGCGACGGTGCCAACGATTACTAAAGCTCCAAGTGCTGCCCAGTGCCTAATCCGGAATCAATGCAAATCAACAAAAGGTTTTTGGGTAACCCACCTGAGTCGCAACCAGACAAAAAGACGTGTTGCACCCCAAGGACCACGGCTAGCTTCATCAAATCGTGTCCATGCAACCAGGTGATCAGGTCTAACTCGGAGCCAATTCCACTTCTGTTGTCCGATACAAGCACTCAGTGCGAACGCCAGGGTGGTTCTCGCCAGCGCGCCTAGGATGGCAATCACTGCGTTGAGTGGAACTACTAGTGACCATTCCGATATGGGCTTCCCATCTTCTCGTCGAAGCACTGCAAAAATCGCCAGAAGTGATCCAACACTGACCACTACAGCAACGAGCTCAGGCAGCCACGACATCATTGTCGATCGGACCACTGGTTTCATTGCGCCTGAGCTGTGTGTCTTCAAAGGATAGTTGTACTGGGACGTCAGCGACATCGCGGAATTAGTCGCGGTCTTTGATGTTGCGTCCAAAAGTGTCTGGCTATGACAGTGCGTATATCCACGGTCCTCGATGGACAATACTCTCGTATTTGGCATCGATGTGAGCGGCTCGTTCCCCTCCCGCTCGCTACCATACACATTCCTCAGCTCGTAGTCGCTAGCATCTTGCCCATGCGGGGCACTTCGTGGATCTCCCGCAGACAGTGCAGGTACTGGCGTGTATTGGGATGCCATTTTGAAAGGTATCAGGCCGGCGGCCGATCACATCTGACGTATTTACTGGACGGCGTTAGAGATCTCAGACTCCATGCGCAGGAATGCCCTTTTAATAGGTAGTCATAGTCAGCTCAGGCGTCCGTTGATCGTCAAAATGCATTTGTGGCGCCACCGGCGGCTGCGTAGCGTTTCGGGTGGGGGCCAAAATAACGAACAACATGAACCATACAAAGCAGGTCAATTCCTACCAATCACAAATGTTTATTCGAAAACAAGAATTGACGTGCTTCCCTTCTGCAGTCACTTCTCAAGTAATTGCGCCTAGCATGCTGGTTGTCTCTAACAAAATTTCAAAGCCGCTCAGGAAAACGAAAGCACCCAGAACGCCACATAATTCATGGAATTTCGGCCTTTATACGCCCATCGTGAAGTCGTGTTCGATGCCGGGCGTTACACTGCCGATCGCGTTAGTATGGGAGCATAGCCACACGGAGATGTTCTACTGACCTGGCCATGAATTTCAAGAAGACAACAAGGTACTGATCCACCCGGATCGCGACTTCGTCATCCTGCTCCTCTAGTACTTCCCAGTCGTCCTTGGCTTCATCGCTGCCCTTGCTCTTTGCTTGCTCGGTGAGCTTGAGAAGCCTGGTGTCATCCACAAGAGCCTCCATACCGCTGTCGAGCTTGCTGACGTCCTTGCCTGCCTTGAGCTTTGCAAGTCGTAGCTTCAGAGCAGCATCGGCCCGGTCGAGTAGCACCTTCATTACTGAAGCGTGCTTGCAAGGGTGCACTGAAGCAGTCTTGAGGGCGTGCTCGAAGAAGGGAAAGTCTTCGATTGTGACTGTCTTGTCCTTGTAGTCGCCCACGATGTCCTCCATCATCTCTTGTGGCTTGAGTGGTACGGACGTCGAACTGTAGCCGGAGAGGTAAAGACGCGGAGTTCGGTAATGCGCGGAGTATGTGATGTAGAGGGTGTACGTTCGTAGAGGACTGGACTTTGTCAGCGGTAATCCAGCAGATAGCATTACTTTACTGAGAGAGCTTACGCTTGCGTGTTTGAACCAGCCTGTGGATCTCTTATGATCGCCTCTTCGTCGTCTTCATCGTCCTCCATGTCTGGGATCTCGTCCTCCTCCTCTGCCGCGCCAAGATTGCCACTCTCATCGACGGTCCTAACATCGCGCACCTTGGCTTCCTGGCTTGCCGCCATGCCGCCCGTCCTCAGCCAGCCATCATCATCTGTGCCACCTTCGCCAGCTGTGAAGCCATCGCCAACTATTGTCTCGTCTTGTCCGGCTTCTCCAGCGAAGTTGTCGTCTAAACGACGGTGACATGGGACGCCACGAGTGACGAGGAACTGCTTTCCCTCTGGCAAATATGAAACGCGCTTAGCTGGTGACGAAGCGTCTGCCCACTGCCATGAAGGAAATTTGAAGACCAGGAAGTCTCCTGCAAGGACGAACTCCTCTGGTGTAATCTGCCCAGTCTCGCGGAATGTGGAGGTGTGGCTGATGGCGGCAGTCCGCTCCCGGAACGTGTCTATGTATGAACGCACAAAGTTGTACGCCATAGTGTCGTCTGTTTGGTGATAGTGTAGATTTGTGGATGTTGATAGTGTAGATTTGTGGATGTTGATAGTGTAGGTTGTTGTTGTAGGGCCTCTGTGCTATTGCGGTGTGCGCGGGCGGTGAATAGAGGGGGGAGGGGTCAAGGCAGCTGTAGCTCATAACGCGCTAAATTAGCGTCACAGCCACGATGACCTTCAGCTGTCAAGGTCACGACGCCTCCTTCGACTCTCAGGTACAAGTCACACCGTCATGAGATCAAGGTCATCGAACATAGAGATTGAGGACTCATTCACAGGGCTTATGAAGCGAAGCCAGTAATGACGTCACATGCTCAACACAATGACAGACGTCGGTCATTCCCAAGAGTCAGATTATTCCCCAGACCGTGCCGGCCACAGATACAGTGAAGGCTCTCACAAAGCACGAAATCGAGCTCTTTTGAGTCAACAAGGAAGGGACATAGGTATGTCGCCAGGTAGCTCCTCCACACCCACCTTACCAGTCCGCCGGCTTGCGAATGAAGTCGAACATGAAGGTGTTAGACGCGTACGAACTAGTGCCGCAAGGCTTCGACAGGCCACTCATTCCTGGTTCAGGTTTGTTCCACACCACCACTTGGTTGTAGTACCTTTGCCGGGCTAATGATAGCGTACAGTGGGGTTACACTGCCTGAAATATCTCTTCAGGTAGCTCTTCATCTCACATTCGCCTCGGGCCGACACTGAAGCAAGAACACATAGTCAGAGGTCATTGACGTTGCATCCGACCGATCGATGTCTGCCCTGCGGCCGAGGCGTTGTCGATACCGAGGGGGTCATTCTCTTGGCACCGGGCGTATCCCTAGAACAACAACTTCTCAGGTCATCCGGTAACGTCTGTGTGCACCTAAAATCCCACTTCAGGCAATAGTATCCAAATCAGGTCTACTCTACGACCCTGAGAGTCTACTCTATACGTTTACACGTCAGCGACGTACAAAGTAAAAACCAAATGGGAAGATCCCAAGCACAGGTCGCTCAAGCGCTCAATTGTTTCTAGTCCAGTCTTGGAGGGGAACGCATTGCTCATGGTTGCTTCAGCTGTTGTTGTGCCACGTCAAACAGATTCTGATCCCTCACGGGCAAAAGCGCGTGTTTCTGAAATTGACACTATGCTGTACCTTGACCACGGACTACTTGCAGGGCTCGGCGAACGCCCTTAAGCGTCGACCGTGTGTGACACAAACAGCGCACGAACTCCTGCAGGACCCCGTTAAATGCTTAAGAGAGATATTTACTACTTTCGGTATCAGAGACGCTCATGTAGCGAAGCGCCGCGGGCCCGGCCATCACTAGAGAACTATGTTACAGACTGGCCGTCAGTACGCTGTATGTAGGTGGCAGTTTTGGTATCGGTACCAAGGCAAGTATTTAAACCATAGAGGCTAACTTGTCCAGTCTCGTGGATCTCCTTTACATGCGGATAGTGCGCAGCTGCGTTGTGACTGCAGACGGCGAAGAAGTCATGGAATGGACCAATCAGATGGGATATAAACGCATTGTAGCACAACCATCAGGGCGGACATCAATACACTTCCAGAGAGCCCCGAGCCCTGTCGCAGTATGTGCGACCCTTCACGACCACCTTGGTTAGACCTATTGGGCGACTGCTGCAAGATCGCATGCACGACATGTGCAACTAGCACATGTCGTGCATACTTTAGCCTCGTTTTGCCCGTAACGGGCTTCAAGGTATCCAGAATCGGCAACTGCTGAGATTTGGCATCGTAGGGACCTATCTTTGCACAGAGCACGCGCGTACAGCAGGAATCTATCGTTCTGTTAGCAGACCTCATAATATTGTCAGCCTTCGGTATTTCGGCCAGACCAATATCAATACATCAAAACCTTACGGTTACCAAAAAGGTCGTTTGCATAACAAGAATCTCAGATGTGAATCGGGTCATTACACGGTTCCATATTCCCCAACGATACTGTCTAATCATATATAAGCTCTCTTTCTCTCTCTCTCCCAACTCGGACTTCCATAACAAGCATCAATCTGTTACCTCAGTCCTACCTACTAAGAAGCGCTTACTTGTATCTCTGCCCTAACAGCATAGCCATATTCACCATACCTGACGAGTACCCCGATGCCATATTGATTCACATTTGTCTTTTCGAATTCAAGCATAACACAGCTTCTCACTTCGAGATGGTGAACTCCAACTCTCAAAGCAACGCTGAAGATGCACAACCTCGTTGTGGGGGATTGCGTTTGGGCACCCACACCGCTGCCAACTATGATCAGGTAGGTTGCAACTGTCTATCAGGACATAATAGCTTATCAGATCGAGCCAGCACAGCACTACTCGCAATGCAGACGTATCTTGAACGCAGCTGAATGCGCAGGAAGTCGCAGCAGCCGAGCATAGCAATCGATCGATAGTATCTGAAATGGCGCACTGACTTGTGTAGAAGGGTGCACTGGCTTACAGAAGGAAAGAGACGAGCCATAGTCGACGATTACTCATCTCTGATCTGCATTGCTCTTCGGGTGGACTACATCGCACTTTTCCATTTTTTACTTTCGATTAGTAGATTTGCATAGCATGGGCGGTATCTGATACACTGGCATCAGTCACTCATTACTATTCGCTATATCCTTGCACTGTATGTATATCTACATCTCCCAAACACCGGAGGCATGCATTTCATTTTCAGATTCAGAGTTTGGGTTGCAATGCCTACACCCGAAGCACTCTACAAAGATGTGTACACAGTCATGGATAGGTCAAATCTGACTGCCGTCCGAGAGCCACAATCAATTCCTCGTTCAGTGATCTGTGTTGTGAACAAGAATCCTCCCCACGCCTGAACCCTGTCGCGCTACAGTAGCACCCCGCATTTTGGCCAGCCGAGGTTCCTTTGCACTACTAACAACAAAGCTATACCGAGAGTCATGTCTCAGCCGAAATTACCAATTCTTAATGCTCTGGACACTCTCCACTTTCTTCCCTGGTGTTCCAATCTGTTCAGGTCAGTAGCCGGGCCACTGCACCAATTTCCTTTACAATGACCCACGCCGCCTCTGCCGACGACCTCCGCGTCTCGGCACTCTATGACTTCTCCGATCATGTCGCCCTCGTAACAGGCGGCGCTACGGGCCTAGGTGAAATGGCCGCGCAAGCATTCGTCCAAAACGGTGCCACCGTCTTCATCGCTTCGCGTAAAGAGAAAGAGCTCAAAGCCACCACCGACCGTCTCAACGCCCTCGGGCCCGGAAAATGCTCATACATCATCGGTGACCTGAAGAACAAGGACGGTTGTGTGGCTGTCTGCAATGAACTGAAGAAGCGCACGGATAGGCTGACGGTGCTGGTCAACAACACCGGAGCAAGCTGGGGAGATGATTACTACAATTATCCGGAGCATGCGTGGGACAAGCTCTATGACTTGAATGTGAAGAGTATCTTCTACATGACGGTAGAATTGGAGCCGCTGTTGCGAAACGGTGCCAATGCGGATAGTCCTGGCCGTGTGATCAATGTTGCGAGTATGGCGGGTATTATAACGGTGGATGTTACAACGGGAGAGGGCGGTGGATTGTCTAAGCCAGGCCACGGAACGTTTAGTTGTAAGTTTCACCAGCTTTCGGGCTAGATGTCAGGATACTAATGACAATAGATGGACCTGCGAAAGCAGCGGCCATCCACCTCACCAAGATGACCGCGTCGAAACTCGCACCAAAGAACATCATGGTCAATGTTATCTGCCCCGGCACCTTCCCCAGCCGTATGACGAACTTCGGCCTCGAGAATTATGGCAAAGCTCTCGTTGCAGGACAACCTACGGGGCGCATCGGCAAGCCGAGCGATTTCGGTGGGTTGGTCCTGTTTCTCAGCTCGAAGGCAAGCGCACACATGACTGGCAACGTAATCGAACTTGACGGTGGGACAACGTTGAGTGGGTGTAGAGGCGCATTCAGTGGTGAAACAAAGTTGTAAGCATGCAAAAGAGCCAACGAAATCGAATGGAAGTCGTCACTCTTTACATGCATCAGTATCCCTGCTGGCTGTGCCACTTCTCTGCCCATCCGGGAAACCACGGACTCTCATCCAGCGTTTGTGGCTTCCAGTCTTCTTGCACAAGCCTATTCTCAATCTGCTCCTTGTGAAATGCTTCAAGCGCAGGCTTGACAACATGCTCTGTATGCCACGCATTTTTATACTCCATCAACTCCTTCTTCCCCTCATTGAGCACCTTAAGTAGCAAGCCGGGTACATATGGCTCATCTCTGAACTCCTTGACGGGTGTGAATAGCGCTTTGAAGTTGAAGACCACAGCGCCCGACAGCGGGAGGCGGCGCAAGGTCTGCCAGTCAACGCGCAGGTGGCAGCGCGAGAGCTCAAGACCGGGAAGCTGGATGCCACGGTATTCTTCGTGCGAGTCGCCGGGAGGCATGAAGAGGGGTTGATCAATCTCGAGACCCCAGGAGCCGCGCTGAATAGGCTTGTCCGTGGGTTTCTTGGCGAAGTATCTGTGGCTCTTTAGTATTGTATTGCTTAGGTCTTGCAGGAGAAAAACTACCTGTCCATCGAGAACTGCATCTTCTCTTTGTAGTCTGGGATCGGAGCGTGGATCTCGTGCAGATGCATACCGATCTTTGAGCCGACGTCCCACCCCAGGGAGCTGCAGATTATGCCGGCGCGGAAAATGTAGAGCCCCGTTTTCTCGTCTCGGAGCATGATGGCAAAGTCTTCGGACACGTTCTGGAAGATCACATTTAGGGGTGATGCCTGCTTGAGATCCGTCTGTGTCCTCAAGATGGCGTTGTGAAAAACCGTCTTGGAATTATTCAGAGAGAAGTAGTGCGGGTAGCGGGCACAGAGGAACTGCAAAACCATCTCCATCAACTCTTTACACGGTAGTTCAGAGCCTGGAAGAGCCTGGAGAACTGCATCGCCATGGTCGATCAGGAGTTGGGCGCGCTGCTTCATGCGGTCCTCATACGTGTTTTCGAGTTCTAGCCACCAATCCGGCTCCATCTTCGTAAGTGCTGGTCTTTGTCAGTACTTTTAGTCTGTGACTACGGTCAATTTGCTTACACATTGTCTGGTGGTAGGCCCATCGTACGGGCCTATATGGTCGAGGGAGTGCCTTCTTAATGTCGAAGCTATGGTATGGCTGAGGCATAGGTACGCCGCTTAAGGTGGCGTAGTCAGGGAAATTACCGAGAGCCTTGACTTCTGCAATTGAGAACTCGCATGGCGTGTGCGTGTCATCACTAGCGTCGAGATAGGGCGACTTCATGGGTAGTATGTGCGTGGTCCAGTCCGTACTAGAGGCAGCTACTACTTCTAATGGTGTGGAAGACAATTCTGTTTCAGCCAAAGTGGATCGTCGAGATGGCGGGAAGATGGCTGAATAGTTAGGAACAGGTGTACTTCTTGTTCTCTTCTCCTTCGACGAGAGTGATTGAGGTGGTGTTCTTGAACCAGAGTCCCTCCTCTGCCTCAAGCGGAAGCGCTCGAAGACAATATCTCGTCTCTCACTTTGTAAGATCAACAGGAAAATCGAAGACAGCAGGAACGCTGCTCCTAACTGTATCCACAGGTCTTCTGGCATTGTTATGTATCTCAAGCTGCAACAGGATCATAATGAGAATTCGTGGGGGAACTGAGAATTCAATGAAGATCTCAGGCTACCGATAACGAATAGATGGAGGTCTTGAGATTTCTCGTAGGCTTCCCGGGTATATATGCTATTGCTGTAGCTCTAGTGCCTTATCAGATAGAGGAGTGGGGTCGCACCTACCAGCCTGATCAAGTGTGGGGCGCACTGCATACCAGCGACGTCACATCCTTTGCTTATGTCGGCAAGGTCAATTCAAACGCGGAAGTCTTCAACATTCGGAGTGTAGTCTGCACGAAGCGCTATTAACGCTGCTGTCCAGGCTCTGGTGAGATGCTCCGGTGTCTCAACCACCCGGTTCGGGATTGGTGATCACCGTTAGAGGTATACGAGTTCCAGAGCACTTGGCGAAGATCTATAGCTCCCTCCAGAAGAGCAGCGATTCGACAGCTAGAGCTCGTATGTGGGTGGGTGACAGCGCTACCGTAGCTTACCCCCCTGGCGATTTCACAGGGTCCTGGAGATAGCACAGGGGTCGACGACTGCCTGTTAGTCACGAACTCGAAGCTGGCGATGAATTCAATAGGAACTGGATTTGATTTGTGACTTCTAGAGTCATGTGGCGCTTTCAGCTGCATGTACAGTTCCTTTGGTGAAGTATCCTTGTGGTATGCTCGGTTGGTTGGTTGGTTGGTTGGTTGGTATTCATTTTACGTCTAGTTGATGGGGATCAAGTCCACCATCTCGCCTCCCGAAGGGCATATACGACGTGCTAAGCTATGGAATTACAGTGCTGCCACACTACCTTAGAAAGCATTTCTTGCCTGCGCGGGTATTGCTACCATTTCAGAACTACAGCTCCCCTTCCAGTTGGGGAGACTGAGCGGTGTGAGTACATTAGGGTGGATCCCTTGTGTGTGTTCAGAGGCGGTTGAGCGCCATGAGAGAGAGTAGGAAAAAGTAGGTGGGTGTAAAGAGCCGGTGCTCTGTCGAATCGGAGCCGTGGCTCTGCGCGAGGAGAGCCTTTGTACTAGGCTTGGCCATGCCTGTGTGGAAGGAGATAGGTGTAGTAGGAAGGCAGAGCCAGGCCTGTCCTTCTTCTTTATCTCCAAGAGTTGTGGAGTGTAAGGCCATGCTGGCTGCCTTGTTTGCGTGTTGTGTCAGGTCAAGGACCCTGACAGTCGGTCTTCAGAAAGCTGCAAGCAGCTCTCGTCGTTGTGGGTGTGGAGAGCCGGTGCTCTGTCGAGTTGTGCCGTAGCTCTTCGCGTGGAGAGCCTTGCGGTAGGCCTGGCGATGCCCTTATACTGCAAGAACAAGGAGTGGCAAGGCTGTCTCCTTGTCTTGTTGGTGGTTGTGGCCTTCGACCGAACGTGAAAATCTGGGTAGCGCACGGGCCATTTTGAAAAGATTTCAGCTCAGCGAAGAACTGAAAGACAAAAGAGGGCAGCGCGCCTGCCACAACGCCTGCGGCGGAGAGCGGACGTTGGGAAACAGATTTACGAAGGCATTTGAGTCGTGTTTTGACGAAAAATCGATGAAAATCGACCTTTCGCTGACCTGGAAAAGTTGATGTTCGGGTGGTATGCTCGGTATATGCTTCCAGCTCTCCTGTACTGCTTGATCCACCAGATCGCAAGGTCAAGGACCAGTATCCTTACGGAGACCCATGAACCGAAACTTGTCATCTTCTGGTTTCCTTTCCTCGATTCGAGTGTCGATCATCTTCAGGCTGGTACCTAGTCACAGACTTCCTCCAAGGTTGTCGGTCTGCTTTCGCTTCTTTCGGCTGTCGCTCTGACGACCTTCCTGCGAACTCTTATCCTCGTATTGGCGGTACTTTAGAGTAAATCAGTCGTGCACAGAGCCAGGCCAGGTAGATCAAAGACGCGATACGAAGAGTCGAAATGCAGACATGCACATGCATATGATACCAACGCCAAGCTCAACCCTTGAGAGACAACCTGAAGCATGTTGTCGTAGATTGATATTTTGGAGCCTCCAAACTGAATCAGCGCCCACAAACGCTCAACGGAGACTACAATTATTCTAGAAAGGTCAGTCCAACTGCGAAATTTCATTGGCCGAGGGGCCCCGACTTACAGTACATCATGTCAGTGCTGAAACTCGCTCCTAGCATAAGCTCCTTGCGCGTGGTCAAGCTCAACTGGGTAGACCTGGGATTGGAACTATGACGACGTAGAGATAGGGCGATATTGTAGCCAACTACGCAAACCGAAATACGAATCGGTTGATGCAGTGTTTGTACAGTTCTCTATGTCCCATGAGGTTCAGACAGCTGTGGGAGAAGTCTGAATTGTCCCAAGCTCTTTGCCGCCCGGGATTGCCCAGCATTGTCTTGCAAGCAAACGTTCGTGGCAGCCCAAACGCAATCAGGAACAGGTTGGAAGCTACAAATCTAGCCAAGGAGAAGTTTCGACTGCGCTTCTACAGCGATATTTGCAAAATTACGGATGAGAAGGAGAGTCTGCTGAATGTTGAAGAGACAAAGTAATTGATTTGGTAGCAGTAGACAACCTATGCACATATCTTAGAAGGAACATAGTAGGTGATCAGTTGCAAGCATACCTTGATAATCAGGTCGATTTTCGCTGGTAGCAGGCCTACCTTGTATAGGTTAAAGTCTCCACGTCTGCCACTGTCCAACTATACCTTCTCCCCGGTGATGCTTACGCGGCGCGACAGGGCGAATAGAGTACTTACTGCTTAGATTTCTGTTAAAGCGCCTATCTATCTATGCCATTCGACACTGAAACGCCGTCGTCGCTGTGAAAGCGGTCCCAGCCTTGATGAAACCACTTTGACAGTCGATCTTGTACCAGCGAACATATGGGTACCTCCAGGCTGAAATGGACACCAACAATATCGCACCTGAAATACTGCTTCGGTATGATCTCAATATGGCACATGAAAACTGTGATAACCATGAAATGCTGAATTCTGCGTCTAGACAGGTGTAGATTGCGTTTTCAAACGACGAGGGCCGTTGTATTATTGTTTGCAAAATGATGGTACACCCAGTGACCTGGGCAGACATATCTCCACACTAGACCGGCGGATGGGTACCCTTTACCTACGGTAGGGTATAGGTTGGGTATAGTTCGCACAGACTAGGGTACGGGTAGGGTAGGGTCGCATGGACCATAGGTATAGGCAAGGTAGGGTTACTTAGCCCTAGGTATAGGTAGGGTAAGGTTGCTTAGACTATAGGTATAGGTAGGGTAGCTAATTACCTAGGTACCTTACTTAGAGTTTACTCTGTTGCAAAGTTCTTAACTAATTATTACAGCGTGTTATCACATCCGCATTGTGCATATATTAGCCTACCTTACCTTACCCTAATTACATGTTAACTATACCCTACCTTACCTCTATCACGTGTTACCCTACCTATACCTACAAATCACATGATTATGCCCTATCCAACCCTACCTTACCCATCTGCCAGTCTACTCCACACTAGCAACGAAGGCTTAACACGCTATGCAACCTAGCAGCCTAGTGCAGCTAGGAGGCCTTAGTATTAGGCAATGTAAAGAGGCCCTATGTAAGGCAGGGTAGACAGGTGGCAGGTAGTGCAGCTATTTACAGGTTGATGCGAGAGATAATAGATAGCGTCTTGGCAAATATACGCAGACAGTATCAAATATACGCAGTCCCAGACTCTAGCTCTAAGTCACGGGGTGTACCCATCGTTTTGCGAAAAACCCATAACGTGTTTTACAAGCGAGTGGCCCGTACAAGCGAATGGCCCACCCCACCAACTTTCTGCGCCTCTATAAGTGTACAGCTCAACCACCTCTTAAGATAATAGATATGTATTAACAGGGTAGATTAAGCAGTAACTTCTATAGTATCAAATTTACATGTACGTGAGTTATGACCAGGCTCCTTACACTTCTTACAGCGCGCAAGGGCCTGGCGGCTGAGGCCTGATTGATCTCCTCCTTGACGCTGCTCACGAGCAATCTGCTGGTCAGCCTCACGTTGAGCGAGTAGATCCTCTCCAGCTCCTTTTGTTAAGACCCCACTCTGCTGTATACGCTTTTTCTTACGCTGTTTGCGTGCTGACGCTGCCTCATTGGCTCTCTCAAGGCTAGTAATCCGATCGCGCATCAGCTCAGCTGAGAGCATCATCACCTCAGCGCCCTTCGTAAGCTGGTTGATTGCTTCAATAATTGAGGCAGGTGATGAGCTCTTATGTTGGCGTACACGATCACGTATTAACGTTGATTGAGCATTAAGCTCACGTACGTTGCTTGGCGTACAAGCCTCCCAGGGAGCCTCTAGTAGAGCAGCGGGAGAAGGAGTACGGAGCTGTACGTCCAGCTTTGACAGAACAGCGTCTGGCTGGAGAGGAACAAGGCCTGCGCCTTTAAAGGCTGAGCAGATATTAGCTGATGTAAACGATTGATCAAAGGCTGCCTTAAACGCTGGCAGAAACTCAAGCTTAGTGATGTGGTTGATGTGGTGGCGGATCAGGCTCTCAACCTCACAGCTGTATGCGCGCTTCAACAGCGAGAAGCAGCCAACGTCAAGAGGTTGCAGCAGGTGTGATGAGTGAGGTGGCATACAGAGCGTGTAGATGTTGTTCTCCTTGCAGAGCTGCTGAAACTCAAGAGAGTGGTGGCTCTCGTGGCCGTCAAGGATAAGCAGGCGACGTGCGCCTACTACCCGAGCCTCTGTATGCTTGACAAAGTGCTTCAGCCACTCAACTCCAAGCTCGTTGGTTGTCCAGCCGTTGTCACTGACTGCGATCGCCCAGTCACGTGGAATATCCTCCTCGTACCAGGCAGAGAGATGGTACTTGCCAGCAAAGATGAGGAATGGTGGGATTGACCAGCCAGCTGCGTTGATCGCAGCAATCAACGTCACCCACTCACGATTGCCTGGCTGGATAGCCTTTGGCCTGCCTCTCCTCTCTGATCCTGTTACAACAAGCTGAGTCGTGATCTTGCCCATCATAAAGCCTGCCTCGTCGAAGTTGTAGACGTCCTCGTTACAGATGCCGTACTTGGCCTTTGTCTGCGCTAGAAGCTCAAACCAGCTCCTAATTAATATAGGATCCTCACATAGGGCTCTCTGCCTATCATATGCTCGATTGAAAGGTGTTGTAAGGCTGTCTGTACGCTTAACAAAGTTGCGCGGCCAGTGGACGCCAACCTGACCTGCGCCGCGCGCAGCGAGCAGCTTATCAGCCATATCACGTACAGCTGCGTACGTAGGCGCAAATCCACGTCGATCTAGATCAAGGATATAGCTGACTATCACCTCCTCTTCAAGTACAGTGAGCTTCTTTGAGTTGGGCTGGCAATCGCGTCTGGCAGGCGCGCCAGCGCGTCGGCGTCGGAGGGTAGTTCTGGGGACTTCGAACGTCTGGGCAGCAGATCTGACAGTTGATATCTGATCCTGCTTAATAGCTGAGATTGCAAGGTGTACATCAGCCTCACGGGAGGCCTTGTTGGCTTGGGTGGGGGGAGCCATAGCTAATTGAAGTTCACACGTTACAGAAAGTTGGTGGGGTGGGCCATTCGCTTGTACGGGCCACTCGCTTGTAAAACACGTTAACAGTTTTGTGGTCGGTCCGATCCGTGTTCAGTCCACCGCTTGCAAACTTTCAGACACCATGATGTCACAGCAACTGCCTCGGCATCGCACCATGGTTGCTTACCAATGCATTGCCAGGCTTCCAACATGGTGGGGTCGAACGGGAGGCTCTGCAACGGAGCACCAGAGCTGAATTTGCAGCGCTTGTCTCTTCTCCCACCAGCTCTAGAGACCCCTCTTAGATTTACAATACTTCAATCGATCACACACGATGTCCAATAAAGCTGCATACATTATGGAGGCCAAGGCCAACCCATTGCAGGTCAGGGAAGCTCTTTTGCCGTCTGCCGGTAAAGGAGAGGTCGTTGTCAAGAATTACGCTGCTGCTGTTAATCCGGTAGACTGCGAGTCACACCGTTGTTGCCCGAACCACACATGGCTGACTTGAAGTAGGGAAGATCCAGGATTACGGTACAACCGCATTGAAACCCTCCAGAAATTCGAACATCATCTGACCATCTTAGGCATCTTCCTCCAGAAGTACCCCAATGTCTTGGGCACAGATGTAGCCGGCGAAGTCCACGAGGTTGGCGAGGGCGTCACACACGTCAAGAAAGGGGATCGTGTCCTAGGGTAAGTAATCGCGCTGCTGTATGCAAGGCCATGCTGATTACCTTCTCCAGTCACGCCTTCTCCCTTGTATCCAATAACCCAGCCCAGGGTGGCTTCCAGCTCTACACGTCCCTCAACGCCCTCGTCGTCGCTAAGATCCCCGACTCCCTTTCCTACACTTCCGCCGCTGTTCTCCCCCTCGCCATATCGACCGCTGCAGCCTGTCTTTTCAAAAAGGAGACACTCGCTCTTTCCCTCCCGGAGATCTCAGATGCCAACCCGCTGTCAAGTGGCAAGTCGGTGCTCGTCTGGGGCGGTTCGAGCAGTGTGGGCGCAACTGCAATTCAACTCGCAACCGGAGCCGGACACAAGGTTGTCAGTGTCGCATCAAAGCGCAACATCGAAGGTGTCAAGGCGCTGGGCGCCGCGGCGGTGTTCGACTACAACTCGTCCTCTGTCGCGGACGACATCATCGCCGCTCTCGAGGGAACCGAGTTCGCTGGCATCTGCGACGCGATCGGCACACCTGACGCTGCGAAGGCATGGACGCCTGTCTACAGGAAGCTCGGCGGCAAGTACGGGTCTGTGATGCCGGGCGCTCAGGGCCTGCCTGACGGTATCGAGGGCACGAGTGTCTTCGCACCGAGTATTGCGCTCGATGATAGGTACATTGGCGACGTTGTGTGGGCGAAGTGGGTGCCAGAAGCTTTGCAAAAGGGTACTCTCAAGGCGCAACCTGAGGCAATCGTTGTCAAAGGCGGTCTAGAGTCCGTGCAGGAGGGCCTGAACAAGCAAAAGGCTGGTGTTAGCTTTGGCAAGATTGTCGTGGAGCTCTAGGAAGGCAGCCCTTCAGTACGAGCTCTGACGATTAAGACGTCGTTAGATGATTGAAGCGAATAAATTCGGTATCGACGTTATTCTTGTGTCTCTCGTTCCCTCTTTCCGCGCGTACGAGCCGCTTGTCTTCGGTCAGGAGCACCGCGACGCTGGCGTCGACCTTGTCGACTGTGAGCGAGATGGGCATCGCGCGTGGACGAGTGGATGTGGTCGTGTGTTGTGACGACGTCGCGCATGTTGCTCCCAGCCTTCGTGCCGGGCTGACATTCGCTGACTCATGGGCGGACAAAAGAGGTGCGATCTCGCTTAGTTTCGCCGGACCCATCATAAAAAAAGTTCTTACATTTGCTGCCATGAGCTCCTGCACCTTACTTCGATCACCAAGATACCGCACCAACATGTGCTTGCAATGTTATCTCATACCTCACTAACGGCAGTTGCAGCGTCGGTGTGTTGCTAGTTCCGTAAGTTTGGACGCCTTTCCTTGCGCTTCCTTTTCATGATGAAATATTCCACTATTCGCAGTTTCCACGTTAGTCTCGACCTATGAACCTTAACTGAGACTCTGAACGCAATACGAATGTCTTCCTTGGATGTCTGATCTTCTTCAACACGCTCTTCTGCTCAATGATAGCTTGGATGAGCTTAAGCTAACTTGCTCCAGATTCGGATGTTTTCGCGTCGATCGATAGTCGATTTGCAGAATAGATGTCATCAAAGCCACTCTCTGAACCCATCCTTTTACTCTGCGATATGTCCGCGCTCTCTCTAAATGACATCCAATACCTTCCCGATCGTTCAGTAGCTCTCGAGCCTGACACAGTAGTGTCTCAGCTACGGCAATTGTCAAAAGTAGGATGAAGAGGATTGAAGTCAGGTGCACCCACAGCCGTGAGCTTCGTGCAGCACAACGCGCCTCCCTAACTCACAGTTCGACATCCTAGCTTCTCTCATGCGCACCTCCCAAACAGCAACGAGGTAGGAACGCGGGTCTTGGTGTCCAACAACCTGTCGATCAGTCATAGTCTTACGAGCTATACCTGCAACCGCCAACGATCCCTAAAACCTAATATTCATCGTTCGAAATCCCTTGACGCCATATTCACCAAGTAACATACCTCTTAATGCGCTTTGCAGTTACCTCAGCTGTCGCCGCAGCCCTCCTGCGACAGTCATTCGCTGCTCCCTATCCACTGTCGAACGCGACAGACATCACAAATGCCACCTTCAGCACGCCATCCGGTGGCCCATATGTCTGTACCAGAATCTATCCCACCGACCTGACCGTTGTCAACTCTCGCTACCCTGACTACGATGTCGATCGCCTTCACCAAGCCAGGCGCTTCTTCATGCTCCGTCGTCAGACCCTAGGCGATGGCGAGATTGCAACCCGAGTTCAATTCCAGGGTCTGCCGTCAAAGGAGACGAACAAGACATGCCGCCTCGAGCTCGTCTTACCCCGCGAAGAGCTTCAGAAGATCTCAGGCAACAATCCGAGCTTCAACGTGTACCAAGTCGACCGCGAGCCAGATGCAATTGCGACCTGGAACACCTACAAGGGTAACGATGGAGCGGATCTCTTTGGTCGAGTCAACGGAGAGCCGGACGCCTTGATCAAGACAAGAAGCGTCGGCGGTGTAGCAGCCATCAACGAAACGGCCTGCAACGAGACACTTACATTTCAGATGGGCATGGCTTTCGATGGGGCAGAACTACCGAACTATTGGGAATTTTCCAATGTGGCACCTCCAGCTTGGCCAGTCCAAGGGTTCCGGATTGTTTACGGCTGCTAAACACGGTTCTTACGTCAAGTGGACGGCTGAAGGTGTGAACATGATCAAGTTTAATTCACAATAATGATAGGCATACACAATTGATAAGGTCTGTTTCCATCGACCTCCGTGTGATGAATGTCCTCTCTTTTGAGCGATAAATTGTATCACTTCACAGTCTGTTGATCGATCAAGGCTACTATGTCGGCCGAATACATCGGACATAGACGGATACCTGAGTCGATGAGCTGCATCAAGCAAGTCTTGCCGATCAAATGACCTGGCCCGCAGGGCATCTTTACCGGGTCATTGTCCGCCTTGACCTCGCCGCTTCAAAGCTCGACCGTCTCCACCTCTGTGTGCTCAAAGTCATCCCAGCAGTGAAGGCACTTCATGTCTTCAGGTGCGATCATGGTGATGTCGACTTCTTCGAGCTTACCGACGGACTCTTGAGGATCAATGCGTGGGCGTGGACGCTGGTCTGAAAGGGGCAGCTCACTTGCAAACCATTCTTCTGTATCGTCGTAGCCAGTCCACCACGCCTCAGCGACATAGTCGGGCGGCTGGCCTTCTACTAAAAGCATCAAGTCTTACAACTTCGACTCCGACTCGACTTCCCTAAAGTGGAACTCCATGGCCATAAGGGAGTCGAGGGGCATACCACACTCCTCAGCCGAATAGGGGAGCGGCGGGATTCCACCGCATGCCTCTGTATTGAGTGCGGTTCCAACAGCCGTCACTCTGATCTCCTGTGCCATCATGAGAGACGGATAAATCACTTCTGAGGTTAGATCACTTTGCACTGCGACAATGGACTCGTAGGTCTCGTCATACCACTCGGCGTGCTCGAGGGCGATTTCCATCTCCCGTATTTGCTACTGTATCAGTCCGCCAACGTCGTTCTCCGTGTGCACAATTCCCCAGTGCGCTACCCCGCTAGACTTGAGTGTAAAGTACTCAAGCCCGAGATGCCCGATTACACTGGGCAATTCCGCGCCGACATCGCCTTGCACCGCGACAAGGCAGTCGTGCAATGATGCTTGATAAGAGAGCTCACGGAGGGGCGGGGGATGCGACTCCGGGGGACAGGAGGGTATGTAAGCCATGAAAGTGTTTCGAGGGATTCTGTGGGTAGAGGTGGGAGGTCTACAGAGAAGTATACTTGGAGATATGGAGGCGGGAGCCTGTTACTCGTCGTGGGCTAAGGTACCGGGTATTCGGGTTGCTGGGGTTCCGCAGCCGGCAGGTTTCCAGAAACACTCAGTACGTGCAGAGAGTGGTTGTAAAACTGCGTGTGTTCCGCCGGTATCCATGGGTATTGGCCATGCTGCACGGTCTGGATTTGTGGCTGGACCTGCTGGGTCAGCGCAGCCGGTGGGGATGTGATGTTGGATTCGATATCGTCCATCTTGATATGAATGTTCATTGTGAGAAAAGACACTGGAGTCAACAGTCACTACATTGTTATGCGGATTTTTGTGGTCCCTGAGCGAGGTCCCCTAGTACCAAGTGTGTATGAAGATTGTTCGCGGCCCCATAACCGGTTATGTATCCCTAGCCTGCCCTGAAATACTTTCACATTAAGTAAGGGAAAAGCAAAAGGAGAGATTGCAACGTTAAAAGGTACTGCGCCTGATCCTAAGTGGCCGTTTTGTTTGCTCTCGTGGTGCCAGTACCCTGCCTTCAGGCTGTGGAAGTTGAGCATGAGTACATCATGTGACTGCAACTCTTCTCGCATTTTTTTTACAGTAGTCCTTTAACTCGGCCTGGATGTAGTTCTTAAAGACTTGATACGGCCATCTATGCATCTGTAGTACTGCTACAGTGGACTGAGAGGCTTTTGACACCACTAAGATACAGTGTAGCTGAATTGAAATACCAACACTGCCCATAATAAAACGAAAACCCCAGGCTACCGTCACATTTGGTTTTACACTGTGCCATACTCGGGGGGCGGAAAAGCTTGTGGGGGTGGTCTTGCTAGAGAATGTCCCAGCACAGAACCCGCATCATCGTCCGGTACGTGACTGAAAGTCCATCCTGAGACCAACTGAACTTTGTCCTTGCAGACAATCCCCGACCATTCGTTCTTGACGCACTCGCCCCAGACTTCGACTTGTACCTCGTGTTCTAAAGCCATTCCGTAGCTCGATAAGCTTGGAATTAGTCTCTCGTCTGTCTTCGATATCCGCAGCTCTGCAATGTCGGCCAGATTGATTCCATCTAGAAGAGGCTGGCATTCACCGGTGTTGAATTTCTTGTCGACCAAAGTAATCGTTCGTTGAGCGTGGTCGATGTGTTCGACTCGACGGTTCACTGAGTTGTTAGGTTGCGGGACGAATGTCTCATAGGTAGAGATCACTTGTACGCGTACGCGGCGCAGGAAAAGCGGGGGAGGTTCCGGTATGGATGCTGATCGGTCAAGGTGTTGCAGTGTAATATGTATGGGAAAGTCTGAGCCCATGACTATTACACGCGGAGGTGTTGCCAGGATATTGAAACGATAAAAGGGTATCTCGCTGAAGGTTTCGATGCCAAAGAAGAGCTCTTTCTCCACCAGAAAATCTTTCACTTTGCTAAGCTTGTTGCCTTTCTTCTCCCTGTAGTCTGGCAACAACTTTCGTGTTCGGATGAACTTGTAGCGACATTGTTGCTTCGGGAGGGAATTGCCGAAATCCAAGTTTGGTTGTAGTAGTGATAGGTCATACTCGGGTGCTGGCGGCATGAACTTCACTTCTTGTCGGATCCTCATCGACGAGTCTGCTCTTGCTTCTAGGTAGTATGATACTCCTGGTGCGACTGCCATACCAACGTTCATCAAAGTGTTGCAACTCGGAGGTAGCGGAAAACCAGGGGAGTGCTGGAACCGAGGATGGCCATAGGAGTCTTTGGAATAGTACCAGTTGCGTCCCGGTGGAGGTCTCTGTACGGCTACATGTGGGAACGTGAATTGGAAGGCAAGTTCGACCTTCCCGTCTTCAGCCGTACCCTGTCGCAGGATCTCGTAGTTCTCGCCGGTACCGGAGGCCGTGAATAGCTCCTGTTCAAGACGAAAGAACTCGGTCTTGTAACCCTCGAGGTCTTTGTCGTAGAGGATCGAGATGCCCTTGAAGACGATGCTCACATTTTGCGGTCTTGCTGTAGGGGCGATGCGTACAACGCCATGTACGAGGTCTCCAGCAGTGTAGACATGCTTGGCGTCTGAGAAGACATCAATGTACAATGGATTTTGCGCCAAGTTGGTATGGGAAGCTCCTGCAACAGATACGCTTGCGGAACGCATGTCTACTCTGCTACAGCTCCGAAATTTAAGATGTAGTTTGCATGGCACGGCGAAGTAAGATGCCGACAACGCGAAGCTGTCCGTAGGCTGGGGTTGATGCGGGGAAGAACGCGGGTGTTTACCTATTATACCCAAGAAGGACGCGCGACATAGCCTGAAATGGCGAGTCAGGTGGCATATCCCCTCTGTTGCCTTTGTGCACGCTCGTGCAGCATCTCCGGACTGCCAATGTTACTGCTGGTTATGCTTGTTTTGGCATCATTGGCCGTATGGCTAGTAGCTGCAATTCCTTGGCACCCACTGCAGCGCAAGAACCTCTGACATTAATTTACCAAGCTGCTGCGCCTGCGCCTGCGAGATCAATGGATTTCGGAGGATGCCTGAAAGGTTTAAGTGCAGAGACGCATCCTTGCGGTGCTTCGATTGGTGCTGGCGGAGCTAGGGGTTGGTGACGTCTTGGATCGTTGGGGGAAGGCGCGGTCGCGACTTTTTGAACATGGGAAGGGTTCACGACACTTGACCCATCATCCACCACAATGACGTCCAACTATACGTGCAGAGCATGCTCGCGAGCGCTTTCAAACTCGAGCTCTTCTTGGCTACAGGTATTTATGTTGCCGCGCCTCTACAAGCCAAGCTAATCCGGTCAGTCGAGCAACAAGACAGTATTACGCCGAGCGCAACGAAACTTCTCTACGACCACGTCGAGCCTATACAACACATCGCACAGCCTCAAGGCAGATGTACGACCGGAAGCGATCAAGAAGCCGTACCCTAAAGTCAAGTCAAGCGTCTCTGAACTTGCGAAGAAGCTGCGTGAGAGTGCACCTCTGATGACAGAGCCTTACGTTGCTTATGGCGCCACGCGAGACTTGATAAAGGAATGCTCAAGGCCCGGAGAATACAAAATCCCTCAGGCACAGCAGAAGGGCGCTGAGATTCCCACCATTGAGAACGGTGTGCACCTAGGAGAAGGCGAGGGATGGTGGTATGACAGTGAGTGCCCTAACATGCGAGCAGGAGCTGCTATACCCTCGTGACAATTCCTTGCTAACGACGTGCAGACCTCGGCCTAAAGCCCACTTTCGCCAACTGGTCACAGATCACCTTCATCCACATGTACATGCTGCAGGTGCGCTTCAGGATGCTACCAGAGACGCACGCCGGTACATGGATCCAGCACCTGACGAACCATGCTTTCTACGCTGCCGAAGACCGACTTGTCGTCTGGCACAAGTTCAATGCCAACTCGCTCCGCCAGAAGCACCTCAAGGACATGTTCTCGCAGTGGCGTGCCGTCCTCCTATCGTATGACGAGGGTCTCATGAAGGGCGACGCTATGTTGGCAGCTGCTATCTGGAGGAACCTTATGGGTGCGAAGGAGGACGTCGACTTTCAGAAGCTTGCTCAGATTGTAGGTTACATGAGGCGGGAGCTGAAGAGGTTGGAGAACGCAAGTGACGATGAGGTTGTAAACGGCGCTTGGCAGTTCAAGGGCGACCCGGGTGACGAGGTCAGCCTCGTGAAGCAGCCGAGCAAGATGATGCAGGAGAACACCAAGGCGTAGGTGTGAGGCATCCACTTTACCGGACTACCGCGTTGTATCATAGAGACGTTGTATACTATGTATTGCACCTATACAGACCCACCTTGATAAGTTCGGGCATTCGAGACGACTATTGCAACTACAATCACACTATTTGCGTCCTCAATTCGACAGACAGTTATAACGGCAACATTACTTGCACGATGCCTGGCGATCTTCAGGATCCTGCGGGAGTAGCCGAATCGTGCAACATTAGGCTCGTTCTCGAGTCTTTAGTGCGAGTGAAAGATCTTCTTTGTTCGCCGCGATGAAACATCAGAGCACTCGGAAGTGAGTCCGGCGTCTGACGTGGGTCTGCTCTGGTTCTCAATGCGCGTCTTTGTTTGCAGACTGGCCAAAGAACAGTCAAAGATGGCGACATTGGCCGGAGAGCGTCCGGTCAACTGTTCAGCCTGGTAGACTTCATACACCGGCAATCTCCGCACTGGCCGCTTGTTTGAGGCTCACAGCTGCAGTGTCTGTGGCTGTCGTCTGGGTCATGAGACCGGCACAAGTGTCAAGAACTCGGCGTTTGAGGTGTAAAGAGGAAGCGCTAATCCGGCAGGACCCCTGAGCACTCGCCAAACGCTCGCGAGCGCGACGAGGGCAGCGTGGTGTGCTAGACAGTGCTCGTGATGCCTTGTTGATATTCGAGCCGCCATTGAGCGGCTGCAGGGGCCTTCCTAACCTGCGGTCGCGTGAATGAGCGTGGTGGTTAGCCCCAGCGCCACTTGGCAGTGAATCTCACGCTTCCAAGATTCAGCGTCACCAGTTCCGAATCATCTTCACTCGCTCTGTACCGTGCCTGTGCTGTATGCAACACCCCGGTCTACTCGTCTTATAGCGTGTCGTCGTCTCGGACTGCAGCCTTCTCCCCTGGTTCGTCTTGCGTGCTCAGCTTGACCGCTTGCTTCGACTCCTCTAGCCCCGGTCAGACGAAACACCTGCGGCCCCCTCCCATCCTCAGACGCATACACGAATCCTTAGGCGCGCATCCGTACCTGAGTCCTTACCTCCCCTACCCGCCGCTACCTTGCCTGTCTCCCCTTGCACGCCGCGGTTGTGTTCGCTGCAGCAGTCGCACCAAGTCTTGGAACGGTCAGCGCAACCGACACCTGAATGCGAGCCAGCGCCTGGTTCCCAACACACACCATGGAGCACGAAGACAACTACTTCCCTCCAACGCGCGACGGCCAGCAGAGCGCCGGCTCCCAGATTGACTCAGACACCGACATGGCCGCCTCAGCCTCCGCATCATCGTCCCGGGCCGCCATGCTCTCGTCGCCCGTTGCGCGCACCCGCAAGCCCAGCAGACTCTCGCGCTCAGGAGTACCACGCCCCATAATTACACCCACAAGTCCATTGTCCTCTACAATACCGCACAATCTGCTGCCCTCTGCACCAGCATCGCCGCCGACACCAGCCCCGAGTCCAACGCCAACCCAGCGAGCACCGGATTGGAGCACTGCCGCCGAACATGAGGACTCACACATCAAGGCCATACGAGGGAACTTTGGTGACATGAGCAGAGCGGAGCGCTTGAGGCTACTAGGCGAACTGCTCAACCTCTGCGACAGCCAAGAGCTCAGCTTCGTTGCCGAGTTTGTAAGCCCGAGGCTGAAAAAGGACCCCTTCCTAGTGCTCCCCACAGAACTGTCGCTCAGGGTACGTACCTTATACCTTATTGCTGCCCCGACACCACGTGCATGCACTAGTGGCTGACATGCTTGTAGATCCTCGAATGCGTAGACGACCCCACCACTCTTGCACGAGCGTCACAGGTCTCCAAGAAGTGGCGAGAACTAGTCAACGACGACAGCGCCTGGAGGTTACTGTGCCAAAAGTACTCTTTCAGACAGCTTCTGCCCCACGAACGCAACGGACCGGACTCGCCGAGTGACGAGATGGACACAGAACAGCCGTGGGCGCAGGATGCAGACCGCACATCGAGGGCAGACGACACACCTACGAACAAGCATCTGGAAGTAGGGTCGCCGAGTGCAGCAACTGGGGAGCTTCGAACGCGGAGCCTGGATCGTGATGCGAAGAGGATTACGTCACTGCGGAAGTTAAAAGCCATCACATATCGATCGCACTTTAAGCAGAGGTACATGGTCGAAACAGCATGGCGCAACGGTGGTGTGTGCGACGCACGACAGATCACACCAGATCAGGGTGTAGTGACGAGTCTGCACTTGACGAAGAAGTACATCGTAGTGGCGCTCGACAACGCAAAGATCCACGTTTTCGACACAGTTGGCGACCACCAGAAGACATTGCAAGGACACGTTATGGGCGTGTGGGCAATGGTACCCTGGGGCGATCTGCTGGTCAGTGGTGGCTGCGACCGCGATGTACGAGTGTGGAATCTGGCTACAGGGTATGATGGACAATCACTTCAAAACGCCAGAGTTGCTGATATTGGAACACAGGTACCCACAGTTCACCCTCCGCGGACACACCTCGACAGTACGATGCCTGAAGATGTCAGATGCCAACACTGCAATCTCCGGCTCGCGAGACACTACACTGCGAATCTGGGATCTGAAGAAGGGCATTTGCAAGCATGTTCTGGTGGGTCACCAAGCCAGCGTCAGGTGTCTGGAGATCCACGGCGACATCGTTGTGTCCGGCAGCTACGACACCACGGCGAAGATATGGAGCATTTCTGAGGGCAAGTGCCTGCGCACACTTACAGGCCACTTCAGCCAGATCTACGCAATCGCTTTCGACGGCAAGAAAATCGCAACAGGCAGTCTGGACACAAGTGTCCGAATTTGGGACCCAAATGACGGGTAAGTTATTTGTGAAACCACCAACGTCCTTTAACTTACGCGTAACAGTAAATGCTTGGCAGTACTACAAGGCCACACTTCGCTCGTTGGACAGCTCCAGATGCGCGACGATATTCTTGTGACCGGTGGATCAGATGGCTCGGTTCGAGTCTGGAGTCTTGCAACCTACCAGGCGATTCACAGGCTAGCGGCGCATGACAACAGTGTCACCAGCCTGCAGTTCGATAACACCAGAATTGTCAGCGGTGGCAGCGATGGGCGAGTCAAGGTCTGGGATTTAAAGAAGGGCACACTTGTTCGAGAACTTAGCACACCTGCAGAAGCAGTCTGGAGAGTTGTGTTCGAGGAAGAGAAAGCTGTCATCATGGCCAGCAGGGGCGGGCGCACAATCATGGAGGTAAGCTTGAACGATTCCCACATTGTCTGTACGATCAAAGACTGACTCGACTAGGTCTGGGACTTCTCTCCACCACCAGACCAGGACTACGATACTCCACGCTCCGGAAGTCCAGCAAGCATGCCTGACCATTTTGACATCGAGCACCCTCGCCCACAGTCCGCCGTTCTTCCACGCACAACACCGCTTGTTCAAGAGGTTGATGATGCCACTGACGTCACAATGGCTGACGCGTGATCAATCCCCAACGACTTTTGGACATTCTACGACACACGTTTAATGCTTATTTGCAGATTTGGTATTGCGAGTATGAGGATCACGGCCGACAAAGCTAGCGCTGGACAGCGCTGAGCACGCCGCGACACGTCGAGGTCACCACCACTATTATTATACCCCACAGCGCCGAGTCGCTATACTACCTTAACGCCGCATCACCGTGGACGCCGCATATGTTGTTGACCACGCGGCGGCCGAGCATCAACACACCATATACCCTTGCATTCTGGGCGTACCATACCATAGCATATATCATCACCATCTGCAGGCAATATGGCAGACGATTTGGGAGGATTGGGAATTTGTTGTCGTGGCGATACTTCAGCCACACCTTGTATGGAACGGATCTAATGAGGATCTTGGGTCACGATTTGTTACACTGTCACGAGTGTTGTTACGAGCGATAGGTAGGATTGAATCGAACTGGAAAAGTTCAGGTCTGGAGTTTCGGATTGGGTAGACTATTGAACATTTGTTACTTCATGCTGACCTTGTGTTCCTCCTTGTCTCTGTCTTCAACGTCTCTGGTCATTTTCATGTCTTTCATTACCTTAACGTAGTTTACAAGCGAGTCGTCAGTACAAGCGAGTCGCCAGTACAAGCGAGTCGCCAGTACAAGCGAGTCGCCAGCCCTACCAACTTTGGCACCTCCAGAGGCGTACAACTCAGCCACATCATGAGCTGATATATAGATACTAATGCAGTAGATTAAGCAGTGTCTGCAATATCTTTCTTACACGTGCGTGAGTTGTGTCCAGTCTCTCTGCACCTCTTGCAGCGCGCGAGAGCCTGGCGGCTAAGGCCTGGTTGCTCTCTATCTTGACACTGTTCACGCTCAATCTGCTGGTCAGCCTCACGTTGCACGAGTAGAGCCTCTCCAGCTCCCTTTGTTAAGACCCCACGCTCACGTATTAACGTCGATTGAGCTTCAAGCTCGCGTACGTTGCTCGGCGTACAAGCTTCCCAGGGAGCCTCTAGGAGAGCAGCTGGAGTAGGCGTACGCAGCTGCACGTCAAGCTTTGACAGTACAACGTCTGGTTGGAGAGGCACAAGGCCTGCGCCTTGAAAGGCTGAGCAGATATCGGCTGAGTTGAATGATCGACTAAACGCTGCCTTAAACGCTGGCAGAAATTCAAGCTTGGTGATGTGGTTGATGTGGTGGCGGATCAGGCTCTCAACCTCACGGCTGTACGCGCGCTTCAACGGCGAGAAGCAGCCAACGTCAAGCGACTGCGGCAGGTGAGATGAATGAGGCGGCATGCAGAGCGTGTAGATATTGTTCTCCTTGCAGAGCTCTTGAAACTCAAGAAAGTGGTGGCTCTCATGGCCGTCAAGGACGAGCAAGCGACGCGCACCAACAACGCGAGTCTTTGTGTAAGCGTTAAAGTGCTTCAGCCACTATACTCCTAGCTCGTTATTCGTCCAGCCATTGTCGCTGACTGTGATTGCCTAGTCGCGTGGGATATCTGCTTCCTCGTACTAGGCAGATAGATGATACTGGCCAGCGGTTGTAGGTAGTGCGGCGGCTCGTGGTGCAGATAGGCTGTAAAGCACTCTATGTCAAAGTTCAGCCTTTCTGATTTATTCCAACGCTTGCAGCGATCGACGTATGCAAGGACTGCCAAGTTTTCTGAAGCTAGGATGCACGCAAACAAGACGTCGGGTATGACTTGAGCCAAGTCCATTGAGTAGTCAACCGGCATAAGCTTGCTCATGGACGGTTCGAGAAGCCCGTGAATGGCAAATATCCTATCTCTGGGATCGGACGCGACTGCCTTGAGAGAGGCTCTCGAGTAAGTAAAGATAGTTCTTGTCGACTTCGGCTGTCCAATCCAAGTCAATGGTGCTGGGATAGTCACAGCCCCGAAATGACAGCATCGATTGAGTAGGCACACCGCCTGCGGAGTGAGAGCTACGCTATCATTCTTGACAAGTAGCCGCACTTTTCAAGCTAGTACAGCCTCCTGTACGACCCAGGCTCGTCCAAAGTATCTCCTGTGGAAGAGATGCTTCAGCCGAAGTGTCCTTTCGCAAGTTTCTTCATCAAGCCAATCTTTGACTTGACCAAGCGATTGAATGCACTCTGAGTAGTCGTGCTGCAGGACACTGATGCAGATATTCATCTCGGAGGCGCTCGAGCAGATGTGTTTCATGAGTCCGACTTGGTGATTGCGCTCCAGGACGTTCACCTGATCGATACATATAGAGTCGATCCAAACGCGCCGGACGATGTATGGCGAACGGACAAGCTGAAGTGCCGCTCCACAGTTCTTTGTCACCGGGAGCGTTATTTGCCGAGCGTTGATCTTTTGCGATTTCATCTCATCTCCATCCTTGGTTGCTCATGTGTAACATATCGCGATATAGACTGGCTTTGAGCGCAAGCCGACTTATTCAATCGCGCAGTTGATAGGGTCTGTGTGTCTACCGGAGAGCAAACTCACCAGACGAATCTGAAGGTCGTCCTTGATAGTGCAGACGAGGCTATCATACAAATACTCGCTCGAGTCGTTTGAAGCCTTATCGGCTACAGACAGCTCACTAAAAATCTCACCGCATACGAGACAGCATGTGAAGTCCGGTGAGGTTTCGAGATAGGTATGTTGGCACGACTGCAACGACATAATTTCGGATTCGTCGATCCAGGCGAGAACTGGTGCGAATGTGAGGGATCCGGTGTGAGGGACTGAAAACTTGAAGCTAGGGGACCTCTGGTCCGCCTCGTGGCTTTTCGTGCCACGTCTTCAGGCATGAGACTAGGCACAGCCGCCGGCGGGCTGTGTAAGCTGTATGCGAGACCGGGTCAATTCTCTTGTGAGAATAGCAATGGATGACTTCCAGAACAAACCCTGACTATCCTGTACCCACAGGCATTGAGGGGCTGGAGTAGCAGCTGCTCATGTGCGCCGTCTACATGTAATACGCAGTCTCCTGCAAAGTCCCGAGCCGTGCTTCACGGTGCTCGGCCCTTTAACCTTGGACGGCTACACTTAGTATCCGAATTCTTCAAACGCCATATCTTGTTCCCTTCCTACCCCCGTCTCGTCGACGGGACTATTCAAGCCGGTAAAAACGCTATAAGTGAGGTACCTACCTACCATCGTCTGATCCGAGCGAAGCAGGCGGGATCAGCCCCACTTTCTATTTCCTCATTGGACAGTCAGGACTACACGCAGACTACAGTCAATGAGAAGAGCTCTACCCGCGGCAGGTATGCGGAATCTCTCGTCTGACCTACGTGGGGAAGGTTCAACGTGGGATCTGAGTGATCTGCGAGCCTGTAACAGGGAGTTTCGTTGTGGAAAGCGTGTGAATGCAGGTCTGACTGTGGGAAGCGGGATAGCGGATGAGAAGCACACTGACTCCTGAGCGAAGTATTCCTTGTAGTGAAATAGTATTCCATCCAACTTACGGCGCGCACGCTAACACAATAACCTCCTCGGACAACGAGTACCCGGTGATTCCGCAACACAGCACAGCCATACTCATCTGCCAGCGATCGGAACAACGCATTCATGCCATTATACCTGCGCTACTTGCACGCAGAACCCCCACATCCAGTCTCTACCGCGCAGACCTCACCCTGCGCCCCACACCCGCATACCACGCCGCACCCCCCGCAACAAGCGCACTCACAACGCCCAACACCAGCGCCGAGTTACTAACCAGCGTCTCCTCTCGCACGCGTCCAATCCTGCTCTCCCTCTTTCCCCCGCCAAACACAACCTTTGACGCACTCCTCTGCCCGCCTAGCGAGTCGGTCGTCTCGAAATCGTCCCAGTCGACACGGCTCAGCATATCCTGGTACTCGACGACAGTGCCAGACCAATTATTAGTAATCCTGCCCTCGGCGTTTTTATACCAGGAGCCGCAGTTCGGGTCCGCAAACGAGCTCTTCTGCAGGATGGCTTGAATTTTATCGTTGAACGCGTCGGTGACGGGGCGCTTGGGCATCAGACCCAGGCGGGTGTTGCGGGTGCGCGCGTCCAGCACGGCGGCGACGAGCGTGTTGAGATACCTACTCTGCGCCTCGATCATCAGGATGATGCTGTTGTGGCCCAGGTTTGTGTTGGGTCCGTAGAACATGCCAAAGTTGGGGAGCGAGGGGACCGTGGTGCCGTACAGGGCGTGCGCGCCGTCGGACCACAGGTCGCGCAGCGAGCGGGCGTGGGTCCCGGTTATGCTGATGGGGGAGAGGAATTCGACGGTTCGGAAGCCCGTGGCGAGGACGATCATGTCGTGCTCGTGGTGCTGGCCGTTGGCGAGCTCGATGCCGGTCGCAGTGATGCGTGCAATGGCGTTGGTTTCGAGCGTCGTCTTGGGCGATGCGAGCGCGGGATAGTAGTCGTCGCTGATGATGACGCGCTTGCATCCCGGGTTGTACGTGGGCGTCAGCTTCTCCCACACGTCGGGCTGGTCGGGGATCTGCTTGCGCATCATGTCCTGGCAGAGCGTGCGCAGCGTGTCTGCAAAGGCCGAGTCGCCGTCTGTCACCGCGTCGTGGAAGGATTCGCGGAAGTCCATCATGCCGGCTCGCTTGCGCCAGCGCACGGGGGGCAGGTAGCGGTAGACGGCACGACGGAGGTCGGAGACGGGGCCGTCTTCGCGAGGGATGACCCAGTTGGGGGAGCGTTGGTAGACGGTGACGTCTCTGGAGACGGGGAGGATCTCGGGGATGATTTGGGCGGCGGTTGCTCCTGGGTGCTGTCAGTACGTGCTTGTGAGTGACCTGGGAGATGAATTCACGCACCGTTGCCGATGATGCCAATCTTTTTGTCTGCCATGTCATAGCTCCAGTCCCACCTTGCGCTGTGGATGATCTTGCCCTTGAAGTCCTGGAGCCCCTCGATGTCGGGATATCTGGGCTGGTTGAGTTGTCCAACGGCAGAAATCAAAAAGTCACTCTCGATGGAGTATCCCGAGCTGAACTCGGCGTCTTTGCCCCCAGTGACCTTGACGTCCACCTTCCAGCGCGACTTGCTGTCGTCCCACGTCGCAGCTTCGACAGACGTGTTGAAGCGGATGTACTTGTAGAGCTGATACTTGTTCGCCACGGCCCTCAGATAGTCCTAGCCCAGTCAGACAGGTCCGCGTATTCAGTGGTGGGGACTAACAAGAATCTCCTCCTGCCCCGGGTACTCGCGCGTCCAGTCCGGATTCTGCTCAAACGAGTACGAGTACAGCATGCTCCACACATCGCAGCAGCAGCCAGGGTACTTGTTGTCATGCCACGTCCCGCCGATGCTCGTCGACTTCTCGACGATGATGAAGTTGTGGCACTTGTTGCGCTTGATCAGATCAATGGCCATGCACATGCCTTTTCAAGTTCAGTCTTGGCGCATGGTCCTTGAAAGCGGCGGATGCGTACCAGAGATGCCCGCGCCAATGATCACAACCGCTGCATTTGTATGGTCCTTGTTCCCCACAGGGACTTCGGGCCATGGTTTCGTGCCGCCCATTTTTGTACGGTTCTGGGGTGTGCTCGAGGTGGGATGTCAATCGGCTCTCTGAGCGGGCAGGTTTTGGGTCGCACGGGGAACAGAGTACCCGGTCTACTTTGTACGCGAGCGAGCAGAAGCTTTAAGCAAAGCCCCAGCGTCTCAGCCGTCGGGCAAGCGGACCCGTAGCAAGCAAGGCCATGTCATTCGACAAGCGAGTGGCACCGCCAAAACACGTTTCCGTCGTCATGCGCGACCTTCCCCTCCCCTAGGTACCTCCGAGGTTAATCGCAAGCTTGCTCGCGTGCCGTGCTCCCTTTTCCTCGACGAGAAACTCGCAGCTCGTCGGACGCTGCTCGAGTATCATTGCGGTTGCTGACGCAGCATGCTCAATGAGCCTTGCTGATAGCAGCGCTGTTCAAGACTCGCGGACGTTCGTCGGCGGCTAGAAAGGTGTCGGGGATGCATTTCCGTAAAATGTGGGGGTGGGGCCGCCGCGGCGGGAGCTAGCGACAGTCTGGAGACAGAGTGCACGCCGACTCGACAGCGTCGAGTCGTGGACGATGTTGCGCCCAGTCAATCCGAGTCAGCTTCTGTTGATGGATACAACATGTTGCGCCCAGTCAAGCCGAGTCAGCTTCTGTTGATGGATACGACATGTTGCGCCCAGTCAAGCCGAGTCAGCTTCTGTTGGTGGATACGACATGTCGCCATGTTTGTTTCCAGACGCACGCCTGCAGGCGCACCGTCCGGTCCGTCCGTCCGAGCCACAGAGATGGGAGACGGTGGTCATCAACGGCTTGCGAAGAAACTCTAGCATGATTTGGATGACTACAAAAGTGGACAATGGGTATATCGAAGCCGAAAAAACAGTCTGCAAGTCTTCAGGCCGTCTGGTAGTGCACGTACAAAAGAAGCCGACTTTTGGTCAGAGCTCCATCGCCTCCTCGTCCGCAGCCTCACCGTCTGCTTTGTCAACCTCACCGTCTGCTTTGTCAACCACACCGTCTGCTTTGTCAACCACGACCCAGTCGTCATGCACGGGCTCGTGGAGCTGCGCGTCCTGGTCCTTCGCCGTGACGAGGCCAACTTCACCGAGCATGAAGCGGCCAAAGTACAGTACCGCATCCAGCATCTCGTCGCCGGTGGGGGCAATGTTCTCCTTTGGCAAGAGGAAGCCATAGCTGCCGGTGTCGCGCAGCTTGATCTGGTACGAGTACTTGACCTTGAGTTCGTGGTAGAACCAATCGAGCGCGCTTCCGCCACTGGACTCGATGCGTGGCAGGATGGCGCGGTGCTTCTTGTCGCTCGACACCAGCACGTTGCCCTCGCACGCCGAAGTCACCTTGTAGGCGTGGCCCTTTCGGCTGATCCGAATGGCCTTTGCTAGACCAATCGCTAGCTCCTCGAGGTCTTCCAGCGCGGGCGGCTCGTCGGCGCAGGAGTAGCTGTATGGGTACAGAATCTGCTGCGAGTACGAGTGCAGGTCCAAGAAGCCAACGAATTGCACCTTGTTCTGCTCCGTCTCGTTCTTGGCCCACTCGGCGAAGCGCTGGGCCTCGACGCCTTCAAAGGGCGCGCTGCCGGCGTGCGACTCGCTGCACGGGTTCGTCCGCAGCACGTCGCCGTCCCACTTGAAGGGATAGGTGCGATCGAGGTCGATGCCGGTGCAGAAGCGAAGACTGGAGGGCTGTCTGTTTTTACGCCACAGACGGTCGGATTCCCAGCTGTAGACGTAGCCGTCTGGGTTCAGGGTGGGGACGAGGACAAAGTCAAACTCTTCGAGGAGGCGTGTGATTTCGCGGTCTTTGCCGTACGAGTTGATCAGGTTCCAGGCGACGTAGTTGACCGTGCTGGTCGAGATCCATTCACGTGCGTGCGAGCCGCCTGTGATGAGGACCGTCTTGCGCGGGCCCGAGGGCTCGTCGCTGCTGCTTGCGTGGACGCCGACGCGCAGAGCGGGAATGTCGCGGCCCTCGTACGTCGTCCCGACGGTGATGCGGCGGACATGGCTAGTAAACATGGACGCCATCAGCTCCATCCAGGGGTTGATGACCGACAGTGGCTGGTAGTCCTGCAGGAATGGGTGGCCGCCCTTGCCCTTGCGAGCCGCAGGCTTGAGGTTCGGTGCAAACGAGTCGTCATCCTGATGCGACCGTGTCGGCGACGAGGAGGGGTACGAGTCGCGGATGGCTTGCGCAAGGTCGAGACCCTGCATGAGGGGTTCATGTGAATGCGTCAGTGAGGGCGGGAGCAGGCCAAGCAGCGACGGGACCTGCAGCTGTCAGTCTTGGAACGCCAGAGGCCTGGCGGCGCTACGGACCACGTCCTTTGCGACTCTGATGTCGGCCCAGTCCTGATTGAATTCCCACACGTCGAGAAACAAGACCTCGGCTGCCTCTGCCAGAGACGTTGCCTCGGCTGCTGTGCGAATCGTGAACCTCAGCACCACCTCGCCGCCGTATCGTGACGCGAACTGCTCGGTTGCTGCCTGGTGCGTGTTGCCGTTACCATTGCCCAGCCTCTTCTGGCTGTCTGGCAAGCGCCATATCTTCCTAATGATGGCGTCGGACAGTCTGCGCCACGTGGGCGGCGTGCGATTGGGCGCGTTGGAGACGTCGTATGGGGGTGCCGGCTGGTTCGGCGGGGCGGCGGTCGCCGATGGAGCCGCAGCCAGAAGCAGCAGGCTCAGGGAAGCGAGCGTCTGCGAGCGCATGGTGGGTGCATGCGGGTGGGATGGCTGGTGGGCGGCCGTGGAGGCGCGGCACGGTTGTCGTTTGAGATGGCTGGTGGACGGGCGAGGAGGTGCCGCGCAGACCGACTCGGTGTTGGGACCATGGGGAATTAGACGGTCGACGATGGACCATGGAAGCAGACTAGAAGCACGCCGCGTCCACACCAGCAAGACGAGCCGTGGACTTGGCCGAGCAGTGTACCAATGCAGACTGCGTTGGATTGCGCGGCCTCTGCCCTGCGTCTATTATTGCTCGGCCTGGTTGCTGTCCTGTCTCGTCGCTGTCCTGTCTCGTTGCTGTCCTGTCCCATTGCTGTCCTGTCTCGTCGCTGTCCTGTCCCATTGCCGTCCTGTCCCACTGCCGTCCTGTCTCATCGCCATCGCCGACACATCCGCGTGCATGCTTGACCACGTCCCCGTCTGAGCCCTCGGCCTGGTACCGTGCCCGCCCAGCCCCAACGCCTCAGCCGATTCCCGCTGACGCCAACGTCTGTCGACCAGCTGGCCCGCTTCCGCTGTCGACGTCTCCCCTTGCTGCTGCTGCTGCTGCCGCTGCCGCATGCCATGACCAGCGCCGCGATCCCGCCCACGCGTACATGAGCTGCAGCCCCCGGCGCGCAGAGCAATGCGTCTCCGACCCGGACGCAGCGAGCACGACCTGAAGCGCCGCTCGACGCTGGATCTCTTCCGCCGCAGCGAGACGGGCGACGCGGGCGCGGGCGACACGGGCGCCAGGAGCACCGACGTCCTGGCGCCCGAGCGCGTCGCCGTGTCTGGGCAGGGCGCCCGTCCAGCGTCGAGCGAGGTCGAGCGCTCGCAGCCCCCCTCGCCGCGCCCCAGCCAGCACCCGCGCCGCTTCTCCATGCTGCGCTTCCGCCATGCCTCCGACTCGCAGCTGTCGACGACGGCCACGGAGCATGCTGCCCGGGACGTGCCCCCGGTGCCGCCGGTGCCCCCTGTGCCCCCGGTGCCGCCTGTGCCCGCCAGCGCCGAGCGCGCCGCGGGCCTGAGCAACGAGCGTACGTAAAGGCGCCCTGGCACGCATCCTGTGCTGTGAGCTGTGGACTGCGGACTGTGGACTGTGGACTGACGTACAATGCCCCTGCAGCACCCGCCATCATCACCACCCCGCCGACCTTTGCGGCCCCCGACCAGGGCCACCACGACCTTTACGACCACCACGATCCCTACAGCCACCACGATCCCTACCACCCCCACGACCCCCGCGACCCCCCGGCGAAGAAGCGCGGCCGCCTGCAGCATTTCACCCTGCGCCGCCGCTCGTTCGACCCGGCGAGCATCGACCGGCCCGGCGGCCTCCTGCGCAAGTCCATGGACAAGAAGCGCTCCGCGCCGCTGGCGCCCAGGAAGAGCAGACCCGACCTGCGCGAGGCCGAGGCCGGGGTCGAGGCCGAGGCAGGGGTCGAGGCCGGCCGCGTCTCGACAAGCCAGCAGCGACCCGACGAGCTGTCCGGGGCCCGCGACTTTGCGGAAGGCGCGACTGCGCTCGCGCCGCCCTCCCAACGCGCCTCCGAGTCGTCGCGATCAGACGGCAGCTCGGGCGGCCACGTCTCCTTTGAGACCAACAGCCGCCCGGCGCCCCCGCAGCGCATTGGCTCCACGCGCTTTGGCTTTGGCCGCCGGAAGCAGCGCCAGTCCCTGTTCCCGCTGCCCATGAAGATTGAGCCCCCGCAGCTCCCCGACACGGCCCCGGCAACGCCTCGAGCCTCGACCGGCGGCGTCAGCACCGCCTCGACCGGCGGCGTCAGCACCGCGTCGCCCACGGGCAGTCCGCCGCCGACTGCCCGTCTCTACGCAGAGGGCGACAATGGGACACACACGCCGCCCCTGCCCTCTGCTTCGCAAGTCGCCCTCGCAGCGAATTCGCTGAACCTCGGCTCGCCTGGACGAGGCTCGCTCTACCGCAACGACTCGTCCAGGTCCGCTCGTTCGGCCCGCTCGTCGCCCCAGCCTCCCAAGCGCGCCGGCCTGCGCGGTCGCTCGTCTACGATGGGCTCGCTGGGCGGCATGTCCGACGACAATCCCTCGCCGACGCCGCCCAATGGCCTCAGCGGGAGGAACTCGACGTCGACCACGGCAGGCCGCAGCAGCTTCAGCAATCTCTTCAGCCTGGGAAGATTTCGTCAGAACGATCTCCATCCGTCCCGGCATGGCTCTCCTGCTCACGGATACACAGGCACGTCCGGCTCGTCGCACCAGAACTCGCTCAGCATCAGCAGGGAGACCCTGGTCATGCCCGAGCGTGACGAGGGCGAGACGCCCGGTCGTTATCTCGAGCGGATCGAAGCCAACAATGTTGACAAGAGCGTCATTGCTAGCTGCTTGTCCAAGACGGACGATGCCTACCTCCTATCTGTGCTTCGGAGCTACATGCGCAAGTTTGCCTTTTTCGGCGACCCCATCGACATGGCTATCCGGAAGCTGCTCATGCAGGTGGAGCTGCCCAAGGAAACACAGCAGATTGACAGGGTGCTGCAGGGTTTTGCCGATCGCTATCACGAATGCAACCCAGGCATCTACACGAGCACTGGTAAGCCGGGCGCCGCCTCGAGCCCCGATGCGACGCTGACAGAATCCAGACAAAGCCTACTTCATCTCCTTCTCCATCATCATCCTGCACACTGATTTCTTCAACAAGAACAACAAACGAAAGATGCAGAGGCCCGACTACATCAAGAACTCGTCGTGCGAGGGCGTGTCCGACGACGTCCTCGGATGCATTTACGACAACGTCGTCTACACTCCCTTTATCCACATTGAAGACGAAGTCGACCTGAAGAACATCTCGTCGAAAAGGAGCCGGCGAACGGCTGTGCTCAAGGGGCCAAACGACCCCGCGCGAAAAGCCAAAAAGGAGCCCATTGACCCTTATACCCTGATCTTTGAAGGCAAACTCGACGTCCTCCGGCCCACTATCAAGGACGTGATGAACCTCGACGACCCCTACAACTACCTGGGCACTGCGGCCACGCTCGATACCAAGAACATTTACAAGTCCTTTACCAGATACGGCGTCATACAGATTGTCTCATCACGGTCCAGGCCAGAGGCCTTCATGTCCGAAGCCGCCCAGGAGAATCCGTTTGGCACGTCGGTTGGCATCGTCGAGATGCCAGTCACCAAGGTCGGCATACTGTGGCGGAAGGATCCCAAGCGCAAAAAAGCTCGCTCGCCGTGGCAGGAGTGGGGTGCCGTTCTCACGCGCTCTGGCCTGTCGCTGTTTCGCAACAGCAGCTGGGCCAAGAATCTAATGGCCCAGCACGAGCAGCACGTCAAGCATGGCGAGCCAGGTCCAGCCGTATTCTCCCCTGCTCTCCAAGAGTTCAAGCAAGACCACATGATACCCATGGATGGCGCTGTTGCATTGGTCGACAACACATACAAGCGCCACAAGAATGCCTTTTCCATGTGCTCCAAGATTGGAGAGGAGACGTTCCTCGCCGACAGCGAGCAGGACCTGAACGATTGGCTGGGCGTCTTGAACTACACGGCAGCCTTTGAGACCCTGGGTGTTCGTTCTAGAGGCATGATCGGTGGCTTGTACGAGGGCCAGAAGACCCGTGGCATTCGACGACTCGACTCATCTCAATCCGGCAAGTCTGTTCCCACTGCCACTGGCGACGTCATTGTCCAGAGCGGCAAGATTGACGACGACTTTGCCCGGCAGGTGGTGACAGCCCGGAGGGAGACGATGCAGGCTCGGATTTCCGAAGCCGAAGACAAGCTGGCAGATGCGATCAAAGAGCTAGAGGCACGCCTTCGTGACGCGCGGCATCTTCAGATTATGGCGCCCATCCAGCCAAAGACGCGAGAGCTTGTGATTCACGCTGCCGGGCGTCTGTCTGCGAGGCTAAAGTGGTCACGCATCGAGATATGGCGGATGAAGTGCCATCGCGACATCTTAGCACACGAGCTCGAGGACGAGAGGCAGAGCGCTACCGAGACACAAGCACGCAACAACCGGATCGCCGAATCTTCGCAAGCGCCGCCCGCGCAGAACTCGCCTGCATCTACCAGCAAGACGTCCAGAATCAGTGGCCTTGCCCGTTTGGCGTCCAAGACGAGCTCTTTGACGAGCAGTCACAAGCCACCAGTCTCTCCAGAAGGACTCGGCGCCCGTCCCACCACCAAGTCTTCTGGGAACACGGAGATGGACGAAGGCGCCTTTAAGACGCCGCCTGAGACGGCACACCAGACGAGCCCGACCTTTCCTTCTGGCTCGTACAGTGTGCCGCCAATCTCGTTCAGCCCACCCGCGTCTGATCGCCCAAGCTCCGGGACGAGCTCGTCTGTGCAGTCCCCCCGGATGTATCCAGTCGACAAGAGGCCTTCCGTGTCAACGTTTGACGATGGCACCGTAGACTCTGACGATGACTCTGACGACGACGCGGGCTACACCACGCCGCCGCTGATTGACGCAGACAGGCTGCAGCTGAAGACGCCAGAAGCGGCCACAGACGGCGCCGTGGAATCTGACGCAGAGCTGAGCCTTGTTGCTCAAGCAGGCTCGCCCGTTCCCGGCAAGAAGCACCGGCGCAGCCTGCATCGTACGCTCCGAGACTCGCATGGTGGCTCGTCGCATCGGCGCAGTCACAAGGGCCGCGACTCGGCCTCGACTATCACGAGTGAAGGAGCCTCGGAGAATGAAGGCCTGAACCGCAGCAAGGGCAGCTTCACGGTACACGGCAAGAAGGCGTCCATCATCCAGTTTGGGTCTGACTGGCACAACACCACAGCCGAGGAGCGGCTGAAGGCCAAGAAACTGCTTCAGGAGGCCGCCGAGCTGGCTTCTGCCGACGAGCGAGACGGCAGCGTCAGCGACGGCACTGTCGTGAGTCCTGCGTCTGAGCGTAACGACGACACGCCCCGCCGGCAGCTATCTTCTGAACAGGTCAAACAGCGTCACATATCCGCACAGACCATTACCCCTGAGAATTTCCACCAGTCTCTCGAGTACCAAGACGGCTCCGACGGCTCTGAGTTGAGCGATGTCGCAGAGGAGCGCACAAGCAAGGACGGTGTGCCACTGGGAGCGACAACACAAGAGCCGGCGGCAACACAAGAGCCGGCGGCAACAGAGTCTACGACAACGGAGCCCGCGTCTACAGACGCATCGTCGATAGACTGCGTCGAGCAGCCGGCCCAGCACAACGAAGACGTCGAAGAAAAGAAGCCAGAGCAGGTCAAAGTCGGCCCATGAGCGCACGGGCATCTGACACATCATACTCGCGACATACCCCTTTTTTCTTTTTCATTTGTGTTTTGCATATCCGGATCTCGAAAAAGTGGATTCTTCAGCTACAAAGTACTTTCCCTTACGTTACCTTGCCTGTTTGCATTGCGTTGCTGGCAAAACCGCGGCTTCTCTTTTACATGGTCTCTTCTCTTCAGTCGAGCGTCGCATGGCGTGGGGGAAACACGGCACGCGTGGCGCGACTTGATGGCAGCACGCTCTTTTCTCGCTCTTCTCTCCTTGGTCGCGCGGAAAGCGGGTGTATCTATAGACGGTGGCGTTCAGTCGGTTCAGTCGGCTCGGTTAGTTGCGCTGCGTTGCGCTGCGTTGTGTTGCGCTGCGTTGCGTTCAAGGCCGCGGGGGGACTGCGTGATACCACGATGCGGATCGGATGGATAGCTTGGTAGAATTGAATTCTGGAGACGGTGTCTGATGTCTTGTGCCGAATGAGGCTGCTGGCTTGATTGATTGCCTGAGCGTGATGTGCGCCGCTCGTGGTTTTTGCACGGTCGAGACGGACGCCGCAAGCAGAATCCATGTATCTGGGGTTGTGCGAGCGGGATGGAATGTAAACGCTCTTGATGTACATTCAATCGACTTCTGTTCTCCCCCAGCTTAACACTCTCGTGCCGGCCCTTGCTAAATAGAAAATTTTCCCTAAACGCCTTGACACCTTGCTGAGCTCGCGTTGTCGTATGCTTCCGCCTCTCGCTTTTGCTTTGCCGTGGTATCATGCACCCGCGTCTGCCTCGCAGTCCGCAACCCATATCACTCCGCACACGCGCACGCGCTCCAAATCCTCGCCCCCTGTCCCCCCTCCCCCCTCCCCCCTCAATGATTCCTAAAATTCTTCTTCTGATAAAACAAATCCGTACGACTACTCCCCAGATTAACAATCTTAGGACACCCATCCCTATCCTTCTCGAGGCGCGTGCACTCGAAGCAGTAAAACGCATCGCTTATCCCCTCGCCGCCGCACACGACGCACTTGTTCTGGTAGTTGCCAAAGGAGCACTCGTCGCAGATGCGCGCCAGCGTCGTCGGCCGCACGTACGAGTCGCACACGGGACACTTGCCGTCGCATTTGTCGCAGAGTCGCCCGATGCTTATCCCGGATTGCTTGCGGCACATTACTAGATCCCTGCGCGTGTTAGGAGATGGTGGCGTGAGAGGTGCCGGGGGAGGGGACTTACGGGTGGTGGCGCGACATGCTGTGTGGGTGCTTGTGGTGAGCTTGAGGGTGTCGAGAGGTGGTCGCGCGGTGCGTGAGAGCAGATGTGTAGGGAGATCTCGGTCTGTTCGTAGTGCACGGATGCGTGCGTGGTGTTGTTCGTGTCAAGGCGAGGTGAAACTGTCTGGTTGGCTTTGGAAGCTGCGGACTCCCTAGCGCGTACCGGCAATGCGCCGAACTTGTGCCCCGTGCGCGAAGCTTCGAGGCCCTTGCACGCGCTGGCAATCGCCGCGAACCACCTTCACCTTCACCCTGACACTTGACACGACACGACGCGGCATTCGTCAGTCGAAACACGAAGCTATGAGCGGCCCCATCGCATCCGCAGTCGTGCTGCCAGAGCCGGACGAAGCGCTGCCGCCGCCAGCCTCGCCGCCAAACACGCTCAAGAGAAGGCAGTCGTCTGTGGCCGAGGACAGCGTCAAGCGCGCACGGACCAATGGCGACGACGCGGCAGATGAGGGGAAAGCGCCTGCGCCGAAACGCAGGGAGAGAGGGAGAGAGCGCAGGCTGTTCGGCGCGGTGCTGGGTGCGCTGTCGCAGAACCCCACGACGGCCGGGCAGAAGCGCCGGTCCGAGATCGAGAAGAGGCAGCAGGCCCAGCGGAGACAGGAAGATGAGGAGAGCGAACAGAGGAAGGCGGAGCGCTTGGCGAGACGCAAGGTGCAGCGGTGGAAGGAGCAGAAGCGCTTCGAGCGCCAGGCAGTGAGTCGAGGCCGAGGCTGACCTGTTCGAGATGGAGCTGATGCCGTCCAGTTGCGAGTACGACACGACAACATGCTGCACCGGGCGCACTTCCTCCACACCAAGACCGAACCGCGGCTGTACTACAAGCCTTGGGAGATGAGCCCGGAAGAGGAAGACCGGATCGACGACCAGATTGCCGAGGCTCGAGCGACGATACAACGCGAAGTGGACGAGTATGAGCATCGCCAAGAAGAGGAGAGGAGAAGAGAGCGACGGGCGACGCCAGACGCGTCGACGCACCGCGGTGAAGCCAACCTGCCAGACGGCGAGAACCAGCACACAGACCCAGCCCAGCTGCGCGCTGCAGACAACGCAACCACAAACGGAGGCGGGACACACGCACAGGACCAGGAGATGCAAGACCGGCACGCAGAAGAGACTGCAGATCGTCCAGGCGAAGCGCAACACACAGACGAACCTGCCATGGACACTAGTCCGCCCGAGCCCGACACCACCGCCGACGAGCCCATCAAGGACGCCGACGAGGAAGTCGTAGAAGCTGCCGAGGACACCGTTATTTACTAGATACCCATGCACTACGACCGTCGGTCAGCGCAGCAACTTCAATATACGACCCGTTTCCCATGTCCGCCAAGACACTCCTTCCCTTGACCTCCCATCCCAGATTCCCCTAGCTTTACGGTTGCAAGCCTGGTTCCCAACCAACAAGAGGCCAGCGAGGACCGGTACTGAAACACTGCAGCTCGAGACGGGCAGGCTTTGAGATGCTTGTCTCACTTCTGGCTGCCTAGGGTTTCTTATCCTCTTTGACGGTGCACAATACATAAGCGTACAGGCCGGCGAACTTGGACCCTGCATCGTTTCCCTTAGCAGCAGAACCACAACAGGGGCGTTCTTGGGAGCAGCGGCCTTACCAAGACCGTAAAGTCGCCAATCTTCGCGACCCGTTCAGCTGTCAATCAACCTGTCTCACACTCACAGAGCTGCTGGGTTCCCAGCCCAGCGTTGTATGTCGTACGACGTACGGTCAGCCTTGCGGGTGTGATAGCTAGTTGAGTAACAAGACAAGATGGTCAGGTAGTCGATGTACAGGACTGCGTTAATACGTAGCATAGATATGTATGCGACGCGTGCTATTCCTCACGCAATACAGGTCGTTGACAAATGCTTCACGCCCCGCGGCAACGAGGGTGTTGCTTGGTTGAGAATCGCTGTTGGGTCCATCTAGCAAATGCCTTGACTGCTTTTTCAGCGCTGTTGGGAGTAGTACGTGGCCTTGATAGCAACAACTTACGCTCTGCGCTGCATCTCTTTCTCTGTGCAGATGAATCCCGGTGTGTGATAGACGCGTCTCGGTAACCGAACACGCTATGTATCATCTCCAGACAGAGAAGCGCCCCACCACTTTTGGCTTTGTCTTGTCATATGCATGCAAAGATTTACCATCATCGCTTCTTTTTAGGAGGATGTTCATCATTGGATATTGAAAGTTAATGTATTGTAATCACGAGCAGGCTGCTCCAGAGCCCGTATCTGAATTTGTTGCGGATGCAATTAAAGTTGTTGCGGAACGTCCGCAGAGGGTAATCGTGGTAAGTGAGATGGAATCCGCAACTATCGTTAGAACTGATAGTTGCAAGGCCTCCTTGTCTAGCGCTCAGAGTGGTGTGCAAGGTTTGAACAATACAGAACGATGGTTGCAAGCGCAGCTATTGATAACGGCTATATCTCGTCTCGTCCACATCCCTGGCAGTCGCTGGCGATGGCCCCTCCTCCCTGAACCTCGGCATCGCTCGACCCTCCAGTTGAGCCGCAACGAGCCTTAGCATCGCGCACCGCGACTCGACCACTGCAGACGAGCAATTGCGTGGAACCCCGGATCTCGTGCAGATCACCAACAAACCCTATTTCTCGTTGAATTGAGGACTCCGGCAATGGCCGACCAACCTATTCGCCCTGATGGCGATGAGCGCGTTCAGCACAAGACTGCTGTATTGAATGGCATCACCTACCACTATCTGTACGCTGTTCCAGAATCTGGAACATGGACGGATACTGTTTTTCTGGTGTGTGTTCCATCAACCCATTGAAAATGTCGCCTTGCGTGGCCGGCCACGCGTGGTCATCGCAAGTCACACGTGGCTGCACACATCACTTCATTGCCTCCAAAGCACAGCCAAGAAGCGTGCTGGATGGTGCTAACGAGATTTTCAGATCCACGGCTGGCCCGATCTGGCGCTGGGCTGGCGCTACCAGATCCCTCTGCTCGTGAGCCTGGGCTTGAGAGTCGTGGCGCCGGATATGATGGGATATGGCGGGACGGTAAGTGCCTTTCCTGGCTTTCTGATGCCACTCGGGTTGCTGCGGTTGATATGGATTGTGGTGCTGAGTGCTCATAGGACGCACCCGAGGTCCCGCCAAACACCATCAGTCTGTATGGTTGCAAGCGCGCTGCAGACGACATCGCCTGCCTGGCAGAGATAGTTGGTGCCCAGAACATCATCTTGGGAGGACACGATTGGTTCGTACGCACATCCTGCCGCATGTTAAAGACTGACTGTGCAAAGGGGAGGTGTCGTGGTCTGGCGCACAGCGCTATGGTATCCCGACTTGGTGTCCCACGTCTTCTCCGTGTGCAGTACGTCCCCTCTCCATTTCTAGCGTCTCATGCTCATAGCGATGAACAGCACCGTACACCGCGCCAAACAAGCAGTTCTTCTCCATCGAGCAGTTGGTAAAAGGACCATTGCCGCAGTTTGCGTACCAGCTGCATCTTGCTTCGGGCGAGGTGGAGAAGAGCGTATACGATGAGACGACCATTCGGCAGTTCCTCAAGGGAATATATGGCGCCACGGGCCCAAACGGGGAGCCGGCATTCGAACCCTACAGGGGCGTTATCAAAGAGAACCTAGCCAAGGTCGGCGAGAGCAAGATCCTTAACGGCGAGGTGAGCACAAGATCCATCATGCGCCCAGTGACGCGTTATGAGGAATTGTTCCTGACAACAGCACAGGTGCTCGACCACTACGTCGCGCAATACGTGCGCCACGGCATCCACCCAACCCGTACGCCCTCATCCATTCTCTGCACCCCCGCAAAGCTAACAGCACAGTAAACTGGTACCGCCAGCGCCGCACAAACTGGGAAGAGGATCAGGCGCTCCTCGACGAGACAACCATCACCCAGCCCGTCCTCTTCATCCAAGCAGCCCACGACTCCGTCCTCAAGCCCGAGATGTCCAGGGGCATGGAGAAGCTGATCCCCAAGCTGACTCGTGCAGAGGTCGACGCTTCGCACTGGGCGCTGACACAGAAGCCCGAGGAAGTGAACACATTGATCAGGCAGTGGTTGGAGAAAGAGGGGTTGGTTAAGACGAAGAGTGCTCTGTAGGGACGTGAAGAGGGTGGACATGATGGGTTGCTGGAGTGGGGATGGGGACGGCAGTTGCGCTTTGGTTGCACGTCTTGCACTGGGCCGTCGAGATTAATGGATCGAGGGCTGTGATCTTGGCTGACAGTGTGCTTGGCTGTTGTTGATTATCTTTGGCATCGACTCAGGTGCTTCTATACGACGAAAGATGTACGCCTTTGCATGACGACTCTAGTGAGGTCCATTTGTAGGGTGTGAGGCAAGCACCGCGTATGCAATGACGATATAGCACTTGTGGGAGATGCGTCGCTCATCGTCTACACACGTTCTGTGTGCTAAGGCAGAGCATCACTCAATACTTCATCACAATGTCAAAATTTACAACATGCCGGATGCAGAGCCCTTGGCGCAAGCAGATATCGCTGCACGGAAAAACACATACCCAGCAACACAACCAGTCTGCACTATGTACCGAAAAGTACCTGTTCACGGCTGAAAGGAGTTGCAACCGCGGTATCGGCGGAATCGACAAGGTTGTGCATGGGCGCGGAAGCAGCTCCCCGATTCTCAATCCAGTACGGAGGGTGTGCTACGAGTCGGACAGGGTACCTTGTGCACCCTGACCGCCTCCGTCTCACCTTTGCATTCGTGGTCGCAAGGACATGGCCGCGAGCGGAGCTGAGCTGGCGCGATACAAAATGAGGGAAACATCTCCGTTCACCGCTGGGCGTGAACGGTGAATGAGCAATGACCGGAGTGTGAGGTTGCCTTCCAGAGCGCGCAATTGGGGCAGCTCTTGTAGCGTACCTGGGGGGCTACGAATTTCAGCGAAGTGTGGCCTATTCCTGGGAACTTGCTCTTGCTTGCTGCTCTGGGTAAATCGTGCATTAGTGTGTTCGCTTGCCGGATTTGTCGTCAAGTCGCCGATAAACGGTGCCCAGGTCGTAGCGCTGATCGTAAGATGGTCTAGCCGCTGTGATGCTGCGCGGAGGTTGCTTGAGAGCACATGTCGCGCTTTCATGATGGCGTGCATGCAATCGAGTATCTGGGCGTTTCGTGTACATTCGTGTTGGCTTATCGAGGGAGGCGCACAGCGATTGGTGACGTTGAAGTAAAGGTGGTGTTTCGGTGGACCCGGGCTTTAGGCGAACCAAACGGTGCCCCGTTTCTCGGGTCCACAACTTCTGCCGTGTACCCTGCGTCTGTCGGCTGGGCCTCATTTTAACTGCTTTTGCCGTGCCGCTCTCATGTTGTATAATCGTCAAATGTGTCAACTTGAAAAGACCCAATCGCGTGTTGATATAAACAGATATACATGATATTTGCTGACTGTGGACTGACACCGCATCTCAATGACGATGGCATTCAATCAGCTAGGTATCTTGTATGATCGGCATGTTCTGATCAGCCAAAAACTGTGGACTCGTCGACTGACAAACGTCATGCATTCGATATCGCTGCAATGCAGCATCTTGCAGGACGATTATCTCGCAGCTGGCACATGTCAATCATAGGTATGTCACTTACGCTGGGCGAGCTGTCGCCCAGTCGCAGCTACATTCGCGAGTGATGTCGTGTCATACTTCGGATACTGATAAGCATGTGCTGTGAACCATAATCCCGAGGATGTGGTTCGCATCGTAGACGGCCGGCAATTGGCTGATCCTCGGTTGCAAGGCTACAAAGCGTGCACCGTTTCCGATCAAGATTGGACAGAACGTACCAACTTGAGTTCCGCCGGTAGGATCCGCTGAGGTACATACTATGGGCAGAAACGTGCTCTGCCGGGAATCCTGGCAGTGACAACTTATTGAGAGCGTTCTTTGAGCGGCAAAATTGTCGCTCGAGTAGAGTCCATACTCAGTTTCAGTCAACATCCTGGGCTACGACAAGCTGTTACCTGCCTGAAGTAACTCGCCGACGAGATGGCGCAACGTTGGGATGACCGCATTGGCAACGGAGGCGATAGCGAGAGAAGACGTGCTGCTTTCGAGGCGCTGAAATCTGTACTGCGCTGTGAGGCGCTGTGAGGCTTGCAGTACTCATGAGCAGAGTGGGTCCACGAGAACTACCTGGAATGACTGCCGGGCGACTGCAGGTCATGTTCAAATGAGACAGCGCCTTCAGGATAAGTCCGCCTTATCGTCGTTCCACAGCGCTACTGCGGCCTCCGATAGAGCATCGTTCCTCAAATTGATTCCTCCTCAGACATCATTCTATGACCACTGAGTGATATTAGGTATGGCCGTTGTGCAAGCTCCGGCGCATCGACGCTGCTAGTCCGGCAGAACGCGAGTCAAGCCGTGTTCAGCCAATGACAGCATGCTGCGGGTATTCCGCATAGAATTCCGGTTCGTCAAGAGGGCGCTCTAGCTCCAAGATCACACCACGCATAGACAAGATAGAAAAGAGCATCTCGAGGCGGCCATGGCAGGCAGTTGTCGTGCGCATCGTTATGCATGTGCATTAAGCCAGGTTGATCGGTCCGGCAAATGACGTGGATTCCTGGATCTTTGCTCTTGCGAGCGCTCCTATCTCGCCAATGCACAAGTAGTTGAATGAAGCTGAATATGAGATTGGTCCTGGAAGCCGTTAGTGTGTGTTCCGCCTGTCAAGTATATCAGCCTCCACGTTCTCCCGTGGGGTGGTGCTCTATCGCCCTCAACGCTACTCACTGCTTTACTCTCCCACTTTTCTCGTAATGGCACCATCAGCATTGGCAGATATCTACCCAATCCCAGCAAGACATTACTCAAAGTCTTCGAGTGTAGTGGCAAGTGTCCTGCATGGACCACGGGATCTAAGGCTGGTAAGCGTGCCGTTCCGCTGCACATCCCACGCCGCCCACTGATCGTGGGGTGCATGCATTTGGACCTGAGACAGAACAATAACCGACGAATAGGAAACTCGATCGATCTCAGACCCCAGCCCTGGTGAACTCCAGATTGCCATCAAAGCGACTGGCTTGTGCGGCAGCGATGTGTCGTACTACAACAAATTCCGCAACGGTGACTTGCAGGCAGTACAGCCGCTGAGCCTCGGTCACGAATCAGCTGGTGTCGTAGTTGCGATCGGTCCAGGTGTGGAAGGCTTCACAATCGGCGAGCGAGTGGCCTTGGAAGTGGGCGTGCCCTGTGACAACTGCAGATCATGTCAGCGAGGGCGATACAACCTGTGTCCATCGATGCGCTTCAGAAGCAGCGCGAAGTCCGTGCCTCACTTCCAGGGTACGCTCCAGGAACGCATAAACCATCCAGCGAAATGGTGCCATAAGTGTGTCTTGCATATTAGCACGGCTGGGCACAGCATAAGCTGACAACCTTATTCAGACTTCCCTCGCATGTCTCTCTTGAATCTGCTGCACTGCTCGAGCCGTTGTCTGTGGCCATCCATGCTACACGACGAGCCGTAGTCGAACAGGGTGATACAGCCATTGTCTTCGGTGCGGGCACTGTTGGGTTGCTGACTGCAGCCATGGCAAAGATGTCTGGCGCGACAACTGTCGTCATCGTCGACGTTGACCATGGTCGTATTGAATACGCGCTGTCCAACGGCTTCGCGCACAAAGGCTTTGTAGTTCCGTCACGCAAGAATGCCGATGAGCGTGTAGGCCAATTTGACTACGCAAAGGAGTTCGCCGGAGACGTCACGCAAGTTGCCTCCCTGGACGATGCCGACTTCGAAGGGGCGGACGTAACGTTTGATTGTACTGGCAAGGAGATCTGCATGCAAGCCGGGCTCTTCGTAAGTACACTATTCGCAATAGAACTCGGTCAGTATCTGACAAAAGATAAGGCAACAAGACCTGGTGGGAAACTCATAATGGTTGGAATGGGTACACCCGTACAAACTCTTCCAATGTCTGCGTCTCACCTGAAGGAAGTTGACATCATCGGTATTTTCCGGTATGCAAACACCTACGCGACGGGAATCAAGATCATCTCGTCCGGCGTGCTTCCAAACCTTGACAACATGATCACACACCGCTTCAAGGGCCTTGCTGCTGCCAAAGAGGCGTTCGAGCTTGCTGGCACTACGACGGACAAGGATGGAAACCTTGTCCTAAAAGTGCTCATCGAGGCATGACCTTACCCTTCCCATACTTTAGCATGGGCTCCAAAGGCTTTCCTGGGTTCGGCGTTTCGGCATTTGTAGGTTTGAGATACCATTCGTTTACCAGCATACCTAGAGGTACCATAATGAAACAGAAGGTCTGTTGAGAATCATCTGAATACCAAGTCGTCCACCATGTCAAAGGTGCTAAATCGTGCAAGTCTTCAGACTGACTGTGACCTGTGCATGGGATGGCGAAGTCCCAGTTCAAAGACGTGGACGATGAAAGAAGGGTGCGGCGACTCCCACCGGCGAGGGACAGCGCCTTCTTTCACACGTTCGCCAAGACCTGTGGGGCTTGTGGGTCCGTCGGTCGAAGCTCTAGAAGCTCCCCGCGGCCGCTGTTGCCTCCAACGCCGCTCTCCACCACAATCAGAGCCACCCGATTGCGGTGATAAACGCTCAATTCCCATACCCACCGCCCACACACTACGACCACTAAGATGGCGGGGGGCAGCGAAAACCCACTGCTTTCAACCTTGCGAGCGTCAGACACGAGTCCTATCGTTCAGCTACACCCGCTTGTGCTCCTCACAATAACCGATTGTATATCACGACACACATTGCGACAACAGCCAGGGCCAGTTGTTGGGGCTATCCTTGGCGCCCAAAATGGCCAGGAAGTCACTATGGAAGTGGCTTTCCAAGCCAAGTTGAACTCGAGTGCGGAGGGTGAGGTCACACTCGATGACGAGTGGTTCAGCAAGCGGTTAGAAGATTGTGAGTCGACTTGTGATCTGAAAACATATCATCACGGGCAATCTGACCATTTCTATAGTCAAGGAAGTGCACAAGCAGCCCCAACTCGACCTGGTCGGCTGGTTCACACTCGGTTCAGCCTCAGGGCCGGGTGCCCACGTTCTACCCATCCACTCGCGCATTACAGAGTTATACAACGACTCACCTATCCTTTTGCTCTTCCATCCAGAGCGCACATATACGGAAGCAACAGCAGCGGGCAAGCTACCATTGACTCTGTACGAGTCACTCTCGGAAAACGCGCCCAATGACCCCAACGACAAGGCGATGGACATCGATGGCGCAGTCCGCGCAAAGGCCATCAAGTTCAGGGAGTTGGTTTACTCGGTCGAGACGGGCGAGGCTGAGATGATCAGTGTGGACTTTGTTGCTCGTGGAGGAGGTAACGCCACCGCTGTTGAGGGCTCTGTTGAGACCTCTGCTCTGGCAGCTGAGACTTCCAAGGCCAACGAGAGTGCCTCTAAGAAGGGCAAAGGGAAACAGAAGGAGAAGGACAGCGAGAAGGATGCGCCTATCGACGAGGCAGCAGTGCTGGACGCAGATGACGAAGAAAGTAAGTGATCCCAAGTTCCGGATATGGTCAATATGCGCTGACAATTTGCAGTACTCTCGTCACTGACGGCAAAGATGAACGCTGTTCGCATGCTCAGTCGCCGTGTCGCGCTTCTCCGCGCCTACCTAGACGCACTGCCACCATCGTACCTCTCGGACGCATCTATACCCCACAACGCGGCTGCAGACACCGGAACCTCACTCCCGCTAGACCATACCATTCTCCGCAGCATCTCAGCCACGCTGGCCCGTCTCAACATTCTCGCTCCGCCAGATTCCGAGGCATTCACTCTCGAGTCACAACAAGAGGCATCCGATGTCCAGCTGGTGAACCTCCTGGCATCTATCACCAACTCTGTGTCTTCAGCCAAAGAACTGGGTCGCAAGAGCCAGATTGTTGAGAATGCGAAGAGCCAGGGCAAGAGCCGAGTGGGCAACATGATGGGCGGATACGGCGGGCCACCTGACGGCAACTTCTTCGACATTGGCGGCGGTGCTGGGGGCATGCGGGCAGGTGGCGAAAGGTGGTCATGAGCAACTCACCTTCTCTACCTACCACCCTAGCGCCGTTGTCTTGGGAGATTTGCTGACACGCTGAAGCATTGCTCACCGCTCCGCTCCCAAAGTTGCATCCAGTGCGATACAGGCATCGATGAGTCGTGCCTCGACAGCTGGCGTTGAGAACTTAATCATTAGAAGGAAGATCACGGCATGGGCAGCACGCGCTTGAATTCGAATCTCGCGAATCAAGGGCCAGGTGAAGGCCTCCCCGGTGCAAATGGCGAAGACACTCAGCAGCGTCTCAGTACGTTCAGGATTAGAGGTAAAATTGACGAAGAGCAATGGCCGGCACCACATATTTCAGTGCCACGGGTCCCTGCCACAAACAGCCCACCCTACGGTACAATCGCTCCCTATAACAGCATTGATAGCGAATCGACATTCGTCGAAAGCACAAGTTCCGAATTATTTTTCAGGATGAGAACTCGCCGCGTATGGTCAGGAGTAGCATAGCGTTAGATCCCTTCGAATACCCCACGATAATGTTACACGATACACGATACAAAACTGCTTTTCAGTCACTGACACGCCCAAGTCTTGAAATATGATAATTGATTTGAACCAAGTCTACCGTACGCCCAAAGACAATCGCCGACATACGTTATAAAGAGTTGCCATCACTTGCACCACCCAGTCTTCGCACCGCCATCTTGTGGTCGTTGCGGATCCAGCACAAAGCGCCCATTCGGTCTTTCAACATCCTTGATTTCACATCTGGACAAGAAAAGCAGCTCCTTGTCATATTTGGCCCTGTCAACGTCCTTGATCTGACTGATGCGTCGACGCCACTTATCGTAGAAGCTGCGGACTGAATGCCGAAGCTCTTGCAGATCGCGAGGTAAAGTCGAGAGACTGTGGTTCGGACCTGACAGAAGGCAGTGAGGCTGCGTCCTTGGGCGAAGATGGTGGAGACGATGTCGTGAAGTCAAAATTAAAGGATCTGTCTGTCGAAAACCGTGGAGGTGTTGGGGGCGGCTTTAGTAGGCCTGTCTGAGGCTTCTTGAACTCGCGCAGTGGGACTGGGATGTGCAGGTCTCTGAAGGCGTCGTCTACGTCCTGGCCTAAAGTGGACGTAGCGGTCTGCGACATGCGGCCGTTAACAGCGCTCCCGTCAATGAATCCCCAGAAAGAATGTAACACACGCTCTGCCAGTTGTTGTTCGTCTTCGGCGTGTGTTTCGGTATGTGCGTGCATCGACACGACGTGATCCGACGCGACGCGATCTGACGGGCCAGGTGCCGTGTCTCGTTCAATATGTGATGGAGTGGGTCTCGCAGCTTCGAATGACCAATCCTGCGTATCCTCACTCCCATCTATCGAACCTGTGTCCTCCTCCAGGCTACCTACCCACGCTGTATCGACCTCGTTGGCATCGAAACCAACATCGCCGCCTGATTGTTCAAACTCTTCGGGCGAAAAGTGATTGAGCATCCAACTAGCGTCGACACCGTTGAGTGGGTGGGTGTACTTGATATCGACAGGATGAAGTGGATCAGTGCTTTCGATGTAGCCGTAGTCGTATTTGTAGTCAGGATGATCAGGTCCATTGACTTTTGATTGCTCCGGTATGTCCTCAGGCAATACTTCTCTGCGAAGCGGAGACGGCGCCTTCTTGAAGTGTCCAAGACTGACTCGAACAGTGTGCTCCTTGGGCGCATGTGGGAACAAAGTTCGTGTATTCCATGTGGCAGTGTTGAACTCGTCCTTCAGCTGTTCAACCAAAGCATTCACCTCTTGAACGCCAGGGAAGCGCATCTCCTTCAATCGCCCCAGGAAGATCTCTGCCAACCTCAGCTTTCGCTTCCATCCACCTTCGAAAGCCTGGTACTGACAAGGGCCACAAGCCACGGCGAACACGAAGTTGAGGTACGCCTCGGACCTGCAAGCGGTCGTCAAGCCAGTTCTTGTGTTCTTGTGCTTGGTTCCTCCACATTTTGAATGTTGAAGTCGAAATCCGTGACGGCACGCATACCAGTGCTTCACTACCTTGCACATCACGATCGTCTTGCTGATTGCTAGAGCTCTGCGATAGGGTGGCGCGACGTAAAAGTGATCGTAGAGCGAGTGGAAACGTGTTTCATGATTTGCGTACCTGATCGAGTCTGGTACGTATCTTCTGTGTGGCAATGGCGGATGAGTGTCAGTAGCAATGATTGTCGTGTGGTTATCGTAGAGTAAGCGGGTGTCTGTGGCTGACTGCCTGTACCATACTGCTTCAAGTGAGGCGTAGCATGTTAGAGAGGTATCTGAGCCCGCAGCTGAGGCTGTAGTCAGGCGTCACCGACAGCGTCTATTTGTAATGGCCATGGCTGTAATGATGGTCGAGTTCACGGTGACTGCAATGAAGCATAGGTGAAGGTGGCCATTGGGCCGGGATCGATTTATTGACGGCTTTTGGAAATTTTGGTCATTGAGAAGGTGATTCAGGCGCAGGTGTAAGACTGGAGTTTGAGGAAGTGCAGGTTTTGCCGTCACGTGTCATTACCTTCACGCCATTTTAAAGACAATCGATCTGATTTTAAGGGTGTGTGTAACATCAATCCTCAGCACCAGATGATTTAGTCACCACAGGCAGCCGCTGTACGCCCTTCATCGAGTGGTAACCGCTGAGTCCATCTACTTGCGCTGGGGTGCGTTTGTTGCTACCCAGAACCCTGCAAGAGCTGAAACGTTCAACGGCCCAACGGCAGCAACGGGCAGGTAAAGCAACTTTGGCAACATTCCGGGCTGCAACCATAGTAAAGTCTATTTATTATCACGGAAAATCCCGCGGCCTGAAAGTTGTCGAACACATATTGCCTAAACGTGGCAGCTAAGAGCAAAGATTGGGACTTAAAACGACACAATGATTGCGGATGCTGAATCTAGCTTCTTCGATTCGGATAGAATGCAAACAATGCATGCCGCGCCTGCTCGCTAGCATAAAGAACAGCTCATGGCGCATTACGCATTACTTCGTGAAAGGATTAGTATAGTAGTGATGAGTGTATGCAAGCATGGGAATAGAACTGAGAGGACCGGCCGTGTCTGTGTATCCAACGCCATGCCGAATCATGAAAATGTACAACAAGAAAAGGAAACCCAGAATGCCTGGTCCCAGTGCACAATCTCTAGTAGCGCGCCGCGGGTCCATGTGTGTGGTCTTCCTGCACAAGAACACCCTCCTTTACACCTTGTTTCTCAACCTTGGACATCCAGTCCACCTTCTTCTCTTTCCTCAGCATCCATCCGCTGAACACTTTCTTCAATTTGCTCTGCTGCTGAGTCTTCTGCAGCTTCTCTACATTATGAAATGCGTGTTGATCCGGAGTGTCCACGCTGGTGGTCCGCGGGAAGCTGTTCTGCTCCATGCTCATCTTGCCAAGAGATGAAATATCGGTGCTCTGGTGACGAACGTGGCCGTTGCGGGGCGCTAGATTCCCAGCCGATGCAGACCAGCCAGTCAGTACTTGGGAAATTTCGCCTTGGTCCGGTCGGGGAGAGCTCTTTTTCGAGTCTGCTCTCTGCTTGTTGTACATGGGCGATCGATGGCTGTGTGCAGATGGACTCTGGGGATAAGCTTGCGCGTATTGCACAGCAAGAGTGTCAGACCCACTTCTCCTGTGGCTGTGATGGCTTCGTGTTGGCGAGAATGGGCCTTGTTGCTTGTCTTGGGCGCGCATGACGCTGGCGATGTGCGAACTCGACAGCTCTGGCTGTGGCTTGACCTCGCCCTTCCAGGAATCAAGGCTAGGCAGAGGTGGCAGCTCCCGATTGAGGTTTACTTCGGACTTCTTACGATCGGACTCAGCGTCACGACCCCTCGTTCCTGGTCTGCTGTTGCTCCTAGAGTTGACCCTTATTCTTGAGCCCCAACTTCGCCAGCCGCGCTGAGATTCAGTTCGCGTTGGCTCGACATCATCATCGTCGTATAGAGCTAAAGATTCCCTAGATTGTGTCCGGCTCAGTGCTCGAGAGGGAGCTCGGGACACAGTTGTGCTGCCCGGAAAAATATACTCTTTGATGTTGTTCTTAATACTGCGCGCACGGCTTGGTGGTCGAGCGGCGGTAGCAGGTGATTGCTGAGGGGAGTCGTTCTGTTGTCTCCTCCTCTCAAGCTCCTTCCGCATCCACTCAGCAGCCTGAGCGTCTGCAATCGCCGCTGGTTCCAGCTGGCGAGAATGACGATTAGATGTGCGTCCTGATGTGAGTGCCGCGGACGAGGGTGCGGTCGATGCCTGATTGAAGCAGGCGTCGGTGGTAGAGCCGGTCATGGGTGTGGCGAGACTATCAGCATCGCCAGACTCCTGTCTGGTGCGCTGAGAACGTCCCCTCTGCACTGTGGTCTCCGTAGGTGCTGGCTTTACAGTGGTGTACTTCTTTGCCGCAGAGCGTCCTCTTTCATCAGAAAAGGCATCGTCGAATCGTTGTCGAGCCGACTTGGTGCGAACAGGCAAGGCGCTTTGTGCAGCCTTCTTTGCTTCTGCCTCTGCTCGTAATCTCCTGGCTTCGAGGGCAGTCTTCAGGTCCACAGGCGCTCCTGTAGGCATCCTAACCCTGACATCGTTTGCACCTGCGGCACCTGCTGCAGTCTTCTGCTGCTCGCCTTTGCGCCTGTTCATTGCACCAAAGTCCAGGCGGGGATCAGTGTCTTCCATGCCATGGTCGGACGGCTTGAAGTTCTGCAGAATGAGGCGACATGCCACGCGCAGCTCGCGTTCTGTGTGGGCGTCAAGCGGCTGGCGGCTGATATAGGCGGCGAGATGGGGGAAAACATCATTCGAATGATGCCTCCTGTGTGACTGCGACTCCTTCTGCGGTTGGGCCTGCGCCGGCGTGGACTCTGGCGTCTTCTCCTTGGCGGCGCCCGTCTTGCCGGGAATCTTCTGCGCGGTGTTAGGGCACCACGGCTATGCCGAATAGCAATAGGATGCTTACAACGGGCGCCAAGTTGAAGGAGAACTTGCGCTTCATAGTCATGGGTAGTTGCGATTAGGGATACGGTGCACAATGGCCTGTATACTTGGGCAATTTGGGCGGTGTGGCTGGCACGGCGACGGCTACGACGAGGAACGTGAGGCGCGCGTGCACGTTGTCCGCATTCGTATCCGTATCTCTGTTGCTGCAAGCCGCTCTCAATGACTGCAACTCGACAGTAAGAATGGGCGGGCCTCCAAAAACCGGGATCAGTGTCGCGGCGTTGACGGTGACAGGCAACACGAACTGGAGGGCGCCGCGGTGGATATATCGCCTGGTGCAGGAGGTTGTTTGGGTTTCAGGCTGGGCCTCGACTGCATCGCAGCCGGGGTCTTGTCGGTTTTAACACAAGGCCCTCTGCGTGCACCAGCCAATGGCGTTGCATTCACCTCCGAACCACGGCAGCCACCACTCTCCCCGTACTGCAATTACACGAATCGCGTGGACAGCCTTTCACACCTCATCTCTCGATGCAGTCCGATGCTTGTCGATGCCGCGTCAAGATGCCCTCCAGCGCCTCCACACTGGTCTCGCGCTGCCGCAGTAGCCTGCCTTAGCCTGCATATACCTGCAGCACCGTGCAGCACCTCTCCGTCTTGCACTCCTTTCAGCTGCACCTATCTGCACCCACTCGCGAGATGCGCCGACCCGCTGGATGCGCCGACCCGCTGCTCCAGAAGGCTTGCCGGTCGCCTATCAGCCGTCGACTGCGTAGACCCTTTTGCGGGGTGCTAGTCTCACTCATACCTTTTTCAGCCATCGTGGCTCGCCCGTAGCCTCACCGCTATCTATTGAGCAGTACAGTAGCACGGAGAAGTTCAGAGCCATAGTGACCGTTGCACCTTCAACCTTTCGACCAGCTCTAGGGCTGTGTCTTGCTCTGCCTCTAAACTTCCGCTCACAGTCGCACGGCGCATGTCGTGCCACTGATCACGTCGGGACCATGAAACGTCTCCCCAAACGGTCGCTTGTCTATGTCCTTCAGTCACTCCTTCGTCATTTCTATATCGATTTCATCCGTTGTGCATGTTCAATTATTGGCCGGTATTGGCTAGTCTCAGAACGGCGAGGATCGCCTCGTGAAGTCAGGTACCTTCCTTGTCAGATGCACAACACAACCCTCATGACAACGCCAACGCTTTCAGCCACTCTGTGCGCCGCAAATCAGAGAAGGCTGTGAAGGCGTTGATCTCGGTAGATGTCGCATCGCCGACAGAAGCAAACATCGGTGACTGAGCTGCAGCACCGGCCACTATCCCGGCTCACAGGCCGACTTTCCTTGCCGTCGCCTGAGGCGAAACCTACAGCTGTAACAAAGCGCGGAAATTACTCATTGGCGCAGTCATGCAACAATAACGTTAAATGGGGAAGGAAAAGCACAAAGACACGTTAAGGTTCAAACCCTAAGTTTGCATGAGGGTACTGGTGTCGCAAACTCAAGGAAATCGATGAGGGCAGATTGCAGCACAATCAGACACTTTGGAGTTGATGGAAACGCTGCAGCCTTACAAGCTTACGATAACACTCTAGGATTCCGAGCATTCAAGCATTACTCGAGTGCTCTGAACCACTGGGTTTTTTCCCCAAAGCCTTCGCTACACATTGAGCATTGCAAATGTGCGAAGACCTCCAGGGCTGTGTGAGATTCCTAGAAAACATGCCGAAGCTGTCATTCAAGGAGTGCAACCATGAACTCCGTTGACGGCAGAAGCCTACAGGAACCGAGTCAATGCTTCAGCCCGGGGGTAGTCATACCGTCAATAGCAACAGATGATGGCTTGAACGATCATTGCCGATCTAAAGAGCCCGCTACTAAAGACTATAAGCATCTTGCAGTTCCCACCCCCATGTCGTTGGAACTCTGCTTCCGGGTATCGAAAGTTCAAGTCGAACACTTAGTAGCGACTCCCACTGGCTTCATCACCGTCTCCAAATCATCTGCAGAAGCAATTCTCGATAGCAAAAGGCTTCTTTTCTATGGAGGCTGTATGCAGTGCTCTACAGCTACCAAACCCCAGGAGGAGATCGACCACCTCATACACACACCAAAAGATATGATCTATTCTTCTAACACCGCGTCGCTAACCTTCCATCATTGACTCGGTCTCATCCTCGAAACCATTAAGCCTGCGTTCGAGACCGCCCGTTCGAAGGTGGAAATCTTTCACTATCTGTTGAAGGCTTTGGTACGGCCCTTTGCAATCCCCAGAGTTTGTGGTCCACGATGTCGGGTTTTGAACATGAAGCGGCCGGTCGCAGTACAACATAGCACTGGTCGTCGGTACAGACGATCACCTGGGTAGTCGAAGCTTCCAGGGCTAGAGGAGCATCCGTAAGCACTGCTGGTACGTCTCTCGTGACATTAGAGTTCACGTGAGGTTGAACCGGGCGTAGTAGTGGTAGTGGTGTGCAAAGTACACGGCGGCTAGTGGTAGGTCGTTGTACGAGAGGCTGTATGGATGGACGGCGTAGTGCTCTCAGCGTATTGTGTGGAGCGTAGTGGCGAGGAGATTGTAGTCTCTGGACCGGAAAACACAACTTCGCTATACGTTCATGGGCTATCTTTTGGGTTGTCCGAATTCACCATCCGTTGGGTTCGGGTCGAGGATTAGCTTCCCTGGATCCTCTGCATTAAGAACCTACTCGAAGCCTGCACAATGTCGACATGCTGAACAGCAACACAGCCACTTGCAAACACGACAAAAAGCAAAGACAAGTTGGATCCGCATCATGGATGTGACATGATGGGTATTGCATTGTATCTTCTATCAGATAAGAATGATAATGAGCAAGTAAACGAGCGACCAGAACGACCATGGTTTAGTGACCTCCGCCCCAGTGCTTCATGCCCTCAGGCCTGCGCCATTGCAGCTCCTTGCCCTCGTAGCCCAAGTCATCCTCGCCACCGTGGAAGAGTGCGCATACTGATCGGTAAATGCTGGATCCACGTGTGCTGGCCTTGGGGAGCATCTGAGGAGCCTCGACCGACCCAGGTGCAACGTCGCCCTCAACGTCGAAGGCTTCCTCGTCTGCACCTGCCAACGAGTCGATCATGGCAGAAAGCTTGTTGTGGAAGCGAGTCATGAAGGGTTCGAATTGGTCAGAGTCGACGATTGGTGCTGAGAGGCGCTCGGCAATGTCAAACTGGGGATAATTAGATTGTAATTTCATCATGTCTCGTGGCAATGGACGTACCTCGCGCAAACCCTCAAGTCGGAGTTGCTCAGCGCGCTTGGACAGATGGGGAGCCGAAGGTGTGATCGGCATGGCGGAGACGAAAGCCAAGAGAGCCATAACGGCCATCAAGATGAAGGAACGCATTGTGGTATCGTAGTAAGATGGATTTGGATGTTGGATAAGGTGCTGATGGGTACGGTGCAGGCGTCAACGCTAATTCCAGAAAAGCGAAAGTAGGGTAATGAGAGAATAAGAACGAAAGGCACGCAGTCAACAGACGCGGAGTCGATATCACTACAGTCCAGGTAGGAGGGGCCGGAAATCAATTCGCCTGAAGAAACAGCATCATGCGTGGCCGCCTTACTATATATCTGTTTCTTGACTCGCGCCCTCGGATAAATGTGAAACAACGGCTGGCAATCAGAACAGGAATGATCAGCCGCAAGGAGAATCATGTTCCCACGTTTGCGCCATCTTGGCCCGATTGATTGGGCGCCAAAGCAATGCTGGCTAGGCAGAATGGTAGAAGAGCTGCAGAATTCCTCATCCTCCGCATTGACAGCGATTGGCGCAGAATGCTCGTTTACCGAGGGCATGTGAGAGCGCGTCGCGAAACGCATTTAGGGATGGTCAAAAGGCGTTGACACGCAAGGGCGCACTGCAACCTCGTGTGAGCATCTGATGGCCAGACTGCATCCCTCAGAGACTGTAGAGCTCGTGGTGTGCTGCCAGGTTACACATCGTGATGCGATAGAAGAAGAGCTTCATGCGCGATGGTGTGTACTCGCGTCCCGGCTGCGGCCTTCCCGATAGAGCATAGATTAGTGTGGGAAAAGCATTGGCCAGCTGTTTAAGATGAAACATGTCGCAGATTGATGATGAGTCTTTCGAGAAGCAAGTGGGCCGTCCGATATCAAGCACGGTCTGTGATAGTGACATTTGTCCGCGTACTACACCGCGGACGTTCTCGCTAGTTGCAAAAGGTGTTGAGGTCGTCCCTCGCTTGCTGTCAATAGTTGGTGTGGGGTGCAGGATAAGCAGAGTGGAAGACTGGAAAGGTGGTCCCTTAAGAATGCCAAAAGAGATCTAGCCAGAAACAACCTGGGGCGTCGCGTCGTGAGCAACCTCACCGTGTCGTCATTCCGTCGCACTCGCACTTCAGCTTCAGCCTCGCATTTTGAACATTGTGTACTCAACACGCTATCGCATTCTTCTTGGTGCATTATACGATGCATGACCAGTCACATTGTTACTTTCGAAGATTGAGGACGCGCTTTTTAGATACGTCCTGACACCTCCCTTGCTTGGTCTTACCGAACCGCTACGATAGTATCATTAGCTATGGACCATAGTGAACACCATCCGAACCTGAGGGACGGATCCCTTTCTCCGACTTCTACGATCTCGGACCTTGGGCTCGATCTGAGTAGGTTACCGACAATTGCCATCTTGTCAGCGCATTTGAAGGACGAGGACGAGAAGCACCTGATAGAAACGCTACGTCGGTTCGAGGCGCCATTCACTACCGACGCCTCGAGAGCAAAGATCTTCATCGGAAAGGTGGCGACCAAACGGAGGGCCGAGTTTGAACTTCGGTCTCGGAGGCTTACGGTTGAAGAGAGTGTCGCACCAAAACGGCCTGCTAGTCCTGTCAAAACCAGTGATTACACGAGCAAGAGGCGGAAAGTGTCTAGGAGTCGGGCCAATCTGGACGGAGCGGGGGCTGATGACTCTGCTACTGAAGACGATGCTATTGACGGATCCACCACCAGACACAAGGAGAGTTCTGGACTCGATGCGACATCTACGCAAGTCTTGTCTTTGTTCGATAATCCTACAGGGGAAGACACTATCTGGGTGATACGGCTCGACTGGTTGGAAGACTGCGTGCGAGCTGGCCACCTACTGCCTTTGAACGACAAGCTAGTGTACACCGGTAGAGTGCGCGGGCGACCCAAATCGGTCAATCCAAGACCTATGGTGCCACTGCCTTCAAACAAGCCTAGAGGCGCACCTGCTTCTCAGACCCTTGTGGCGACTCGCCCAGACGAAGAGGGGGACATTCTGGACAGAGCGAAGGCAGATGTAGCCAAGAATCCGCCAAAATTGCACTATCGACCTTATCGAACCGGTCCCAGCTATGGCACTCGTCGATTCGAGGGCAAGAGTTTCGCGCCTACCTTGCAACCTAACAAACCTACATTCGCCTCGGCTACAGCGCACCTATTACAGCAAACCACAAGCGAGTATGATGGCACTGACAGCGACACACCTGAACCACCCGAGTGGGTCAAGAAAAGGATCAAGTACGCATGTCAGCGCTTCACACCCGCGAATGGCCCCAACGAAGATTTCCTCGACGAGCTGAAGAAGATTCGCACTGCCAGGACGCTCATCGATGATGACATAGGCGTTCGTGCGTATTCGACCATCATAGCTGCAATCGCAGCCTACCCATACAGACTCAGCCACCCTCGTGAGATCGCACAGCTCCCGGGATGTGACGAGAAGACAGCCGTGCTGTTCGTGGAGTGGAAGAACACTGGCAAGATCCAGGCAGTAGAAGACTATGAGGACGACGAAGCGATGAAAGTCCTGCGCTCGTTCTACGACATCTGGGGCGTTGGTGCGAAGACTGCGCGCCATTTCTTCTATGACAACAACTGGAACGAGCTCGATGACATAGTCGAATTTGGATGGAATGACTTGGATCGCGTACAGCAGATTGGCGTCAAGTATTACGACGACTTCTTGGATCCAATTCCCCGAGCAGAGGTGGAGCAGATCGCAGACGTCGTGCGCCAGCACGCTGTCAAGCTACGGGATGACCGCATCACGGCGACCATCGCGGGTGGTTACCGGCGTGGCAAGCAAGCTTCGGGCGACGTAGATATGATTATCTCGCACCCCGATCTCGAATCCACCGCCGGACTGATCAGAGAGATCGTCGAATCCCTAGAGGCCGACGAGTGGATAACGCACACCCTAACAATGAGCCTGACCAACACACAAAGGGGCCAGCACGCACTGCCCTTTCGCTCGACGAAAGGCCACGGCGTGGGCTTCGACACGCTGGACAAAGCGCTCGTCGTGTGGCAAGACCCGGCGTGGCCGACTCGCGAGCAAGACCTCGAGGCAAACCCAAAGGCCAAGAACCCCAACATCCACCGCAGGGTAGACATCATCATTGCGCCCTGGAGAACCGTTGGCTGCGCAGTCATGGGCTGGAGCGGCGGTACCACGTTCCAGCGTGACCTCAGGCGGTACGCGAAGGCCGTCAAGGGCTGGAAGTTCGATAGTAGTGGGATCCGCAGCCGCAGCAACGGCGAAGCGATACTACTCGAGGGCGAGAACGGTGTAGACGGAACACCAGAAGACGCAGAGAAGAAGGTATTCGAGGGCCTGGGGCTGGTGTTCGTTCCGCCTGAGTACAGGGTCACGTATTGAGCGAGGACTGGCGATCACGCAGATGAGGACTGTCGCATGGCTAATGGTTACGCTCGCACTCTCGACATTCACGTGCTCGGTGCTACTCGTATTCCTACAGACTCGAAGATCGAGCGCTGCGACTTCCGCCCCCCGTCATGACGAGCCCTCCAGACAGCCAACTCCGCCCCTGGGTGCAGCGCACTATCAACGCGATCAAGGCACCGTTTCTGGCAGTCGAATACATCTTCACCCCAATCATCAACGGCCGGTACTTCGCGCTGAAGCACCGCCAGCACAGCGTTTAGCTGGCCCATACGAGGAGGCTGGGGAAGGGGTACTGGGCTGCTTTGCGGGACTTCGAGGACTGGAGGAAAGCGCGCAGTAGGAGGGAAGCGATCGATGGGCTGAGAGTCTGGGATGCCGTGGAGAGCAAGGAGAGCTTCGTCGTTGATAGGGTATGTGTTGGTGGAGCGCTGAAGGAAGGGCTGAGTAGTCGGTGTGAACGGTGTGGAGCGTATAGCGAGAAGCTTGTGGGGAGGCAGAATCAGCCAGTACGATTTTGACGACGGTCTGGTATTAGAGTGGTTTTACATATGAAGACAGTAGGAAACGGTATCACATCTCCGAGCACACATCATCTCACAGCGCCTCGCTCTCTTCAACTCCCGCTAATGCGACCCACTCTCCTCAACGCCTCAACCCTCATGCCAGCAACGCGTCTACGAATCCTTGAACCCCTCCTGCCTCGCCAGGTCAAGGTGCCACTTCAGCACTTTCTGGAAGACACTCTTCGCGCCCGTCTCAATAACATCGCCGTGGCAGGGAATAAGCCTGTCAAAGTCCCACTTGTTGATGCGCGCTGTACTCGCAGCATAACTCTTCCTATCCGACGCGCTCACGCCCCACCAGATCATGCGCTGCTGCGCCAGCGCCTTGCCCTCGGTGCTCGTCAGTGCGCCGAAGATCCTAGTCAGCAGGCCCGATCTGGGGTCCACGCCTGTCTTGCTGAACTGCTCGGTGGGCGGGCTGTTGAACATGTAGTCTGCTTCGATGAGGGTCCGGGTGGGGCGGTGGTGGAATACGATTTCCTTGTTGGCGTGCGCGTGCACGTATTCCCAGTCGAACTCGGCGTCGAACTCGGGGGAGATGGATTCGAGTGCCTTCGAGGCGCGGAACAGGTGCGTGAAGGGGACGTCTTCCTTTGATTTGTCTTTTGCGCGCAGCTCGGGGAGGGTCTCGGGGCCGAGGATTTGGGCTTGCGGATAGGCCGAGTGCCAGGGGCCGAGGAACATGTGGTGCTGTGAGTGTCAGTGGCTGTAAGGGTACCGATGCGGAGAGTAAGTACTTCGGCGTCTGGCGCGCAGATGTAGCGGACTTCTCCTAATTCGGCGACTTTGGCTCTGACCTCGTCTGTGAGGGCGACAGGGGAGAAGACGGCGAGCGACCCGGATTGGAGGCGTACTGAGATGCGTATCAGCTGTGCAAAGCTGTTGTAAGTGACGACTTCATACCGACTGTGCCTCGTCCTCCGATCTTTATCCTGCCGAAGCGCCAGAACGGGACGGAGAATGTTGTGATGGTTCTGGGTACGACCTCACGGATGACCATGACCTTGGCCGGGTCTGAAGGAACTAGCTTTGAAGACATGTTGTAGTGCGCGAGTTTGGGCGATGTGATTGGAATGGTTTGAATTGCTGGACAAGTAGCTGTGCCACAGGCGTGAAGCTTGGGCGAACGACGTCAGTCGCGAAATGACGCAGTGCTCGAGATCGCGCGTCGATGAGGTGATTGCACTGAATTCGGTTGTTGAAGCTTAATTTCATTGTGCTGCTACGGCCAAGTATATATACTGCGCTCGGCCGGTGCTCAGATCAAGCAATTTCACATGCATCTGGACGAGATGTGGTCGAGATGGTGTTGCTGACGCCTGCAAGGTGCAGGGGTGCTTGGCTCCAAGTCATGACAGGTCGGGTCCATGGACCGCTGCATAGTCAGCACCATCATTTTTATGTCAAAGCTCGCACGATCCAGAATTCGACTCCCCGTACCACCAAACGTATGTACGAGCGAGTGTTTTCATTGAATGCTGCCTTGCAGCATGGCTCTGTGACCACTCGACATGGCTACTTTGGAACCCTGCCTGCCTCCAGAGTCCCCGCATTTGCTTGGGATTGTCGTACGCCTACCCCGAGTATTTGCATTTCACAAGACTGCGCCTACTTTCACCCTACCCGGAGCTCTGCGCGATCTCCGGGCGTTGACCCACCGCATCGTCGCACTACCGTACCCACACAGAACTTACCCAGAAGAGCAAGCAGTTCCGGACGCCGGGCGAAGTGATGCGCGTTGCTGTAGGCTGATGCGTCGGCGCATTGGAGTGCTAGTGGCGGGCTGGATGCGTCGTGATGTGTAAGACGTGCATCTGTGACTGCTCAGCCTGGGATGGCTGCATTTTCTCTTGCGTTCTCAGCACTGAGCTCATTCATCAAGCTCTTCGGATTCCTCCTGTTGTTATCCTCGTCAAGCTTTCGCTGGATGAACTTGGTCATTTGCTTGACCTTTTCCAGCGCAACATTGGTGCAGTGTAGGATAGCCAATGGATTTATGGTTGCGCCTCCGTACTTGGCAATTTGGCAGACTTCACCGTGCTTGTTCATGGTGATGATAACCTGCCCATCGCGCACCTGCTCCTCAGCGATGTTTGCATCGACCAAGTAAATCTCGCCCTCTTCGAAGTATGAAAAGGTAACGCAGAGCGGCTGATGCAGGATTGAGAGAGGAATCGGTTCGCGCTCGCGTACGCTCAGGATAATGGCCTTCTCGCCCTCGACCTGTACGTCCGGTCGCCTGAAATGTTGGAGCGCAGCCATAACAGCAATGCACGAGGCATCGATCAGCCCTCCGTCGTGATCGATGATATGTACGTCGGCGCGAAGGGCAAAGCACTTTTGCCCAGCAATGATGCAGAGCGATTCGGTGTCGAGGGCGTTTGAGCGGCGGATCGCTTTCTCGAGAATGCGCGAGAGGATAACCTCAGCGTCCGTGGGTCGCCCAACCTCGAAAGCCGGCGAGGCCATGGGCGAGAACTCGGTGACGATCTGGAACACTCCATCGAACTTGCGCTCCGGTGCTGGCGTGACTACGTCGACTGAGATGCGGGCAATAACTCTGGTGAAGGTTAGTCTGACATGCACCAGGATCAAAGCACCAGACACGCTTACCTCGTCTTGCCCAACTGCACATCTGCAACGCCATATTCTTCGCCAAAAGTGAGCTCTAGAGAGCGGAATGCGTCGAATGCGCGTCCATCGAGACGAATCTGCTCCTGCAGCGCTTGCTTGATGAACTCGCGCTCGTTGATAGAGATCTCGGCTTCACGAGGCATTTCGATTCAGTCGCACCGCTGCGTGGCTTTGAGGTAGTGATGTCAGGTCCCTGTGATGCTCTGAAAAAGCAGCGGGGTCGGCGAAACCATCCCCGACGGCCTGAGCGCGGTTTCTCAATGTTCAGCAAGCACCACTTTCACTCTCTCATGCTCAACGTCAACCACGCGCAAGACTCCCGAAACCTCACACGCAAACACCGCCTCGACTTGAACAATTCATCTACAACATGACGACCGCTCACAGACCGACGTTCGATCCCGCACGCGGCAAAGAAGCCCAGCGCGGTCCTGCGTACCACCAGCGTCTTCTTCCGGCACACACAACACTCAAGCACAGACAAGCCGGTCAGGGCGGAGATGCAGACGGGTACCAGCGCGACTTGCGCGCCGAGCTCCTGGAAGCCGAGGCGCGCCACTACGCGAAGAAGAACGGCACCTACGTCGAGCCGGAGGCTGCCGCAGACTCCAGCAGCGCCCCGAAGCGCCAGATCGAAGATGTAGCAGGCGTAGAAGGCTTTGAAGATGAGGAGGCTGCGAAGCGGCGACGGATAGAAGTGCTTGAGAAATACAGGGACGAGGACGCGGACGATAGCAGCGAGGAAAGCGACAGCAGCGATGAAGAGTGAGCGGTCCCTTGATCCCACGTGGCCGAGCTCTGCTAATCTTGGACAGTGACGATGATGAAGAAGATGAAACCGCCGCACTGATGCGCGAACTCGAGAAGATCAAGAAGGAGCGCGCCGAGGCCAAAGCCAAGGAAGAGCGGGAACGTGCAGCAGAAGAGGAAGAGCAGCGTGAGATTGATGTAGCGCGCGGCAATCCCCTGCTGAACAAGAACGACTTCGCAATGAAGCGTCGATGGGACGACGATGTTGTCTTCAAGAACCAAGCTCGTGGGACCGAAGACAGGAACAAGAAGAAGGAGTTCATCAACGACATGCTGCGGTCCGACTTCCATAAGAAGTTCATGGTAAGCTGGCACGATCTAAAGGTGATGTTTGAGCTGGCTAACATGTTGTCACAGTCCAAGTATGTGCGGTGAGGCTTTCTCTTTCTCATCTGCATTCAACGGCCCATCATTGGATTCGGTGCTTTGGTGCTTCTGGAGCGAATATGCAGCACGTGAGACTGAACACTGAGCGACCTCAAGGGTCTAGACGTGTGGGGAAGCTACAGTGACGCAACATCTTTAGCCTTATCTGGATCAGCAGACATTGGCTGCTTTCGGCTGTCAGCTATTCCTTATCGCAACCCTCTGCACACCCCATCGAACGAATAGGAGCATCCTCACCTCCTACTCCAGACCATCGACTTCACCCTCAACATGCGCGGCAAATGCCCAGTACACCGTATGGGCTCAATATGGTACTCCAAAGAGTCAGAATGCACCAGCAGAGTACCCAGAAGCTGCGGAATTGTCTGAGAGAGCCGCACTCCACTCTCGAGCTTGCAACAAAGTCAATCAATTCCTTGCACCACCGAGTGCCCAGACCCACAAGCGCATCGGAAGAACACAAGCACACCTTGGCCCTTCCTTCCGACCTCTTATGAGGCTTCGATAGCAGCCAGTATGCGCACGAGCCGACACTCCCCCCAGCACAGTGACTTCATGTGGCTTCGACATCTTCCACCAGAGCCTGCCCATCTCTCAGTACCGGCCATAGCCACTCCGCTTCCGTACATATATAAATGAAAGAGAGTACCAAGCCAATACACCTCGACTCCTTCTCATCCCTTGCCGCTGAAGCATCGCATCACTCACCCGCACACGCACAACATGGCAGGCTACGGGAACCGCACCGCACACGACCCCACCGCCGAAAGCCTGGCAAAAGAGCACTCGCACACGCGTCTCAACCTGACAGACTCGCACAGCGTGCGTACCCAGCTCACCTCAGTCCCGCAACTAACCCCCCGCACAGCCCCCAACCTACGGCGCAGGCTTCGGCAACAAGCGCGCAGCGTCCGAGCACGCATCGGCTGAGACTGAGCACGCATCGACTGAGACTGAGCACGCATCGACTGAGACTAAGCACGCACCCGTTGCCTTGCACTCGGACTCGAACGACGACAGCGCGCCGCGGTTCGACACGCAGGGCCGCCACGGCTCGGCGCCGTACAGCAACGCGCACACGCACGGCAGCGCGAGCACGGCGGGCGCGGGGTGGGGGAATAAGACGGGTAGTTTCGCGCGGGACGAGGGTGAGTTGCTCAGTTACCGGCTTTGATTGTGATCGGGGTCGGGGTTGACGCGGATTTTGAGGGATGTGGACGGATGGATGGATGGATGCTGACGTGTGTGTAGATTCGACGCTGGGCAGGGTCATGGAGAGAGTTGGTGGGGTGGTGGGGAGCGCTGGGTTGGTGGAGAGGGGGCGTGAGAAGCGGGAGGCCAGGGGAGAGGAAGCGGGTGTGGGTGTGGCGAAGTAAGTAAGAGGGATTGTGTGCGGCGGAGAGAGATGGGAAGCGGGTTTGCGCTGGTGTTGGACGCGAGTGAGAGACGGGCTGGTGGCGTGGATGCTCTGCTCTGCTCTGCTTTGTGTTGTGTTATGTTGTGCTAGTGTAATTGCAATGTTTTCCTTTGCTCCGGGCCTCACGGCTACTCCTATAATGTAAGCGATGCGAGTCCAGCCCAAACGACCGCGTTGCTGCGCTATCCAACCCCCCCGTGCCGAACCCGGCGCTCAGTAGATGCCCTGCGTGCGGTACTGAAAGGTATCGTAACTGAACTCGTTAGCCGCGCTGCGTCAAGAAATCCTTGTGGAAAACTTACAGTCTGGTATAGTAACTCCCCACGCTCTTGGCGATCAGCTCGTCGACAAAAACCTCCGCCTCCTCCTTGCTCAGATGCAGCATCAGGCGTGCGCGCAGACTGTTGGTCACGCTCGCGCTGCCCGCGGCAAAACACGGCATCTTGCTCTGCTTGCCCATGAGATCGACAAGCATGATCAGTCTCTCTGCCTCGCGGCGCAGGGCCTGGAAGGCCTGCTTGCACAGGGCTTTGAACTCGTCAAAGGCGGGCGCCGTGATGCCGCCGAGGACGTCGACGTAGTCCTGCGTGAGCTTGAAGGGCGCGGCTTCGAAGCCCATGGAGCCGGGGCTGTTGGACAGCATGAAGCCGAAGTCGATGTGGATGATGTGGCCCATGTTGTCGATGAGGAGGTTGCCGTTGTGGCGGTCTTTGAGCTGCAGCACGTACGAGATGATGCTGTATGCGGCGAGGGAGCGCGTGAAGCAGCCCACACCCGCCATGTAGGGTTCCGAGTCGGGCTCGCCGAAGGTCTTGAGCCAGTGGTCTTTGAGTGTCGAGATGCGTTTGCGCGGGTTGGTGCCGGCAGCTATGCTGGCGAGGGTCAGGGAGCGCTTGAGGGAGTGGAGGGAGACTCCGTTGGTGATTGTCTCGATCAGCCCACAGGATTCGCCGGTTACGAGGATGCGCATGCGTTTCGTCCAGACGGGAATCCGGTGCTCGTCCCAAATTTTGGCGCAGACTTGGATGAGCTGACACGCGAAAGCTTCCTGCCGGAGGTCGTCGCCCGTTTTGACAATGACAGAGATCAGGTCCCAGTTCGGCATGGAACCATAGGGCGAAGAACGGCGAACACGCTCGCGTTTTGCGCTCCACTCTTCACCGAACGTTGCTGCGGAGGGGTCATCGCGATCGCCCTTCCGGCGCATGCCAGCGGTCTTCAAGTCGTTCTCCATGCGTGCTGCTCCAGCCCCCGAGTTCGTGGCCACCGCCATGCCTTCCTCGAGATCTTCTGGCTCGGCCATGATTGCCGTTGGATCTGACTCTGCCATGATGGCATCAAATGTCGGCGCTGAGTCTTCTGACATGAAATTCTGCTCCTCCAGCGTCTGCATGCTCGCAATGATTTTCGCCTTGATCGCTGCCACTTCAGTCCTGGGCCGCTTCGAGCCGCTCGCTTCCAGTTGCGCCAGCATCTGAGCCGCCGTTCGCATGTGTGTTGCAAGCGCCGTAAAGTCTGGCTGATCCGGCCCTTGGTTCCTGCTCAGCGGTAGCGTTGCTTTCCGCGTTGGGCCAGGACTGTTCGAACGGCTAATCTCCATGTCCGATGTGCGCGGGGTGGACAATGCCGCCGTGGACGACAACGTGTTCGCTCCGCTGGACGATCTGGGTGCTGCAGCTTTGCCGTTGGCGGTGCCCGGTGGCAACGCTACCCTGGCCAATCCAGAAGCAAGATCGTCCTCGTCCATGTCCGCGATCAAGGCAGTGCTGCCGAGGTCGCCAGTCGCCGGCTCGAAGACGCTGTCGGATCCGCTGAGTGGTGTCCTGTCGAGTGCCAACCGCTCTGCGTTTGTAATGTCGAACAAGCGCCTTCTTGGCGTGCCCTTCTCGAGCATCAGCTTCCCCAGCAGCTGCTGGTTCTGTTCCGACTGCGGATCAAAATCAAAGTCCTCCTTCAGCACTTCGACCATGAGCAGATAGGGGACCTTCTCGGCACTGTTCAGACTCGTCGCCTCGGCAGGATTGATGCGCACAATCCGGTGATGTTGGCTCTGCGACGGAATCCCGTCCTTCAGCGTGGGCGGCGAGAGCAGCGGGATGTCGACCTCGGCGGGCAGGTCTTGTGCGATCAGCGCCAGCTCCGCACGCAGAGCGCTCAGACGCGCGGGCTTCGGCACCGACACGAGGCGACTGGAGATGTCCTCCAGGGCACTCAGGAACTGCGCCTCGTTGCGGAAGTAGTTGGAGCGCAGCAAGCGCACCTGCTGGGCGCGGGTCAGCGCCGTGGGCGTCAGAGGCCGGGGCGGGTGCTGTGGGGCCGAGTGCTTGCGCGAGGCGCGGTCGATGTGGGGCCCCAGCCCGGCGGTGGCTGGCGGCGTGGGCAGCGGCGAGGCGGCCCTGGCGTTGCCGAAGTCGGGCAGGGAGGACGAGCTCAGGCGGGCGGCGGCGTCGACGAGCAGCAGCGAAGGGCGGTGCTGGGCAGAAGCGCCGCGGGCAGCATGCAGCGGGCGGGCGGCCTGGCGTCGCAGGTCCCTTGCGTCCCTCGCATCTCTCGAGCGCGGCGCAGGCGACTTCGAGGCGCGGCCGTCCTCCGGGTCCGAGTGGCCCTGGACTGTCCGTCGCGGCCGCGGCCGCGGCGAGCCGCCCGCGACGGTGTTGCTCCTGCCGACCTTGCTGGTCTGCACGTTGTCCGAGATCATGTCCTCGACGGGCCGCGGCTTACGGGCCTGGGCGATGGCCAGCGGGCCGGCGTGGGCGGGCAGGAACGGCGCGGCGATGCTGGCCAGCACCAGGCTCGAGAGCACCGTGGTGGGCAGCACGTTCGCCTTGATGCGCTCGCGGCGCTGCGGCTCGGCGGCGCCAAAGACGATGCGCTGCACGCGGTTGTAGATGCGCCGGCATGTCTTGAAGGCGCTCGAGGTGGGCGCAGCGGCGAGGTCGTGCAGATATGTCTGGAAGAGCCAGAAGGTCTGCGGCAGTGTTACTACAGGTCATGGTCGTGTGTGGGCATGCGGCTCGATGGGGAGAGGGGGGAGGGGGGGGGGGGCGCCCACCAGAAGCGCGCCGTTGACGGACTCCTCGCACAGGTCGATGATGAACTCCTCCAGCGCCATCGACTCGTTGTCGATGCTAATGAGCAGGTGGCAGAGCCTGCAGGTCGTCCTCGTGGTCAGCGGCTGCGCTGTGCCATGGCCGCCGCGTGCGCCACGGCGACGTCGACGGCGACGGCGACGGCGACGGGGACAGGGACGGAGACGTACTGCGGCAGGAAGAACTCGAGCTCCTCGTACGCAAACGTGCGCAGCTTCGAGCAGAGCACATAGTGGATTCCGACATGGTCTGCATACCGACTGCGGCCTCTTGTTAGTCTCGACTTCGCGCCTCGCGGCGGGTGCGGGGGGGTTGCGGTGAAGCCACACTCACGCCAGATAGGCCACGGCAAGCGACGGGTCGCTGTTGAAGTGCTCGGATTCAATGAACCGCTCGAGCAGAGTCCAACTCATCTGGCACGGCTCATTGGGACGCGGCAAACGAAGGGCGGAAGAAGGGCGTGCTCGACTCAATGCTGGACGTCAAAGATGCCGTGGCATCACGTGGGGCACTCGGACAGGGTTCACACGCGCGCAAGCTACCGGCGCGGAGCTTTGAATTGTGGCACCCCTCCTCATCTCCGGGAACCTATCCGCCCACAAAAGCTCAAACACCTTGCCTCATGCGAACTCGACATGAACAAACTCCCCAACACCGTACCCCCAGCCTGCAAAGCTGTGCAAAGCAGACCTATGTACATCCAGCCGTACTAAAACGGCTAATCTGCAGCGTTCAGATCGACAAAGATGTTGATCGCTGCAACCACCACCTCGGCGAAAATGAGCACAATGACAATCCACTCGAGCAGTTCGCCCTGTGCTCTGTTAGCCCTCGAAAATGTCTTGCTGCTGCTGCTTCAGAACCTACATGGGTAGCCGTCAGCTGGTCCTTCAAAACCGCCAGTAAATCTCCAATGACGTTCAATCGCTCCGTAAGAAGTCCAACGCGCTGGTCCATCTCGAGGTAGCTGCGCACAGCCTGGTACACAGGGTCCAGTTGCGGCTCCGCCCACATCAGCTCCGGCGCATCGAGCACCGACCCCTGAAGGTGGATGCTGATGCGCAGAATGAACAGCTCTCCAATCTGCATGTTGATCTGCTTCTTGTTCAGGTTGATCTTGCCAGAGCTCGCAATCTGCGCTGGTATATCCTTGGTCTCGTCGATTGTGCTGTCGACCAGATCTTCGAACAAACTCGTCTTGACGCTCTGCGAGAGGCCGTGCGAGATGGCGAGCTTGATCATGTAGTTTTTCTTGTCGCGCAGCGAGATGAAGTCGTTGTAGATGCGCGCCTGGTACTCGCGAGTGTAGTAGAAGTTGAACTCCTCCGTCTCGACATCGTCCTTGCCGAGCTTCTCCACTTCAAACTTGGCAATCTCCTTGAGGAACCGCTTCTCCTCTTGCAGCGACATGCCCCAGATCACCACCGTGCCGTACTCGAACAAGAACACTTCAGGCGTGTGCACTTGTGTGTCCAAGTCGGGCGTGTCCAATTGCGGATCCGAGTCTGCATGTGTCATCGAGGGACGTCGGGGCCGGTCAGAGCTCTCGCCGTTACCAATGTGAGGCGCATCGCCGTCCTCGTGCAGGTCTATTAGGTCTTCTCGTCGCCTCTCGTTCTGGTGTTCCACCTCAATGGCGCTGTCCGAAAATCTCCGTTGCAGTGCCCCCGGAGCGCCTTCGAGTGCTGATGAGCTGCGTACGTCCTCCGCACCCTTGGCGCCGTAGTTGTACGGCGAGTATATGCACTCGTCAAATCGCTTAGGCAACGCGCCCCTGATCTTCTGCTTGCCCTTCAAGAACCGCATGAGTTCGTCGAGTTTGTACGAGCTGGCCGTGCAGTACGCCGTCACGCGCGGTAGCCGGTCTCGGTCTGCTTTGCCCAGTCGCGCTGCATCTCGTCTCGCCGTAGGGTCCTTAATTCGAGTGTATTGCACGTATACGTCGCGTCCGCTCTCCTCGTCTTCTCCGTCCTCGCCTTGAGCTGGGTCGGGCAGCAGCTTCAGTTTCTGCGCGGTTCGCGTTGTTCGCTGAGGACCGATCTTTCCGACTGGGGCGGGCGGTATCCTTGCAGGCGCACCCGAGCTGTTTCTTCTCCGCAGTTTGCTGTTAAGGCCAGCCAGCATTGGCTGGCCGCCATGACTTGTTGGCTGTCTTGATGACGAATGCGCGCTATCGTTCGAGGAAGACACTGTCGTATTAAACGTAACAGTGCGCTGCGGTTTTGGCGGGCTTGCTTTGTTCGCCTTGCTGCCACCAGACATGGACGACATCAGCGGCGTCGTCTCGGAGCTGGACGCCATTGTGGTACGCGAATTGGGGATCCAGCGGTGTCGCGATGATTGGACAGTCCAAGTGCGCGCCGAACACGAAGGGGTATCACGAAACAGATGTAGCAATTAGCCCTGCCATAGGGTGGGGTGACGAAGTAATGTCGCTGCAAGTCTCAATGCTTGCTCGCCGAAACTGACAAGATGACGTTCCTGCCCAAGCTTGAGGCCCCTGCTAGCCCCACGTGCTGCACGCTGCTCATCTCATGCAAGGCCGTTGATGAGCAGCGCACAGTCACCAATTGTATGATTGGCCTCTGACGATGCCTATTTTGAGGCTCGGTGGTACGCTTCTCCTCTGGTGACGCCGGTCATGCTTCGAGACATTTGTGAGTTGAAAGCTCTCACCCAGCTTTGCACCTTGGCAGCGAATCAAGCAGCGCTAGTGACAGGCTATCCACACCTATCAGTTTCTATACGCTCAATTGTGCAGAGCAAGAGACTTCGAGAGCTCGGTAGTTCTGAGACTGGGTATAGCGGAGAATATGATCTGACAACGGTAGAAATGTGCATGGCTCGTGATACTTGACAGCAGCCGACTCAAGCCTCACCTCTCGCAATATTTCTCGCCCTCCTTCTCTCTCTCTCCGCCTTCCGCGCCTGATTCATGCTGGGCGCCATGCCCTCCTCCTCAATCTTCGCCTTCGCAAGACTCTCCCCATCCAACTTATCAAACCCGAATCTGCCAAACTCGCCCCGTCTCCACTTCTGAATCATCCAAAGACTCGTCGCCTCATGGTCGACCTTGCCACCCTTTCCCAATCTGCCAGTCTTGCGCGCCATAAGCTCCAGCAACTCCACGATATCATTCGTTGGGCCCGGCGCAAATTCAGCATACAGCGTTGGATCAACGAGGTTGAGGTGGAAAAGGAGGTAATCCGCGAGCACAACAGGCGGGATGATAGTATCCTTCACGCTCCCGCAGAGCGCAAGCTTCATCATCGCCTCCGCATCCGGAACATATGGGATGAAAACACCAGGGGTATCCAGGAGGTAAACACCACCGCCGACACCCCTCTCGCCCTTCCCCGCACTAACATCGTCCTCGCTGGGTATGATCTTGACGCCGCTGCCGACCTTCCTCGTGACACCAGGCTGCGCCCCGGTGCGCGCAACCTTGCCCTTGCCCAGGCCGAGGCCGCGCAGCGCGTTGAGCAGTGTGGACTTGCCCACGTTGGGCATGCCAACCACCATGACTCGATGGCCGACGAGCTTCCACCTCTTCTCCGCGTGTTCGCGCAGCACCTCGAGCACTTTGCCACTCGCCTTTCGGCTCTCCTTCTCCTCCTCACCGTTGCGCACGAACAAGACTGTGCTGCCCTTGTGCCACCCGCGAATCAGCTCTTCATTCTTCTGCTCTCGCGGTCCGCCGCCTAGATCGCGCTTTGTGTACACAATGATGCGTTCTTTGCCTTCGAGCGCGGTCTCGAAGAGCGGATTGCGCGAGCTAAGTGGGACTCGATAGTCGCGGCATTCGATGACAAGGTCGATGGACGTGAGCAGCTGCTTCATCTTAGACAGGCCTGACTTGTGATGACCCAAGAAGTACGAGCGCGGAAGCGACGGGATCGTTGGGAAAACATGGCGTGCGATGAATGACATCGGAAAAAAAGCGTTGGCATATTGCAGCAAAAGTTGAGAGATATTTGTGGCTCGAGTCAAGAAGCTGGACTGCTTGGCGGCGGCTGACTAGTGCCCACAGCCTCACAAACACAGCTTGACTTTTACTGCTTGGAGGAAGTCTCAAATATGACACCGCAGACAGTAGGCTTTGGCCTTGCGCCCAGAATCAATTTCGAATGAGCATATTTACACTAACGTACAACTGAACAGCGATGCTGCGATAAAGAGGCCTTGGAAACTGCCGTGCCTCGTGCCGAATCGAATGCTTGCGATAAAGATACCTTGAACGTTGCCATGAGAGCTACGCACCTGAACCGAAAACTAAAGAAGATTTGCGCCACACTCTGGAGATGTGCACCTATCTCAAAGTCGTGGCTGCTATTGTGCGCTTATAGCTGGTCATGTTGGACGACCGTGGTCGTACTGATCGTGGCGGTCGAAGTCGAGGTCGAGATGTGGCTGAGCGTGAGGACGGAAGTCGCTGTAGCGGTAGAAGTGTGAACAACACTTCTAGGAGGGCCAAGCCAGATCGAGTCGCTGCGATCCTTGTGGGTGCAGAAGTGCACCTTTTGCAGCTTGACAAACTGCTTGGAGCCCTGGCCTCGCTTTTCCCACTCGGCATCTGCGCAGGCCTCTTTGCCGGGGAAGAAAGGGTGCGGGAACTTGACGGGTGTGTGCCATGACCTCTTGGAAAGATGAGCGTCGGCCTTTGAGACGTCTGTCGAGTCATCGACGACAGTGTAAATTTGTTCTTTGTAGGTAATTGTCTCGTCAACTCCTGTAGCGTGAGTCGTGGTCACCCTAGTCGATGTGGACGTGGTCGTGGAATGGTGCTCTGGGCTGCCTTCCATTATTGCAATGTCAGTAGGCTTCGGTCCGCAATTTGCAGGGAAACCTTCGCCCATGCGGCACTCGGTTTTGTCGCCTTTCCCATTCTTGCTGTAGCAGTGGTAACACGCCATACCAAAAGTCCAGGGTTGCAGCATCCAAACGTCCTTGGTCTTGCCATCTGCCGCTACGGCAGCACCTCGAGGGGCGACTTTAGCTTCCGAGACACGAGCTCGAGTTTCGGCGGGGGGTGGGGGCGGTGTGGTATAGGTAGCCTGATATGTCACAGTGACGGTCGCCTCCTGCTCATAAGGCACTGCCGAATAGAAAGTGGGTTCGATGGACCAGGACGTGACATTGAAAGTCCTGGTGCCGAGGTGCTTGGAGTTCTCGATTGGGCCGCAGACGAACCTGGCTGACTTGATGGGGTGCGAACGAAGATAATTGTCGTCGTAAACCTCTCGGACAGAGTCGCGGTTGCGGGGACCCTCCCGCTTCTCGCGGTTTGGCATGAGACACTTGTTGAAATTCTTGGGCATGTCCTCGGTGAAGCCGAAGCGATACTCGGTGTTCCGGTGTTCTTCGGGGCAGCGATACTCGCCGAACGTCTCAAGCTTGCAGTACATGTCCATCTTGTTGACATCGTCGATCCAGGCGGCACGATGTCCCTTCCAGAGCATCGGCCTCACGCTGAACCCCGGCCGAAAGCTGGCGCAAAAGTTGTTCTCCATCTCGAATGGGCTCTGTTCGGGGGCGCCACTGCAGTCAAGCGAGGATTCGAAGACCGCGAGGTGAATCGCGGCCTCGGCCTTCACATCGTGTGGCTTGCGGGCCCATAGCCAGCCGCCATGCACCACTTGGGTGAGGGCGAACGCCGCCGTCGTGCCTGTAAGAAACGCTCGCATGACGTCGTCTGGATAAAAGAGATGAGTTAGCCGGGAGTGTTCAGTGACGCAGGGTGAGGTGAATGCAGACGGGGCAGGGGCTGAGACAAGGTCTCGAGTGGGGCGCAATCCAGGAGTGCCAAAGATGAATGAGTCGGAGGAGAGGAAGCATACCTGATGACAGCAGTGGAGACAGTGGTCAAGCACGAAGCGTGGTGAGCTGTTGCGATGCTGTGATGCGTCAGTACGTGAGCTGGAAGGCATATGAGTGATTCATAGGAGCGATGCAAGTCGTTGCTCGTAATGCTGATCGTGGCAAGGACTGGTTGGTGAGAGATGACGTACAGAAGGTGAGGTGCTGTGCGCGTGGCAGGCAGCAACGTGCGTTGGTGTTGAGGCGAACTGCAACTTGTTAGTGGCTGAAGCTTGATTGAGTGTAACGAAACGTAGAGATGGAGTGAATTGCCTTGTGTAGAAGTGCTCGCGGTGGTGAGAAGCGGAGTGGGTTGAGGGTTGAAGAAGAGACGGAGTCGCGAGGTCGCTGGGCAGTTGATAAAACAAACACGGTGGCTCTAGCGCGAGCGAGTCCGGGCTGCAGCGCAGGAAGGCAGATTGTTGGGTGCGTCGCATCTCAATGCAGGCGGTAGTGGCCTTCCGAGGAGGGAGGCGCCCACGGGGAAGGCAGGCGCAGGGTGGCTCGGTCAACGCCCAGCATGGGACCGTCGAGGATGCCATGGCGATTAAAGGAAACACCAGCTGAAAACAAACTTACCGTAGTCGTTGCGGTGTTTTCATGCAGTTGTAGTCACGATACAGAAACCACAATAGCAACAGTCGCGATGTCCATTGTGTCCCTTGGAGCCGTGTTCGCTTCCCAGCAAAGCCTCATAGGGATTGTACTGCGCTGTGTCACGACCCGTCATGTCAACCGGTAGTAGCGTCGTTGACAAGCTCGAGGGATTTATCCTGAACTCTCGTGCTTTCGTGTTTGGCGTTCAACCAATCTCAATGTTGCAGCGGCACGGTCACATGGTAGATGTCGAGCACGTATTGTCGAGACGAATAGGCTCAGGTTTCCTCATGTCTATTTAGATCAGCAGAAGCCATTGTAAGAGAGTGTTATATTCAGGCGCTTCGTATCGCAATGTCGTGGAAGTGCAGTAGTGTAATCGCGAGTGTCCAGAACAAGACACGTGCTGAATTGACACAGCTGATGCCGCGTGGAAGCGACGCGCAGGATGAACAGGATAGCAATTCGAGACCCACCTTACTGTTGTGTAGCGCAGACAAACGTACTCTGCCAACGCCTTGACTCCACCGTGGCCGCCAACTCCTTGTCAATGGGGCATCCTTCTGCATCTACCAGTCTTCCCACTTGTCATCCTTCTTGCCTGCTGCTGGCCCTGAGCTACCACTCTTCTTCATAGCACTTGTGCCAATGCCTGATGGTTTTGGTTTCTGGCCCAAGCCAGATGTAGCGTTGGACCTTGTCTCGCCAGCACTTGCAAACTCGTCCCAGAAGTCCTGCTTGTCTCCGCTGGGGCCCTTGGGTGCGGCGCCAAATTCGTCCCAAAAGTCCTTCTTCGCTGGCTGTACACCACCGCGTGTGTTGGTCGAAGATTCGCCCTCAACAAAGCGATTGAATGCGGTGCCGGCGTTTGCCGCTGATGCTTGAATGGTTTGACCCATCAAGCCGGCGGTCTTCTGTGCTTGGGTGGCGAGATCTGCTTCGGCGAGCTAGAGAGGTATCAATGGCTGCTTCACCGTTGTATGTGTGATGGGGTTCTAACCTTTTGCATGCCAGGCTTGACCCAACCCTCGTAGCCAGTCTTGCCCACCTTGCTCACGCTTGCGCCTAGCCAGCCGAAGCCTTTCGTAAGGGCTGCGACAGGGTCTTTCTGGAAGTCAGCAATCTCCGGTGGTGCGCCTGGCTCGTTGTCGTTGTTCTTCCAGTGGTCTGGCTCGCTGCCAAATCCCCCGTACTTTCCACCCTGGTTGGGTGCCAGGTCTTCACTCCTGTTGGCGTTCTCGGCTCCCATGCGCGAGAAGTATGCCTCGTTCTTCGCCTTCTGTGGAGACATGGCATTCGTGCCAATAGCCGGCGAGCCTGAACGCTGGAAGCCGGCATCGTTGCTGCGCGTCTTGCCAAGTGGTGTCTGGCTTCTACTCCCAGCAACGCTCGCGCGACCGCTCAGCGCTCCAGCAGCGCCTCCAGCAGCGGGGTTTTCCTTCTTCGGCAACCTTTTGGGCAGATTGCTTTTGTCAAACGCCCTGTCTTCGATCTTGCAGCTTAGCCTCTCCTTCCACTCGTCGCCGGCTTCTGAATCGTAGCGCTCTTGTATGTTCGAGGACTCAAATGTTCTACTCTCCTTCGTGTTCGACTCGTGTGCGTTGAAAAACTCCTGGAAAGGTTTGTTGCCACCGGCAGCCATGCGCGCAAGCTCAGCGCCCTTGAATGCGTCCATGGTTATGCTACGAATGAAGGAAATGTGGACACCCAGTCCGCGGTGGATACCGGAACATGAGAGGCACATGAAGATGCCCAGTTTGGGCGAGGCCTGATGCCTTTACATCAGTATGGGGCACTGCATGTACGGTCGCGTGCGACATGAGGTGTGTTCGCAGAGCTGGGGGAGCGTACCCATTGTGGACTCGGCGCATTGCAATCGACGCACTTGTTGTTGTCATTCGTCTTCTGGATCTCTAATAACTATGAGCTCATGTCAGTCGTTTGAGCCTTTTGAGCGGTCTACCAATTCCTGCGCTTCATTTCACCCGTAGCCAACCCCACTACGTAAGTAGATACACCGCAACGTACCTTACTCCGCGTCTCCGGATCGACCTCCCACATTTTACTCATGCCGGAAAGATGGCCAGCAGTACTGGTGACTAAATATGGATAGGGTGGAATGTACAGAGTGCAATGCGAAGATGCAACGTGGGTGTTGGGGTTACGAGGGAAGATCCATAACAGTCGAGATTCAGGGCCCGGAGCTGTAGCGCCACAATCGGGCCTCACCCGCATGCGCCATCGATGGGTCTTGTGCTCCACTATGGAGTCCGTGCATCGAGGGCACCAAGTGTATGTTCCGAGGCCGTATCAGGGGAGCTGTTGAAACTTGATACATGACTATTCGAATTTGACAGCCGCTTAGGGGGGGGGGGAGCCAAAGCTTCATGTTGGCTAGTGAGGACGGCCATCCCGGATAATCAAAACCTCAGTGGAACCCTCATATATTGTGGGATAATTGATCGACGCTCAATCGCTAAGATGAGATACCAAGTAGCTACAAAAGGAGTAATGAGTCCGCTAAGATCGTGTTCATAGGTATATACCGTTCCTTCGTCAGTCCGCAAAGCCGGCGCCGAGCTCATACGAGCCCTTGAACCGTACGCGTAGGGCTTGAATAATGTTCCGCGCCTATGCACCGTCACCCCAAATGCCGATGACTTGCATAGCAAAGGCCGCCCCAGTGAGAACCGCCTTAGTGCTCTCAGTCAGCCTCCTCCTCTCGACCGCCTGCCTAACCTGTTCGCCATTGACATCGTCGCCCTGTGCTTCCAAGTCTAAAGCTGCTCTCCGTTCGTCGGTGTCGCTGCGGAAAGACACAAAGTAATCGACAGCCGGTCCGGAGGCGAATGCGAAGATTGACGTGTAGAGGAGATACGGGTGACGGAATCGACGAGGCGATAGCAGATAGGCGGAGAACAACGAGAACGTAGTGATGTGACGAAGGTAGGAGGTGATGTTTTGTGACTTGTACGCGACGTAGGCTGATGTTGTGCGAGCGTCAACGGCGGTGGGTAGCGCAAGAAGAGAAGGCAGGGTAATAGTGGAGAGTGTCGCGGAGACGCCCTAGAACATCAGTCAGTATGCAACCTCTGAACCATCGTGTGAAAGTCGTTCGCAGAGAGCAAATTGTGGAGGGGAGGGCGACAATGGTAGGCGGAGACGTACAGTAAGGAGACCCAGGCTGACAGTGCCTACAAACTTGCAGACGGAAATCGTTGGTGCTGCCATGGTTCTCGAGTGCTCTTTGGTTGCGTGCGTGGTTGTGTCGAGGGGAGTGACAGTGCGGGCGGTGAGGTGGTAGCTGCAGCTGCACTTCAGTGTCTCTTGAGTTCTGTGACGTTATCTTCAACCTGATTGATCGCGGCCAAAAGCTAACGGTTTTGGTACTGGGCTGTCCATCACCAAAGACTGTGGCATCTTCTTCGTATGCTCTTCTACTGCGGAGAAGCACTTGCAAGTGATTCGTCAAATGGGCTTTGAATTTCCATACTGCAAGCCCTAACGCACATGAGTTTACAACAGCCACTGGTTGAGCTGTCTCCACTTGTTTGTTCGACTTCAGACACCTAGAGAGTAATTGCTGGACCTCGGCTTGAGCTTGCCCCAACTTCACTCCAGACAATCGGTGTTTTCGGCCGTATCCTTGACTCGACAAAACAACAATCTGCTACATAATCTTCATAGCTTTCACGTACATTTCAGACTGAATCGCAAACATATCGCAATACAACACATCCTACGCTTCCTACCACAGCGTCAGTAGCCCTCCAACAATGCCTCTTGATCGCTATCAATACCTCAGCAATGTCTGGAGAGACGGCCTCTTTGACAATAAGGTCATCTTCTGCACTGGTGGTGCGGGCTCGATATGTTCAGCTCAAGTCCGAGCACTGGTCCACCTCGGTGCCAATGCCTGCATTGTTGGGCGCAACGTTGAGAAGACAGAGAACATGGCCAAGGATATCGCAACTGCACGAAAGGGTGCCAAAGTTATTGGTATCGGTGCTGTGGATGTGAGGAAGCCAGAGCTGCTACAGGCTGCCGCAGACAGATGTGCAAAGGAGTTGGGGAGCATTGACTTCGTAATGTGAGTCGAAACAGTCGCCCATCAGGAAGTAAGAGACTGACAATTCATAGTGCTGGTGCAGCTGGCAACTTCCTCGCGCCCATGGACCAGATATCCCCGAATGCTATGAAGTCGGTCATCGATATCGATGTACTGGGCTCGTACAACACAGTAAAGGCCACACTACCGTACCTGGTTGAATCTGCGACCAGACACAAAACGGATGGACACACTCCACCAGCTAACGGGACTGGCGGCAGGATCGTTTTCGTCAGCGCGACCCTACACTACTCCGGTACACCCCTGCAGAGCCATGTGTCTGTTGCGAAGGCTGGTGTTGATGCTATGGCTATATCCGTAGCCATCGAGCAGGGACCAAAGGGCATCACCTCGAACATCATCGCACCCGGACCTATCGCGGATACAGAAGGCGTGGCTCGTCTCTCCAAGTCGGATCACCGCGAAAAGTCATACAAGGGCATACCGTCTGGTCGCTATGGAACCGTCAAGGAAATTGCCGATGCCACAGTATACCTCTTCTCGGATGCCGGTAACTATGTGAACGGTGAGACGCTGGTTGGTAAGTGTCGCGCCTTCGCACTGAAATGCGACTTGCAAATGCTGATTTACTTGCAGTGGATGGTGGTCAATGGCATACCGCAGGACTTGCGAATGGTTTCGCTTATCCGGACTTCTTGCTCTCAGGCGACGCCGTTACCGGTGTTGCTGGCGGAAAGAAGTCGAAGCTGTAAACATACATTACCAAATCAATCTGCTCGTACTATCTTTTTATGGCTACACGATGCGCACTGCGGCAGCGGCAGCAACATTCCACTGCACGTGGCTAACGATCACTGACCTTGGGATCACAGATGCTGACTTGCTAAAAGGCAGTGCCGTGCAGCCGTCTAGTGTCCTAAGGGATCCATTAAGCCCTGGCATGGTTCGCACGGTGCAAACGTGATTGACATTTTGCGAGCCTAGTAGTGTGTAAGGTGTCTAGGGTGACAGCGGGGTGCTGTGTCGACTCTGAGGATTTATCCAGCCAGCTCTTCCGAACTTGCGTAACTCTCTGACTCCAGCTTCGGTCACACATCGCGGCCGTGATTAATCTAAATAGACGCGTAACAACCTGCAGCAGATCAACGACTTGAGCCGCCAAAGTTTTTTTAGATTGGCCACTCAGCATCGTCACGCGGGTCTTCAAACGCCCATGATCTCAACAACGATGTGTTGTCTGATCATCTTCATCTCGCAAGCCTTGCGTTGTGCCGGTTGTTGCAAAGCGCGGACCTGCTTCCCCTGCCGATCTTTCGAAAGTGGAGACTTTAGCCTTCAAGTCAGCAAGTCTATAGTTACGTCATAGCTTGAGAGGAAGCGAGCCTCGATTTAGATGGCGCGCTGCGCATGGGATAGCGCCAAGCTGCCGTTCGGTCTCGGACGAGAGATTTGGTTGCGACCGGGCGCGCAAAGCTTGGTGATGGGTGGCCTGTCGGGGCTGTGTGTTTAGGCTGAAGGGGCATGAGGGAGGACGAGGGGATAGGCCACCAAGGGACACACGTATACTCATGGGGAGGATAGTATCGTGTTCTGTAACAAGTAGGTACGAATGGTTGGCCTGAGGTGAATCCTTGAGGTCGAAGGCAGGCGTGTCGCTGGGGTTCTGTCAATCGTTCGTTGCACTGTGATTCGCGCAAGCCGCTGAGGCTTCAACATCCCAAACAACGGCAACACGCCAGCCGACAGTTAGGATAGAGATCTCAATCGTGCGTCGTGCAAAAGCCGCGGGTACGACCTCTCCTGAGGTGGACGACTGCTCTTGCGCTACCCTACTTGCTCAGCACCTGACACGGTCCTATACATGCAACGGCCACCTGCCTCCTTATCTGTCAATACCTAGGTTATTTTTGCGCAGTGATCTGCACTTCAATTAACCACTCGCGTGGACAGACTCGGGACAACAAAATCACACCCAACCTCGTCATCCAGCTCTTATTGTACACTCGCTCTCCGCTACTTCCTCTCACTATCTAGGCCAGGCCTCGGCAACCCACTCGCTCTACAAAGTAGACGTAATTATACGTTTTCAGGATTCATCGCAGCGTTCACGGTAGCCGGATTTAGCTCCGCATCTGCACTACTGGATCGCGGGAGCACAGCATCAAGGACAAAACAAGACGTTCCTCCGCACAATTGTTTGCAAATCATAGCGCCGCCGCTCCATTAGCAGGGAGTGCTCACCGTAGTGCCGTGAAATATTTCTGGCACGTCATGAACCTCCGAGTCACAATTTCAACGACCAAGCCGTTGCAGCTGCAAACTTTCCAGCCACTCACAGACCGCGACTTTCTCTGATTCACGCAACCACGCAGCACTGGCACACTGGCGTTGCGTGCGGTTATTCATCAAACTTTGGACGAGCCGGCAGTGGCGGGTCCTAGTGCCAGTGCCAGTGCACGACGTTCATTTTACAAGGTTAGTTCCTCTTGGCTGCAGGTCGATCGACGCCAGAGCCCCAGCTTCCTTTCTCAACAGCTGCTTGTGCAGTCTCTTTCCGCCTTCAGTTGCACCTCGCTGGCCTCTTTTGCAAGGCAACTGTGTCAAAGCCAGTGATGCTGACCACAGCCTGAGCGAATAGGTCCCAATCGAGTCTGCGGCTCTAGTCACGCCTTCGTATCGACCACCAACGCCTGCTGCGACAACACTGCACCACCACACGGTATCAATCATTGGACGACCCCGCTCGTCCATCGCCGAAGACAACACCATCGTTACCGGCACTTCACCTCGTTCGTTCACGACATCGGAGGCGTTCAATCGCTATCGCCGGTCTTTGTCGCGGTGAAGTCCTTTGCCACGAACTTCCATTCACCACAGACTGCATCCTTCGCCCACAAAGGATCATTCGGGGACCCACAGTGGCTCGACAAAGCACTACCAGCCACCCTTGAGCCGCCCACTCATTACTTATCTTCGCCACGGTTTCCACGATCAAGACGATATTTCCCAACATGTTCGCCGCGATTATCACCCTTTGGTTCGCCGTACTGGCCACAGCGCAAAGCACGGGATTCACACAGTCCTATTGCTCGTCGCAGAACACAGCATCAGGTGATGCTTGTAAGTGGTCATGCCCCTTGGCATGTCGTCTTACTAACCAATAATTTAAATAGATTTCTGGACATACCAATCGAATGGTGAATGTACAGATCACTGCAAGGCTTCGGGCACCTGGGCCTTTGCTGTCATTCAGTACACCGACTGTTGGTGCTCGAATTACATCCCTTCCACCACAACCGACATTTCCGATTGTCAAAAGGATTGCCCTGGTTACCCAGCCGAAAAGTGCGGTGACAAGGATGCTGGCCTCTACATCTACATAGAGATGAGTGGGCAGCCTTCTGGAACCGCAGGAGGTTCGCAATCATCTTCGACAAGCGTGAGTAGTGCGACTCTTGTTCCTTCGACAGACGCCCCGTCGTCATCAAATGCAGCTACTGTTAGTACTTCCATGTTTCATTGCATCGCCAGCTTTGGTACTTCCATGCTTTCCTTCAGTCAGTATTATCGTTTGCATTTTCAATGAGGGGATCCTGGCATCGACGAAGTCAGCCAGTCACGCACAGCCTCTGACAATAGGTAGCCTTCGACTCAGGCAAGTCAAAGGCCCACAAGTCGTGGTCGCCCTTCTGTGACAATCATCCAGACTGTCGTGGGAGATTCGCTGACTATTACTGTAATGCCTACTCGACACCAAACATCCCTTACTTCTACTTCTACGACGCCTGTACTTAGTTCCGTTCCATTGCTCACTCGATACTCTCAAAAACAGCATTTGCTAACACGTATATACAGTCATCTTCGAACAACAAAATATCATCGACTCTCAAGACAAGCGCCAGCTCTTTTGCTGACGCGCCGTCCACGAGCGTACAAGTCACTACTGAGAGTGGTGCCGTGGTTACACGCACTGTCATCTATCAGCCCACCGAATCTGCCCAGCAGACTTCGTCTGCCGGCAGTGGCTCCAGTAACACTGGCGCTATAGTCGGAGGCGTTGTAGGAGGGATTGCTGCCATCGCAGGAATTGTGGGCGGTGTTCTTTTTTTCTTGTGGAGACGGAGGAAGCAGCAGCGCGCTGAGCAGGAACATCAAGCAGGCATCACACGCAACACGAGTACAATGAGCAAATCCGGTCTACTTGGAGGCCGCGGTGCTGCGACTGACCCTCATTACCCACCGCCAATCGCTACGAACGGCAGCAACGCTGGTAGCCGGCACGACAACGAATCCATCAGCCCGATTTCTGGATCGCAACGCAGATACAGCCAGCCAATGATGATCGATTCTCGGCTCAACCCGGAGACGGTGCTGATGTATCACCCCACATTTGCGAATAGTCGGGAGAGTTTAGGCAGTATCGACGACAGCCGCGACTACGGGCGGCAACTCAATGTAAGCAACAACCCACTCTCAACTGACTTAAACACTAACGACGTTTAGGTGAGGAACCCAGACCCGCACTGAGCAGTCAGCTATTAGTGGCACAGCAGTTGGACACGACCTCACGAACCTAAAATAACTCCGCCATCACATTCCGTTTGCGACATGTACAGGACCATCCACACATTCAGCATTGGGCGTTTGGCGCAATCCTTCAGGGCTTGACACATTTAGGGTTTTACTTCGACACCGCTATTTCCCTCTAATGGCATTACTTTATGAATCACATAGTTCCCGCCTCACAGCCATATCACGCTGCTACGTACATATAAAGACCCACAGATTCGTCCAGTCACGAGACCTGGGCTGGAATACACATGGCCGCTGCCAAAGCCGAGTCGCAGTAGAGGCAGACGACGAGGAGGTACATGATCGACACGTCGATGTTAACGTAGAATGAGGAGCACCGCAGAGCTGGAATGTCGCGCGGCTGCCTACATGAAAATCAAATCAGTTCTGAAAGATGAATCATTTACCGTTCGTCACCAATAGGCTGCATGAAGTGTTTGCGATTGTGGCGCTGATATGACACTCACAATAGCCCCCCAGGCTCTGTAGAGTTCATACTATCAGCATCGCAAAGGTCTTGGATATGTAGCTCCTCACATCGCTCTACGACTTATTACCACATCTCGACTTCATTACGCAATTGATGAATCACTCAGAATAGGAAATTCTCGCGATTTACTATCGCAAATGACTGGCTTTTCGATTCACCTACCATCGTCATGTAAATTGTGTTGTGCCGTTCATTCGCCTCAGATTAATCAACTTGACCATTGGCTCTGGGCACTATAGTGTGTAGTATGAATGACTAAGCAGCGTGGGGAAAAAGGATGCAAAGCAATGGAAGCAGAAACGTAGAAGATAGCCATTGTTTCGAAGACAAGTGCCGAGTTTTCCTCGTCTTCCTTGACATCGATGTTGTCGATGTTGATGTCGTTTACGTCCTCTTCCTGGCTAGCTCGCGCAGGAAGTAGAGCACACATCTGCTCGGCCTTCTGTTTGAGCTCTGGGATGCGGTCTCCCACATCCGCACGGACAGACTCGCTCTCTGGAGTGAGAACGTAGTTGATAGGCAGCAGGACACGGAGTGATCTAGTAAAGTCCTCGAACAGCTTTTCGATGCCGGTGAGATACTCCCCCAGCGTCTGGCGCGTGTGTTTGTCGAAGTCGCCCTGGGAGTAGTTGGCGCCAATGTCGACAAAGTGTCTGTCACCGTGCAGGAGCATGTCTGCCAGCTTTCTCTTCTGGATCTTCAGCTTGGGCTCGACGTACTGCTTTACGGCCTCTTAGCCTTGGGGTTTGGTGCCTTAAGAGCATGAATTTTTCAATGTAGATGTCATCAGTAATCTCCGCGATGAGGTTGTTCGCCCAATCATAGTCCATTGTAGCACATCCCAACTTCTAAAGTTGCAAGCGACTAATAGCTTCTATCAGACCGATCAGCTTGGCTTGAACCTTGTGGTGAAACGGAATCCACTTCTTCTTTGCCTTGTTACTTGTGTGGGCAAATTAGCCGTCGAGTTGCACATCATAGAAAGGAACTTTTGATGCAGCTGATCGGATGCGTAGGCAAAGGATGGCTTCATCTGTTTTACATGCTAAGCATATGTGTTCGTCCACTTGTAGAATCTTGATGTGAGGATGTTAGCGAGAGTTTTGTTCCAGTTCGCACCGTTCTCCAGACCTATGGCTTTGGACACGCCCTGTGGTCAGCGTGTCCAATAGGAGGGCTACGGTAACGGTAAACGTCAATTGCTGTAACCTACGGTAATTATAAGTAACTGTACTGTCCTGAAATCACGTAGTTACGTGGCTGTATAGACTATAGGCGTAGTTAACAGTAGGTTCATGACCTGCGTAAGTACTATAGTATTGTTGCCTATTTTGGTCGAGTACTATTAGCAACAGTAATATATATTTGCTTCTTGGGGCGTGTAATGTAGTAATGCTGTACTATGGCTTTATTTGTAGTTACTCACAGCTATAGCTACAGCTTACTCCAATCCCTGTTGCCCACTGCTGTATACCATAACGGTAGGTTTTCGTACTAACATGTTTTACAAGCGAGCGGGCCATACAAGCGAGCGGGCCACCCTACCAACTTTGCGCACCTCTACAAGCGTATATCTCAACAACGTGATAACATAATATATAGATGTTTGCAGAGTAAATTAAGCAGTATCTAATGTATCTTTTCTACACGTACGTGAGTTATGCCCAGTCTCTCTGCACCTTGTGCAGCGCGCAAGAGCCTGGCGGCTAAGGCCTGATCGCGCTCCTCCTTGACGCTCTTCACAAGAAATCTGCTGCTCAACCTCACGTTGAGCAAGTATATCCTCTCCC